ATATAGGCGGGTTGTTTCCTAACCTTTGTTCCTGGAGAGTTACACCTGTACTAGACTACCTTCCTCCATGCTAAACTATTAAAGCAGCTCCGGGGGATTGAACCCATGCCAGAGAGTTAACTGGATTAGAAGTCATCAACTCTAACCCCTCTACAACAGAGGCTGTTTATGAAGATATGAACATTCTAACATGTGTACATGAACATTCTAACATGTGAAAATGACATCTAACATGTGTACATGAACATTCTAACATGTGTATATGAACATTCTAACATATGTATATGAACATTCTTACACATGTACATGAACATTCTAACATGTATATATGAACATTCTAACATGTATATATGAACATTCTAACATGTGTATATGAACATTCTAACATGTGTATATGAACATTCTAACATGTATATATGAACATTCTAACATGTATATATGAACATTCTAACATGTATATATATGAACATTCTAACATGTGTATATGAACATTCTAACATATGTATATGAACATTCTAACATGTGTATATGAACATTCTAACATGTATATATGAACATTCTAACATGTATATATGAACATTCTAACATGTGTATATGAACATTCTAACATGTGTATATGAACATTCTAACATGTAAATATGAACATTTTAAGATGTAAATATGAACATTCTATAATGAATACATGATTTGTTTCATTTTACAGCCTTTCCCAACAGTATTTCAGTCATATAGGCGGGTAGTTTCCTAATCATCGTTCCTGGAGAGTTACACCTGTACTAGACTACCTGTGTACATGAATGTGTACATGAACATTCTAACATGTAAAAGTGAACATTCTAACATGAATACATGAACATCTTAACATGAATATAAGAACATTCTAACATGTGTACATGAACATTCTAACATGTGTATACGAACATTCTAACATGTGTATTCAAACATTCTAACATGTGTACATGAACATTCTTACATGTGTACATGAACATTCTAACATGTAAAAATGAACATTCTAACATTAATACATGAACATTTTAACATGAATATATGAACATTCTAACATGTGTACATGAATATTCTAGCATGTGTATATGAACATTCTAACATGTAAATATAAACATTCTAACATGTAAATATGAACATTCTAACATGAATATATGAACCTTCTAACATGAATACATGAACATTCTAACATGTGTACATGAACATTCTAACATGTGTATTTGAACAATTTCTAACATGTGTATTCAAATATTCTAACATGTGTACATGAACATTCTTACATGTGTACATGAACATTCTAACATGTGTATATGAATATTTGAACATTCTAACATGTGAATCTGAACATTCTAACATGTGTATTTGAACATTCTAACATGTGTATATGAAAATTGTAACATTTGTATATGAATATTTTATTGTATTTATGTATTATATGAAGAATTCAACATGCATATTCTAACATGTATGAACATTCTTATGTTTATGTGAACATTCTAACATATATGTATGAAGCCATAGCCTGCTGGTGGCAACTGAATATACCAGTGACATCTAACCAGGGCCTGCACTGTTTTCTATTCAGTCAGTACATATTTTGAAAATCCCAAACTTCCTATAGTTTCTTCATTTTATACATAGACAAAGAAAACAATTCTAAAAAATGAACACATTTGTTTAAAAACTTTGTTTGATAAAAGAGAATTATAAATGAAACAAATTTATAAAGAAAAAATAGGGGTCACAATTCTACTTTTTTTAGTTATCTGCCCTAAACCGGCAACATATATCTTAGAAAATTCAGTCTATAAATTAATTAGATATTGTTTTACAAATAGTCTAAGGGAATTAAAAAATACACATTTGATGAAATAGTTTTCATTAGAATTAACTCCCTTGTTTACTTGTAAGTTTGTGCACCATTTTATATAATTAGCATGGAACCAGGCCATTTGACATGTCTTCTCTATATTTTTACATTTAAAGCTGCAGAGAGAACATACTGAAATAAATTCTAATGTAGATTCACTTTGATTAAAAAAGGCAAGTTTCTATGTTTTGTTTCCATGAAATAAAATACAATTTTGTGGACATATTACCACAAATAGGTCATATAGCCTCAACCCTTAAATGTGATGTCATTTCTTGGAAAAATCTATTTCTAGAATATTGATTTTTGTTTGTTTGTTTCATTTTACGCCTTTTCTCAACAGTATTTCAGTCATATAGGCTGGTAGTTTCCTAACCATTGTTCCTGGAGAGTTACACCAGTACTAGACTACCTTCCTCCGTGCTAAACTACCAAAGCATCTCCTGGGGATCGAACCCAGGCCAGAGAGGTAACTGGATTAGAAGTCATTGACTCTAACCCCTCGACCACGGAGGCGGTCATATTGAGAGATGATCTCAAGCTGGATTGCATAAACAAATATATGAGCCGCGCCATGACAAAACCAACATAATGGGTTTGCGACCAGCATGGATCCAGACCAGCCTTCGCATTCGCGCAGTCTGATCAGGATCCATGCTGTTCGCTTACAAACTCTATAACAAGTAGAAAATTGATAGCTAACAGCATGGATCCTGATCAGACTGCGCGGATGCGCAGGCTGGTCTGGATCCATAATGATCACAAATGCACTATGTTGGTTTTGTCGTTAAAATAAAACATCTATGCATTGTATTATTTATTTTCAGTTTAGTTGAAATTCATGCATAGGAATATGTATTTCATGTATTTCTTGTATATTTAGGGATAGTTTAATATAAAATTATTGCAGCTTGATAATCTTGTACTCAGTTTTCTTAAAAAAAAGGTAAATAGGTGCAGATGTATTATAGCACTTTTTTTTCTTTATTGATCTGGATTATTATTTAAGCCACACCAACACTGTAGAGTTCATGTAGAAAATTTTAAGAAATTCCTAAGATTTAGCGATGGGAGGTCGGCATTCATTTCTTTGTACTTTGACAAGTCTGATGCCAGTCAGTGTAGCATCTAATGCTGGGTTAACACGCGCTTTGATGTACATTGTACTTTGTCACATCTGAGGCCAGATTGATGCCGATTAAAAACTTTTAAAGTATTTTGTCAAGTCTGATGCTAGGTAAGGCGGCACTTCTGTGTCTTATGCCAGATATCCATCAATTCTTGAAGCTTGACAATTTTGCTGCTGGGTTTACATTCCCTTCTGTGCTGTTTGCCAAATCTGATGCCAGATAAGCCCTCAGTTTTATGTATTTATCAAGTCTGGTGGCAGTTTTGCTCTCAGTTTTTGGTAATTTAAGGAGCCGGTTACCAGGTTAGCCCTCACTATTGAGTCTGATTCTCACCTTTGTGTAGTTTCACAGGCATCACAACAGTTTGCTAGTTTTCACCATTATTTGAGCCATGTCATGACAAAACCAATGTAATAAGTTTGCAACCAGCATGGATCCAGACCAGCCTGCGCATCCGCACAGTCTGATCAGGACCCATGTTTTTTGCTTACCAACTCTATTACAAGCAGAGAAACTGATAGCGAACAGCATGGATCCTGATCAGACTGCGCGGATGCTGGTCGCAAACGCATTACATTGGTTTTGTCATGGCATGGCACGGCTCATTTCATATACATGTAGTTTTACAAGTCAGATGCTAGGTTAGCCATCCCTTACTAAGTTTGACAAGTCTGAAGGTAGATTAACCCTAACTGTGTTATCATTTTGATATTGAAATCTTATAATGTTTCTTAAAACATTAAACAGTATTAAAGTCAGAGAATTCCAATTCTGTAAGACAAAATCTTAGGGTAAAGTGGGGAGTGGGATAAATATTAATGTCATGTCACTTGTAAAACATATTTTAGGTCGACACTTAAGCCATAAGGAGCAAAACAAAACTGACGAATACATAGTTACATGTATAATTTATTTATCCCTCATTTTCACAACTTATATCTATGATAAAATGTACACAACATAAAAAACAATGTGTTTTAAAAACAAATACTGTTTATTCGCTACAAGTTGGTGTCCAACTCACAAATTTTATTCATGAAATTCTCAAAAATAAAGGGAAAAAGTAAATGATGAAACTTTTTATATCTGATAGGCCAAAAAATAAATAAATAAAGATGAAATGCACCTTGAATATATATATCTGAACACAATCTCAATAATAAATTCCATGGCAACATGATTGCTGTTTATTGCACAAACCTATGTAAAATGTTCCCTCCATTTGTTCAAAAATTATTACAATAACGTTAAGAATTTGATCAATAAAATACAATAAGAATGTATCCAAAGATTGTTTTATTGTAAATGGTAGAAATGCCTCTGAAAAAAATCCAAAAATTAAAGCATGCCTGGCCAATGCTAAAAATGATCAGGTCTTTTTAAGATTTTATTATGTAATAATACAATTAACATTCTTATCCTACTACAAAACATTTGTGACTTGTAGAAAATCAAGTAAATAACTCTTTGGTAATTAATTCAACAACAAAGACAAATAAACAATTTAAGTAGGTCATATCTGATAATGTGGGTGGGTCCAGTAATTCTAATAACACAAAAATCATTATTAATATTATTAATTCAAACACTAAAACACTTTAACACATAATACTGTCTAAATAAGTAAAAACCTATGTTTTTGACATAACGTTAAGGGGGATTAAACTCAGTGTCTGCTTCTAATATAAAAATTTATCATCACTTTATATTCAATTGTTAGTAAAAATCGATACATATACATTCATAAAATGAACCTACCATTGGAGTTGAATGAGGACTTTGAGACCCAATGAAGAAGTCAGTCCTCGGCAGGAATTTTCAAATTCACTATGCACTCTAAAGATACATTCATTAAATAACATTCATATAAACTTTCTATACAAAACCGACTCACATCAAAACTTTCAAAGGTGTTTAGTTTCATACAAAGTCATGGAATATTCTAATTTAACATTACAACATGCATCAAACCCTACTCATGTTTATTTTTCAAACACAAAATACCAGACGTATTCATCACAACATATAAACTTTTACAAGGCAAATTTTATCATTATGCTTAAATACATCTGGTCATTCTTTATTCTGTTATAGATTTATTTAAAATTATACTTTTCATGTATTCTTTGGTCCCTATTCAATACTTCCTTCCCATAATAACACACCTTATTTAATGATTTTTCTCTCTGATCTAACAGAAAAAGGATTTAAAGCAATTTACCTTAACATAGAAACACTGGCAAAAATACAACATTTTATCATATTCTCTTCAAGCTAAACAAAGCATTATCTTTCTAAACCAAGTTTGTTTGTTTTTGTTGTTTTTTTGTTCAGTTTTACAGAGCATCAACACAATTAAGGTCATATTTCGACGAAACAAGATAGTTTATTTTGGCTAAACCTCAGGTGTTACAAACTAAAAGCAACATCAGGGGTCTAAACCATCTAACCAGCTAGAGCTAAGAGATGCATAGACTCCAGTAATTCAAACACATTCAGTCGCCATACAAGTATGAACGGTGGATGCAATTCAGAAACAATTAAAAATGAGTATAATTATAATCATGAGAAAAAAATGTTAAATATAATATTTAAAAGCTTAAATTATTACATTTTAAACTTATTTTTCAATTAATGCACATTTGAACATTTAATCAACATTAGTTTTCGTAATATAATAACATTGGTTTTCATACAGTAATAAATATCATGAATCATAAATTATTGCTGTTTAAAAATTACATTACTACATTATAACTCGTCTGTATGTTTTACAAAATGTAAATGTCTGCCGTAGTCAGTGGCTTGGCTACCAACAAATTCTTCATGTGCGTCAACGATTTCACGTTCAGTTAGCCGTCCGTCTCCGTTACTGTCGGCTTGTTTTATCAGATGTTCCGCCTCGTCCACAGCCTCCTCTTTATTATCTGTCAACACCCACGGTTTAATCTCGTCAAAGTTGAGTAGGTTATCTTTGTTTACATCATATTCCTTGAATCTCTCTTTCTCAACTATTTCCCATTCTTTATCATGGCTGCCTAAAAATATCACATAATTAAAGTTAGAAAAGAATCGAACAAAACTATTAAAAATATCATATTAAAAAGGTTGAAAAAAAAATGGTTAAAGTGCCCCAGCTCATTTATGTAAGAAATTCAAATGTTATGTTTTTAGGCTTTTAAACCTCAGTGGAGTCCCTTTAAGAACAAGTAAGGAGACTGTTTTCTTGAACAAACCAGTACTGGTGAAGTATTGGCGTCATAAAGAAAATATGATTGTGACCCTGATATATTTTATTTAACTTGAAAATCAGATAAAAATAACAAGAATAACAGCCATTACACTGCATCAATACTTAAACTCGCATCTATCATTATAATACGAAAATGTCTGTCATAAAAAGTAGTTAAAAATCAAATTCAGTAACTGTTTGAATGCAAGCAGCTATAATTACTTAAATACCCCTAGAATTCATTAACCAAGGCCATCTTGCACATCTATTCAGTTTGACCATGCTCACACTGCTTAGTTTTGAGTATTTTGATAATTAAATGCTATAAACTTAAAGCTGCATACCTCCAGATGAACAAAAAATATTTCAAGAAAATTAACATTGAGAGAAATGTACCAAGATTTTAAGAAGAGTAAAAGTATTCACAATTTAAGAAAGAAAAAAACATGAAGAATGCAACTAATGAGTGATTACTACTAACACTTTAAGGTCTATTTTTCCATTTTCTGATTTATTTTGATACTTTTTGTAGAACCTGTTTGTAATGTTTAAATTACTTTCTTTATTCATCTGACAATATTTTACTTTTTAATTCATTTTAAAAATTTTCATGAAAATTAGCACTAATCTGGAGGCATGCTGCTTTAAAATCATCTATTCCAAATTCAAAGCCTCCTTGTCCTTTGCAGCTGTTTACTAGCCTAATAAGACAAAGCCATCTATCTATCTTAGTCTGGCTGAGTAATAAATTTTGACCCCATTTACATAATACAAACTACTAATTGTCAAAAAACACATTTTCATGCACTTCTGTTAAACTTACTATCTCCAATATATTCTTCAAGAGAGAGGAAACCATCTGTGTTTTTATCATGATCATTCATAACTCTCTGTAACTCTATATGGTGCATATGTTCATAGTTGTAGGGATGATAGAAGGCTACAAACTCCTCTTTCTCCAGTATACCATCCTTGTTAACGTCTGCTGCTTCAAATTTCCTCTCCTCTTCATCTACACCCTGACACAGAACAAAATCAATTGTTATAACACACTTCGTTTTGTTTGTTTTTCTGTTATTTTGCAGAAATTAACACATGTTTTTGGTCATATATTGGCAGTCAATTCACCTAACCGACTTTCCTGGATAACTAACCAGTAATTACCAATTTTCCACAAGTGACTGACACTGATGGAGACTCATGAATATCTGAGACTAAAAAACATGGCCTTACTTTTTTTAGTTGCAGTGACCTTGACCTTAATAACCTGAAACTCCATCCAATTGTAGAGGTCCATGGTAGACATAAACACCACATATCAGCAAATTAATCAAGGTATTATAAGATACAGTACATGTATGTTTGGCTGAAGGAAAGGATGGAAGGATAAACTGGAAACTTAATGCTCTACAAAAAAGTCATGAGAGCATAAAAGGGTACATAAATTATTCAACTTGCATAGTTAATGAACTCTGACCCACACAGAAAAATGCGTAACTATTAACTATCAATTAAGCAAAATAAAGCAAAACAAAACCCTCACAACAGTAGAACAGCACAAAGTAACAAACCACTAGAAAATGTAAAACATCATCTCTATCTGTCTTCCTCATTTCTTTGATTTCATCTTCAGTGTAGCTGAAATGTGAGTGTAAGTATTCCTTCCAGGTAAGTTTACCATCGTGGTCCTCATCCTTCTCATCAAACTCTTCCATTGCTTCTTCCTCGTCCAGTAACCTGTATAAAGACATGGCCAAAATGTTAGTTTATACAGTATCAATTCTTTAATTGATTCTTTTATACTTGTCTTCCATTCTCATCCTTTTCCATTATGTAAAAATATTTTGTTTGTTGTTTATTTGTATGTACATTATATAAACTTATGGGAATGAATCAATTCTGTGTGTCTCGTAAAGCATCTTATATCACCATTACTGCATCAGGATGAGGTCAGTCTGCATATTAAGGCCCATTATGCCCAAGAAATGTGTTCATTTTAATTTCACAAAGTCTTTATTTTTTGGTATTTTTATATATTTTCCAACAAGTTGCTAATTGGCCAATTATATCTAAACTATCTTCTTATGCTGTTTTTTGGCAATTGGTATATTTATAGTGATCTAGTATTTTGTATTGAAGTCAAAATATTACTTTGTATACATTTTGCTACATTTAAGACAAATTATGTCACATTTAGAGCTTTCTTCTTCAAAAGTAACAAGCATTTAACAAGCTCTAAAACCATTATTTAAACATTATAAAACTCATGTTTAACCTCTCCTAAGAAGTAAATATTTATTCACTTCTGAGGCATAATGTGCCTTCAAATCTCTGAACTATTTGGTGCTAAAATTTTAGTTCTTTCAAATTGAATACTTAAACTGATTATGGGAAAGTCTCAAATCTTGGTAGGTCAAGTCCATCACATAAATGTATCAGGGTAAAGATCATATATGATTAATGATGACAAAACCTACCTGAATGACATAACAATCCAGTCTGTAAGCTCCTCCTTTGATACAAACATGTCATGGTCTTTGTCCATCTTCTTTACTAGTAAACTCAATCTTTTCTTAGCTTCTTCTGGAGGGAGGTCTTCAAACTCTTCCTCAAGCTTGTATGACCCTGAAAACACCAGTATTCTCAATCAAATATATCAACAGACTCTTTAAGTTAGTTCTTATACATGTATGTCAGCAGCGATCATGATAAGCACTCGTGTTATAAGGTACTCGAGTTTGAAGTAAAGAGCCAGACCACCTTTAACGTCTACAGTTTGAAAAGACTTTATACTGTTGGCTTGCTCAATTTTAATACTATAATACCATTATAAGCATGAAAAGTGTTGTCATCACATATAGTCAGCATGGTTTACAAACATATATTCATAGAGCAAAATACCTTGTTTTCTCCATGATCGCCTCTTTAAATTAAAGTAAAAGAAGTAAGTTCTTTATCAACTTACCTACCTGTATATATGTCATTAGTTTCTGGGTTTCAGTGATGTAAAAATATCTTTTAAGATTGAAATTAAATTTGCCTCCCTAATTTCTATTTTAATAGTATGAGACAAAGGTGCAATCATGAATGATTCACTGGCCTTACCTAAAATAGCTTCGTGATCAAAATGGACATTGTGATGACCATCTACCTCATGTTCCTGTTTCCCATGTTTTTCTGGGGAACCAGCACCATGATTTACATCCTCTTTTGTTGCCTTGGCAACCCCGCCGGAAACCAGCACAATCAAAGCTAGAAATACTACTCCTGACCACATCAGTTCCCTGAAATATATTTGTAAACTTTTGTACATGTTAAATGGACATGTATTTTATAAATATACGTTTGATTTTTCTTATCTGAAAGTTTTGTTCAATTTACATACTGCACAAGGCATGTTGAATATATTTTGTACAATTTTGTATGTATGTACTTTGAAGCCATTATTTCTACTAAATTTAAGTGATGCAATCGCTCATTGTCTTCACTTTTATACACCCGCACGTCAATGTTATCAACTCATAAAATCTATAAAAAATGTAGTGATAGATCAAAGATGATGTGAGTTTTACTGTCAGCAAACTTACCTATTATAGTTAATTGCTTTATTGAAAAAAAAAACAAATTCAAAAGTCTAAAACTTTTAATTTCCAAGAAATCGTAAATATTACAAAATTTCCAGGATCCTATTAATATTAACAATGTATTTCTTACAAAGAAATGGAGGCATACAATGTTACACTATGGTAGCTACATATAACTTAATCCCCTACTTCAAAATAATTATGCAAATGACCTACAACAGCTTGAGTGGCTATTAACATTTCTTATTACTTCATCAGCCAATCGGTGTAATGCACGACACACAATATGCTGCCTGTCATGTCATTAATTTTGACTAATTATTTCTTTTATCAGATAACCTGTAACAGTAATTGATTTTTTTATATTTAACTGATATTTTGTGTGAAATTGTCCAAATACAATATGCCTAAGGGTTTCTGAACAGCATTGTTGATACAACATGATATATTTTTGAAAAACTTAAAAAGCTTTCTATATACATGTTTTACACTAACACTAACTCTTACATAATTTGGACTCTCTATGACAGAATTATAGGGTTTTTTGTTGTTTTTTTTTGAGAGCTTGCTTTTTTGTTGTTTTTTAAAAGTCCACTGACCACAAGCTACTGTACTGTTTTTTTGGCAAGATAAGCAAGCACACTTTAAATTATAGACATAGTGACAAGAATTCCCTCAATGATAATTCTTATTTTGCTATTGAAACAGCAAAATATTATCATTCTATCAGCAAAATATTATCAATCTTTTTGATAAATTAAATTTCTTTTAACTTCAGTGCAACCTCTACATAGAAACCCTCTCTGAAAACAAAGATTTTGATTTGTTTCTAGAGATGTTGCTCTACAGAGGTTAATTTTAACATGAAGTCTTACTTTTGGAAAAACTGATAATGCTGTAAAAAGAAGTAATTGTTTTACAGAAGGGTCTCTTGACAGAGGTTACTCAGTGTACAACTTGGTATAATTTCATCACTGCATTAATGCTTTATTTTATGCAACAAGTCATGAAAAACAAAAAGGCATTTTTCAAATGTAACACATACTTGCTTATACTGATTAAATTACATGTGTACATTTATTAGGTTTTATCTTTGTAAAGTTTACCAATACTACTTAAAAGCATTTATGTCACTCAATCTATTAATGTGTTTTAATCAAAATGAGTTCTTTTATTATGTTACTTTTTTTTAAATTTTGTTACCCAATACCTTAATTTACAGTATTGAACTGTAATGCAATATTCACAGACCATTATTAATAGAAAATTAATCTTGATTATAGTTCTTGAGAACGTTGTTCATTTAACAAATGGGGCTTTGTTATCTGCTAAGTTAAAATGATAAATAAAGTTTCTCCCAAGTTTTACAGATTCTTAAGTTAATAGGATACTATACACAAAGTAATCATAAATGCACACTTATATTTCTGACAGTTTGTTTATAGAAGCAATTTAAGTACTTCCTATTTCTAAGCTACATGTACAAGTAAGGCCATTCTTAAGTAAGTGTTTGTTTACTACTTCTAATGTAGGCTATGAGGGTTTGGGACACTAGGCATGTATAATCTTTTTACTTGTCTATGAATCAAATTCAAACAAAGGCCTTACCCTGGCCAAAAATCTATTATGGCCAAATTCATGTAAAATATTATAGAAAATAGCATATAGCCTTGACATAACATTGGATAAACACTTATTTTCATTGTTCCTTAGATGTGTTGCTATAGAAATATAACAAAATTCAGTTCAGGGCTATTTAATTAGATGATGAAATTTACTTGTAATATAAAAGCTTCTAATACCCTTTGAATGTTACTGCTTTAAATTGTTTTCTAGAATAAATTTTACCATAAGTTAACTTACATTATCTTTAAAATATGTTAAAATTATATTGATGATATATTTCTGGCAAGATGTTTATCTAAACTTAAGTAGTATTTACATATATATGTCTTCTCAGTGTTTGAAAGAAAAAGTAAAATAGGCACATATATATGAGTAAACCCAAGACTGAAAAAAATAAATTTTGGCTTCAAAAGTTCATTGGTTTCATCTTTCATTATAAAAAAATGGCACACAAATAATTTTACAAGTAAAAAACAAAATATCCTCATCAATATTTAAGAACAGTTTAAAATTTCATAAGAATCACATCTAACTACCAATATTAACTTACAGAAAAACACTTAAACATGGAATGATAATAACTCACTTAGAGAAACATGTAAAAGTATCCACTTTACAAATATGACCTACATACAACTTAAATGAACAATGATTTATATTGTTTCATTATGAAGCACATAAAGCACTCAATTTGAGAAAATTGACTACTCAAGGTTTAAGAAAACAAGGAAAGAAACAATGTATTCAACATGTAATGCATGCATCCATACTTCATAAAACAATAAATATATCTGATAAGTCACTGCCACTGATGATGCTATCTAAAACAAAATGATTACCTTTTCATGATTAATCACTGTAAGATTTTGGTGACAAAAGTAAATTCTACACAATATATAACTGTATATTACTTGATTAACTACACGTGTCAACAATACAATGATATCCCAAGGGTTCAAAGTTTTGTTTGGGTACGATAATAATTAAGCCAAGTAAGTTACACGTCGGCTGCTAGTGGTGTTGCTATATTTAGCAAGGACATAGCATACGAAACTATCAATTAAAATGGAAAAGAAAACAATCGGCACGCCTACTTTATATCCACAATATACAAGCAATGGAAAGAATTAGGGATAACGATGAAAATCTACCTTTATGGCTTAAAATACTTCAAAAAGGGGTCTAAGTCATAAAAGGCCTTTGTTCTTGAGGAAGAAGTTACCCGTGCACCGTACGAAATCTAAGCACAGTATGACTAATATACGCAAGGTGCAAGTCAACCGGCCCGCAATTAGCCAATCCGCCCCAAGTCAATCTGGTCAACCCGGCCCCGTTTTTGATTATAAACTCAACATATTCATTTGACGCCAGTAACATTCGGGGGCTGCAAGCTGAAAATCGCGATTTGCATAGCATGAAACCTGTTCGAGCGGTATGCCTAAAATACGAAAGTGAGATTTTTGACGAAAGTGAGCAAAGTGACTTTTGAAATTTGAATTGTACCGTTTTAATAGAATTTTACAGTGAATTTTCTATTTGTAGACGTATATTATTAGCGACTGATACTGTTTCTTTTAAAAAAAATCACTATGATGATTTAATCGCCATTTATTTGCATAATTTCTATACACAAGTTCTGAGATCTTCCTTAATGCTTGAATATTTGCTTGATGATGAATATTACCACTGTAATGATTTTAATGCTAGCATATGGATAGACGAAACTATTGTGATTGAGTTTGTTGATGAGACAAATTGTATTATTTATATTTGATAAAAGAATATGTTTATATGAATGTGATACACGTGTTTACCCAGGGTCTTTCAAATAGAAATCTATTTGAAAACCCTGGTTTACCTAATTATATTCTATCAAGATCAAAATATCTCCTGTGTTTTCTTTTAGATGAAAACTTATGATTATGTTTTTGTAAAGATATTTATTACAATTTTTGCAATGGGTTAATTTATATACTATTTCTTACCACAGACTAAAATTGCCAATTAAAGTCGGTATTATTTTCTCTATTCCTACGGAAAGCTTAAAGGCAGGTGAATTTTGTTTGAATTTAAACAGTCTTTTGAAATTCCTGTCAACAGGGGTGACTATTTTGCATACAAAAAGAGATATGATGAATTATCAGAATTTTCCTCATTTACTTATCGGATGAATAATAGGAGGCTTCCAAAATAACAAGCAGATAGAGCACTTTATGAAATATTATTAAACTTTTATATATGTATATAATTATGCTTCTAAAACAATTTTCAAACATCGAAGAAGTACTGCAAACATTTGTCCACATTATTTGTAATCATTAAAAGATATGCATTCATTTCTAATTGAAAAAATTTGACTTATACTTTATAGAAAATAAATTTCTGATTACTTTCCTTTATTAAAACGAAAATGTAAATTTGGTAATATCTTTACAAATAATGCTTTTTGGAATTTACAATATTGATAAATCTTCATTTGAGCATTATATTTATGATATAAAACCATAAAAAATGAGTTACATTATCTTTAAGTCAATATTAAACACAAATTGTGCCCGTTTTGCAAAAAAGAGAAAAGAATATATTTATTTCACAAAGAAAATGTCAATTTCACCAGCATATAACCCGTCTGTATATTATAAATGCAACTCACCTGTTCTTAATAAATTGAAATATCTTGCCTTCATATAATCAATTTTTACTTAAATACTGTATTATCACCCTTTAGGACCATACGCTGTTTTTTCATGGAATGACACTACTAAGTTTCATTGAAGTTTCCAGTTCCATAACCGCTGCATGAACACATTTGGAGATGTTTCTAACTTGAAAATTTCACCCTCACCATGTTTTACTGTATAATTCGTCATGTATCTCGATGCAAGGGCGTGGACAGTACATGTATGTAGCTTGCACAATCAAACGGAGCCTATATCGATTATGCCGTTTTAGACTTTCTTTAGGGATTCTGTGTATTTACTATTGTATTTTGCGCGCTTTCAAAAAAAGTATATTATATGAATGAATGAATGAATGAATGAATGAATGAATGAATGAATGAATGAATGATCACCTTTCCGTAATTTAGTCATACACTTTAAAAGTGCGCAAATTAGTCAGTCACACGCTCTTGTAAAGCGTCTACATGAGCAAGAGTAAAAGGAAAACGAATTTTACATGTTTTGTATGAAAAACTTAACGATATCATGAAAACATAGATGTTATTCCTGCCAGTGCTAATTTTTATCTTCCTAGACACATTTGGTTATTTCAGGACTATTATTTAATCGTCAGGTAATTGTTATCAAGTTTATCTCGCTCTTTATGAAAGTAACAGTGTTTCGGATAGTTCCATAAAATCGACGTTTGTGATATTCTAAACTCTTTGGGAAAATAAAAAAATATCAAAATTAATCTCGCTTGTTTTTCTGGAGGAATATATTAGTATGGAATATATTATTAATACTTTTAAAATTATTGAATAAGTAACATCTTTAAAATTGTTTAGCAGATTATAACACATGTATTTAAAAATTTTAATATCGGTTATCGATACATAATTTGTGGTTTGTTTGGCCCTAAAACGTACTCGGCCCCCGAGTCAGCTCGGCCCTATTCCAACTCGGCACGGGTCAACTCGGCCCACTTTTCAATTATTAATATTTAGGTTTGTGTTAACAATATTTATTGTAATTATTGTAATTATTTATAATACACGGATTGACAGTTTCGAACTAGCAGCAGACAAGCTTTTCTTATCAGTAGCATTGCGAGTAAGGATAAACGATTGCGTATCTCACTGTATTTCTACATATTTAACTTCTGTTCTGTTCTTTATTACTTTAACTAGATAATGCACAGACAAGGTCTTTCTATTTGATAGAAGAAAAAAAACGTATGACACGTGTAAATGAATTTCGGCAACAATTAATGCGCTTATACGGAAGATTTAATTGGAAGCTTATGATATTAAGTAAACACGTTTTTGTTTCATTTTTTTTTTTAAATATTACTTTACAAACACATTTTATTAGAATCTAGATCTATATAAATTTTATCGAATCTGCAAGACAGATAAATTACTTTTTTTTTCTAAATATACTTTATTTCAGAAGAAGTACAATGTATAATTATATAATAATAAGATATTTCTTATTATTCATTTACCGTAACAACATGCATAGCAAAGTTAATACGTTATACATATTTTTGTGAAGTGGGCCGAGTTGACCCGTGCCGAGTTGACCCGTGCCGAGTTGGTATAGGGCCGAGTTGACTCTTTTCCGTTTGAATTTGATGTAAATATACAATATTTTTTAAATAATAATAACAACTTAGAGGCAAAGAGTTGAGTACATTTTTTACTTGTTTATAATGGAGATTTCTGTGCGTTAGAATACACGCATAAACACTTTCAATATGATCTACGTAAATAACCGAGGTATATCGAGTGAAAAATACGAGTTGCTTCCCTTATCTTCGAGTAAAATCGATACCGCTTATGCTAAAACAATACAAAATGAGCCGTTTTTAAACCGCTAGTTTGTTGCGATTAAATGTCCGATTTTAAAATGTATTACACCAATAGAAAGCTTTGGATCTTAGCTTCATCACAGTATAAACTTCAACACATCTTTTGATTCCAAAGTATTTAAATTAACTGTTAAATCTACTATATGTCAGACCGTTTTACATACGATTTATACAGTGAGATACGCAACCCGTTATCTTTACTCGAAATACTGCTGACCAGAATAGCCTGTCGTCTGCTAGTTCTGAAAGTGTTTATCGGTGTATTTATACATATATTAGAAATAGAAAAACGTTTTGACTTCTTGAACTGAATAATGGCAATGTTTCTTAGTTGTTGACTAAATTGAGAATGTATCTAGGACACACAGAGGGACAAAAGTAAGTTTTTTACTTTAGTGAGAAATTGACTCTAGGATACACAGACAGACAAATGTGATAGATCTTAAAATTTAAAGTTAGTGTTTGTTAATAAAAGGTCGCTTTTTTCAGTATTAGGTATAGACCTCTTTAGTTTAATAAGTTCTTTAGTTTAATTATTATACGCATATTTACAGTGCTCAATAATCAATATACAACGTACATTTTTTTTTCTTTTTAAGCCACAAGATGAGTGAAAAGAATATACAGAAAGGACCAGGGCCTAAGGGAGTTGGGACGTTAACAGTTGAACAAATACAAGAGGATAGAATAACACAGGTATTAGCTATAAAATGAATTACAATAAAATAATAATGCAGAAAACTGTAATCACTATATTTATCATACAGATCAAAAGTGTTGTCAAATTTTGGCAATAAAGGAATTAAGGAAATAAAAATATTGACAAAAGGTCACACAAATCAGGTTTTGCCGTTATCTGTTCCATGTTGGCCTTTAAGACAGATTTTCTGTTTGTGGTCTTTATTCAGAGTTGGTCCTTAAATCTAGATGGACAGTACAAATGTAATGAGGTAGATTGGAAATAATTGAAGAATAATAAGAAATAAAACTTACATTCCTTCAAATGTAGAATGACTATAATGATTTTTGTGTCGCCTCTACGGAGTAGTGGCGACATATAGGGATCACTTCTCCGTCGTCTGTCTGTCTGTCCGTCCGTCCGTCACAAAACTTGTCCGGACTACTCCTCATAAACTACTGGTGCAATTTCATCCAAACTTTACAGGAATGATCAGTACCAAGTCTAGTTGTGCATATTGTCAGCATTTTCCGGTTCAATGATTTTTGTCAGAGTTATGGCCCTTTAATAATTTTTAATTTTAAAGTTTGTCCGGACTACTTCTCTTATACCACTAATGCAATTTCAATGAAACTTTACAGGATTGATCTGTAGCTCAAGTCCTTGCGCATATTGCACGGGTTTTCCAGTTGAATGATTTTTGGCCGAGTTATGGCCCTTTGATAAAAAGGTGTTTTTTTCTGTGTGTTGCCAGATACACAAAAGCTTGTCCGGACTACTCCTCATAAACTATTGTTGCAATTTCATCCAAACTTTACAGGAATGATCAGTACCAAGTCTAGTTGTGCATATTGTCAGCATTTTCCGGTTCAATGATTTTTGTCAGAGTTATGGCCCTTTAATAATTTTTATTTTTAAAGTTTGTCCGGACTACTTCTCTTATACCACTAATGCAATTTCAATGAAACTTTACAGGATTGATCTGTAGCTCAAGTCCTTGCGCATATTGCACGGGTTTTCCGGTTGAATGATTTTTGGCCGAGTTATGGCCCTTTGATAAAAAGGTGTTTTTTTCTGTGTGTTGCCAGATACGCAAAAGCTTGTCCGGACTACTCCTCATAAACTACTGGTTTTATCCAAACTTTACAGGAATGATCAGTACCAAGTCTAGTTGTGCACTGTCCGTCTGTCTGTCCGTCTGTCACAAAATTTGTCCAAACATGAAATTGGCCATCATGAGGCGACACATGTGATTACTGATCGCTCTTGTTCTATTTTCCTTTCCATACAACAAAATATGAGATGAGATGGATATTTTGAGCTGAAATCTTGAACATTATTTTAGTTGGTCATGGTTGTACATGTCACTGAAATTATTTGATTTAAAACTTTCCTATATTCTATTCAGGTAGATACTTTATAATGAAGGGCAGCAGTGGCATAGTGGTTAAGACTTTCCTATATTCTATTCAGATAGATACTTTATAATGAAGGGCAGCAGTGGCATAGTGGTTAAGGTGTCTGCCTCTCAGGCCAGGGATCATGGGTTTGAGTCCTACTTGGGTCATCAGTGTGTTTCCTCATATGACACCAGAAATGGTTGGTTTCAGGAAGCGGACTCGAAAGTGATTAATATATGTTGCAAGAACTTGTTTCACAACCATGCTTAAATATGTTTGAACTATACTGTTCTCTCTTATTTACAGTTGGCCTCTGAACTTTGGTCTCCAACAGCATTGAAGAAAAATGTCAAGTTCAAATCAGAGGTACAGAACTAATTATTTTTTGTTTATAGGTGTATTATACCATGCTTCATTTTCTCATATTAGATTTCCTTGCACATTGCTTATCATCATAACTGCACAAAATTAAATTTGATTTATTTATGTTACATTCTTTGACTATTTAAAAAAAAAATACAGTGTTTGGTAAAAATATTCAGCTTACTCAAAGGTAATTTACACAGTCATATTTGAGGGATGTAATTTTGGTATACTTAATTACGACCATAGCACTTTTATAGCACTTTTATGCAGGTTGTATTATTGTAAACTAAGTAACAAAAATAGTTTTATAATTTTTCCAAAAAGTTTAGATGAAGTATTTTATTTATCAATAACCAGTGTATACTTAGCCGGCTTTATTATTTATTACAAAGTGGTTGTTTTGGAAAGAAGTAAATTTACTTCTTTAGTGTTTTTGTTGTTGTTTTGTGGATTTTTTTGCATAAAAAAGAGACCACAATTGACAAAATTGTTGAAAATTTAAATACATGTATTCCAAATAATTACAAAAAAATTCTACCAGTCAGCTCAACTTTTTAAGCAACTATGACCTTATTAAATAATTTATATATATATGTATTATAATCTGAAAGAATTAAATGAGCCGCGCCATGACAAAACCAATGTAATGCGCAGTCTGATCAGGATCCATGCTGTTCACTATCAGTTTCTCTACTTGTTATAGGGTTTGTAAGCGAACAGCATGGATCCTGATTAGACTGCGCGGATGTGCAGGCTGGTCTGGATCCATGCTGGTCGCAAACGCATTACGTTGGTTTTGTCACGACGCGGCTCAAATGTTTAAATTGCTTTATTTTCAAATTTTCTTATGGTTACATACATTTCCTAATTTGAAATATTTAAGATGGATATTAAAGCGTTTGTTTCATCTTGATACAACATAAAAGTGATTAAATATGTCAAAATTTCTTGAGATCATTATAGAATTTGATGCATTATTTTAAAAATCTTTATTTCTAAGATCATGACAATATGATAAATTTTTATTACCATTGATAGGTTGTTGAAGAGATATACACTAAGGAGCTTGTTAAAACCAACTTTGCAACAAAACGTGTAATGATGCTTGAATTCAGGTAAATATTAAACATATTGATGTTATTTAAGTATACATGTATTTAAATGTAATCATTATATTAACCCTTACCCTGCTGGAACCAAAAGTGATTAGCCTTGATCACCACCATTAAAGAGCCGGACCAGCTTGCACATATATACAGCATGACCAAATTGTTGGCTTAAACTTCAAAATTTTCATCTTGTTATACCTAAAATTGATAATGGACAGTTCCAAAAAAAAAAGCAGCTAGAATAGTCTATTTAAAAAATTTAGCAGGGGTTAAGCTATGAGCTGCATATAAATTGACACATATCTTTTTTATTTGCATAAGCATTAAGGTTCCTTTATGAAGTATTTGCAAATATGGTTCCATTTTACCCTTGTGGTAAAGTTTCTGACTGAATCACTGGCCCCTCATTGTTGGCTTTTATTTCCCTTAAGAACTCAGTGCATGTATTGTAAGGAGGCCAGGTACACTTTACAAGAAAGTAGTTATGTGGCAGTAACAAATTTGATTTGACTCAAAAGCCTTGATAGTCAAAAGAGCCCCTTTGTTGCCATTAAAATGAAATCTTTATCAATCATTATACATGGTATATGTTCTAGTTAAGTTTATGAGTGACCACACTTATATGACACAAATTCTGGTTAACTGTAAGTCTTAGCAGCACAAAATAAGTCATACAAAGTTCTAAGAAGCAGAATCAAAAGAGGTTGAGATCAGATGTCAAAGTTTTCATTCGTAACATATTGGCGATCCATATCATTGGTTGAAATGCTGATAAAATAAGTTGTATTTTCAGCCCGTAGATTAAATTATCCCCCTTGAGCCTTGTCCAAATTGGCTGTTTTTGTTGCCTTAGATAAAAATGAAAACCTAAGGTTTTATACTAAATTTGTTTAAACTAATTTGTGTGCATGTCTTTTCAGTGATTGTTTAACAATTAATGTGTTTAAATGCATTAATGTTTACATTAATTTTAATATATTACATCAAAGTCTCAAAATTATTGTTTATTTACTTCTTTCAGTCAATATTTAGAGAATTATCTCTGGCCAAATTATGATCCTGGAAAGGTATGTGACTAATATTATAATTAATTATATTCATGTTGAATGTTAGACATTATTTTAAGAGTTATTTTTCTTTTTTTGTATAAGTAATTGAACAGTAATATTTACTTATTGCTAAATTTATGCATTAATAGCAACAGTATAATCATTTTATACCAGTATACAAGGCACTGTCCGGTTAGCTCAATAGTTAGATCATTGGACTGTGAATAGGGCTACCCAGGTTTGATTCCCAGACAGTGCAGATCACTTGTTGTGATTGATCATGAAATTCTTTCTACGGTTATTCGCACTGTACCTCTGCTCTGGCATGTACAGAAGTTATCAGTTCCCTGTGAAAGTGAAGGCAACTAGTACTGGTAAACTGCTTGGCAGCCTGCCCAGGAACAATGCAGCGGCTAAACTTTCCTCTTGTAAATTCATTGTGGCTTACAACCGTGATCCGGAGTGAAAACTGCAAAACTGGGTCACATTTGTGTTGCCTTTCAATTTATTTTTATTGCCCATTGACATACTATGAAGTGTATTCTCATGTTATACAGATGTTAAGAAAATATTATTTCATTTATGCTGCAAATTATGCATAATCTATATGTATTTATCTTGTTATTTTCAGTCAAGTCAAAGTCATTTGATGTCTATTATACTGATAGTGAATGAGAAATTCAGAGAGCGGGTACCACCATGGATTGTTAGTACTTTTATTAGTCCCCTACCGGTTTACCGGAGGGGACTTTAGGTTTACCCTCCGTCCGTCTGTCCGTCCGTCCGTCAGTCCGTCCGTACGAACCCAGAGGTACTTGTGTGATTTGGAGAACAATGGGTAACAGTAAATTCTCTTTGATCCTATTCATTCCGTTTTTACTTGTGTGTCTTTTTTTAAGCCTTGTGTGACTAAAAATGGCCAAAAAGATCAAAGGAAAAGTCACATAAGTACCATTTTGTGAGTATGTCTGTCTGTCCGTCCGTCAGTCCGTCCGTCCACAAAACTGGATCCCGCGATAACGCAAAAAGTACTGAAAATATTTTTATGAAACTTGATATATGGATAGATGGCAGTATGGAGATTATGCACGTCTTTTTCTTTTCTTCCTATGTTGAAAATTCTGGTTGCTATGGCAACAAATAGACTGAAAATATGGCAAATTTTACACATAACCTGGATCCCGCAATAACGCAAAAAGTACTGAAAATATTTTTATGAAACTTGATATATGGATAGATGGCAGTATGGAGATTATGCACGTCTTTTTCTTTTCTTCCTATGTTGAAAATTCTGGTTGCTATGGCAACAAATAGACTGAAAATATGGCAAATTTTACACATAACCTGGATCCAGTGATAACACAAAAAGTACTGAAAATATGTTTATGAAACTTGACATATGGGTATATGGCAGTATGGAAATTATGCACATCCTTTTCTTATCTTCCTATGTTGAAAATTCTGGTTGCTATGGCAACAAATAGACTGAATTTCAAGATTTCTGATTCTAGTTTTTAAGTTTTTTCACTATAAGTTCTTTATTTCTTAAGGTATTTTCTTCAAACTTTAAATATAAGTTGCTTGTAATCAACCACATCATATGTGACAAGGTTTACAACTCTAGCACAAAATTTATCAGAATTACCTCCCTTGAACTTAAAATTTTCATGAAAAAACACTTTTTTTTTTTTAATAACTTCTTTTTCTGAATGTATCTACTTCAAACTTCATATAAATGTTTCTTATTATCACTCAACATTTGTGAGTGTTCAATACTCTAGCAAGACTATTTCCAGAATTATGCCCCTTTTGAACTTGGATTTTTTTTTTTAGAAATTGGTAATTTTTACTCCAACTTCTTCAATCATGATAGGATTTTAAAAATGTTATATTTTGATAACAGGGATGTTTAAAAAATAACTTTAGAGTGTCCTTCAGTCCGTCTGTCTGTACATAAAAACTGTTTCCTGTGATCACTTTTAAAGAACTTTTTCAACAAATTTACTTAAAATAGGAACATAAGTGAATGGCCAATGGCCCTTCAGAATGTTGCTTGGGCTCTTACCGGTAGGGGACTTATGGATTGCTTGCAATACTATGATAATTGCTTGTTATTTACATATTGTACATTTCATTATGGTACAATTTACATGGTGTTGTTTCTCTTGGTGCTTATAGATTAATAATTTGCCCACGCCATGGAAATAGCATCTGGTCAGACACCATAGCATTGGCTTCTTAAATTTAGCATTTTCTTAAATATTGAAATTAATAGAATTTACTTTTTAAAGACCAGTATGTCCAATTGTCCATTACCCATTTTACTGAGGGATAAAGATTAAATATGACTATAGATAATTGGACTATCTGGCTACATGTAACCTAAAGGAGATAAATGTACTGGGTAGTTTTTATCTTAATTTACTAGAAAAAATACTATGATTCACTCTTTAATTTTAAACATAATCATTAGTTTGAATCCATGTACTGATATGTTAGATAACATTTCATTTGTGGAATATTGAATGCTTTTTGATTTCAAAAATATAATGGATGTTAAAAATTTAGAGTTTTAAACAGTAACTATTTCTTAGATTTTTTCATTTTTGATGCACTCTGAAGAAAAAACTTATACAAGAAAAGTAATTTTTGTTTTTATATATTTTCAGTGTTTCAAGAAGAAATCAGACCATTTCGCAGCATTTTTTCACCACATATTGGAGACGACACTGTCCGATGTTAGGTCTCTCAAGGAGCAATCATTTCTGATTATATTTCTGATACACTGCTTTAGAAGTCTAGTAAGCTCATGTTCAATACAATAAAAAATTGTCCTCTCCATATTATGTGTTGAACTATAAAACAATGATAAATTGTTGACGCATGTGTGGCCAAATGTAATGGTACATTTGCTAACTTCAAAACATCCCTCAATGTGTTGGGGGTTTTAATTCAGTCAGGTACTTAAGATTCTATAGTGTGAGGAAACTATCATGTTTGTATAGTCAAGGTCGATAGTTCTGGTCGGGTTGCCACCCATGCCTGTCATAATGAATATAGTAGCACCTGATTTTTTACTCCATAAAAAAAAAGCTGGAAAACAACTAGAAAGTGGAAAACAACTAGAAAGTGGTCATTAAAATTTAGTCATTTCACTGAAAAACCAAGCAAAATCAATAAAATAAATTGTCATTCAACAGTAAAACTTGTGCAAAAATCCTTACGTTGAAAACCTGTGATTTACATTTTTCTATTGTTTGCCTGTTTTTTGTTTGTTTTTGTTATAATAGATATTAAAGTTACGAACATTTATCTTGTAACAGTCTATTTTTATTTATCAATTTTAGGAAATGGATCTGATACGAGAGCAGGTACAGAGATTGGTATCTTTACCTATCTGGACTTGTCTTTTACCTGTAAGTATGTCACTGTTTTATACAGTCAACAATAGTGATTTCAGCTTACAATATGGCAACCATCATAACATTGTGTAAAGTTAGCATGTTGATCAACCATACCTTTAGTATAATGAGTCAGGGACATCCTTAGTGAAGGTTGTTGCCCCTCACCTCTGTGGGTTTGAATCCTGCTTTCATGTGAGGAAGCTATACAGTTAGCTTACGGAATATATGTGGTTCTACTCTGCCTGTTCAGGCTGAAATAATGAATGGAATGGCATCTGAGGTCTTCCTTTACCAGTAAAGCTGGAAAGTCTCCATATTTCTTTTAATTTGTTAGTGTGACTTAAAACCCAACAAAAAAACAATATAAAAGAGCCAGGCATACCTAAACTTCTGTTTTGATTGTTGTTTTAAATCAGCATGTTTCAATAACATCATTTAAACTGGTTGTATTCTTTTTCACTGTCATATTTTTGTGGACTTACTTTGATGAATTCTTCTTTTTTTCATAGGGTAAAAGAGAGGAACTGTTTAAAGCCTATCCAAAGTACAAAAAGTTTTACAACTTCATCAAGAAAAGTGATGGCAAATTAACAGCAGAACAGAGAGACAAGGTGGAATTTGAAAGATCTTTCCTGAACAATCTCATACATAAATACATCTCTGTTCTTAACGCAATACCAGAGAAAGGTATGTTGTTTTGTTTAATATCTTGGTAGATTTCATGCGTGCTCCATTTACTCAAAAGAAAATATACCAACATATTTCTTTTGTACTGGTATTTTAGATATTCTTTTTCTAAAGCAATATTTTGTAAACTGCACTCAGAAGATATATAGCTTTATAGAATGGTAGTCTTTTTCAAGGTTTTAATTTTCATATTGCTTGGAAAACAGTTTTGTTACTTTTTGATATTTTTTATTGTTAAATATTTTGCTTATAGTGATAAATTGATGTGTTTAACCTCCAAGTTATAACAGTACATCATGGCCAAGTGGTTATAGTTACTGGCTTTGACTGCCAAGACACCTTTTGCCACTTTAAAATCATTCTGCCTACCCACTCTTTGGGTTCATTTTGCCCTCCACCATTCTGCGTTTATTTTGCTCTCCACCACTTTGGGGTCATTTTGCTCTCCGCTACTTTGGGTTGATCTTGCCCTAGAAGCCTAGACCACTTTGACTTATTTTGACCTACCTCTTTGAATAAATTTTCATCATACACCACTTTAGATTTATCTAACCCTTGGTCAATGCATCATTTTACCCTCAACCACTTGCTTAACATCTACTTAAATGCTTGTTTTGCCTAGAATTATGCCCACATGAATATCTACGATCTTCCTTTATCATTTAAAGATGTGACCATGTCAAATTCAGTGTGACTGATTATTACATATAATTATGATCAAAAGAATATACATGTATAAATATTACAGGTAAAGTTGCAGGTGAGAGGATTATGTATTGTGAGAGGTTTGTAGAGTTTCTAGTTGACATCGAGGCCCAGTTACCTACAAGGAGATTCTTCAATGCTCTTATGGATGATAGCCATGTCCTCAGTGTCTCATTACTCTCTAATCTCAATCAACGTGAGGACGGAAAATTATTCTCAGAGGTAATAAACCCTTATAACCTTAATTTCTTAAATAGACTTTTCCAATATCAAGTTTTGGAATTGCCCATTTTCAGTTTTGGGGATATCAAGATGAATAGTTAAAGTTAATCTACCAACAGTATAGAGCCTGGTCAGACTGCACAGATGTGCGGGCGGCACTTGCCTGGCTCTGTACTGGTGGGCAAAGACTCTTAACTTAAGGTTCCAGCAGGGTGAGTGTTAAGCAATTACAAATGAAAAGAATCTAAATGACAATTCTTAAGACAAGTTGGTAAAGTTTTCAAAATTTATTCATTTGTTGATAAACAGCATCATGTGATCTTTTACTGTTGATACTTCTAATATACCTCACTAACTAAAAAATGTAAGAAAAAAAAACTTAATATTTTATTTATATATAATTTTATTAACATGGTTCGATATTATTCCTCTTAAAAACAAAATTTTTTTATAAAAATCACATTTTATTTTCCCATAAAAGTATTTTCTTTTCTTCCATCCCCAAAATTTGTTATTTTTTTTTGTCTTTGCAACCTATTGCTGAAATTTAATGATACAAAAATCTATAAATGAAGGAAACTTTGGCAGAATGATTTTGAGTTCAGTTTTGTTTTTATTACATGTATGTCTGTTTAATCAATGCTTTCATACAAATGAAGATAATGTAGAGGTGTTGAGCTTAACTTGCTTTATAGCACAAAGAACAAACACTTTGAAGTTATTTTACTATAATTGTCATGAATGAAAATATTATGTCTTTTTTTAGTTACTGGACATGCTGAAAGCGTATGCAGAGTTTGAGATTGATGAGGGGACAGGGGAGGCCCTAAATATACATAATAGGATAGATCTTCATTACAACAGAGTTCTAGCACTACAGGTTTATATCTTCTTATGTTAGTTATTGTAAATGGAACCATCATGCTGTGTAACATGTCAGAGAAATGATAGTAAAATATAACAATGAGACTCGTACAATTTTTTAGAAAACTTGATGATTCTAGTCAGGTATCGGTACCCATGCTTGAAATAATGCACTAAGGGGCACCTGAGGTCTTCCTAAACCAATAGAGCTACAAAGTCAGTATATGACCAAGTGTTGGTGAGGCTGCAAAAACCAAACAAAAATGAAATAAGTGTTTTTTATTCTTTATCTATACTAAGAAAGGGATGAATATGCTTTCAGAAAAATGCATTTCTTGTTTGTTTCACTAAATTATTTCTGTGACTACAACTTAATTGTCTCTAATATTCAGGCACCTTTGTTCTTTTAGAGAATGTTCCTGCCAAATAAAGCTTGTCCATTAAGCTTGAAACCAGAAGTTTTGATTTGAAAATTAAAAGAATTGCTAAAATCTTGTACAAAAGTCATTTTACTATGGATGATAAACAAAATCATATTCTGCAATTTCTTATATCAGTAATAAAAAACAAAAAGTAATCATATTTTAAATGTTGTATATTTACAGAAAGTTGCTTTCAAGCATTTCCCAGATCTACATCAGTTTGCTATAGCAAATGTAGCCAGTGTAGACAGTAGAAAATCCTTGTTGAAATACTTCAATCCACTCAGGTAAATCTCACGTTTTATAGTGATTATAGGGGGCATCCGTGGCCGAGTGGTTCAGGTCGTTGACTTGGATTCTTTCATGTGAGGAAGCTATCCAGCTAGCTTATGGAACGTCGGTGGTCCTACTCGGGTGCCCGTTTGTGCCTGAAATAATGCACGAAAGGGCACCTGAGGTCTTCCTCCACAAGTAAAGCTGGAACCTCGCCATATTACCTATACTGTCGGTGTGAAGTAAAACCCAATCAAACAAACAAACAATAGTGATTATAAAATGATTATTCTTATATATTGACACACTGTTAAATATCTTGAAATTTTTGTTTGTTAAAGGAAAGAATTCACATTACAACATATTACAATTACTTATTTAAGGTATTTCCACATTTAAGAGGAAATGTGTCTGGGTTATAAGCAATGAGTAATCATGTAGTAGAACTAAGCAATGAGTGTAAAGTAATTTGCTCACAGAGACAACAGTTTGCATCTGTTGGGGTTTGAACACACACAGTCAGTTATCCTTATATGTGTTAACCACTTGCTATCTATCTATTGATCAAGTGATATTGAATTTATTTATTTCTAGCACAAGGGAATAATGTCTGTCTGTTTATTGCAAAAGTGATATTATGAGCATGGCTGTTGTAAGCATTAATCTATAAATAGCACAAATTTATCTATTTATAGCAAAAGTTATGTTATATTTATCTATTTATAGCACAAGTGACCTTCACAAATTACTAGGTCATCTAAATATGTTACCTATGCTAGAGGAAGGGCAGGAGTCAACAAAGGATCGTGAATTTCTTCTAGAACTCTTGGTATGTATAACTATCTTCCCTTTATGTTACATGTCTTTTACTGTTTAGTGTAGGTTTTCTAATCAATATTTTCATTTAACAAACAAAAAAACATCAGCTCATTAAAGTTGTTGTATATTCTGTGCAGTCTGGTAAAAACTGTGTTAAAAAAAGTGCTAATTCTATTTGTTTTTTTGCAAGTTAGAATTTCTTGTACCCGCAAAAATTTGCAAGTGGAAAAAATGTTAAATTCTAGCCCTCAGAGCAGACAAGATAATATTATGTGTATAATTCATTTTTTATCTATTTTAGGTGAGTCATCATGAGAAGAAGAAATCTCAGTTAGAACAGATTAATGAGATGGCATTGTACCCAACAGAAGACATTATCTGGGATGAAAATATAGTGCCAACTGAGTATTACAATGGTGAAGGTAAGATTATGTAGTTTGGTCGTCCTATCTTGAACATGACACATCAATACTAGATAAGATCATGTTATAGATTTTTCAGCTCCTCTGATGTAGGAAGACCTCATAGTTCTTCTGAGTGAGTTTTGTCTCGAATATCATGATTGGTCAATATCAATTTTATACTGGTAATTCTGACCAACCAAAAACCTCCTTAGTTCCAAGATTGAATTCCTTTATTAACTTGAACCCAGATGTGACCCACTGTCATTATTTCATGTATGAGTAAACTTAGTTGAGTCACCTTCATTCTGTTAATGAGCTGGATAGTTTATCAGCATGAAAGATCTAAAAATCACTGTGTGAATCTAAACCTATGAACAGCAAGTGATTTGTAGTGGGCACTCTCTTAACCCCTTAGTCTTGAAAGCTTTTTAGCTTGAAGGAGAACAAAATTATATTAATCTTACAGATATGATATTCATGAGCTCAAATAATGATCATTTGATTTTGTAGAAAAATTTGCAAGTACATGTACTTGTAGGTATCAGAATATTTTTCACACAGACTCTAGGTTCATTTGTAAGCTTCAGAAAATATGGATGTAACTGAATTAATAGAAAAATACTCTTTTAAATAGGACAGGCTATAAGGTTATTAAGTTTTTTATTTCTTACGGGGCATTTGAGACAAGTGTACCAGTGTAAGAATAAAGATATTTCATATATCAACAGCTTAGTGTGAAAGGGTTGTATCTCCTTCTTTATCTAATATGAGTTACAACCCTTTCGCACCAAGCCCTCGAATTATGTACTCATATAATAAAATCATGTATTTTAACTCATTTTATATTGTTTTTACAGGAACACTTGCCTTACCAAAAATCAACCTACAGTTCCTGACGTTACATGATTACCTACTGAGAAACTTCAATCTGTTTAGACTGGAATCTACATGTAAGTTCTACTTTAAATTCTGTTCAAATTATCTTAATAAATCAATATGTTTAATGGCAATTTTCATATTGAATGATTGGAAAGAAAAGTATTATTTTTTATTTCTGTTCTGATATCTGTGAAGACAGCTGATGATTAATGATTCATAATGACAAATGCAACTGTATTGAGTAACGATTTTACATAATGTTCAATACTAAACTTTGAGTTCATCGATTTTCAATTCATTTAAGGGATAACAAAAAGAATTTTGTTAATACAGAATTTTCAAAAGGATAATTTATTTCTGACTCCAGCTCTATACATGTATAGTGATTTGTAATTTTGATGACAATAGAATGACAAACCACCATTCTAGAGCATTACCTAGCAGCACTTCTTACCAGAATTTAAACTGTTGACAGCCCAAATTGTAGCAATTTGATTTTAAAATTCTTGTAAGTTATAATGGACATTTCAATATTTAAAGCAATGCTAGTCAAATGTGCAAATTTTAAGGGGAAATTAATGATTTTGAGATTTAGATTTTAATTATTAATATTGACAGATGAGATACGACAGGATATTGAAGATGCTATTACACACATGAAACCATGGAAAGCTGAGGATGGGTCCACTTATTTCGGAGGGTGGGCAAGAATGGCTCAGCCTATTGCAGGGTTTAATGTTGTAGAGGTAAGTAAAATGTAGAACTTTTCTTCAGTAGTAAAATATACATGATAAATATAGAAAGATTTTAGTCACGATCAGCTGTAATGATATTATCACTAACATAAATTTATAATGTATATAGAAATATATAATGTCAGGCCATAATTGATTTATGTTGCATTTTGCTGGATGAAATTTGATACAGTTCTATATTGCAAACTGAGCAAGGTCAGTGACCCTTTTTTGGGTACACGCTCTTAATCTCTATTGGTTGCATTCTTTGAATTCTTTCATGTGAGGATAATAACCAGGTTGCTTGTAGTAAGTCAATGTATCCAGTCAATATTTTGAGATCTGTAATGATCCCAAGGTAACATAAGTAATACATTATTTTTTGTAACATTACTCATTTTTGCCATTCCCCACCCCCCTTTTCCATGTAAATGCTAAGATACAAGTTTTTCATAGAGATTAAATTATTTCAGGTAGCCAAGCCAAGGGTCGGTGAGAGTCACCCAGCTCAAGTGAGGGCAGATGTTACAGTTACTCTTAGTGTTGTACAAAGCATCAAAAATGAATGGGAAGGTAAGGTCGTACATTATTATGTTATTGTGATATTTTGTGATTGTGAAAGGTGATGCAAAAAAGGTATTATGCAAATAAAAGGGCAATATTATTTTAGATTTTCAAGTGAATCATCAGATGTATTAGGTTTGCAAGTAAAATTAAGAAATCAGGAGACAAACACAATTTTACAAATGGTTAAAATAAATAGGGGGAAGAAATTTATCTGACTGTATTTTTTCCATTACCAATATATGCAGACACAGTAGTAAATTTTTGTAGTAAAATTTTGGTATATATTTCTCATTGTATTAGTTGGATCACATAAAGACTTGTTACAGGTACTATTTACAAATATACTGATTCTCAGGGTATCAAATATTGTCTCATTGCTGTCATTCTAAACTGATTATGAAAAAAATCCCTGAAAAAGAATCTGTAAGGAAATAATAGAGAGTGAACAATATTGACTTAACAAATCCTGTTAAAAATCCTAATTAGTAGACATTTTGTAAATGCTCCTTAAATTTACCATAGAACATGACTAAAGTCATAATGACCCTTACACTGTTCGTCATGTATTTTCAGGTTTGAGGAAACATGATGTTGCATTTTTGATTTCTGTGCAACCTCCTCACAATATAGGCCACAAATATGATATAAAAGCACCTTTCATACCTCAAGTTGGCCTCATGTATGTTCGAGGCTGTGAAATAGAGGGAATGCTTGATGCTGAGGGCAAAGTAATAGAAGAAGGTAAATACATGTATATATATTTGTTATCATACATAAGTACAAAAAATAATCTTTTAAGCACAAATAAAATCTGCTGTCACTTGAGGAAATGATACCTGTTTTTTTTCCTGTGCAAGGCTTTTTGATTAATGAGAAATTGTCTAGGAGAAAATAATCTGTATCTTATATATTTAAGAATTTTGTTAAATTATACTTATTTCTTTGTTTTGATTTTTAAAAACCTTGTAATATGTTGTAATCCAGTTCTTATAACTATTTGACATAAACAAATATTGTATGAGTATTAAACAGTATAGTTCTAAATGTTAATAACATTTAGTGAAATAGGGGAATCCTTGGCCGAGTGGTTAAGGTCATTGACTTCAAAGCACTTGCCCCTCACCGCTGTGGGTTTGAATCCCAACAGGGACTTTGGATTCTTTTATATGAGGAAGCTATCCAGCTAGCTTACGGAACATCGGTGGTTCTACTCATGTGCCCGTTTGTGCCTGAAGTAATGCACGGAAGGGCACCTGAGGTCTTCCTCCACCAGTAAAGCTGGAACGTCGCCGTATGACCTATACTATGTCGGTGTGATGTAAAATTCAATCAAACAAACAAACATTTTGTGAAATAATATTAAAGTTTTACTGTATTCAGGTCCAGAGCCAAAACCAGAATTAACTGGTGATACACGTACATTTCGTGTATGGTTAGATCCTAACCAATATCAACAAGATATGGTAGCTACAGAAGATGGAACTGAGGTTTGTTTTTGTTTCTATGTTTGTTACCGTGGCAACAATGTAATTTTAGTTCTGTGGTCAAGTGTGATATCATATTTAACATCATCAAAACAAGCTAACTATAGATTGTAAGTGGGGATTTTTAGGAATAGATAGCTTGATTGTTTTATTGAAACTTACTGTTTTTCTAAAACGTAAAAGAAAGAAAAAACGTTTAACATGTATTGAGAGAAAAAGGAATTTGCAATTTGATTCTACAAAAATGGGAAGCAACTCTGTCTGAACTTCAGAGGGGCTCTCAAAAACCTCTGAAACAGGTCTGTGTTATTGAAATATTATAACATTTATCAATAAGTGTCTTAAAGACATCATTACATGTCGGAGACTGGCTTGAAAGTGACTTTGGGACCATTACTCATTTAGTGGATTGATTATCACCTACAGACCCATCACAGCTGTAAATTAATTTCTTTTTGTTGCATGTTGTCAATCAATGTTTCATGGAATGAAAAAAAATTGTAACATTCTCTCTAGGATGTTTATGAAACATTCAATATAATCATGAGGAGGAAACCTAAAGAGAACAACTTCAAGGCGGTACTGGAGACTATACGGGACCTGATGAATACAGACTGTGTCGTGCCAGACTGGTTACATGATTTAATCCTAGGATATGGCAGTCCAGATTCAGCTCATTACAGACAGTAAGTCAGTCTGTTTTTATTTACCATTGGATCATACTTCCTCCAGCCCCAAAATAGAAAATAAACAAAGGACTTGTTTTGAGTGAAACTAAAAAAGTGTTGAACACCACACTAAATACTGTAGTCTGATATATACTCCCCCCCCCCCCACCAAAATGCATTTAAGACGTCTAATTTATCTGTTCAAACAGATTTATATACGATAATGAATTAAAAATCAGCGAGGTCAAGAGGTGTCAAGAGGTACTGCTCCAACACTGTAGTGAGTTAAATCCCTTGTTTTTACTCCTGAATACTAACCCTTTTATATTAATCCAAAGACACCGTTTTTGTATACCCGCCTACCCACCTATTGGCAAGTCAATATAAAGCACTTGACTTGCTCATCACAGCTTTGTATTTGAATTGACATTGTATTTATTACATTACTCAAAGAAAAAAAAATTGATCCTAACCAAGATCAGCTTACATTTTTTGTTAGTTATGTATAAATACTATTTAAGCCACGCCATGACAAAACCAACATAGTGCGTTTGCGACCAGCATGGATCCAGACCAGCCGCACAGTCTGGTCAGGATCCATGCTGTTCGCTATCAGTTTCCCTACTTGTAATAGGGTTTTTAAGCGAACAGCATGGATCCTGTTCAGACTGCGCGTATGCGCAGGCTAGTCTGGATCCATGCTGGTTGCAAACACACTATATTGGTTTTGTCATGACACGGCTCATTTGTTTACAGGATGGAGAATAAGATAAACAGTTTAGATTGGAACGATACATTCCTGTCAGTGGAACATCTGTTATATAGTTTCCCTGGTTACAAGATAGAATTAGAATCTGATGCTGCCAAGGCACAACCTCCATTTAGGTGAGTTATATTACTGTTTTTATTTTCCAATTACTCTTTTGTGTTTTAATAGAATAATTTTGTTTGTTAGTTTGATTAATTTTTTAAACAAAATTGAAATTTAGATGCTTTTGGTTACAAAATAAATTGTTTTTAGCATTATCAAATACATTTACCTTGGGGTTTTTTTTGTTTGTTTTTTGCTTTGAACATAAAGCAGGTTTTGCTGACAAAAAATAAGTTTGACTTTTTTCGCTTATAAAATATAAGTTTATTTATTTATTTAACTTTCTAAATAAAAGTTGGGCTTTCATGTTTAAAGAAAGCACAGTTATAGATAATGAATAAATCCTGTATTTTATTAAATAAAACCTAGATTCTGTGACACTTACTGCGGAATAAGACACAGGAATATTTGATCTTATCTCCATTGCGAATATAAGTCTCTTAGAATGTTATTGTACTGTGAAATCTTTATCAAAATTGTATATGATTTAAATATTTCAGGTTAACTTTTATGGAAGAGGAGTCACAGACTGGAAAGAGAAAGGAAGGGGAAGATGCCCCAGTTCCTGTACAGAAAATAGTTGTACAACCTCATATTATACCAAATAGAGGACCTTACTCTTACAGTCAGCCTAAAAAGTATGAACATTTTATACCATCATTTTATACCATCATTTATACCATCATTTATACCATCATTTTATACTATCATTTATAACATCATTTTATATCATCATTTTATACCATCATTTATAACCTCATTTTATACAATCATTTTATATCATCATTTTATATCATCATTTTATATCATCATTTTATATCGTCATTTTATATCGTCATTTTATACCATCATTTATACCATCATTTTATATCATCATTTATACCATCATTTTATATCATCATTTTATACCATCATTTTATATCATCATTTTATATCGTCATTTTATATCGTCATTTTATATCGTCATTTTATACCATCATTTTATATTGTCATTTTATACCATCATTTTATACCACCATTCTTTATTAGTATTTATACCTACATTTTATACCACTATTTTATACCATCATTTTATATCGTCATTTTATACCATCATTTTATACCACCATTCTTTACTAGCATTTATACCAACTTTACATACTACTATTTTATACCATCATTTTATATTGTCATTTTATACCATCATTTTATACCACCATTCTTTATTAGTATTTATACCTACATTTTATACCACTATTTTATACCATCATTTTATATCGTCATTTATACCATCATTTATACCATCATTTTTTACCATCATTTATACCATCATTTTTTACCATCATTTTATACCATCTTCATTATACCATCTTTATTATACCATCATTTAAACAATTATTTTGTCTCCTCAAAGAGACTGAACATTACTGTATTATGAATGCCTATAATTCTGAAGCGTCTTTTTTTCACATAAATATTTAGCAGTAACATACTTTAATGAATAAGAAAGTTTTTATGAGAACAAATTATTCATGATTGAATGATTATAACAGGAATAGTATAAGATTCACACCTACCCAGATCGAGGCTATCAGGTCCGGTATGCAGCCTGGACTCACTATGGTTGTTGGACCTCCTGGTACTGGGAAAACTGACGTAGCCGTACAGATCATATCAAATATCTACCATAACTTTCCAGACCAGAGAACTCTTATTGTTACTCACTCTAACCAGGTAATTATAAAATACATCTCTTTACATTATTTAACCTTTTCTCCATTTAAATGGTTAAATGGACATAACCTGCTGAAATTTTTGGGAATAATATATTTGTTTGTTTATGAGTTTACAGTATCAAAATACAAATATTAAGCACGCTATCAGTAATGGTCTGCCTGCTCAGCTCTATAGGGAGAGCAACAGGTTTGTAAATCAGGGGTTCTGATTTGATCCTCAGACAAGGCAAAGTCTTTCAACACTATTTCAGATATAATGTTGGATTTGTACTTATTCACTTGCAGAGAAAATGTTAATTACTGATTAGTGACCCAGGAAATCAAGTAAGGTTGTCCTGCAGGATCAAAAAAGTGTTAAAAAAAATAGCATTAAAATCAGACAAACAAACAAAATATATTGATATAGTCATTGGGAAAGTGCTAATGAAATAATGACAGTGAAACAAATTTAAAAAATATGATCTACACTGGGGTCAAATGATGTAGTTTACATTGTATTGGTATACATATATAGTATTAGTGTGTATATTTTTGTATCTTAATTCTAGGCTTTGAATCAACTGTTTGAGAAGATTATGGCATTGGATATAGCCGAACGTCATCTATTACGTCTTGGTCACGGAGAAGAAGCCCTCGAGACGGAGAAAGATTACAGTCGCTATGGTCGTGTCAACTATGTACTGGCACAGAGACTCGAACTTCTACAGGAGGTTGCTAGGTTACAGGAGAGTCTGAAGGTACCAGGTGACGTGTCATACACCTGTGAGACAGCAGGGTATTTTTATATATACCAGGTGTTGGCAAGATGGGAAGAATTCCAGGCTAAAATCCGGAAACTCAAAGTAAGATGATTGTATAAATAATATGATTTATTTTATCTTTGTAGAGTTGAATATTTATGATTTACTTTAATTTTGAAATTAAGGGGTCTTTTATATAAAAATATAAAGATTTCATCAGCAACAGTGGTAGACAGACATTTCACCCCTTTGACAATTCAACCTCAAAATTTGGGGACAGTTCATTACCTAAGGCACTTCACCCTCCAAAAATTGTTACCTTATTTTTTGCCAGCACTATTGCAATTTTAATGTTTTGGAGTAGATATAATAAGCAGATACTTATCATTACAAAAATTGCTGCTTGTCAAAGCTGTTACATTATCTAAAAGAACTTTGTTGTAAATGAAACCTTTCCACCATCTTATCGTTATACTTTTTAATGTGAACCGTGACTATAGATCAGTATTTGATCTGCCTTAAATCAGCAAATAATTCACAAAATTACATCACTTTAATATTTCAGGAAAAGACAACTGATAAGATCCGAGAGTTCTTTCCCTTTACTGAATTCTTCAAAAACGCACCTCAGCCTTTGTTTAAAGGCAGAAATTATACAGAAGATATGGATATAGCTGAGGGTTGTTTCAAACACGTCAAGAAAATGTTCACTCAACTTGAGGTACGCAAATTAACATAACAAAAATGTGAAATTAGAAATAACTGATGTCTTTGAAGAGTGTTTTTGTCAGTTACTTCCAATTACATTTCCCTGCCACTTTTTTTGTGGTGGTGTCAAATTCTGGTCATAATATTGAAATGTGCCCAGTACTAATTGTTGAACAGTGAGTATAAATGCAAAAGTAGGAAAAGGGGAGGCAACTGTTGCTCTAAACAGTATTGTTTCTTATCAAAAGCTCCTAACCTTTTTGTTTTCTTCAAAAACCTTATTAAAATTGGGAAGGAAATTTGTATAACAATTTAGTAAGTGTAAGAAAATCTATGAAGGATTATTTTTTATTTTCATTCTATATGTAGGAATACAGAGCATTTGAGTTACTACGTAGTGGGTCTGACAGGGCGGACTACTTGTTGATCAAGGAAGCTAAGATTATTGCTATGACCTGTACCCATGCTGCACTGAAACGTCGTGACCTTGTCAATGTCGGTTTTAAGGTAGTATATTTGCCAAAAATCAAGTTTAACTGAAAACTTTTTTTTTTTCATTAAAAATATTGATATTTTTCTTTCAGATAATAAAAATTTGAAATTTTTGAAAATGAGATCTCACTTTCTTTTAATATCTTATTTTTCCCTAAATCATTCCCTTTACACTTATGGAATAATTGACTATATTGCTTATGTTATGCATTGTTATTTCATAGCTTTTAAATATTTTGCAATTACGGTGAGTTTACTGAACATGTGATTAATTTTAAGTTATAATAAATAGAGGATATTTGTTAAGTTCAGTGTAAGATCGGAATATATTTCACCGAGTGAGCACCAAAAGGTATATTTCAGGAGTGATGCAGCCACGAGTGAAATATGAACTTTTGGTGTTCACAAGGTGAAATATATTTCTATCTGACACTAAACTAAACAAATTTTCTTTTTATTATATGCAAAGAAACGTTTTAAAAAGACATTTAACCTAATACTGAATGAAAAGCGCGCCAAATAATATTACAACGTGACGTCATTAACATGTAGGACGTCACGTCATTAAGTTGGTACCCATTACTGTGCACGCTGGTATGTCACTGAGACAACCTAAGGGGCTTAAATTCAAAATAGTGAAATTATCAAAGTGGTAATTTCACGGTTTTAAACAGTGAAATTCAGTTTTATATCACTGATATATTTCTATAAACCACCGAAAAGCATGTAATAAAACTCTCTCATCAGTTACAAGCATACTGTTTTTACCTATTATTATAATTATAGAAACATATTCAAATAGATATATACATGTGTGTGTATATTTGAAATATTTCAGTTTGACAACATAATGATGGAGGAAGCAGCACAGATTTTAGAAATTGAGACCTTTATACCTCTTTTACTACAGGTATGTTTGGTAAATTGTTTTGAATACTAATTGACATAATATTTTTTATCTGAAATGTCTGAATGTATGAGATTATTATGATACCAGTAAGCACATTATTCTATTAGTGCAGAATCCAAAAGTATAGATTTTTAAGAATAGTGTGAAGTGAAGAGAGATTTGCTCTTTGTTGTTATTATGAGTAAATTAAAGTCCCTTAAAGTTCACTGTAGCTATATTCTATACTTTTAATGATGTCAATATGTCAGAATGATTGTCATAATGATTTATGTTTTAGAATCCTGAGTTTAACAACAATCGCTTAAAGCGTTGGATAATGATCGGAGATCATCACCAGTTGCCACCGGTCATCAAGAACATGGCATTCCAGAAGTTCTCAAACATGGAGCAGTCATTATTCACGAGACTGGTTAGACTTGGTGTCCCCACGGTAGATTTAGACGCTCAAGGAAGAGCCAGAGCAAGGTGGGTTTATTATTATAATTGAGCCGCGTCACAACAAGACCAACATAATGGGTTTGCGACCAGCATGGCTTCAGACCAGCCTGCGCATCCGCGCAGTCTTCTGGATCCATGCTGTTCGCTTACAAACCTTATAACAAGTAGAGAAACTGATAGCAAACAGCATGGATCCTGATCAGACTGCGCGGATGTGCAGGCTGGTCTGGATCCATGCTAGTCCCAAACCCATTATGATGGTTTTGTCGTGACGTGGCTCAATTATGTTTATATATATGTATATTTCTTAATATTTTATTGTTGCATGATAGAGCTGTCATCAATAGAAATGATAACGTTTTACGTTGATATTTTCCTGTTGATCAATGGTTGGTACACATTATTGAAAAGTAATAATTTGTACTTTATAATTTAATGTCCAGAAATTATGAAAATTCACCCAAAACATCTATAATTTAATGTCCAGAAATTATGAAAATTCACCCAAAACATATGCAGAAGCATATTTCAGGGCAGTGATGACAAAAATTGGTCAGCAAAAATCATGCATTGGGCATTTATAAACAAGACAGTCATGTGTAATCTCTTGTAGATGTTTTCATTTTATTTTATGTTTACAGTATTGCTGGCTTGTATAACTGGAGATACAAGAAACTAGGAAATCTTCCTCATGCCGTTACTAACCCAGAGTACCGTCTAGCTAACGCTGGGTTTGTTTTTGATTACCAGTTGATTAATGTAGAAGACTTCAATGGTGTTGGAGAATCTGAACCTAACCCATATTTCTACCAGGTTAGTCTTTTATTTATAATTATCATCATTCCAAATTCTTTCGACAGATGATCTCAGGACATTGAGTCTAATGGTCATTCATCTTTCACTACAGATTCAGAAGTAATTGGTAATCAGTCAATTGTGGAGGAATTAGTTATAATTGGTTAGTTATCCAGGAAACAAGTTAATGTGGATCAATTTATTATTGACAAGATATAACTTAACTTGTGTTAAAATCGATTTTTAAAAACAGAAAAATAAACAAAGTCTTTCTTATGATTTTAGAGTTTGTAAAAACTATAATTAGAATACTATATATATATATATATATATATATTAAAACGTGATGAATGTTCCTTGTGCAGTGTTGAAATATATAAAATTATAATGTTTAAGAAATAACAAACTCTATATGTAAAATCGGTAGCGCTTTCAATGCTTTCTTTGCATATCTTCAGCCGAAACTTTAATAAACATATAAACAAATGACGTAACGTCATGAAAAAAGCGGGAACGTTAAATGATAACGTATTTCCCGGCAAACACAATATGGTTATTTATACTGAAAAATAGAGAATACGGACATTGAGCATAATCCGTACAATCTGGCAGTGAATAAATGACATTTATTAAAGGGAGGTAATAAAATTCACAAGTTAATGATTTTATGGCCACAAATTGTATGGTAATTAACAATTTTTACTTAATAAATATTGCTAAATAAACGAACAATTGGACTGAATAAAATCGCAATCATTTCTTTCATAATTAAAAATGAAGAGATTGTAATAAATATGAAGTACTTGTATATATATACCTTGTTAAATGATTTTTAACAATGAGCATTTAGCTGTGGTTTTAATAACTTGATTAAAAGTTTTTCTTTTTCTTCTCTAAAATTATCACTTTCGATTAATATCTTATATAGAGGGAAAATGCTAAATTTACCTCCTGAACAATTATGTAAATGTTTATTTACTTGTAACATTCTGAGTTCTTCAGTGTTTGTTGCCTATGTAAAGTCATACGTTTACATAATTCATTTTTTGTTTGGCCAATATAAAACTGTTTACAGTTGTCACAAATTATTGAATATATCACAATTTTTGAAACACAGTTCATACTTTGTTTTATCTTAAATGTCTTACTGTTACGAAACTGTATTTCATTTCCTTCTATTAGAGAAGGACATGTTTTACACCTACTCCTGTTGCATTTAGAAACTGTTGTTACAGTATTATTTTTCATGTCGAACTTTGAAGAGGTTAAGATGTTTTGAAGATTTTTTGCTTGTCTTTTACTGTTTATAATGCGCTTCTTTTCTAAAACACTGTTCATCTTTTCACTTTTTCGTAACACATTCTCACAAGATCGAATTGCTTGGGAAATATTGGTATTTTTGGGATTAAATGTTGTTACACATGGGATAACGTTGTACTTGTTGTTAGCTGTTATGTTTTCTTCAGTTTTGATGGGACCTTTCAATTTGGCTTTAGATATTCCGTATGTAATAATTTCATCTGGGTAATTCTGATTTTTAAGTCTTGTAGTTAGTTCTGAGAGGCGCTTTTCTTGCAGTGTTTCTCCTCTTACTATAGTTATGATTCTTGACGCAAGGTTGAAAGGAATGTTTAACTTTGTATGTTTCGGATGACACGATTTAAAGTTGAGGTAGTTGTATGTGTCCGTCGGTTTACTGTAGATATCTGTTGTTATATGTGTTCCAGATTTCATAACTAATACATCTAAAAATGGCATGCTCGTTTCACTTTTATTCATCGTAAATTGAATACAGGGGTGTAAATTGTTTATTTCTCTTAATAAATCATCTGTGTTGATATTTTTCCCGACTATTAAAAAACAATCATCCAAAAATCTCTTCCAGTTCATTTTAATGTAGTTTGAAAAGTCGTTTCCATGTATTGTTGATATTCTTTCGTAGAATGTTTTCTCTAGATATCCAAGTACCAAAGTAGCATACGTTGGGGCGACTTTAGTACCCATAGCTGTTCCTTTATTCTGGATATAATATTTGCCGTCAAAATAAAATACGTTATTCTTTAGGATAAGTTGCAGTGATTTCAATATAAATTGGTGTTGGAATCTTGTATCTATTTTATCGGGAAAATTTTCTATCCAGTGTTGAATTGCCTGTAAGCCCAGATCATGTGGAATGTTTGTATACAAATTTACGACATCAAAGGTAACTAAAATGGAATCTTCTTCTACATTTTCCGGCAAGTAATTCAGGAAATCTAAGTCATCTCTAATGAAACTTGGAACTTGTCTGCATAATGGTTTTAATATGAGGTCTAAAAAGTGGCTAAGTCTCTGTGTAACACTGTTAGGTCCCCCTACAATAGGCCTAAACTTTAAATCATCTGGTGCAGAAACTTTAATGTATTCAGATTTATTATTATTAATTGCCTCTTCAATTTTCCTACTTTTGTGAATTTTAGGTAATCCATAAAAAAAGCTGGTTGAACTTTCAAAATTAGTCAAATATGTAGATTCCTCCTTTACCAATCCTTTACCGTGTTTATTTACAATATCATTTAATTCTTTCCGTGTCCTTAAATCTGCGTTTATATCTGTCTCTGAATAGTAACTTTCATCACTCAACATTTTCAAAATGTGATCTCTATAGTAGTTATTGTCCATACAAACTACAGCACCGCCTTTATCTGCTTCTTTTATGATTAATGATTTTTTTGATAATATACTTTTCAATGCTGATCTATCTTTCTTCATTAAATTAGAATGAACATCAGATTTATTTTCAAGTGGGATTTCCTTTAATGATTCAATAGCCTCTTCTAAAAAGATATCTTTACTTTTAGGAGGTTTCCATCCAGTTTTATTTCGTACTAAGGGTATATCGTTTCTATCATTATCTTTATCATCTTCATGGAAAAACTCACTAAGCCTTAATCTTCGACAAAATTCTTTTATATCAGTTTGTAATTCTGTTTTATTTTCCATTGGAGTAGGAGTAAACTTAAGCCCCTTGCTAAGTAATTTTACTTCACTTTCTGATAATTCTATAGTGGAAGAAAGATTTATTACCTTTGGGTGTATTTCTGAGCTTTTAGTAGTATCTATGTTATTTAAAATAGATCCTTGGTTTACATCACTTCCTTCCGAAACGTTTCTTCGCTGTTCACAAGTTTGTTTACATTTGCATTCCCTCCTCCATCTTTGACGAATGGAGTTAGTCCTAAAAAAGACTTTCTTGCATTTTTTCCAATATACGTTGTTCCATTTTCTGTATAAGGTCTTGATGGTAGATTTTGACGGTTATTGTATCGATATTGATATCCATTTGTTTCATTTCCTCTATTATAATGACCATATCCCCTCTGAGTGTTGTTTCTTCTGCCATCATTGTAGCTATTAAATTGTTTATATCTTCTTTCGTGGGCCTTCACTGCTGAACTAGTATTTATTGATCTATTTGTATTTTCAGGTCGGATGATTGTTGAAAATCTAGTTTGTTGAATTCTTTCATTTCTATTATTTCTTTCTTGCTTTTTTTCTTTTTTGTTTCTTTGCCTATCTTCTGTTAGAAATATATCGTTACCATACTTGATTTCATAATCATTTAACCAACCTTTTTTCTTTTCCCAAATATTCAATGACTTTTCTTCTTCATTCTTACATTCATTGGTCCACATTTGTTGAAGTTTTTCACATATTTCTCCATTTGACTTCTTTTTGAAGATAACGATCATCTCCTTGTCTATTTCATCAAATGTATCTTTGTATCTTTTTGCTTTATTTTTCATTATTTTGATTTCAGATTCGAACAATCGTACAGCTGTATCTCTTCTTATTTCTTTGTCATCTGCATGTTCATTTGCGATAAGCTTTGGTCGATATTTTCTTGGTAGAATAGGTATTGTCTTGCACTTCCAACTATCGTAGATATCTGCCGTGTTTTGAAATTTTATATTGTTCCAATATGCTTGTTTTCTTTCATTAAGTGAGGTTTTCCATAGTTTTATCATAGATTTTCTTATTTTCCAGGATTGACTACTAATACTTGTGTCATCTGGTATGAATTCATCATTTATTTGAGTTACTGTGAGATGTGACACACCAGATGACACAAGTATTAGTAGTCAATCCTGGAAAATAAGAAAATCTATGATAAAACTATGGAAAACCTCACTTAATGAAAGAAAACAAGCATATTGGAACAATATAAAATTTCAAAACACGGCAGATATCTACGATAGTTGGAAGTGCAAGACAATACCTATTCTACCAAGAAAATATCGACCAAAGCTTATCGCAAATGAACATGCAGATGACAAAGAAATAAGAAGAGATACAGCTGTACGATTGTTCGAATCTGAAATCAAAATAATGAAAAATAAAGCAAAAAGATACAAAGATACATTTGATGAAATAGACAAGGAGATGATCGTTATCTTCAAAAAGAAGTCAAATGGAGAAATATGTGAAAAACTTCAACAAATGTGGACCAATGAATGTAAGAATGAAGAAGAAAAGTCATTGAATATTTGGGAAAAGAAAAAAGGTTGGTTAAATGATTATGAAATCAAGTATGGTAACGATATATTTCTAACAGAAGATAGGCAAAGAAACAAAAAAGAAAAAAAGCAAGAAAGAAATAATAGAAATGAAAGAATTCAACAAACTAGATTTTCAACAATCATCCGACCTGAAAACACAAATAGATCAATAAATACTAGTTCAGCAGTGAAGGCCCACGAAAGAAGATATAAACAATTTAATAGCTACAATGATGTAAGAAAAAACAACACTCAAAGGGGATATGGTCATTATAATAGAGGAAATGAAACAAATGGATATCAATATCGATACAATAACCGTCAAAATCTACCATCAAGACCTTATACAGAAAATGGAACAACGTATATTGGAAAAAATGCAAGAAAGTCTTTTTTAGGACTAACTCCATTCGTCAAAGATGGAGGAGGGAATGCAAATGTAAACAAACTTGTGAACAGCGAAGAAACGTTTCGGAAGGAAGTGATGTAAACCATGGATCTATTTTAAATAACATAGATACTACTAAAAGCTCAGAAATACACCCAAAGGTAATAAATCTTTCTTCCACTATAGAATTATCAGAAAGTGAAGTAAAATTACTTAGCAAGGGGCTTAAGTTTACTCCTACTCCAATGGAAAATAAAACAGAATTACAAACTGATATAAAAGAATTTTGCCGAAGATTAAGGCTTAGTGAGTTTTTCCATGAAGATGATAAAGATAATGATAGAAACGATATACCCTTAGTACGAAATAAAACTGGATGGAAACCTCCTAAAAGTAAAGATATCTTTTTAGAAGAGGCTATTGAATCATTAAAGGAAATCCCACTTGAAAATAAATCTGATGTTCATTCTAATTTAATGAAGAAAGATAGATCAGCATTGAAAAGTATATTATCAAAAAAATCATTAATCATAAAAGAAGCAGATAAAGGCGGTGCTGTAGTTTGTATGGACAATAACTACTATAGAGATCACATTTTGAAAATGTTGAGTGATGAAAGTTACTATTCAGAGACAGATATAAACGCAGATTTAAGGACACGGAAAGAATTAAATGATATTGTAAATAAACACGGTAAAGGATTGGTAAAGGAGGAATCTACATATTTGACTAATTTTGAAAGTTCAACTAGCTTTTTTTATGGATTACCTAAAATTCACAAAAGTAGGAAAATTGAAGAGGCAATTAATAATAATAAATCTGAATACATTAAAGTTTCTGCACCAGATGATTTAAAGTTTAGGCCTATTGTAGGGGGACCTAACAGTGTTACACAGAGACTTAGCCACTTTTTAGACCTCATATTAAAACCATTATGCAGACAAGTTCCAAGTTTCATTAGAGATGACTTAGATTTCCTGAATTACTTGCCGGAAAATGTAGAAGAAGATTCCATTTTAGTTACCTTTGATGTCGTAAATTTGTATACAAACATTCCACATGATCTGGGCTTACAGGCAATTCAACACTGGATAGAAAATTTTCCCGATAAAATAGATACAAGATTCCAACACCAATTTATATTGAAATCACTGCAACTTATCCTAAAGAATAACGTATTTTATTTTGACGGCAAATATTATATCCAGAATAAAGGAACAGCTATGGGTACTAAAGTCGCCCCAACGTATGCTACTTTGGTACTTGGATATCTAGAGAAAACACTCTACGAAAGAATATCAACAATACACGGAAACGACTTTTCAAACTACATTAAAATGAACTGGAAGAGATTTTTGGATGATTGTTTTTTAATAGTCGGAAAAAATATCAACACAGATGATTTATTAAGAGAAATAAACAATTTACACCCCTGTATTCAATTTACGATGAATAAAAGTGAAACGAGCATGCCATTTTTAGATGTATTAGTTATGAAATCTGGAACACATATAACAACAGATATCTACAGTAAACCGACGGACACATACAACTACCTCAACTTTAAATCGTGTCATCCGAAACATACAAAGTTAAACATTCCTTTCAACCTTGCGTCAAGAATCATAACTATAGTAAGAGGAGAAACACTGCAAGAAAAGCGCCTCTCAGAACTAACTACAAGACTTAAAATCAGAATTACCCAGATGAAATTATTACATACGGAATATCTAAAGCCAAATTGAAAGGTCCCATCAAAACTGAAGAAAACATAACAGCTAACAACAAGTACAACGTTATCCCATGTGTAACAACATTTAATCCCAAAAATACCAATATTTCCCAGGCAATTCGATCTTGTGAGAATGTGTAACGAAAAAGTGAAAGGATGAACAGTGTTTTAGAAAAGAAGCGCATTATAAACAGTAAAAGACAAGCAAAAAATCTTCAAAACATCTTAACCTCTTCAAAGTTCGACATGACAAATAATACTGTAACAACAGTTTCTAAATGCAACAGGAGTAGGTGTAAGACATGTCCTTCTCTAATAGAAGGAAATGAAATACAATTTTGTAACAGTAAGACATTTAAGATAAAACAAAGTATGAACTGTGTTTCAAAAAATGTGATATATTCAATAATTTGTGACAACTGTAAACAGTTTTATATTGGCCAAACAAAAAATGAATTATGTAAACGTATGACTTTACATAGGCAACAAACAAACACTGAAGAACTCAGAATGTTACAAGTAAATAAACATTTACATAATTGTTCAGGAGGTAAATTTAGCATTTTCCCTCTATATAAGATATTAATCGAAAGTGATAATTTTAGAGAAGAAAAAGAAAAACTTTTAATCAAGTTATTAAAACCACAGCTAAATGCTCATTGTTAAAAATCATTTAACAAGGTATATATATACAAGTACTTCATATTTATTACAATCTCTTCATTTTTAATTATGAAAGAAATGATTGCGATTTTATTCAGTCCAATTGTTCGTTTATTTAGCAATATTTATTTAGTAAAAATTGTTAATTACCATACAATTTGTGGCCATAAAATCATTAACTTGTGAATTTTATTACCTCCCTTTAATAAATGTCATTTATTCACTGCCAGATTGTACGGATTATGCTCAATGTCCGTATTCTCTATTTTTCAGTATAAATAACCATATTGTGTTTGCCGGGAAATACGTTATCATTTAACGTTCCCGCTTTTTTTCATGACGTTACGTCATTTGTTTATATGTTTATTAAAGTTTCGGCTGAAGATATGCAAAGAAAGCATTGAAAGCGCTACCGATTTTACATATAGAGTTTGTTATTTCTTAAACATTATAATTTTATATATATATATATATATATATATATATATATATATATATATATATATATATATATATATATATATATATATATATAGAGTAAAAGCCTAAGATAATCCTACATGTATTTAAGATTGTGTGAAAGCTATTAAAAAGCTAAATGAGAAAAGTTTGAGCCAATTATTATAACTATGACAAATGAATAAACCAGTTAATGCTTAATGATTATATTTTGACCCTAAATATACCCAAATTAAAGGCCCATTATGCCTCAGAAATGCTATCATTTTTGGTTTATATTTGGTATCTTGTTACAGTTTCCAAAAACATACTCATTTGCTATATACATGAACTATGTTTTGCATCTTTAGTTTTGTTGGCAACTGGTATAATTATAGTGAATTAGTATTTTGTATGGAAGTAAAAATATTACTCTGTTTTAACATTATTAATCATATGTTTGACATTTTAAAGAACTAATATATGGATTTCTGAGGCATAATGTGCCTTTAATAGATGAGCTGAGTCTTTGTCAGAGCTTGAGAATAATTGGAAAACCACACAAGATTAATTTCAAACACAGAAAGATAATAGGCTAAGTGTAGGATTTTGTAATATTTTTTTTTCGAAATTGACATGAACAAACTTTTAAGGTACTCATTTGATTTGTTATACATTGTAGAATTTAGGAGAAGCAGAGTATGTGGTAGCTATGTTTATGTACATGAGGTTGATGGGATATCCGGCAGAGAAGATCTCCATACTGACCACATATAATGGTCAGAAACATCTGATCCGAGACGTCATCAATCAGAGATGCTCCAAAAACCCGTTCATTGGCAGACCTTATACTGTATGTATCATTGTTTTATAATGTTAGTAGGGGCATCCGTGGCCAAGTGGTTAAGGTTGTTGACTTCAAACCACTTGCCCCTCACCGCTGTGGGTTCGAATCCCGACAAAACTTTGGATTCTTTCATATGAGGAAGCTATCCAGCTAGCTTATGGAACGTTGGTGGTTCTACTCAGGTGCGCGTTCGTGCCTGAAATAATGCACGAAAGGGCACCTGAGTTTCTTCCCCCACCAGTAAAGCTGGAACGTCGCCATATGACCTATACTGTGTCAGTGTGAAGTAAAACCAAATCAAACAAAGTAATGTTAGTAATAAATATTAGACTTCATGTCCCCCAATGAAATTGTTTACATCGCTGAATTTATGTAATGATCTTTTGGAATTGTCAATAGCTTTTATATGAAATTTCAGTATCAGATAATGATAGTTTCTTTACTGAAGTACAAATACAATTTCAGTATATTTTGTAGGAATATTTGCTAATATTACGAGTGTAAAATATATGTTGTAGGTAACTACAGTAGACAGATATCAGGGACAACAGAATGATTATATCCTTCTATCTCTTGTCAGAACTAGAACTGTAGGACATCTTAGGTAATGTACTTGTATAACAATAGATAAATAATGAATAGTTAATACATGTACATGTGTACTTGACTTAGTTAAGAAACATAAGATTTAACCTTTATCTTGAAATTTGTAAAGTAGCAAGATATACTGTTTAAAATCTAAAATTTTGAAGTGTATTGTATATACGTTTCTCATTTTTTAAGGTACTTTATAACTTTAGTTCTCAAATGTCAAATTTATTGTGATTTTAGGATAACATATGTACTGTATGTGTAGAAATATTCGCGGGCTTCAAATTTTCGCGATCTTCGCGCTGACATTCGATCCGCGAATTCATGTTCAGCGCGAATATTTCTACACAAATAATTTCTTAATAGTCATATTTACGCGCATCTATAGAACAATGAATATCAGTGTGTAAACGGCTGCCATAAGATGGTATCCGAGGGATTTTACTGTTATATAAACTGTACATGTAACATTCAGCTCTGTATTTAAATCAGTTTGCTAGTGTATTATTGTTTGACTGATATGATTATCGGATTCTTGTATAAGAATATACATGTTTGAACAATACCATTATTGTTTGACTGATATGATTATCGGATTCTTGTATAAGAATATACATGTTTGAACAATACCATTGCACCACGCTATTTATTTCATAGTCTGAGTCTTCGCATCTGATCAGATAATATTTTGTACACAGTACAAACAACACAAATATTAACGATTTTAACTGATGAAAACGTGATAAACAAAACACAATTACTCAGTCAACATTTTAACAAATTCCGTGAAAAGATTATCATTCAGTGCTGTTTAAAACTGTGAAAAATCACGCACGTTAACGGACAATTCATTTGTTTGCCATCATTTGTCCGCTAGACAAATTGAATGTCTTTGTTCTGTACAATAGCGTATTGTTTGACACCAGGTGTTGAAAATAACTGTGAAGTCCCACAATGATTGATACGGGTAAAAAGTATGTAAAATTGCATAATCGTGTAAGAGTAATTTCCCTACTTTTTCAACCTGATGGGTGTACGCGAATTTATGATTTTCTGCAGTCACCTCCGCGAATTCAAAATGGCGCGAATATTTGTATATACCCCCAAAATGGACCTTTCCGCGAAAATTTGCTTCCGCGAATTTAAATACACATACAGTATGTCATACACTGGAACAAATTTCATGTGATCTTCATTATAATTTATAGTAAATAAATTAAATTTAACAATTTTTACTATCATTCTATCAGCAATTTTAGGAAAATATTTGTATGACATGCACTGTAATAAAATGTCATGTGATCTTTATTATAATGTTATAATTTTATCTGTATATAACAGAGATGTACGAAGATTGATTGTTGCCATGTCTAGAGCCAGGCTCGGACTGTACGTGTTTGCTAGAGTCTCACTCTTCAGCAACTGTTTTGAACTCACACCAGCTTTTAATAGAGTAAGTCAAGTTGATGGGGTTTTATTTATTTATTTCTCGTATGTTCAATGTCTGTCTGTTGTAGCATTTAAGTTGTGGAAGTGTTAGTTATTAATACAGGCCATGTTTACTAAATTTATAAAACAATCTAACTTTTGTAAAGTGAAAAAAAAAGATAAAGAAAAGAAGTAAAACAAACTATTGTGAAAGAAAACTGCATTATAAGTTTGATACACATTTTTATCTCTTAGCAGTGTAAGAAATTAGGATTTGAATCGACTAGGCTGGTCGGACTACCAGATTGGAATGTTCACTAGCCAAAAAGACATTTCACTAGCACGATTCATTTATTCAAAACAGTTGTTTATATTGCCTCTGAAAATACAGTAGCCTGGTCGGGCTTGTTACTGTGAAAAGTTGGTAGCCTGAGGAGAAATTTAGTAGTCAGGGGCTATCGGACTACTGCTAATTTCGAACACTGTCTTAGCTGATAAATCTCCTTAGTTGTGATAAAAGGAAAAAGGTGACCATTTGAGTGTTAGATAGGAAAGAAAAAAGGGCTTTAAAGATATACAAAAGGCATCTATTATATTATTATCTATCTTTTTACAGTTGTGTTCAAGACCTACAGAGCTACATATAGATCCACAGGAAAATTTTCCTACCTCCAGAAAGGTATGCTAGTTATTCAAACTTTAGATATGGTAACAAGTGTCTCAAACATGGTGTTTAAAGTCATGAGGGCAAAGGTTGCAGTGACTGTGTAAAAACAAATTGTTTGCTATGCCATTGTGACAGGCAAATGAGGTGGGAACAGAAGTGTCCTGTTGATACATTTCTAGTTACTGTCATTTTACCATTTTTCCTTCTATATAGTTTGGATTAGACACATAAAAAAATCAAATTTACTAAAATATAATTTAAAGATAATATTAACATGAAATAATTGAGATGTATACTTGTTTACAGATGTTTGTCTACAGACATAAATATTTTACATTAAATTAGAATCTGATTGAGTTCCTTTTAGGTCAGTGGATATGTATTTAAATAAGTTTGAAATTTGAACTAGTATATAGTGCTTACATTAACATTTTAGATTGATGAGAAGCCAGGGCACAATCCAATGGTGATAAATGACATGCCTCACATGGCCCAGTTTGTATTTGATCTCTACAATCAGAAGATAGACTCACTTATGAGGGCAAGAAATCTCCCTTCGGTAAGACATTTTTTCTCATTAATAAAATACATATGTACTAATTTTAGATCTCTCACCACTTCACATTCTAGTCATATTTTTTTTTATTTGATATTTTTGAGAAGACTTGTGACAATTAAGCACTTTGTAATTAACAAACTAGTTAATAAATATGAGGCTTCATTGGTTTATTTTGCCTGTTTAAAACCACTTGATGACTCTGTTTCAAATTCTGAAAAGGTCTTATTTCTTTCATATTGAAAGTCTTATTTAGCTTATGAAAGGTCTGTTGCTCATTTTTGCCTGAAACTATGCCCCGTGGCACATTTGCTTACTGTAAGTTGTCCATATCAGTTTTGCTTTCATTTTTTTTTTTTTTTTTTTTTTCCTTTATTCAAATGAGATTAGCAATACAGTTATGATGGTTTATATATTTACAGGCTGATAGGTTGACTGAGCCACCAAGGGTAAGGAAAGACAGAAAATAAGGTGACACAAGATGTACTTGAAAAATGAGAAAAGATCACTCAGCTGTGCTGAGAGCATATAGTAATACCTTCATGATTGTTCCAACTGGATGTGGTTTAGTACAAGAAGAACAGTAACATATGATTGTCATCAAGTTTTCTGGCATTGCACATACAATTTACTTCAAACAGTCATACTGTGAGATGAAAGCATTCAGTGAAGTTACAAAAGTGACTGATTCCAGTGTACATGCTACTCTATGTGAATATTAAAATTTGTGACAGACTTTATCACTGGAGTAAGGTGGATTAAAATATTAGTACATGTACAACTATGGTACAATTTTACATAAAAATATTAGTACTATGTACATCTACTGTACAATTATACATTTCATAGTGCTAAAAGCAGCTTCATTACAGATGTCATTGTTTTTTCATGAAAATATTACAGCATAATTAAACAAAGATGTTTTATAAGAATTGATGTATCAACTTATATTTTTTGCTCCTAATGGTTATAGGTAGGAGCCATAGAGCTAGACCTATGTCATAGGTATTGAGTGAAGTCCAGATGGAATGTTCAGATTATACATTTTGCTATATTACTTTAAATTTTTATCTTTTTACAGATTATTTTCTTTAACAATTGCTTCTTTTGAATTTTACAAAGTGACTATCCAATATATCTCCTGTATTGAACACTTAATATCTAATATATTCTGTATTGGACTGCATATGACCCTTTCCAGATAAGTTAGAAGTCATTAGCGATGAAAGTTTCTTGAATAATTTTTATATAGAACATTGTATGTTGTAAGAAAAAGAAACCGACTGGTATTTTGTATAAGAATATAATATTTCGTCCCCCAATATATTTTGGATATAAAGTGGGTCATTTAATATTGGTCTATACAACATGCAATATATTTGGACTTTTGCACTATTTTAAAATTCATATTGGATTCCCATTGCAACTCATCCAATATGGTTTCCTCAGCTGTATACTCACCCAAATATATTTTTGTATTGTACAGTTCAGTGTTGATATTCTTGTAATTATGAATAGGTCTCTTCATTGCTTTTCCAATACTGTTGGAACTTTTTGTATCTTAACCCTTGCCCACCTTGATAACTCTAATGGACTTGTCTCAACTTTCTATCTGGTCAAGCCCATTCATAACTTTCAGGGAAAATTTCATAATATGGTCTGACTGAAGAGCAACCAGTGTAGACAATTTCTTTGATCTTGGTCTGCTTTGGTTGCATGGGTAGCTACAGTAGCTTCCAGCAGGCTATTAGATAATGATGACAGTGAATAGTTTAAAATTCAAATTAGGGTACAGGAAAAACCTAATATAGAACAAAAAAAGATACAAACAATTTTTTTTTTTTTACTTTTATTTGATCTATATATCCCTATATGATCACATCAGTTAATTGTATAACAATAGAATACAGGATTCTGGATTAAACTACAGTAATAATTTATTAAACATTTGCACCAAAAAAACACAGGATGAATAGAACACATTCAAATCAAAACTGCCCCCTAAATTACCTAAAAGCACAAGATAACAAATGTCCAACATTTCTAGCCTCGTCTGCAATATTTTCAATGAAAATACCTTTTTTTTAAATGGAAAATAAGTGTGTAACTTTTATTTGAATCTTTTGTAGAATGGTTATATTATGCAAAATATCTTTGGTACTACAGGTATAATATCATATTTTCAACACATTTTCACAACCCAACAGTACATAATGTCAACAGTTACTGTAAAGAAATATTTCACGATATATAGTTCCATGCACATTCATTCAACTGTAGACTGGGTATATATGCTGTTGCATTATTTTATTTGTTCAGCTTATGTAAAAGTTTATTGTATGATGCAATAATTTAAATTAAAACCTTGAGAATAGATTGTAAAATATTTCCTTAAGTCTTACACAACCATTATTATTGTCTTACAGATAAATTAGTTGAGAATAAGTTGTATGTTTCAAATATATGAAATAATATGAAATAAGTATCTCTTACAATATTTCTTTTAGTCTTACAAAAAAAGGACTATCATTCTTTCAAGCACTGGACAACATTTATGATGTAAAATATACTTAACAAATTATAAGTAACAAAACAAATTTTAAGTAACTGTTTAGAACATTTATTTTATATTCGCCTTTTCATTCTAGAAAAAAATACAAATATTTGTATATATATGATTCAATTTTTGCAGTTCAATTGTACAAAAATGACTAAATTTTAAATGTACCAGAAATTTAATCAAAAAGTGTATAAAGCAATGAAAGCAAAACAGGTAAACAAAAGATACTTTACTATGCAGAGAGTCAATTCATTTGTATTAATCATACATATTTAATTAGATACCTAACTAAAATTTTCAAACTGACTTGACAACAATGGATCATTCAGTTTTAAAGATGGAATATTTATGACATACAGGTATAAATAAGTTGTTGATTTCATTAATATAATGACATTATAATACTAAATGTTTCAGCCACAGACTTACATATTATATACAGGCTTAGCATATGATATCAGATCTTTCTGTTGTTCTGTAATTGTGACTACTGCAAATAATAAAGACTTGCCTCTGATATCAGTATAGAGTCAGACCAACCTGTTTTAATGAATTAATTAATTGTAAACCCTTGCAGTTTAACCAGACTCGACACTGTTCACTGATATGCTGGGCAAGTTCATTTACAAAATTTTGTGGGTTTAAAGTTTATGTAATTACTGTGGGTTCTTGTCGCCCTGTAATCTCACGTAACTGGGAAATATTCAATGCTATATCAATCAGTGGCTTCAACACAACCTGAAATAAATATATAGGTGCAAGGGTAATGCATATATTTCCAAAGCATATGCTTTATAAGGTCATAATTATACTAATGAAAAACCCGGAAAGATTTGCCCAGCAAGGTTCAACACATTTTCATAATTTACGTTATAACCTTTGACACATGTCAGAGGTCAACATGCAACAATATCAACATAATAATGACAAAATATCTTTACAAATCAAATAATATTATAGGTTATCACACATCTTTACAATCAAATAATATTATAGGTTATCACACATCTTTACAATCAAATAATATTATAGGTTATCACACATCTTTACAAATCAAATAATATTATAGGTTATCACACATCTTTACAATCAAATAATATTATAGGTTATCACACATCTTTACAATCAAATAATATTATAGGTTATCACACATCTTTACAATCAAATAATATTATAGGTTATCACACATCTTTACAATCAAATAATATTATAGGTTATCACACATCTTTACAATCAAATAATATTATAGGTTATCACACATCTTTACAATCAAATAATATTATAGGTTATCACACATCTTTACAAATAAAATAAAATGGTTATCACTTTCCACACACTGAATGCAAGCCAAGGTTTGTTGCCTAAACCTGGCTAGTCTTTCACTTCTGTACAGTCTGACCATAGGTTGCATAACGTTACAGCAATTAAATTTCTGATTTATATGTAGTTTCAAATTCATGGCAGTGCATACATGTATAGATTATAAGATTTACGCTACATCTAATTTAATATATATAATATTTACCTGAGGGCTAAGGTTAAATTTAGAGGTATCTGATTCATAGCCTTCAATATACATTCTGATAGTGGCTCCACTGCTTCCTGTACCACTCAGCCGGAAAATAATGCGTGAATCATCACTGAATATAATCCTAATACCCTAAAAATCAACAAATAATAAAGTTAAAAATTCTATGTTTTCTTAGGATTCGGACAATATCATTGAAATAATGAAAATTTTCAATTAAAATTTATTTTAGCTTGAGGTCTGAAGAAAAATGACGATTTGCTAAGACATAAATAAGAGTGTTTTTTTTTTCATATCCTCAGCAAAAAAATAATCTGTATCAAAATTGAAAGAATTTGCAGTAAGAACAAAACCACCCATGATAAAAATAAATCAAGTTCAATAGTAGTTTAAAAGTATTTAAACAAGATTAAATGTTTCCAGTTAGTAAAGGTTGTCAGTAGAAAACTCAATATAATTTAAAAGCTATAACTGCAAAAAATAATTGGATGAACACCCACCCCCCCCCCCCCCCCCCCCCCAAAAAAAAACAACAACAAACAAACAAACACAAACCCCTCTTATATTGGTCTATATAGCATGACAGTGATTTAGTGCCGAGACATCAAATCAATGAATGCAAGAATAAATCTTAAATATAAATAAAATATTCTACAACAAAAAGATACAGTGGAATAGACATCTTTAAGGATGTGCCCTTCAAATCAAAACACTGATGGTAAGCAAAAGTGATAAATAAACATGAATTCAATAGAACACAGTATTATTAATCAACATGAAATAAAGACGTAGAAACTTACTTGATTTTTACTAACACTGTTATCTACGGGATCAGTGTAGGAGAAGTTGTCTATCTTGGCTACAGTATAGGTTTTGTCCCCTGATGAAAATGGTTTGCCAATGTTTGAGCTATCTGAGATAAAATTTCCTAAGTTTTCCATCATTTTATTGGCAGGGGCTGATTCACAATTCTCGTAGTCATACCTTCAAGACAATTTTTTTTCAGATAAAATTAAAACTCTTCATGTGATGTGAGTCATTCTCAATAACATAATATAAATGCTATTATAATGTTTAACTTTCAAGTAAAACTAGAAGGAGAAAACCTATTAATTCTATATAAAAAAAAAATTAAATTTAGCACTGACCTGGTGGCCCATGGCCAGTGAAAATCAGTTCGGGCCAATGTAAATTTTAAGAAAATTTAGTTAAATGTAGACTAGAATAAATTCAAAACTGGAATTCGGGCCAGTAAATTAAAAAATCTTACATTCAATGACTGATAAAATAAGTTTTATCTACAGTATGGTTACATTTAAATGACTTAATGGGTCATTTTCTTGTGCCAGCAGTCATATTGTTAGAGGAGTATGATCACTGTATGTTTGATCTTATTATGAAATGCAATAGTCTTCAACTAGCTATAAATGATGAAGTAGAGAGCACAGAACCCAACGTTATAACACTGTTTTGACATATTTACATAAACATGACATGGCATTCTGTCATATGATAATAACAAAAACTAGTTCTAGAATTATCTTCAAATTAATGAGTGCCAAGTTACTAAGCTATGAAACCATGTATATCTGTGTGAAAAGAAATTCTCAGTACAAGTACAAGATTTATATTAAATGTGTTCACTAACCTAGTTTAGAACCTAAATCATTATAAGGGCAATATGATCTGTATTAAAGTGTTCACCTACCTAGTGTAGAAATTTCTACCATATTGACTCCAGTGTTGTCTTATAACTTCTTCTACACTCTTATTCTTACTAGCTAAAACTGATAACCAGGCTAACACCGCCCATAATCCATCCTTCTCCCTGTAACATGTATATATCTAATTATTACATAAAAATTACAGCAATTAATGCCATTGATTTGGGGGCTTGGGCCCCCAAAAATCAAATGCTTTGTAAATCTAATCTTTCTTTTTTGGGAGTGGGGGGTCTTCTTCAATTGGGATTCAAATTTTTTTATTTATTTTGGGTGTATTCACTAATTATGATACTATAATTGATACTAGATGTGCAGACCTAGAATTTTTTTTTATTTCTATGTCATCATTGTAAATAAAGTATCCGGGATATTCAGATACAAAGCTAGGGTAATATAATTCAATGGTAATTTTTTTTACGAGAAATGAAAAAAAACAACAAAAAAACCAACATATTTTATAGACTTTACCTGATATGATCTGAGCCAGTACCGAAGCTCTCCTCTCCACAGAGTGAAAGTAGTCCGGCATCCATTAGATTCCCAAAGAATTTCCATCCAGTGGGTACTTCAAAACATTTCTTCTCTTTTTTCTTTGCAACTCTATATAAAATAACAATGTACTTATTATTTATGTTGTGACAACATAGGAGAATAAGACCTTAGTGAAGAAGTGTCCATAACAACAAGTATAAACGAATTTTTTGTTACAATTATTTTGTTCATCAACATCACAAACGCATGTAAGTTACTTCTCAGGATAGCTTCTTGAAGAAACAATATAGTGTAAGAGTAAAACCAGAAATAGCTTACTTTTAATAATGTTATTACAAATTATGTCATATTCAGTGCAATTTTTTTGCAAGATAAGCATCTTACATGTTCTAAATCTATTATTGAAAAATATAAAATACATGTTTGCCCTTTCTTCAGAATGAAAAAATTATTTATGTGGCTTAAAAGTACTTTCAGTGAAGCTTGAATTTGACAGGTTAAGAAATGGGATAAATAAAAGCACCAGCTGTCTCATTTGTACTAGATTAACTAACTTTATTCATGCCATAGTTTATAAAAGATAACTTCACACAAACATCAATATCTTGTAAGCTGTGCATAAATCAAAAAGTTACATCTCATTAACTCTCTGAATGCTAGCTGAAATAATGACTAGGCCTATGCTAGAGTGCCAGGCCAGCTTGCATACTCGTACAGTCTAACAAGACTTTGTATTGTTAGACTATTGTTTTTGTATAGAAATCTCTAAAAATCTAAACAAATTACTGACAATATTATTGCATATAATGGGTGAAGAAGGTCAGTCAGACACTCATACTAAACTTTTTTTTTTACTTCTTTCAAAGTGAAATAAATACCATATTCAAAATTATGATATCACATTATTGACTCTGGACAAATGTACGCATAGTTAAGATCTAATTTGAAGGCCTCGATATTGCTTTTTTGAAAACAGACATGTTTGATTTACTATAATTATCATTTATTACATGCTTTTCGGTGGTTTATAGAAATATATAAGTGATATAAAACTGGTAATTTCACTGTTTGAAACAGTGAAATTACCACTTTGATAATTTCACTGTTTTGAATTTAAGCCCCTTACGTTGTTTCAGTGAAATACCAGCGTGCACAGTACTGGGTACCAGCTTAATGACGTGACGTCGTAAATGACGTCACGTTGTATTATTATTTCGCGCTTTTCATTCTGTATTAGGTTAAATGTCTTTTTAAAACGTTTCTTTGCATGTAATAAAAAGAAAATTTGTTTAGTTTAGTGTAAGATTGAAATATATTTCACCTTTTCTGAACACATTCGTGATTTAATTTTGAAAGCAGTTAGTCCAAAAAATGTGTTTTTTAACGTTTTAAAACGGTACCTGTACCATTTTTATCTGCTATTCACGTAACCTGTCAATTATCGATAACGCTCCACCCCCTGTTGAGGCATCAATGAGGGAAATCGGTAGTTCCATATATGCGTGAATTACTAGTCCATACTGGTCCATTGTTTAAATTCATGTATCGTACAAATACCGTACATCTTTTATGAACATCGTCTTTCATTTAGCCTTTTTTATAAAATAAGAAATTGTCGGCCAATGTACGTAACATAATGTATGAAACATAAATAATTAAGCATAGCGGCAAATCGCACGACCACGGGGTTGATTAAAAATATAGTTGCTAAAATATCCATAATGTGTGAAAATAATTTGTCTGTCCCGTTAATCTGATAGATATTACATTGAGTTTATGGACTTATGTACGGATTCAAGGGCTTGCTTTACATTCAACCTCGTTTTTAACACTGTCAAGTAAAACAGCAACAAAAACAGACAACATTTTTTATGTGAACGCCTATCTGACTTGTGGTAAGGTGTCCCTGACAAATTTCTAAACCATTTTATGTTGTCTAAGGATGATTATTTCTCCATGAATCAATAAAAAAAGATAATAAAATATATTATCAGTGAATGCTTTGAATAAATTGTTCGCCAGTAAATCGAACACAGTACTAATAAACCTGGGACTAAGTATGGATTTTATTGTATATCCCAGTAGAAACTGGATATCTATGCCGTGCATAGATGATACTTGTATTCATGATAATAGAAGTCAAGAAGGTCAGATCATAATGATCGAGTGAAACCTTATATTTCTATTAAAATATGTGAAGCATTCATATCAATTTGGAGGAAAAATATATAATATCCCGTTCTTATTTGTACATCTACCATGGACTTTAAAAGACCGTCAGAAGCTCAGTTTTTTTGTTATTTTAATTTATATTTTAACGGAGTTTCATACACGAATACACAGACAGAGTGACACTGGTATAATATAATAATAATGCTGATGATAATAATAATAAACTTCAAAAGTGAAACAATTAAATACCCCGCTAGCGGTGCACAAATACGTTCCATTTCCCCCCACCGAGTGCCTCAAATTTTACCGAAAGTCACGTGACATGTGCGACCGATACCAGACAGACGGTAAATCACATTAAGATTTGAAGAAATTTCTGTTATAAACTGATATTAATCAGCAACTTTTTAATTGGTCAGATGTCACTGGGTCATAAAATGTTGTTAGAGTATGTTACCGCAACTTGTGACCCTCTCTGGTGCGATATTTGTGTATTATGCAAATATTTAGCGTGATACGTAGGGGTCCGAGAGAGAACAGCCGATTTATGACACTTCGTTTGATGCGGGTCGGACTAACTTTGAATCGGCATAACTTTTTTAATAATCAAGCAATTAACATGCGGTTTAAAGCACATGAAAGAGAATTCATTTACGGAGGGAACCATGTCAGGGATTTTTGTTTGCTCAATCAGCGACTTAATTATCTTTAATTACGTAATATGTATGGTGAAAAAAGTCGCATAAAACGTTTGACGTTACGTAATATTTTTTTGAGAAAAGATAGAAAAAAATTTGAGACACGGTTCCCCAGATATTATAAGTATGTTTATTTTCCAAAAGTTTGATGACAAAAAGATAAAAAATGACTTTGATATGACGATTTAAAATTTTAGGATTTTTATTAAAAATCAATCATTTGCAAAGGCATTTTTTTCAAATATGTTATTTTTTATGATGATCAACGACATTTAATGCACAAAGATTAAATAAATAACAATTATTACTGAAATAAGTTGGTTTAAATGACATTTATGTGAGTACCATGGAAAGTGTCTGTTGTCACCTTAAAGAAGAACATCATTTACCTGTCTACAGCCCCACTGGTAGGCATGCTCCTTGCATAACCTTTGACCCCTGTCTTTTGGAAATACGGTATACACTCTAAATTGTCAGCTAGTACAGCCAATGAATCTGATGGTGTTACAAAGAAGGCATTCTGCCCTAGAATCATATTTCTGTCCTATTGTAATAAAGAAAAAAAATAAAACAAGGTTCATTATAAATGGAAATAAATAAAATGGAAATAAATAAAATCATTGTATCTTACAAAGGGAATCAAAATCTTGTTTCATTTGTCTTACATTTAGGTTTTAAAACTAGATGAACCAAGATTTATTCATGAGGGAGTTTGCTAAGAATTTATTTTATTTATCTGATCTTGTTGGTTTTTAATAGGGAATAATAATATGGGGGCACTGATACACTAAAAAATAATCTTCCTCAAAATATTTTCAAGTACATGTCCATAAAAAATAAAAGCATACGAGGATGCTAAAAAATCCAATCAAGCTATCAATTCATATAATATGATATACTTACACCGTCTCCATCAAATGCAGCTCCAAATCCATGTTGACCTTTCTCTAATTCCTTTACAAGGTCAGCTGCATAGGTCAAATTTGGGTCAGGGTGAAGGCCACCAAAATCTTCCTTTGGTTCACAGTTGACAGTATTACTTGCAGGGGTCCCAAGTTCTTCTTGAAACACTTTCTTTGCATAAGGACCCATTACTACATTAGGGTAAAATTTTCATAAATTCAATAAATTTTCACATTCAATTTTGTAAATTCTATAAATACAAAACTGTAATGTTCTACATGTCCTTTTAAGTCTTTTTAAATGTTTGGTTTCTATTTCGTAAAAAAAAATTGAATTATTTACCGTCCAAGAGTTACTAGCCCTTGACAACTAAAACTTAGGTCCAGACAAGATTTCAAAAAGGTTGATTTTGATATGGCAAGGGAACTTAAAACTTTCGTTCGGGCAAATGATTTCCAAAGGAGATGATGAGGCCAGTAAAAAAATTATAATTAAACAATTGACTCCTAAGATCAATTTAATCCTTCAAAATTATGATTTTAATTTTCATGTGACATAAAATGTAAGACAGATTAATTTGTCTACAGTAGACAATAACTGCCCAAGGTTTATGTACTGCTCACAGCAGTAATGAATACATACCCCCTTGAGATAAATATGCCAAAAAAGTTAATTAACAATTTAATGTAAGGACCTCTAAACAAAAGGTATCAAGACCAGATATAAGGTTAATTACGATATCTAGTGGTTTTTTGTTTTTTTTTGTAATTCCTGAAATAATCTGAATTTATTCTGTCAAAATCTATAAATAGATTAAACTGGTAGTGAAATATTCAACACTTCTTTCTGTCATAGAATATTAGGATTTTTTTTTGTGTGTAGATTACTTTTAGTTTGATATATTCTCATAAATTTGATCTTATTTTTTTCTGATTCAAATTTACCCCATTACAGGCAATAACAGTAAAGGACAATAGTCTTTAATTTGCTTAATCTTACCTCCATGCATTGAATTAATGAGAACATTTAGTGGTGGTTTGCCTCCACTTCCTTGCAGTAAACCTTTGATGGCACCAAAGTCAAATATTTCCTTCATATAGGCTACATAGTCTGACACTGAATCTATCACCTGAAATAATTATTGTATAAATCATCTAAAAATACATGGCACACCAATTTTGAAGAATTTTGAATGTCAGGAGGTCATCATATGTATACATTTTAAAATGCAAATTTAACACTGTATAGCATATATGTAATTTGTAAAAAGGGCACTGATGCTAATCAGTGCTGTTTTGAGTAAAGAAATTTTGAATTTTACTGTTGTATCAGGAACTTGGAAACAAATATTTTTGTGTCAAAAACACTTGTGTTAAAACTTATATTTCACTCACGTTGAAACTTATATTTCACTCACGTTGAAACTTATATTTCACTCATGTGAAACTTATATTTCACTCAAGTGAAACTTATATTTCACTTATGTTAAAACTTATATCTTATCCATGTTGAAACTTATATTCAATCATATTAAAGCATACCTCCACCGTAAATGATCTTCCATCAACTTGGAATTCTTGTTTTCCTAGTTTTGAGATGTCAACAGTAAGATCTGGACAGACTTTATACGATGTAATAGTTTTTGTCATTTCAAATATAGCATTGGTGACACCTTCTGGAGCTGGACCTGTATATAAATTTCAAACAATTTTTTATGTTCATTTGAATTATACATTTATTGTTTACTTTTCAATCTTTAATTTTCTGCAGTTGCATAACATTCTTGTCCTGCTTTGAATACAAAACAATCCATTGTTAATTTAAAGGTTTTTTTAATATTAAAATACTTAAAGCAGTACAAATATGGTGTCTGGCAAGGCCACAGAAAATTGCCAAGAGGCCTGTCTCTCAAACTGACCACAAAGGCATCAGTGAGATAATTTCTACTTTAAATAGGACAGGCCTATACAAGGACAGGCCTATACAATTAGTATATAAAAGCTAAAACAAGTGGTTACATCTGTACAGTCTTACAACACCATGTTTTTCAAGGATAAAATAATTATGAGGAAATTATATCTAAAAGTGACAGCAAGACACTGAGATGATTGACAACTGAAACACTTTAAAGCAGCATGCCTCTGGATTCATGCTAATTTTTATGAAAATTTTGTCAATGTATTTACAATAAAATATAATGAATTGTGAAGTGAAAAAAGAAAGTTATTTACACATTGCAGACAGCACTTACAATTTAAGTAATTGACCAGAAATAGGTCATATTATGCAAAAAAAACATTACTGTGTTAGTCACGCAGTAGAAATATAGCAATAAATACTGAAAAAATCAGTCATAAATCACACATGACATACAAATCATTACTTGAATCTTTTTACTTTTCTTATAATTTTTATACATTTTTCTCAAGTTGTATTTTCTTGAAATATTTTGACTCATCTGGAGGCATGCAGCTTTAATGAAATATGTTAAAAGAAAAGAGGCCTCTAGAATTCTAAAGGCTTCCTTTTCATCTATATAAAAACACAAAAAAATATTAATATTTTGTAATTTGTGTATTTTTATTTGGGCATACATGTAGTTTTAAATAATGGATAGATACCTCCATTTGCAATATTGTATTTGAGACCGAAATCAGCATCCGGGCCTCCAGGATTATGACTTGCTGTTAGAATAATGGCACCATCTGTCTTGTACTTCCTTATGACACATGACACTGCAGGGGTTGACATCAAACCATTATGAGCAACAAGTAATTTGGACACCTAGTAAGATATAGAATTAAAGAAAATATGATATGAATTCAGTATGATCTTAAACCCCAGTCACACTAGAGCTTAGGATTACTTGCGACCACCGGCGACTTGTAAAACTGACGATCATCAGCGATTGTCTGCGACTAAAACGATTTTTGCACAAATAAATTTACTTTTGCTAGTATCGTAAGACAAGTCATCATTGACAATCGCACGACAGGTCAAGTCATCATTGACAATCGCACGACAGGTCATAAGTAAACGTACGATGGTCTCAAGATTACCTGGGATTACTTAAGACTACGCGTGACATAACATGCGATCACCTACAACTTGTCGTACGACCATCACACGATAACTAAAGACTACTTAAGATTATCAGTGACTAGTGGAAATTTGTAAAGACTGTCGTAAGATTGTCGCACTTCCGAACGACCATCGTGCGACAGCCTTAAGACCTTATAAGATCACTAGCGACCTGTTTGATCGCAAGGAGGTTTTTGTGCAAGCTCAAAAACCTCTCTACGACTGAAATTGGTCGTGGGACCTAAAGAAGATAACCTGCGACTGTCAAAGATCACCGATGACCGTCGTAAGACGTTTTAAAGATTGTCCGCGACCAGAGGTCACTGGTGATCGTGAATTGGTCTTCACTGGTCGTAAGCTCTAGTGTGACTGGGGCTTTACAAACATGACAAGAGGTAAACAAACATAAAATACAGAAAAAAATGATGCAACAGAAATTTAATGGACATTCAATGTTTATTTTCCTTTACTAATAAGGTATATCAGATAGTAGATACTGCATGGCCCTTAGGGTCAGATAACATCTGAGTTGCCAAAGGACATATCTATTAAAAACAAATTTGAATTATTATTTTATTGTTGTTGCAATTAACTGATATAAATATAAAATATTTTTTAATGTTTTCTTTGTCAAATCTGTTGTTTTTTTATGAACTACACAGTACCTTATTTAGGTTTGAATGACAATTTAACCCATTACTTCATGAGCATTTTGTGAAAAATGGCTGTTTTCATTGAAAAGTCTCCCGTTACAAGTTCAAATTGCTATAATACTATAAAAACTGCTTCAACACTAATCAAACTTGGCACAAATGTTGACTGGACCATTGCCCTTGCAACAAAATGCTCAGGCTTAAATTTTCTGTTACCATGGCAATGAGGGGACATCTCAAAATTGCCAAAAATCACTATTTTGCGTTGATTTTTTCCATCATAATTGATTTCAAAGTGCTGCAACTTCTCAATGGATTGAGATAGAGTCAAATGCTTTTCAGCGTTGGTTACACGTTACCTTATGATCAATCTGAGGTCATTTATAGCCTCTCACAAGTCCAAAATTTTCTTGGCGATGAGGGGGACTCCGCCCCCCTTCAAACCCCCCAAACAGAAGGGGGCACATCCCCCTTCTGGCAACCCCCTGATGAATAACAGCTATATTATTTTTGAAGAATCTAATACAAACTGAATAATACAATCTGATAGAAATTTAATATAGAATAAAAAATAAACAATATTATTTTCAAAATTTTTAATATTTAGACAAATATTAAAGTTTTGTATATAAAATGAATAACATTTATAGCATTATAGTGGGAGTACCTTCAAATTTATATTCTAAGACTGAATTTAAATGACAACAAGTTGTTGTTGTTTTTCTTAAGATTATTATGAGATACTTAAACATCAACATAAAACAACAACAGAAACTGTTAAAGAGCAGAAATTGTTGCTGACATACTTTTGTATGATTCCTGCTGCATGTAACCTATATACTTGACTTTTGTTGTGCCCTACTAAAAGATACTGGCCCATTTCCAAATGAATTGCAAAAACACTATGTTGCAGTAAGAAAACCACTTTCATATCAGATCTGATGTCTAGTATTTTTATCAAGTTTGAAATAGACAAGAGCGATCACTGATCACATGTGTCGCCTCATGATAGACATAACAGGGCAAAAATCATTCAATGTAAAGTCCTGTTTAATATGCACAAGAAATTGAGCTATCGATCAATCCTGTAAAGGGCATGGAGTGCCAGACAAAATTATTTGTTGACATTTGAGTAAATATTGCCAATTTATTATTATACAATGCTTTGATTTAAAATATCAGCGGTTGTAAAAAGGAATAATTTTGTATTGTGTATCGAAATTGCTAAACTAGTTTGTTGACATTGATTTTCCACGTGTGTAATTCGATAAAATGTGTATCGAGTGTGCAAAAGGCGTTGCATTCCTTGTGTTTATTTATAGTATAGAGGGGTACATTTGGCGTTATTTTTGAATTATTTGTTTATATTTCAATTATTGATAGAATGTCAATCTCCTGTGATGATATGCACATTTAAACTTGGTACTGATATATCATTTCTATAAAGTGTGCCCAGGATGAAATTGCGAATAGGCTGGACAAGTTTTGTGACAAACAGATGGATGAACAGACGACGGATAAGTGATCCTTATGTGTTGAAACTATTCCGTAGAGCGACACAAAAATGATGAAAAAGTATCATTAAATAATTGCTTATAACATATTAAAATAATAGTTAATTTGAGAAGCTACTCTAGTCTCTACACCACAATGACATCAAATTATTATTAAAGAAAAAAATCTCACCCCATTTGCAGCACAGATCTGTATGATTCTTAGAGTTGCCTCTTTGCCAAAATACCTGCCATCACCCCCAACTGCAAGTGTGCTGCCTGTCAATTTTTCTCCAAGTGCAGCTGTCAAAGTGCACTGCACAAAATTTTCTGTGTAATTTTCCTCCTGGTACACCTTCACGGCTTTTCTTAGACCACTTGTGCCAGGTTTTTGTCCATCAAAAGGTTTAGTTTGAATAGTTTTGCTTGTCAAAGCCATTTTTACACGATTCGCCACGAAATGTTTAAAGTATCCTATAACTTAAAGCGTCTGCATACGGCCTTGACCTTTATTGGAGGACACCGGAAATGTTCACCCGGAAGCAGTGTTCTGCCTCTCGACCTTTCACCGAAGAAGAATAAAAAAGTTAAGAAAAATGAAAATTTGATAAATATCACAGAATGAGCCTTAGTGTGAACAGTGTTGAGGATGATCAGAGTCCCCTCTTATCATCTTACAATCCAAGTGAAGTTTCAAGGTATAACTGTTTTATTTTCCGTGATTTTTGCCTTTGTTTACCAAAAGGTGATATAGTACTCGGACTGTAGGAAATTCGGATAAGTTTGGTTTTAAATAATCATGTGATTTCCTACGTTCAGGTTAAGGGTTACCCTTCTATTTGCATCATTTTAGTGGTAAATCATGCTAGGGAGTAAGTAATCTAATTGACATTGTTTCAACTTACTCTTATTATTTCATAATTAAGTGAAGCCATACCTGTAGATAGTCTTGCCAGGAATCTGACAACCTCGTATTCATTCATGGAGCATGTCATGAAATAAAATGAAGAATTATTTTAAGTTTTAAAATAACTTATTACAACACTGAAACTTGTTTTTATATCATTTGGCAATTTTTCGGAATAGGCCGAATTGCTTTCCGTAGTTCTATTTCTAGCTGTAGTTACCTAGCATTGATCATAACAACTTTTCACTGGTCATTGGAGTTTGTATTCCTACACTTCTTAGTTTTTATTCTGATAACTTACCATCAATCATTGCTATTAGAATTTTTTGTCGCAGTGAAGTTTCAATTTTAAAAACTTGTAGATATTCTTGGATGTGGTATTCCCACCCTTTTAGAAATATTTCTTTGTGTTTGTCTTTATAGCTAGACTTTAATAAGTTTATTGCGGTTCGTTTTTTGTGTGACTTCATAGTCCTTTTGTAGGGTTCTATCTTTATTTTTTCTTTAACTGTTAAAAAAGAGAAAGAAAATTGGATAATGGCCAGCATTGATCATAAGAAATGAAATAATATGAAGCATACCTTGATAAAGCTTTGTATAATCCGTTGATAAGACGTCACGAGGATGAACATATTTCAAAACTTATTATGAACTACTAGCCTGCAATTCAGGTGTTGATAATTTTTGCTTATTCATATTAACATATGTGCTATTTCATACTCATTTGTGTTTTTGGTACTATCAATATCGATTTGCCAAACAGAAGCACATAAAAAAGCAACAGACTGGAAACAACCTAAAAGATTCTGATAGGTAAAAAAATCAGCATTTGGCTGCCAAAATGTTTGACCAGGTGATTAAGAGATTGACTTTTATGGGTTAATTAGCGCGGACAGTTAAGAAAAAAAACTGCATGTGCTCCTAACTTTTTTTATAAATTACTCTTTTAAAGATATTGAAAAAGGTGATTTACTGACTTTTGTATTTAATATAATTTTATTTAAGTACTGAAAAATTAAAGAAAATAAATAAAAACATTTTCTTGAATTATAAGTATTGAGATTATGTCAATAAAACTGTTGTAAATATAATACATGGCTCTTCTATAAACACCTTTATCATATGTGATTGAATTCATAACTCTAGCTCCTGTATTTCCAGAATTATCTCCATTTAATATAAATTTTTTGAAATTGAGGTTTATTTAAAAAATGTTTGTTATTTTTTATCATCATTTGTTTTTGTTATTACAATAGGTATCTACTTAAGACTTTTTATAAAATTTTATCATTGTTCCTTCTCATTACTCTCATCATGTTTGACAAGGTTCATAACTCTAGATTCTTTATTTTAAGAGTTGTTTCCTCTTTGAACTTATAATAATTCTACTTAAGAAACTTTAGATACTTTTTGCTCTATCATTTTTGTTTCTGAATGGATTGATTTCCGATTTCAAATTGTTGTCTTTTCCATTTGAGCATAGGAACGTCTGTTTAATTTCTATTGACATCTTCACTTGCATATAATATCCTTTACTGCGTCTAATTAAAAACTGGACATAATAAGAATTAAAAATTTTCTGCTCAAAAAAGATGTTTGTCAGACCAATATCCTCCAAAAGGTATGATGGAAGGAGGCACACACGCACACAAAAAAACACTTTGTTAATATTTTTCTTAATGTTAGGAAAGAATCTTTATGGGTAAAAAAGGATGTAGTTTTTAGCTTGACTATTCACAGAGCTTTTGTATATCAGCATCACACTTAAGTTTTTGTCTGTTTGTTGGTATCTCCTAAATTGCTAAAAGGAATGGGTTCAAAGTTCAAACTTCACACACTTATTTTAGAGCATAATAAGTGGTCACTGTATTAGGCCCATAACATCAACATGGATTTTAACAGAATTATGACCCTTTTTTAACTTAAAAAATTCTACATTAATAAATAATAGATAAATAACATGTTTGAAGAAGAAAAAAATGGCAGATACATATATATTTTTTTATTAATTTTTGACAACTTGCATTGCGTTAATTTTTTTTTCTTTAAGCTATTAGTTTTGGACAGTTATTTTAATGATATATTTAAAATTACACATTAGTCAAATTTACAGGCTCATAATTTTAGATGTCATTAGGTGCTTTTAAATTTATATCATTTAGGTGCTTATGAACTTGGGTGCAATATTTCTTTTCGCATGAAAGTGTGATCAATGCATAGTGTGTTCATTATCACTTTATGTTAAATATCAAAATATGAACTGAAGGTATTAAATAATCCAGAGTTATTAAATTGATAGGCTGTAGCACATTTATAGTGTAATAAGTATGAGGGATGCAGCAATTTACATGACAATTGTCGATGGCTTAAGGTTGATGCATACCAATATTTTAAATTGGTTTTTCAAATCGGCTAAAACATTGGTGTTTAAATATGTATGATATTGCAGCTATTCAAAAAAAGTATTTTTTTGTTTTACATGCTACCAAAATTATAATTATACACCTGGGATCAAAATTCTTTTATTTTTGAATCAATCATTGCACTATGGCCTTTGTATCTTAACATTAGACACATCTGCACATTGTCACTCATTTGAGATTCTGAAATATGACCTTGACCCCCAATTCACTAGGCACTACTGCATTATGGCAAAGTTCAATTGTATAGAAGCGAAAAAATCAACCTCTGTTATATTAATGTGGTGGCATAGCATTTTTTCAGGAATACAATCTTGTTTATGCTTTGAATAATATTTGCATTGGCTGGAATAAACAATTTTGCACAATTGAAAATACCATGTCAAAAGAGCATGAAGGAGGTTTTGAAAGGTACCAAATATATTTCTCAATTAAGCAATTTTACAATGCAAATTTTCCTACACTGGGCAAGGTAATTTTTTCCAAAATTGCTAGGAAAAGGCCTGTAAGGGCAGGTGCATCATCTGGATTTACAATATCAATGCATCATCTTTTCTCATCATCAATCAATATTGGTCAGAAATATAGGATATTGATTCAATTAACAACATCACAAGGCATATTTGTTGGCCATGGGATAAGAAACAAACCATATATGGCCTTAAGGAAAATCATTCTTCCCAATAGTTATGGAAAATTTATGCTTTGCCAAGCAGTATACCCAAACTTATTATTCAATAATACAGTAGTAATAGAAGTTAAAATCAGATCTGTTACATTGAAAATTGGTTTGTGTCAAGTGCACCTAAATAGATATAAATGGAAAAGATAAATATGACTGAGTAAGTAAAATGTTCATTAGGGTTAAATTTTCTTAAAATAATACAGGATTCTATCTTAGACTATAATTTATTTACTATTATGATTTTGTTTTGATTCATCATACCGGTATGACGTCTTCAGATATATAGAAGTTTTGAACAAGTGTTGCTGTTTTTTCCCAGTGTTCAAGTTTTTCTTGAGAGTATTATGACATCTAAATAAAATGTTGTTGAATGATTTTAAAGGTTGATTTTGATGGGTTTTTTTATTTGTGTGACACCAATTAAAGTGAAATTATGTTTTTTTTTCCTTACTGTTAGTTTTGCTTACTTTCTACATATATTGTACATTGTATTGTAAGTTTGAATATAGAAATCAACTCAAGATTCAATTTAAAAATATATAACTATTGTTTTATTTGAAAAATTTGGGGGGCGACTGGGCAGGCGGGCGGCGTACAATTTTTGTCCGGAGCATATCTCCTACACCCAAGGAGGTATTTTTATGAAACTTCATAGAAATGTTAACCACTATGAGAAGCCGTGTCGCTCGCATGAACCTGGCCTCTAGGTCAAAGGTCAAGGTTAACTTAGAGGTCATTGAAAAACGTTTGTCAGGAGCAAAACTTCTACATGAATAAAGAGTTTTCAGTATAACTTGGCTCAAATATTCACTATTGTGAGATGGAGTGTCGCATGCAAAATTCAGGTCCCTGCTGCCAAGGTCAAGGTCGCACATAGGGGTCAAAGTTCAGAAAAAATAAAAATATAAAAATGTGTACCATTTAGTCATCATTTAATTAGGGATTGAAACACAAATGGTCATTATCATGACTACTGGTGTAAAACATGTAATTTAGGTTAATATATGCAAGGTCAAGGTCACTAAAGATGTTTGTCAAGATCACTAAAGATGATGAAATATGGAGATTTTGTCCAGAGCATATCTCCGACACATAGGGAGGGATTCTAATGAAACTACATACAAATCTTCACCACTGTCGCGCGCATGAACCAGGCCTCTTAGTCAGAGGTCAAGGTCACACTTAGAGGTCATAGAAAAACGCTTGTCCGGTGCAAAACTTCTACATAGAGGGATTTCAATATAACTTATCACAAATGTTCACTATTGTGAGGCAGAGTGTCGCCTGCAAAATTTAGGTCCCTGCAGCCAAGGTCAAGGTCACACATGGGGGTCTAAGTTCAGATAAAAATATGAAAATGTGTATTGGGACCATTTAGTCATCATTAATTGAGGGATTGAAACACAAATGGTCATTATCATGACTACTGGTGTGAAACATGTAATTTAGGGTAATATGTGCAAGGTCAAGGCCACACATAGGGGTCAAAGTTCAGATAAAAAAATCACTAGAGATGATAATATATACAGATATTTTCCGGATATTGCCCAGAGAATATCTCCTATATGCATATCTATAATGCCCACATCTCTGACGGGCATATATTGCGACAATGTTGCCCTTGTTTTTAAATAAAATCATATTAAAGTTTTTGAAAGAAATTGTTAATATGAACACTTTGGTCTCTAAAAATGTTGGATGTTTCAGAAACCTTTTAGTAGATCATATTTCTAAATTTATAACAATTTCTAGTTGTCAGGTTCTTAGAAGATTTGGCAAAATGTTCATCAAGTAACCAGATTTAAGTCACCTGGTACATCCACAAACAAATCTTTATTTGCCACTCTTTCTTCTTTACAAGTAGTTCTCGAAAATTGCCTTACTGTAGGGGTTCAAGAAGTTTTGTTACATTATACCCAGTAAATTTTCTACAAAATGTTTCAGCTAGCAATTTTATTATTAATGTTTAAGATGATTTTTAATGGGCATATTATATAAGATACTTGTTGTAGCTGATAACATTGTCATGTGAGTCTAGTTTAAGTACAAATATCAGGGTTCAATTAAGTTAATTACAATGTACTTTATTTTATACAGTTACAGTTCATAATTAAGTATATGTTGCTAAAAAATAAAAATAATACACTTATATCGCGTGTTTATATAAATACAAAATGATGCTTTGTCAGCATATTTGCAGTAGACTAGACTCTATACTGTTGATAAATCAATTTTAGCACATGTATTGTAATATTGAAATCCCTCAAAACTTCATATAGACTGTTCCCTATGTGAAAGCAGGGCAAGTCCATTTCAGAAATTCATGAGTTGAACATCATTAATCATTCTCGTGATATTTATTAATTTATTTTTTTGGGGGGTAGGGTTTTTGTTGCACCAACACAGTATAGGGCATGTAGGTCGAATACATGTACATGTATATATAATGGCAATTTTCAAGCTTTACTGATGGAGGAAGACCTCAGGTGCCCTTCTGTGCATTATTTCAGGCACAAACGAGCACCTGAGTAGAACCACTAACATTCGGTAAGCTAGCTGAAAGAATCCAGAGTCTCTGTCAGGATTCAAACCTATAGCTCTGAGAGTGAGGGGCAAGTGGTTTGAAGTCAACAACCTTAACCACTTGGCTACGGATGGCCCACAATATTCAATTTAAATAGTGAAAAAATATCCTCATGAATTTTTTGTGTCTCTAGCTGGCTTCGATCCTGCAGTTGTTGAGGACAAGTGGTAAAGTGCAGTCTCCTCAACTGCTTAACTTCTGGTGTCTTTTTCGGAAAAATTCTTAAGCTTGAAATGTCATAATATGTTTTTAAAAAATGTTTGAATGTTCATTTTGTTCTTGTTATTTTGAATGATCTATTTTCAGAGGACCTTCACCAAGACAACTGTTACCAGTGTTAGATAGACGGGTATCTGACGGAAGACAGCGACAGCCTGTTAATTATAATTCAATTAGCAGCAACAGTTATGGTAGTCATGACAGCGAAACGTCTGCTGTTGTCAGCAGATACAAGTATTATACTAAACTTGCCCCTCATAGTGATAGTTCTTTTGTAAGTTGTGAATTTTATTGTAAAATAGTACAATTAAAGGCCCTTTAAGCCTGAAAATGCTATTAACTTTTTTTTACAATTTTTTTAAAAATTATTCTTGGTGTCCTGTCAGAGTTTCATTGGCATTGAGACGACTTTTGCTTTTTTTGAATTTTGGCAAATAATACAATAACATTAATTCAGAATTTATATGAAGTCAAAATACCACTTTGTTTACATTTTGCTACTTTCTGATGCCACGTAAGGCTTTATAGGAAAGAAATCATGTTAGATATAATAATATATAAAACACATGTTAGCCCTTTCTACCGAATATCCATGTATATACCTTTTGCCATTCAAATGCACCAGATGACCCGTGTAAGAATTTCAAATTTGATGTTTTTAGGCTTTAGATACTCTGTGAATCACCTTTATTGTTTAAATATTTGCATTTAAGTATTGGAACACCTTAAATAAGCAATGGACAAAATCAAAGTCTGGTATATTCATATCTGTTATTCCAACATATAGAGAGACAGTGGTTTCATATTAACCCTTTCTGAATTTCTTTAAGGAACTTGTCCAGCTTCCATTTTTGAAACTGTCCATTATAAATTTTGAGGATACTAGTATGAAATATATATAGTTGGTTAGCCAGCAGGATAGAGCCTGATCAGAATACACAGCTTGCCTGACTACTAGTGGCAAAGTCTATATCTTTTTCGGTTTCAGCATTGTAACGGTTAAACTGCAAATTTCTTAAATAAACTTGGAAAGCTTCTACATTGTAAATAATTTGAGTTTATGGATAACAAGGTGAAAATAGTACTGAGGACTGTTCTTTTAAATGATTCAGGGAAAGGGTTGATTTGCTTACATTTCAGACTATGCCAGATCATGTTGTCCCTGGTTTATTTATCATCACAGAGATAGTAAAGATTCAAGGATCACAGTCCAGTATTATAACAATGTAAGTTTGTAAGAATTTCATATTTCCTCAAATTGCATAAAACTTGATTCGTCAAAGTTAATATTAAAGTATTTTTGACTACATTTCTGGTGTATGATTGTTGATAAACAACCTTTTTATATGAAGGTCAGAGATATATATTTGAATGTGAAGGTCAGAGATAAATATTCAAATTTGAAGGTCATATATTTTTAGAGTGAAGGTCATATATATAACCTGAAGTATTTTTCTTAAGCGAAGGTCATGTTCATTGTTAAAACTTAAAGATGATTGTCATTTTGTATGTTTTTGTAATCAACATATATTTTTTTTAAAATGAAGGTCATAATTTTGATAAATCATTTCAGATTTTCACTGTGGAATACAATGATGGGAACATCTTTATTGAGTATGCCTTGGGCTATCAATCAGGTTTGTAACCATTATTTTTAAAATTGTCTCCTCTTTAACCCATAATTTGCATAATTTCTTAAATGAACTTAACCAGCTTCCATTTAGGAACTGTGCATTATCAATTTTGGGGATTTCAAGATGTAAAATTAAAGTTAAGTCGGCCAAAAGTCTAGAGCCTGGTCAGACTGCAAGCCAATGCTTATCTATTTCAGTTTCATCTGGGTAAAGGTCATAATATTTGAGGCATCTGAAAGGGTTTTTGCAGGATTGAAAAATTTCAGTTTTTAATTTAAAAGTCATGATGTTTTGATTGGAAAAAAAACCGCTGAAAATACTTGGTAGAAACAAATTATTATGCTTGGCCTTATTTCTTGTTACATAAGCTGAAAATAATAAATCATGTAAGAGATAATGTCTATGCACCTTGTGATTTTCATGATATGAAATATATCTTATAATTTATTGTTAATGGGATGAAAATAAGTAATTAATATAACAATAAAGTTTATGGTTTTTCAATTTTTTGAAAAAAATAAAAATGTTCCCATCATGTGATTGAAGTTTTTTCATAATATATAGTGTTATACTTCATATTTTGGTTGATTTTAGATGTTTTATGTGGAAAATTTTATTTTATTGCACTGTCAGTTCATTTTGTTTAAAAAAAATAGTCCTGTTTAGTCACAGTTGAGGACAAACTGTTTAAGTGCTCATAGACTAGGTTTAAACTTGTATCTAGGTATAAACTGACTTCGCTACTAGTATTTTCTTGTTGTTGAAAAAGGTTATATAAATAACAAAAAAAAGATTATATAAATAACACATGCGTTTGTGGGTAACAGTAAAAATATCATCCTGAGGAAAATGTACTGTATTTTTACGAGGTATGATATTTTAGGGTTGCTCACATACCCATGTGTTATTTATTTAATTACCCTGAACAAATACTGTAATGGTTTGAAAATTTCAACTAAATCATATTGTAACAAAATTGAACCAAGAATAACAATAACTCAACTGTCCTTACCTTGCAACTTGAGATTTACCCATGTGGGAAGGGAAATTAACATTACAAAAAAGTGAGGGGTAATAAAACATAATAACTTTGCTGAAAACACATAAACTAAACTATTAACAGAATGATGTAATGTAATGTAATTATTGTAGTTATTAAAATGAATTTATATATCACCAGAGAAAAATATTCAGTGTGAGCTTTTAGGATTATCTTATTCCTTGGAGTCCAATTTCAACAATTTACTTTTATGTTTTGTTTGAAATTTTAATAAATATCCTGTAACGCCTTACACTATTATATAGTGTATATAATAGTATATCACTTTTTCTGCTGGAACTAAAAAAAAGTATAAGCTTTTGCCATCAGTGTCTAGCCTATATATCCATGCAGTCTGACCTGGCTTTAAACTGTTGACTGACTAACTTAAGTTTTTCATCTTAATGTCTGGTAATCTCCAAATTTGAAATGGAAAGTTTAAAAAACAGAACCTGGACAAGTCCATTTAAGAAATTCAAAAGGGATATACTATAAACTTAACATTGCACAGAGATTTGTGACAGCATAGTTCAAATGAGTGGCCACTGACGGTTATGTTGAAGAAAGAAGAAAATTGAGCAGCTATACATTATCTTGACCATATGTAATCGCATTTTGAGCTAAATTGATATCAAGAATTTGATGCCTAGCAAAGATATATCGATTTGATTAAATAAAAAAAGACAACAAATTTGCTATGTTTCAGGTAATATCGATGGTTTTAATATTTGTTGTATTTTTACAGGCTGGTTTTACATGTGGTATATTACTATTATTGGCTATGGCAGCACTGATGTTATACACCAGTTACAGAATTTTACACTCTGTTAAATGTCTCAGTAAGTTTGTATTTATATTCAGTATAATAAACTCTGTTGTCTTAAATTTTTAATGCCCTAAGCCTTGGTAACATTAAGGAATAAAATAAAATACAATTAGGTTTTCAATTACCTATTCTAAATAATTGAGCCGCGTCATGACAAAACCAACATAATGGGTTTGCGACCAGCATGGATCCAGACCAGCCTGCGCAGTCTGATCAGGATCCATGCTATTCGCTTACCAACCCTATTACAAGTAGAGAAACTGATAGCGAACAGCATGGATCCTGATCAGACTGCGCATATATTATGGACATGCCCTGATATATATATGGAAGCATTTAGTTTAAGAGGTAACTGAAAAGGGTATCATATTAACTTTATACGCCACCTACAGAGAATGGAAAAGAAGGCTTGTCTGTTTCTATACTGGTGCCATAGGTGCCAAAAGTCATCATTAATGTAGCTAATAATAAAGTTTGGACTTGAGTCTGACCAGAAATCATAGAGGTGAAGGCGGGACTGGATGTATACTGGTGTTACTGGAAAGTAATAATGATAGCATGAAGCTGCCTAAAGTTATGTAATCATTAATGTAGAGTCTGGTCAAATTGCAGGGATGGCATTATGTTTAACTAGGTCAATTCTAGTATATTGCTTATGTTAAAAAAGTTTTATTTAAAAAAGTATGCTGCATAATTTCAAAAAAAAAAAAGACTTTATATACAACTTTTCTCATTTATTCCTACTTTCTGAAGCTGATATCTATACAGAACATACATATATACATACATGATTTAGGCAGTTATCAAACAGAAACATATATTTGAATTTTTGCAGACAGTTCAAATGAAGTGATAGAGTTTTCTGACGTGTGTAGGGAGTATCTGGGTCGTTGGGCCGAAGTTATTGCGTTTGTTTCATCTCTTCTGACACTCCTCGGAGGGATGATCGTCTACTGGATACTTATTTCAAACTTTCTATATAACATTGTAACATTTATATATCGTAAGTTCAGTTGTTACATTTATATATCGTAAGTTCAGTTGTTATGTTTATATATCGTAAGTTCAGTTGTTACATTTATATATTGTTAGTTCAGTTGTTATGTTTATATATCGTAAGTTCAGTTGTTATGTTTATATATCGTAAGTTCAGTTGTTACATTTATATATCGTAAGTTCAGTTGTTACATTTATATATTGTTAGTCCAGTTGTTATGTTTATATATCGTAAGTTCAGTTGTTATGTTTATATATCGTAAGTTCAGTTGTTATGTTTATATAATGTTAGTTCAGTTGTTATGTTAATCTATCGTAAGTTCAGTTGTTATGTTTATATATCGTTAGTTCAGTTGTTATGTTTATCTATCGTAAGTTCAGTTGTTTTGTTTATATATAGTAAGTTCAGTTGTTACATATATATATATTGTAAGTTCAGTTGTAATATTTTTATATCCTAAGTTCAGTTGTTATATTTTTATATCCTAAGTTCAGTTGCTACATTTATATATCGTAAGTTCAGTTGTTACGTTTATATATCTTTAGTTCAGTTGTTACATTTATATATTGTAAGTTCAGTTGTTACATTTATATATTGTAAGTTCAGTTGTTACAATTATATATCATAAGTTCAGATGTTATGTTTATATATCCTAAGTTCAGTTGTAATATTTTTATATCCTAAGTTCAGTTGCTACATTTATATATCCTAAGTTCAGTTGTTACGTTTATATATCTTTAGTTCAGTTGTTACATTTATATATTGTAAGTTCAGTTGTTACAATTATATATCGTAAGTTCAGTTGTTATGTTTATATATTGTAAGTTCAGTTGTTATGTTTATATATTGTAAGTTCAGTTGTTATGTTTATATATTGTAAGTTCAGTTGTTATGTTTATATATTGTAAGTTCAGTTGTTATGTTTATATATTGTAAGTTCAGTTGTTTCATATATATATTGTAAGTTCAGTTGTTATATTTTTATATCCTAAGTTCAGTTGCTACATTTATATATCCTAAGTTCAGTTGCTACATTTATATATCCTAAGTTCAGTTGCTACATTTATATATCCTAAGTTCAGTTGCTACATTTATATATCCTAAGTTCAGTTGTTATGTTTATATATCGTTAGTTCAGTTGTTACATATATATATTGTAAGTTCAGTTGTTATATTTTTATATCCTAAGTTCAGTTGCTACATTTATATATCCTAAGTTCAGTTGTTACGTTTATATATCTTTAGTTCAGTTGTTACATTTATATATTGTAAGTTCAGTTGTTACATTTATATATTTTAAGTTCAGTTGTTACTATTATATATCGTAAGTTCAGTTGTTACAATTATATATCATAAGTTCAGATGTTATGTTTATATATCCTAAGTTCAGTTGTTATATTTTTATATCCTAAGTTCAGTTGCTACATTTATATATCCTAAGTTCAGTTGTTACGTTTATATATTGTAAGTTCAGTTGTTACAATTATATATCGTAAGTTCAGTTGTTACAATTATATATCGTAAGTTCAGTTGTTACAATTATATATCATAAGTTCAGTTGTTATATTTTTATATCCTAAGTTCAGTTGCTACATTTATATATCCTAAGTTCAGTTGTTACGTTTTTATATCTTTAGTTCAGTTGTTACATTTATATATTGTAAGTTCAGTTGTTACAATTATATATATGGTAAGTTCAGTTGTTACAATTATATATCGTAAGTTCAGTTGTTACAATTATGTATCATAAGTTCAATTGTTATGTAAAGAGGTTCGAAGTTAATTGTTATATTTTCTTTTTTTTTCAAACATCAAAGTAAATTTTATGTTTCTGTCAAATTTCTTCAACACAGAAAGCTCTAAAGATCCTGTAACACACATTTTTATGGTTATATATCATAAATATGATGCTCAAATTAAGATTTGTCAATTTTGTAAGTTCCAAAAAGCATTATTTATAAAGATATTATGGAATTAAACATTTCTTGTAAATAAAGGGAGATAATAAAATAGTTATTTTCTATAAAGTCTAAGTCATATTTTTCAATAAGAAATAAATGCATATTTAATGATTACATATAATATGTACAAATATTTGCAGTACAAACTTTACATATTCTTTGATGTTTGAAAATTGTTTTATAAGCATAATTATATACATATATATATTATTTCACTTAAGTGTGGTATACAACCTTAATTACAACATACAGGATCTTTAATCATTAAAAGATATAGTGTAAGTAACAAACTAGCTCTGTGAAAATATTTCGGGTAAAGAATCATGGTTTTCCTCAGATATATTATGTTATAAATTATGTTATCTTAGACTGTATATTGTTATTTTTTAGGTTATTTTAGATTGTACATTATGTTGTTATATTTCAGATCAGTCTCAGGGTGAAGACATATCAACCTCTGGAAGCACTGGTATGTTTAACTATAAAACTTAATACTTGGAAACTAATCAACCATTTATACATGTAGTTAAAAATTACTTTAGTTGGCCTGCTTAGCTCAATAGGGAGAGCATTAAATTTTTGTAATCAAGGGGTCACTGGTTCAATCCTTAAGCAAGATGAGGACTTTGAGTCTCTTGGTCATTAGTCTTTCACAAATGATTCAGAAATCACATGGAAAAAGAAGTCAGTCACTATAGGAGATATTTGGTAATTACTGGTTAATTATCCATATGATTCATAGTTTACCAGTAAGGTATAGGTCAAAGTTGAGACTGGTTTGATTCACATACTTTCATACAGGGTTAGAGTTACAGTTCAACTTGTGTTCAAGGACTGGCCTCTGAAAATATGTTAAAATGACCTTCGTTATTGGCATTCATTATCAAAATGTCACAGATTTTACTGTACATCATAAGTAAAATGTAACAATGTTTATTTTATATTTTGCAGATCCTATATGTCCATCAAGATCTCCACAACCTAATCCTAACCACACTTCACCAAACATCTCCATGGTAACTGGGGACCATTCCCATGATGCAACATTTTCAAGATGGTGGGATGAGCAGAAAACGGTTCCCATAATGCTCATAGCTGTTGTATTTCCTCTCATAAATTTTAAATCACCTACATTCTTCACAAAATTTAATGCCTTAGGTAAGTATGTCTATAATTATCCCCCGCCGATGGAATCGGGAGGGGGATATAGTTTTGGCGTTGTCCGTCCGTCGTCCGTCCTTCCTTCCGCACTCACAGGACAGTAATTATGTGGCTAGAGGGACAATAGGTAACTGTTCTTTCTTTTTGATGTCATTCATTCCGTAATGCTTTTATGTGACTATTTTCTTTTATGTGGCTAAAAGGAACAATAGAGAGAACAATAGAGTAGCCACATTATTACTCTCCTGTTAGAACGTCCGTCCTTCCGTCCATCCATCCGTCCGAATTTCGTTTCCGCGCTACTTCTCTGCAACTACTGGCTGGAATTCAACGAAACTTTATGGGAATCATCAATATCAAGAGGAGATGCGCATATCGTCGGCTTGTTCTGGTCAGACCCTTTAACTCATAGTTATGGCCCTTAATTAGTTATGTAGTATGCATATAGAGTAAAAATCGTTTCCAGAGTAGTTCTCTGCAACTACTGGCTGGAATTCAACGAAACTTTATGGAACCTTCAATACCAAGAGGAGATGTGCATATCGTCGGCTTGTTCCGGTCAGACACTTTAACTCAGAGTTATGGCCCTTGATAAGTTATGCAGTATGCATATGGAGTAAAAATCGTTTCCGCGCTACTTCTCTGCAACTACTGGCTGGAATTCAACGAAACTTTATGGGAACCTTCAATACCAAGAGGAGATGCGCATATCGTTGGCTTGTTCCGGTCAGATACTTTAACTCAGAGTTATGGCCCTTGATTAGTTATGCAATATGCATATGGAGTAAAAATCGTTTCCGGAGTAGTTCTCTGCAACTACTGGCTGGAATTCAACGAAACTTTATGGGAACCTTCAATATCAAGAGGAGATGCGCATATCGTCGGCTTGTTCCGGTCAGACCCTTTAACTTAGAGTTATGGCCCTTGATTAGTTATGTAGTATGCATATAGAGTAAAAATCGTTTCCGCACTACTTCTCTGCAACTACTGGCTGGAATTCAACGAAACTTTATGGGAACCTTCAATACCAAGAGAAGATGGGCATATTGTTGCCTTGTTCCTGTCAGACACTTTAACTCAAAGTTATGGCCCTTGATTAGTTATGCAGTATGCATATCGAGCAATAATCGTTTCTGCACTACTTCTCTGCAGTTACTGGCTGAAATTCAACGAAACTTTATGGGAACCTTCAATACCAAGAGGAGATGTGCATATCGACGGCTTGTTCCGGTCAGATACTTTAACTCAGAGTTATGGCCCTTGATTAGTTATGCAATATGCATATGGAGTAAAAATTGTTTCCGGAGTAGTTCTCTGCAACTACTGGCTGGAATTCAATGAAACTTTATGGGAATCATCAATATGAAGAGGAGATGCGCATATCGTCGGCTTGTTCCGGTCAGACCCTTTAACTCAGAGTTATGGCCCTTAATTAGTTATGTAGTATGCATATGGAGTAAAAATCATTTCCGCACTACTTCTCTGCAACTACTGGCTGGAATTCAACGAAACTTTATGGGAACCTTCAATACCAAGAGGAGATGCGCATATCGTCGGCTTGTTCTGGTCAGACACTTTAACTCAGAGTTATGGCCCTTGATTAGTTATGCAGTATGCATATGGAGTAAAAATCGTTTCTGCGCTACTTCTCTGCAACTACTGGCTGGAATTCAACGAAACTTTATGGGAACCTTCAATATCAAGAGGAGATGCGCATATTGACGGCTTGTTCCGGTCAGACACTTTAACTCAGAGTTATGGCCCTTGATTAGTTATGCAGTATCCATAATATAGAAAAATATTTGTTTCCTCGCTACTTCTCTGCTACTACTGGCTGGAATTCAATGAAACTTTATGGGATACTAAGAGGAGATGTGCATATAGTCGCCTTGTTCCGGTCAGATACTTATAACTCAGATTTATGGCCCTTGATTAGTTATGTAGTATGCATACATCTCATTGGCATTTCCAGATTTTACTATTTAACACAAAGTTATGGCTCTGTTATTGCCCTGAATATTTATCAAGTTCAAAGAATATTACTGTTTATGCCATGATTAATATATAAATAAAGCCTTATGTCTTCAGTTGTTGTGTTAATAATAACCAGTACTCGGCAGGGGATATAAATTCAACGAATTTGCTTGTTTTATTTAAGATGTAAGAATGCTTAATCTGTAGGCCTTTTTTATGAAGAATGAATTGTGTAAGTTTCTAGTAGATTGTTTACAGAAGGTAAAGGTCACTTGTTATTTCATATACATTTTTGCCCAAATTTATCTTTTTTATATTCTTTCAATTACTTCAAATCAAAATGTGAACTTGGTATGCATGCTTCTTTCAATGACCTGAAGTGTGGTGCACAAGAATCTTTACTCTGTCCTTCTTAATTTTTTATCTTACAAATCTCACCAGAAAAGATTAACAAGTATTTCAATCCAGGTACATGTATGTATTTCAATTTTGTGTTTTTTAGTTATAAGAAAGCATTAAACATGAGGGATATTATTGTATTATTTCAGGTACTATATCAGTAACATACCTGGTTTGTTTTGCTATGAAAAATGCCATCAGTTGGGGTGTTCATCTAGATTTCCACAACACATCTAGTCCAGTATATGTACATGGTAAGTTAACAGAAAAACCTGTGCTTTATGGTTAATGTGAATTTCATGTGGTCAGATAATAATCAGGACTTTTATTTAGCTTTTCTGAGCATAAAACTTTGTTTCTGCTTGCTCCTGCGTAAAATTTTTTACGGCTATGAAATTTGGGTCTTCCTTCATTAATAGATGAGAGCTTTGTACAAATATATGTATTTGGAACTTCTGTTTAACTAAGTTCAAGAAAAATGTTATAATAAATGGGTTTTTGAATACGACTAAATTCTGTTTAATACTGTCAAACAATACCTACAAGCAAATGTCTTCTATCTCTGGATTGAAAAATTGCACCATTTACTTGTTGGTGTATATGAGTAAAGAAATTTATGAATTTGTTGAACATTTTGCAATGTATTATACTATATTATTGATTTTGATTTGCGTTGTTCTTAATATTAATCATTGTTCACACTCTTACATTTGATTTTGATGAGGAATGGCTGTTGATTAGGGAAGTAGTTTTTCCACATTATGTGTAAGGTAATGGACCTACTTTTAGTTGACATAAAATGCTGAAATTCTGCTGAAAACATCCGATGGAATTGTTCTTCTTTGATTTTAGAATGGTTTAGTTTTAAAGAAATTTCAAGGTGAAAGATGAACCAATCACTCAAAAAACAGACACACCAGTCCTCTTATGCTGAGGTGAAGATTTGACCTTGTGTGAAATGCATGAAATACTATAAAATGTTTCATCATTCAACATACAGGTTGCTTTAAAATGGTCCATTACTTTAACAAGTTCTATCATAAGCTTAGTTGTATCATGAGTTTATCTACAAATGTTATATGTATTTCTTCACATAGAATACAGGAATACATTTCCTGCATTTACTGGCGTAGCCGTCTTCGGTTACTTTTGTCAAAACAGTGTTATAGCTATAACACGACCTCAAAAATATCCTCAGCGTCGTGTAAGTACGAAATGTGTACTCACAAAGACCCCCTGCATTTGACCTGCTTTTGTGTAAAGGCTCAGAGATGTCCAAAGTGTTAGACGGACATGAACCAGATATAGTTCTCCTTATTCCTTTGTTAGCTAGGACAGAAGTCACCTTGGACAAAATCTTTCCTGCTCTTTATCATTTAAGATCATCTTATCACATTTATTAACTGGATCTTCAAAAATACCCTGATAAAGAAAACAATATTGTCTCTCAGTAAGCTTTAATTGTAAATCTTACACATTCACACTATTTAATATGTATTTTTTTTATTTTGACCACTGTTTTTTTTTTTACTAAATATGGCAAAGGTCAAAGTTGAAGTTGTTCTTCCTCATATATATTGTTGATTTGAATGCTGCCACTGTTTAATCAATTGAGTTGATTATTTGTTGTGTATACAAAAAAGGTTCAAAGTTTATGGTTGAAATGGCCTTAATATTTGGGGAATGTAAATTTCTAACTAGAAAATTCTGTAACCCTGTAGTCTCAATCTTTGTATCATGTTGCTTTATTGTTTTCTGTTGAATGTTACATTTGTAGATGACAGCATGTCAAAGGTCAATGTCACAGTAGTTGTGATATGATTTATTCCAATACAATCCATAAATTGTGAATACATTGATTTGATTTGTAAAAAAAATTTAATGTTCATGGTCACATTTTTATAGTATATAATATTTGTATGGACTCTTATTAACAACTTATTGTAGCCTTGACATTAATATAAGCAAAAAATAAGGTCAAAGGTCAAATTTGTTTTTATGAAGAAATTTTAGATAAAGTTTATCCCAGATGTTTATTGCTGAATATGGTTGTTTACAGATTCTGAATTAGTTTTCATGCAGGTTTATAGTGAGGGGTTTTCCAACCTCACAACAAAGCGAAACTAAACTGATAAATATTTGTAGTATATAGTAGATACTATTTTGATATTTTCTTGTATCACCATTTACACATGCACAATTTTACTATGATTTACAACTCTTATAGCTACAATGTAGTTTTATTTACAATGTATTTCTACAGAATACAAGAATTCATTTCCTGCATTAACTGGAGTTGCTGCCCTTGCATTTTTTGTTCAAAATTGTGTTCTATCAATCACAAGGGCTCAAAAATACCCTCAGTATATAGTAAGTACCATGACAAAAAATGAATTGTTGATCACTGGCTAAGTATAAGCCCAAGAGGTATGCACTTTCAATGTACATTACTTCCCTTTTTTTATGTTTCTCCAAATTTTGAATTGTTCTTTTCGAATATATTTTAGGGGCTAGCATAAACCTCAACTTTTCCTTTTACCTAAGTTCCTGTTTTACACTCAGATTCTATAGTATGTGTTTACCTTAATCCATGTTTTACTGAATTTGAAAAATGAACTTGTCCAGCTTTGAATTTGGACCAGTCCATTCAAAGTTGTCCAGCTTTGAATTTGGACCAGTCCATACAAAGTTGAAGGGATTTCAATATAATGATACCAAAATTGAGCTACAAACAGTATTGAGTCTGGCCTGGCTCTATATTGGTGGGTAAATGCTAATCTTGTTCTGTTCTAGGAGGGTAGAGGTTAAATTTGAAATCAGTGACTTATGTTTGAAGACTATAGTGACCCACATGGAAAAAAAATAGCAGAAAAAAAAGTGTACTTATTAATAAGTAATAACATATTGACGTTTTAATTTGAGATTAAAAACTTGGTAGTTACATTGTATATTAGATAAAATGATATTTTTTTATGAAATAATCATTTAAATTGAATAGATTTATTTGGTTCTTGATTTTTACGTCTTTTAAAGATTCTAGCGTTCTTCAAGATATCTTTAACTGTAGAATGACCTTGTCTTAATCAAGTTTGATATCTTGTAAGTAATGTAAGGAAATTATGACCCTCTCTATCATAACTGTCTTGTTATGGTCTTGGCTATAGATTTCATATGTTATGTTGGTAAAATATTTGTTTTCCTCTCTATAATAATTGCACATTCTCCTTGTCTGTATATATTCAAACAATAGTTCCAGTTTATTTTAGCAGATATCAAATAAGATTGTAAATAAAAAAATGAAAAAAGATAGAATATATTAAAGCAATGATGATTTAATAATGCAGTATGAAATGGATAGTTGAGTGACTTTTTAAACAATGGGTAACAGTAAATCTTTTTAAGATTTTATTCAGTTTGTTACTTATTTCGGATAGGAAATGTATTGTTTGTTTTATTAAAAAAGGAAATTTGTCTTTTGACTATACATGTAAAAGGGAAATTTGGTTATTTGGCTTAAAAGAAGAAAAAGAAATTTGTTTATTTGACTAAAAAATGGAATTTTATATAATTGACTAAAAAATAGAATTTTGTTTTACTAAATTAGGAATTTTTTTTATTTGGCTAACAAAAAGACAATAAGACATTATAATGGCTAAAAATAAAACAATATGAAGAAAAATAGGGTAGCTACTTATTTACTTATAAATTAGGACCTAAAATATCACTTCTTTATTTAATTAGTACATACATATAATGATGAAATTGTCAATTTCAGAATTTTTATTTTTGTAGTAAACATTAACTATTCGTTTATAAAATGATTATCAAGTATATACAAAGATTGGATACCCACCTATTGTGCACATTTACCCCCATACCATACGCACATGATATTTTATTTTCAGAAGTAAAGAGCACATTCCCATCGTTAACTGGCATATCAGCACTTGCATATTTTGTACACAACTGTGTATCTGCTATTACACGTTTACAGAAACACCCAGAAAATACTGTAAGTATTTGTAAACAATTGTGATGATATTTTGTTTTACATGTTTATCAGAATAGTTTATAGACAATAGTGTATTTACTTTAACACATGACAATAAACACCCAGAAAATATCATGGTTAATTGTGATTTTTACTTCTGCATGTTTTCCAGAATAGTTCATAATAATAGTGTATTGGTTTTAACATGATTACAGAAACTATCAGAAATGATATGTAAGTACCGTATTAGTGAACAATTGTGAAGTTTGCTTGTTCACTAAAATACTTGAAAATACATATCAGCAGTTTTTGATCATTTATTGCAGTTGTAAAGTTTGCTTGTTTACTAAAATACTTGAAAATATTGTAATACATATAAGCAGTTTTGAACATTTATTGCATAATAGTAGCATTTGCTAAAACACAAGAAAGTATAAATATTTATTTAAGATGAAAAATATGAATTAAGAGTTTGCATAGATATTATGCTGATAATTCAATAATTTAAAAACTACCACATGACAATTTTATGCATTTTATAGGGTATTGCATCAACCACAATTGTAATATTTTGTTAGATATGTTTTTAATAGTCTGGAATGAAAATGTTTATAGTTGTTGTACAATAAATTTTTGGCCATCTGGAACGCCATCTTAAGTTCCTCAGTTCCCCAACCATTTTGAGGTATAAGTAAATCTGATTTCATAATCAAGAGACCCAGCCAACAATGTTGGTATATGAAACCTATTTTTTTATGATCAATGACTAGCTACTGGTCCCAGTAAGCAAGGAATAATAATAATAATAATAATAACTTTATTTACCGAAGGTAACACATTAAGACATATACAGGTTGCAACATCTTATTTACAATGCGGCCTTCTAAAATAAAAATAAAAAACACACTTACACAAAAGAACACATATCAATCAAAGAAAATATAACATGTAAAAAGAAATGATTAAATGGTTATCACAATTTTAACATATATTAACACATATACTGAACATTCATACAATTCATTCTATTTATCATTAAACATATGGGAGCTTTTTGGCAGCCCTGTAAATTCACATGTATAGTTATTCAATACATGTATTACGGTATTTATGAAATTTCAAAGAGTCTGTGTAAGATATGATTCAAGGGAGGTAACTGTTAAATAAACAGTTCATCTAGAAAGTCCAGAAAATAGATTCTTCTTCATGCTCTGAAACAGCTGCCAAACAGATAATTATAATAGTGGGTGTAATTGTTATCACTACAAACAATGCACAGAACATTATCTTATCAACTGCCTTGCCGACTTCCTGCCATGTTAAATTTTCAGTGTTGTCTGCTTCAGAAATAACAGTATTGTCACTCCTTTCCTTCTTGACTGCCTGCAGATCTGTTGCCTTAATTTTGTTTTGTGAGTTTTCAATACCGTTTTGTTTGCTCTCTATCCTGTTTCTACCAAGTCGGGAAATTTTTAATATTAATTTGTAAGGCGATGAGATTGGAATAGCTGTATCTCTTTCATAAAGAAAGTTATTGAAAATGACAATTACAGTTGATACCATGCTAAAAAGTGTAGCAAAAAGAATATAAACACACATAATTGGGACAGGGTCACCTTGTTTTGGTAATTCATCCGTGATGACAGTCAAAAACACACTTAAAGACAGCATAATTGTTAAAGAAAAATCTATGCGTTCCGTTGTTGGTATAAGAAAAGCAAAACAGTTTAAGGCTCCAATTCCGTTCATTGGAATGATGATAGTTAGAATATAAAAAGTAGGTTGTCTTTCATAAATCAGTCTGTATGTTATGGTTGGCGGATTATTTACACCAATTCTGTACGGAATCGAATCTGTTTTCAAGAACCATCCACCATTTTGAATATAGTATTGAGTTGAAACAGAAATGTTGTTAGCAACAATCTTCATCTTGTCCATGGTATAGTCGACAGAAACGAATGTTAAATAACATGCATGCTTGTCAAAAGGCCAGTATTTCATATTGAATTTACAAGAAGTCTCATAAACATCTCCGGGAGTAAATTCGGCAAATCCTGCAGAGGTGAATTTTATACGCATCCCTGATCCAGATAAAGGTTCAAATGTCATTGATTGAGCTATAGTAATCGCTGGTGACCAAACAGCACTAATTTTGATATTCAAATTTTCAATTCCATTATACTGGGCTGGCATCCATGTGATGCGCTCATCAATCCAGTATGATGTAAGAACCAAAGCTGTTGAAATAGATCCATGTATAGGGTCCACATCCGGTTGACTGTAGAGTAATAATGTGACACCAACGTTTATAACTTCACTCTGGTTGTTTAATGGAATGATGTCAGCATCATATGATGTCAAAAGTGATTTTTTTAGATCTGTTGCATTTTCATATGACTGGCTGTTTACCTTCCCACATTCATTTAATATAAACAGGAGTAGTGGTATAGGTACCTTCAGTAGTACAAGAATTTCTTTCGCCATTTTCGAAAAAAAAATCCTCCTTTGAAAACTTCTATTTTTAATTGGTTATCACAAGTGGTGTATTGATTTAAATTGATTAATGAAGTATTCATAAATGAATAATCCATTGAAGAAAAAATCAATTGTGCACTTTTTGTTATACCAAATACAATCTAGGAGTATTTGTAGTTTAAAATCCAAAGTTTATATATAGCTTGTAGTGGTGCAGAAGTTGTTACATCCTAGTGTCACTTTGTATTGTAAAAACTTTAATCCTATTAAAAGAACTTTTATCAGTACTTTAATTACTTTAAAGTACTAGTATAATTAATTATATGAGATGAAAAATATACATCTAGTTTATTTGAATTTCCTGTTACACTTTTTCATATACAAGTATACTGTTCCGTATTCCAAAAGAAAATAAAAGCTAGCTGCAGTTTTTGATAATTCAAGATTTATATGGCATAATTTAATAACTGGTGATACAATTCATTTAAGGTGATATTTATTATCAGATTATAATTACATTGGATAAAATTTTAACTAACACTTGGCGTGATGAGCAAAATTGATTGATCATTGGAGAATTATTTACTTTCAATTTGTGTTTAAAATTATGACCACATCCACTCACTATTGTCCAAACAAAGTGCCCATTTATTGATACCCTATACTGGATGAGTGAGAATCAATACTTAGATTTTAACCTTTGTTTCAGTCATCATTGCAATGCTGTGTTTATAATAATATGGTTATTATATAAGGTCACCTTAGTGCAGTAACAGGTTAACTATTTATATGATTTAATAGTAGTTAGCCTGTTACTGCACTAAAGTGACGATAAGTAACTTGATCTGGAACGTTTAACTATGTGATCCTTTCTAGTAAAATGTATGAGAGCTTAATACATGTAACATGATCAAGAAAACTCCAGTTATAACACTTTTATTATATACCTTTTCAAATTGAGACTACATATTCACGCCATAACGTAATTTGAAAAGTGCCAGTTACACCATTCTGGAGTGCACTTGAGTGTGATAAAGACCTTTTTTGTGTCGGATTCTATTTGTAAATGCGATACATTTAGTAAATGTAGAAAAATAAATGGACAGGTATATAATAATGTTTTTTTTTGGGCCATTGATTGTGATTGTGAAAGCTTGAATCTTTGCCAACAAATTTTGAGCGTGATTCCTGGAAAGCAGTACTTTTGTCATTCGTAGTCAGGGATGTAACCCACGCTGAGTTTAGAGGCATACAACTTAACCACTAGGCCACTGCTTACCTGTCTGATTCAATCTCTGTTTATTGACAAAATGTAAAAATGACCCATTAATGACCTTTTGTTACATCAGTCTAGGGATTTTAAATATTGATACCATTCTACTATTATTGATGTCATTCATTATTAAGCAATGGTCCAGTGATGACACAGTCTGACAACAAAGCCAGAAATCTCAAGTTAGATTGCCCGCTGCTCTTACTAATATAACTAACAATTTTTTTGCCAAAAAGTTTTCGTGAAGACTATAGATTAAATTATGTCATGCATACAGCTTTTTGTATGGAAAGAAAGTATTTGAATTTGTGTTTAGGGGAGAATTTATTATATGCCTTGGATAAGACAATTATATTTTTGAAAAAATATATTGATAAATTGTAGAAATACCAAACTTAATCAAGATAAGTATAAGTTAAAAAATATATAAATAAGATAAATTAGTAGTTAAAAAATATATAAATATACACAATTTGCATTTAATTTTGAATGTTTTATACAAAATACAAGTAACCGTGCAGAGTTTACAATTTTTATCATCATATTTCTGCATATTTTTGCATGTTATAAATATTCTATTGCATAGTTAAGGCCTTATGCCAGCTTTAATCTCTTTAAGCTTACCATACTAAATATCTTAAATGGAGAGAAAATTTCATAAGAAGTATTGACTGAATAGTGAACACTGCAGACCATTATCAGATGACACGGATGTGACGGCTGATCTTGGACTGCACTGGTCACATGGGTAGAATTAGTTGCCACCTGCAGGCTTAGAGTCAATGTATATATTATTAGTTATAAAGATTTTTGACAGGTTATATGGCCCTATATAAACGCTAGGCAAGAGTTATATTGCAAACAACCATTTATATACTGCCATATATCATGTCAGAAATATTTATAACAAATTTATAATACAGCAAGCATCCTTTTTTAGAGGAATATGAATCAACAGCGGCCGTGTATATAAAACTACATAAGTGTCACGATTATCCAATGAAAAGCAACTTAACAAAAGTGCAGTATTATAAAAGAGTATATATAAAATTATATCATTGTGGTAATTCAAGTTTTGTATTCTTACAGGTTCGTGATTTGATTATAGCATATGTGCTAGTAGCTTTGACCTACATCTACATGGGTGTGATTGTGTATGTCTCGTTTGGTCTGGACAAGGACTGTCTAGAGGACGTAAGTTGCCTTCTACATGTCAAATGACTTTGCTCGAATCTTTTTGATAACCTTTTGTTTAGACATTAGCTAACTATTTTCTCTAAAATCTATTTTCTCTAAATTCTCACAGGTTGAGATATTAGATTTGAATGATAAATTTTAACTTCTATTAAAGAAGGAGATAACCCATTACTGCACTAGTTGATGAAATATAGCTACCTATGATGATGAGGGTATTTCCTTTAATCCAATTGTTCTAAATGTTACTGCAAATCTCTTGCTTTATATTAATTAAAATGAACTTTCTTCCAAACGCCTTGATTTGATATTAAAATTCTAACAGTTAATTTCATTATGATAAGAAAATATTCCCTTTGATTTCAGAATTTTCTCAACAACTTGAAGGACACAAATGTGATGGCATTTGTTGCGAGAATTGGTCTCTTCTTCCAGATGATATGTGTTTTCCCTCTTCTAGTTTTCATCTTCCGCCTACAGTTCATGAACTCTCTTTTTGGTTCCATTTGGCCAAGGTAGAAATGATTAATTCTCTGTGCAGTTTACAATTTAGGAACCCTGATGTTTGGTACTATTTTAACTAAAGGAAAAAATTAGATCATTCATTTTATAATATTGACAGTTCTTGTATACTCTTTTTTCAGTAACATTTGGCCAAGGTGAGAAAACATGATATTATTTATGGTTCATGAACTCTGCTTTTGGTCCTGTTGTGCAGAGGTTGGAAAACTGATTCATGCACTTAATGGCTTAGTTCATGAACACTGTTTTCAGTTTCATTTAGCCATGGAATTAATTCTCTACTTCGTTCCATTTTCCCAAGGTTAAGATATAAGATCATAACTGCTGCCTCATGAACTCTCTTGTTCCATTTGGCCAAGGTTATAAAACTAGAATCATTATCATAATTCTTTATTTGATTCCATTTGGCCAAGGTTATAAAACTAGAATCATTATCATAATTCTTTATTTGGTTCCATTTGACCAAGGTTATAAAACCAGATGATTATCATGATTCTTTATTTGGTTCCATTTGACCAAGGTTATAAAGCTAAATCATTATCATGATTTGGTCACGAATTGGCCAAGGTTATTTATAAACTAGATCATTACAATGAACTCTTTTTGGTTTCATTTTAGCCAAGGGTTAAAAGGATAGATCATACATTTGCAATACAATTCATGAACTCTTGTTTGAATAGTAAAAGGAATAACAGTCTTACAAGTGAAGAAGTAGAAACTAAATTATAAGATACTGAATATTAGTTGTAAAAGTTGTTCCGCTTTAAAAGCAGGATTTTCATCACATTTCAGTTTAACACATGTGCTGTTGCTCAACTCTGCTCTGATAGGTGTTTGTATAATATTTGCTGTGTTTCTGCCACATATTGGGAAAATCATTGGGTAAGTACACCTGTATTGTAATGATTGAATTTTATCTCAGATAATGAATCGATTTATTTATATTTATTATTTTATATCTCAGATTGTGTTTGTTTGGTTTATACAGAATTTATTTTAGTTAGATTGTGTAGGAAGCTATAAGCTTATAGACACACTTTCGAATCCGTTCCTGGAACCAACCAGTACTGAGCAATGAGTGTGAAGTTTCTTGCTCAAGGAAACAACGACTTGCCCCTGACGGGGCTTGAACCCATGCAGCTAGCGATCATTAGATAACTAGTCCGACGCGTTTAATTAACCACTCGGCCATGACACCAAACATGGTGTTTGTTTGGAAGAAATATAATGTAAAGAGTTCTAGGAATCTTGCCAATTAAGCTTCAAAGCTGGAAACTCGCCATTTTAGCTCCAAAGCTGGAAACTTGTCAAATGACTATAAGTGTGTCAATGCAAATTATTTACATTAGAACTTCGGTAAGCCAAAGTTGAAGAGCACGCAGTTGTGTAATTATACCCTGTCACACAAGTTGATCTGAAATCATCTTCGTGGCCAGAAAAGGTGTGAAAATGTCTCGAGACCAAAGGTGTCAAAATATTCAAGGGACTTCATCTTCTTAGTGGTAGATTGTACTTGATTTATTATTCTTTATGGACCACAGAATAACTTCTACACATCGAAAAAATCGACACATAAAAATTAAACTCATGTAAGGAATATATTGGGGTGAAAATCGGGACATCATTTTACTTCGACACAGCGAAAGAATCGACTAATCGAAGTTTGACTCATAGAAGTTCTACTTATATATATGTACCTCTTTAGGTCTTAAAGTTTTGAACCATACTCATTGTATTATTTCTTTGATGTATTTTTAGGTTTGTTGGTGCATTCTGTGGGTTTTCCTATGCTATTGCCCTACCTTGTCTTGTTTTCATGAAGATACGACACCAAGCAGGGACATTAACTCTACCAATTATCATCTTCCACTCATTTCTCATTTTGATTGGACTTGGTAACTTTATAGGCCAGTTCTTACTACTTGGTTAAGTAGCAATGGTCAGTTTTGATGAAGTTGTAAAAAAAGAAAGAGGACTTGAGGTTGATATTAGTCTCAGAAATAACACAGCAATGCACTATGCATTTCCACATTTGTATTCTGAAATATTTTACTTGTGTATATACAATAGAATAGTACATAACATGGTCAATATTTTATTTTCTTGCTTGAGTAAATTGAAAGATATATGCATTGGCTAGGAGTTTAGTTATACTCAAGAAAAGTATCATTAAACATTTTTTAGTATCATCAAGGGAGATAATTTTTAAAAATTAAGCAAGGTAGAATTATGGTAAATTGAAAGATGTATGCATTTGCTATTACTTCAGTTTTCCTGATTCAAGTAAATAGTGTGAATAAGTTTACTTCGGGCTTTTAGCACTCCTTGTATGTTTTATTTTTTGGTAGGAGCATATAATTTGTTCTTAAAGAACTGTCATATCTTGATATGTTACTTTGTATAGATAACTCCATTTTGCTAAGGGTTGAAGATGGGAGGCATTAAGGCTAAAAATTGAGGATTTTTATATTTTTTTGTTTCTTTGGTAAGGATTTTAGCACGGACATAGTGGTATACAGGTGCATTCATTAGCATGATACATGCCTTAGTTCTAGAATAGTGCCTTTCTTGACTGCAGAATCTTTGTTTATTATTTACAATGTATGTTAATGGTTAATATTGTCATATTACATTATAAAGTACTCTTAATAACAGAATTAGAGGTATGTTAATGGTGCTTTTATGTAAGTTGCACTTTTTGTAAAACAAAATGTGATTTGTGAAATTATAAAATTGAAAAAAAAAGTCAAAATGCTTTATTGTGATAGTATATTTTCACTTGTGCAATGTTTGTATTATATAAAGGTCATGTATGGCCATTTTTCATTTATTTATCAAACTTTGTGAAAGTTAATTGATATTAATAATTTGTAGTGCTAGCATATAGACATACCTTTGTCATTTGTACAGAGCAAGACTGGTTGGCATTTTTATGTTGTCAGACCAAAATATTGGCCATGTGATTTACTTTTAATCTTGAAACCCCTGGCATAAAAACATATTTTCTTAATTTCCATGTCCGGCTTTCTTTTCAGTTAATTTACAAAACCAGTTTACATAGTGTTAAAAAGTAATTTTACTGAAAATAAAATGAATTGTTCTGAATCATTTTACATTATTAGACATACATGTATTCAAATGGTCTTTTTTTGCAAGTTGCTGTTATTTTTCTTTTTATTAAAGAAACTTGAAAATTAAGAAATATTTTCTTAGTAGTTAAAAATTGAAATTTTGAACATCGTTTTGACCATGTTTATTTGTAACTTTATAAATAGAAATGAATTATTTGTAAAAAAGACAAAACATTTTGTTAAAAATTCATTAAATCTTACTGCACAGTTGTAAATTTTACTATACTTTGAGGGGCATTTTAATCCAAATGTACTTGAAAGGACAAAAGTCTTAATATTGAACTGTGAACAAAAACCTGTTTCCAATACTCATGATATTTCTCCATTAATTTTGTTGTTATATTGTTATTTTGTTTACTTTGTTAATAGTGCTTACAATGTTATGAATATATTATTTTTCATTATTGATACCCATGTAAATGAAACTTTGTGAATATATTTGTGTGTTATTTGTACCTTGGATGTTATATTGTTACTAGAAACATTCTTTTCTCATAAAGTTATAAGTAAATTACATTCTTTTCTCATAAAGTTATAAGTAAATTACCCAAATTATCATATTTTGATGTATCCAATGGTTATATATCTGATATATTCATTGTTTTTCTGTGTCTCTGATAGATTCAGTGTTGTTTTCTACTTGTATCCAGTATTTTCTTTGTTTCTGATAGACTCAATGTTTTCTTTGTTTGATATATTCAGTGTTTTCTTTGTGTGATATATGTGATGTTTTCTTCATGTCTTATAAATTATATTTTTTTTGTCGCAGTCCTGTATATCAATTTCAATAAGGACTTAAGATTCTGTCATATGATGAAACTATCCCGCTGGTTCTAATCTGATTGCAGAGAGGGGACCAAAAGGTCCGCTTCCACCTGTCAAGTTACCATTATATTACCTTCATATTAAAGCCCTGTATTCATTACTGTTGTATGATCTTTATGAATCAGATTCAAGACAGATCTAGGACGTGTAGGAATATTTGAGCCGCGCCATGACAAAACCAACATAGTGCGTTTGCGTCCAGCATGGATCCAGACCAGCCTGCGCAGTCTGATCAGGATCCATGCTGTTCACTATCAGTTTCTCTACTTGGTATAGGGTTTGTAAGCGAACAGCATGGATCCTGATCAGACTGCGCGGATGCGCAGGCTGGTCTGGATCCAAGCTGGTCGCAAACGCACTATGTTGGTTTTGTTGTGACGCGGCTCATTTCATTTTGTATTTTTTCCCCTCGTTTTTTTGTACATCACTAGAGACCATATTATCAAATTCTTAAACTACATTGACATGTTTGCAATAATTAGATAACTACTATTATTTTTCATTACTTAAAAGTCCTCTCAATGAGACCTCCTCTTTAAAAAAACCCGTCTCTTATGACGTTCATAGTAGTAATAGTTAGTTAGTATTTATCACTCCCTGTAATTAACCTTAATGTGTACACCTTTTAACCCTTATATGTTACCTAAAGATATTTGCACCTTCCACACCTATATTAAAAACTGCCTTTAAATTATGTTAGAAGCCTTCCTCCTTGTCATGTGTTAGCATTAACTACCTTTAAATAATGTATGCACCTTACACCTTAAAATATTTGCACCTTTTACTACCTTTAAATGATGTTTTGTGCGTATGACCACCATATTTTCTTTTACAATCAAAACCTTTATACACATTCTCGGCTACCTACCTATGACCACCATATTTTACATTCTCAGTTACCTATCTTCACATTTTAACTGAAGTTATGTTTACTTTTTTTTATCTTTATTTTCATTTCAAAATGAATCATTATCTTGACTTACATGTATTGTACTGTAGACATTGCCATTTCTTGTTCACATGTGTATGCAATGAAGATTTTACAATTTATAAAAATAAATGGCTGCTTTGTTGTGTTTTTTTTCAACGAACTACTATGACATATGTGTATTAACAATGTAATAAATAGCAAAGCAGTAACTTTTGCTGCACTTTATACAGAAATATGGTTGTATTTTTCACTATATATTTTTTGTAAAGAAATTCAATGTCAAGAATAAATGTGAAATTTTTTTTAAGCTCTCTTTGAGTATGTAGAGTTGTTATTCATATATACAGTGCCCATATATTTTATGTTCCACAAAATACACATTTTATACATTCATCGCCTGCTCAATAGTTAAGAGCACCAGGTTTGTAATTAAGTGGTCGCTTGTACGAACCATGGGCGGTATGTTATGTCTCGGTGACAATGGATCTTTTACATTGAATCTTATGGTCATTTGTGTCTCACGACTAAGAAATCATGTTGGATCAGTAGTTTATCACTTGTTGAGAAATTGGTAATTATTGGTTAGTTAGTAAAAGCCAGTTAGGTCGACCATAGACTTTAATTGACAATTAAAGTCTATGGGTTGACTGACTGCAGCGATATGACCAAAAATGTGATAAACAGTCGGTGCCAGCAAACCGTGAGAATATTGTATGATAAATATTCATTTTTAACATCTTTTGATAATATTGTAGTCTTAAAACAGAAAAAGTTGCATATATTCTGGTTGCATTAAGTGTTAACATTCCAGATTTTAGTCTGTAGTTTTTATAAGATAGGTTTATTGAAATAGTATTATGCTCTATTGTTTGTTTTGATATTTTCAAATTAATAAACTTATATCTTTTTAAATAATCTACTATTCAAACAATATTCAAATTACAATGATATTTTGCCTAGTTTTTCTTAGAACTTGCAAATTCATTTATGTATGCTATTTACATATGTTGATAGGTAATCAAATCATTAGAATATAGAATACTTTAAACAATACAAGAATAGATATAAATTTTTCTGACTGTTACTATTTAAGTATGAAAAGTGACTTAAAATAATTTGGATTTGGGAGATCATTAAATATTTATTTTTTTCCAATTAAAATGTAAAAAAAAGTGTAATTCATTGTTGAATGTATGTAGTTGTTTTGTTTATTTAGCGGTTATTTTCACTTATTTTAAAAAAATTGAAAATAGCTACAAACTAACTTTCAAAGTATATAAATAAACCATGTCTAGTGAGGTTAAAAGAATGGATTTTTATTTATTGCAGTCATTTTGTTCAAATTTTAATGTGTAACAAATTAAGTATAAGCACAATGCAAATTTCACAATAATACACAATTGATGTTGTCGTAATTTTATGGGCTTTTTTTTTTTTTTGACTGACAAACTTTAATCTCCACATGGACCAAAATGACTGAAACTAAATGTAGCTCAGATATGTTATGATTTTTGCCAAAAGATATTCAAAACAACTTCTGCAGAGCAACATCGTGTTGGATACAATAAAATCTTGGTTGTTGTTGGGAGGTGTTTGCTCTAGAGAGGTTAAATTTATTATGAATGCTTACTCTTGAAAGTTGTTACTCTACAGAGGGCCACACTGCAGAGGTTACACTGTAATGTGTAAATTCTGTGATGTAAGATGAAAAAAGGTTGATTGTTGTTTCAAATGTTTATTCATATAAATTAATAAAAAACTATTTTTGACATGTAAAATTGTTGTTGTTTTTTTTTGTTTTCCCATCTCTCAGTGTGCACCTTTGAGTGAAGGAAATTTTTCAGTTTTATTGAAAATACACTTCCATACATATATACATAACAAGTAACAAATATTTCTTCATAAATAACACAAATATTTTCAAACAAGTACAATAATAATGTATGTACATAAAAGCACAGTTTAGACAAGTTCATTGTATCACAGAGATGTCTTTCATGGACGGAGAGAAACAACCAAAAGTGAAAAAAATAAGAAAAAAAATAAATTATTCCATGTTTTATCACTTTTTATAACCTAGTCAAATCCATATACAATGCATGTAAGTCATTCCTATTTACTGAAAAAGATGGTAGTTTATTGGCAGTCACCAGATCCTAATTATAAATACAGCCTACGTTTCTGGGAGAGGTTCTGCATCCTCTTTCAATATTCCTAGTTCTCGTAGGAAATTGGTTTCCACCTCAACATAAGCTTGATATTCATTTTTCTGACGATATTCAACCTCTTCATCTGTCAGGATAACATTCGGCGCAATCTAAAATTAGAACAGATTCAATTGTATTTTAAAAATGCTGAAATGTTGATATCATAAAGTCATAGTTAATTATTTAAACAATGTTACAATTACTTGTATAATATATACAATATTTGATTAATTTAAAAAACAATTGCATGAAAAAATTAAAATTGACCCCTGGTAGGTCTCTTGATCACTGTATCAATTTTTCAATATGATAAAACTTTAAATGAATGTAATAGTTGTGGTTTATAAATACTTACACCAGCCTTTCTTTTAGCTTCCGCCTCAATCTCACGTTTCTCAGTTTCTCTGAAGTCCCATCTCTGAACAACAAATGATCGTCTCTTAACCTCACGCTCTATATAATTTGCAACACCCGTCAGCTGAAATAGAAGAGGACAACTGTGCAATACTTTCAGGTACTGACCATCGTAATGCTGGTGGAAATTAAAACTTCTTTAGACCACCAATCAGCCTACACATCCATGCCTTCTACATGTATCTGACTACACTTTAGCTGTTTAATTCCAGTCTTTTGATATTGAAATCAATTGAAATGAAAGAAATAGTTCTAAATTGAGTCAGGGCAAGGACAGTGCTCTGAAAGAACTTTTTATTTTTTAGAAATTTTTATATCTTTATCTGCTGATAATATTGAAAGCAACAAAAAGTATTTATAGAGCTAATAGATATGGCATATTAAACATTCTGACAAAGCATGTTAAAACAATTCTAATGATTTGTTAATAAGTAGCAACACTTATCGCTTTACAGATTTTGAACTTTAAATATTAAATTTTATAAATTGGCTAAGGGGTAAAGAATAGACAATAAAGTAGAAATGGTAAGAGTTTTACCTCATTAGGTGTAGATAATCTTAAGCTCCATGGTATCTCTAGTATATGTAGAGTACCAGCATTGTCACCTACAGCCAGTAAATGCTGCTTGTCTGAAATACAAACCATTTGTACATAATTTATTTTAGTTCCATTGTGTAGGAAGCTAGAAACATTTTCAAATATGTTCCTGGAACCAACAAGTATTGAGCAATGAGTGTTAAGTTTCATACTCAAGGAAACAACCACTCATTACTAGTCAAATACATTTACCACTCGACCATCCCACCACTTGTTTTCCACGATCATCATAAAAAATCACTAAATGTAACTAATTTTACATGAATTTATACACAAATAAGTAATTATGAACATAGAAGAGTTTTGCCTTGAATTAATGAATTTATTCATGTAATAATCTTTGATAATTATAAACTTACGAGATACTGGGAACGGGTAGATAGAGGTGATGGCTACGGGTGACACACTCTGTGTGATTGAAGGCTCGTGTGTCTTGTCTAACAGGTCCCATACATCAACACTACCATCAACCTTGGAGATGTAGAACACGCCAGGACGTGATGGTGACCAGTGCCCAGATGTCAGGCGTACAGGATTTGGTGCTGATTGTAAAATTGGTCCCGACTGAAAAATTTATACAAATGAATAAGATGGTATAGAAGTCAAAGATTCATAGAAAATAGTATTGAACTATTCTGGAATGGATAAAGGGTGTCAAAGGGTTTAATACGGATGAATGTGGGTGGGGAATGGTAGTTGTCATGCAAATATTGATTTTGTTAGCAGATATTAAATAAACAAAAAGACTGCAATTTTTTTTTATAATGATCACAAGACCACAGACTATTATATTTTAGTAGACACTTAACATGTATATTAACATAAACTTAATAAGACATGTATATTAATATGAACTTAATGTCATGGGATATGGTTTCGAAACAAGCTTTTATCATACTTAATAGATATTTATACACAACACATCTTTTAAAGGACATTTCTGAATACAAAAAAAAATCAACATCACAATCATGCAGTGTGCAGTTCAAAAAACCTAAATAATATAACATAAAAATATGTCATTTTAAAAACAGGTGCAAGTATGAATATTCTGGCTGACATACATCACAATTTAAATCTGAAACAAGCATTTTTATCACACACAAAAACCTGAAAAAGATCATTTTCATTATAAACTCTCATTATGAGTATATTCTGGTTTTGTTGTTGTTGTTTTTGTTGTTGTTATGTTTTGGATTTTATCTTTATTATTGCTGATTGAAACAAAAAAAAATGGTGAAAAATCCAACTTATACTTATTTTGAAAATACTGATGATTTTGTTATATAAATGGTTTCCATGATGTTAATTCTAGCAAAATTCAAACTAAATTTTCTGGTCTGGATATTGCAAAACTATCAAAATTAAGCTTACAATTAGACATCTTCATATGATCCTAGTAATGACAAAACCAACAGTGCGTTTGCGACCAGCATGGATCCAGACCAGCCTGGGCATCTGTGCAGTCTGATCAGGATCCATGCTGTTCGCTTACAGACCCTATAACAAGTAAAGAAACTGCTAGCGAACAGCATGGATCCTGATCAGACTGCGCGGATGCGCAGGCTGGTCTGCATCAATGCTGGTCGCAAACGCATTACGTTGGTTTTGTCATGACGTGGCTCAAATCATAACCTTAAAGGAACTCCACTGCATTTTTTTACATGACGGACATGGGAATATTTTCCAGAGATTTGTGAATCATTAATGTATATATCTGACCCAATAACTAGTAGTGTGCACATTTTCAGATCATTCCTTCATCCCGTTATTTTTTTAGTACAGTTGTACATTAATTTTTATTGTACAAAATGACCTAAAAATGATATGCTTTGAAACAGTTTTCTGTCAAATCGATTTAAGAATTGCAAAGAAAAAAGGGTTGGTTTTTACTTTAATTCTGAGTATATTACTTTATTATCCTTTGCACTGTTTCCATCTTTAAGTGCTTCAATTGATCGATGAAAACATTTCATTTGTTATGTTTTTGGCATTTTGACCTCAGTGGAGCTCCTTTAATTATATTTCAATTCTGATCAAACTTTACACTTAACGTTTCATAAAAAATAACACCAAAAAGTTATGTTAAAATTGACTAAACACAACTGATCCCTAATTCCTTATTTATCATATAGCCTGATGCCGACTCATGGAACTCTTACTATCTGTACAATGGTCACAAACACACTGAAGAAAATAAGTTATGTCATCACAAAAAATAAATTCAATACTTCAAGCAACCAAAAACCTGAAAACATCAAAAGCATTACCGGTATGTTATTTGCAACATTTAGCTACTTTTAATATTATAACAGATATGTCATAAATCAACAAATACACGGGCACTATAATACCTTCAACGCTGCATTTTCTGTTGGATCTATCAATTTCGCCTATAAATATTATGCAATGTTTATAACCGCATCTTGGGAATATTGACATATAGGCCATATTACAAATTATAAATTTTGAGATCATAACTGATTTAGTATACCATTTTAAATAATTTAAACAATAATAACAATTTTAACTTTTCTTTTAATGTCTAAAACTAAATGTCTAGCTTGTATTTATATATTTATAATCCACTCAGATATGTATAGGTAAACTTCTGGTGGTATACACAGCCAAATTTGTGTACATTCATTTTAATTCTAAAATCCCTTAAACTTTGAATGGACTGTTCCAAATTCAAGGCTGGGCAAATCCATTACACAAATTTAGCGGGTTAAGGGGTTAAATTTAATGAACTTCTGAGGCCAAAATATGTTTTTGTCTACCTATACAAAATATGAGAATGACATCAAAATTAAGAACATATTCTAGCCTATAAACTGTTTACAATCAAGCATTTCAATGAAAAAATTCACATCAATCAAACATACATTATATTCAAATCATATAATATATTAACACACCCCTATTATCTATGCAAATTTTGGAACCAATTATCATTGAAAACTTTTAACATTTCAATACCAAAAATAAAAGCACACCAGTGTTAAAACAAATCTATACAATCTAAAAACCATTTTTTTGCAATAGTTTAATTAAATTCTTCAGACTCAAAACTGGCTTGTTAAAGATTCTCTTCTGTTTTGTGCAACCCATCATCAGATATGAATGTCTTAAAATCATTGTCAGATTCTGACAAATTAAGTTTATTGTAAAAGAAAATACAGTTGCAGAATACATGAAATTTAAAATGTATGGAGAGTTTTTATGTTGAATTTGTGGTTGCTAAAATATAAAACAGTAAACTAAAAGAAAAAAAAAACTATTTTATTTGATCTTTTACCAAAAAAAAAAACTTGACTTATAAATTTAGGAAAAATGTGCTCTGTCAATTTGATGATTTCAAAGCTTTCTATAAGGACCCAATTTTTTAATTTTCTTAATTTAATTTTCTTAATTCCAAACTATTTTACAAGACACCCTTCATTTGTTTTAATGCATTTAGTAAAAACCAAAGTAATATTCATTGTCTTAAATGAATTGAAAATATCGAAATAAATTATACATTGAAATAAAAAAAAAAACATTATATTGTCTGTTTTCTTGTCCTATACTACAAAATATGTAATGATTGTAACTGACATTGAGAATCTTTAAATGACTGTGCATTTTAACACTTACCATCTCTGCTGCATTAGGATTATTCTTGTCTATCTGTATATATGATACCAAACATCATGTGAATATATATCATTTATAACACTGATATATCTTAAAACCAACTCTCTATGTTCATACATATGGTAGTCAAAAAACAACAACAAATCTATTTGACATTATTCATTACAGTTATTTGGCAACATTCAAGCATTTATAGTCCTTGAAAGACCATGAAGCACTTTCTTTAATCTAACATAAACAATTTAACATCTGGGTAGAACTGCAGATCTCACAAACTGTAGATGGATTATAAGCTTGCTCTTCTGAATTTGAACATCCATCACAAAACATTCTTGGGGGGAAGGGGACTTGAATACACAACTATCTGGGAGTATTAATAGCTCTCCTGTCAAACTCCTTGTGTTAACAGATAGGATTCAAACAAAAACACTTCAAACCTAAGGGGACTACAGTCAAATTACTACAAAGTATTACAAAGCATGTGAGGATAATGAAAAAGCTAGTGACCTAATACATGTACATGTAATTGTATTTTCTATAACGATGTGTGACAGCATTAAAAAGGCAGTGTTACATGTGTTAGTAAGATTTCATTTTAATTAAATCTACTTGCATACAATGTGTCTACATGTACCCAAACATGCATATTGCTATTTATATAGATATTGCTATGTATATAGTTACATTCTATTAATGATATTTATTAATGTCTTCTTTACATTAAATAAACCAAAACACCTTCTTTCTTTTTTTTTAACAATGTTTAAGAATTGACAACTTTGAGAGTTTTTTTATATATATTGCATGGTTTATGGCATATATATATTTATTAACAATACATTTGTACTATTAATTCAAATGAACAATGGCTATAAATTCATGATAAAATTGAACGGTTATTACTGAAAATTAATCACTGTAATGCTGATATAACCAGTAAAGTAATTTATACAATATGTTATAATTATAGGGATGCACAAAACCTTTCGCAGGCTACCTTTTTTTATTATACACAGCGTGTTTTAAAAGAATATCTTTTCATAAATCTGAAAACGCAAGCAAAACTGGGATGATATACAGGGTTTATAACTCACACGGGTATGAAAATGGCGGGCATAATTATTGTTTTAAATAGAAAAATTTGCATAATATATATAGTATACATATTCAGACAGAATTCACTCATAAAACAATATTCAGAATTTCACTGATAATTATTTGCGGCTGTATCAACAACCAGCAAAGTCCAGTTGTTCTTGTTGTTGTTAATTATATTATCTGCTATATTACAATTTCGCACTCAATTGGATCAGATTTCACTTTTTTTTTAAATATATATCCCAATATATTTGATGTCAGAAATGATCATACCTATTTTTTTCAAATATAACTTTCAAGTTTGAAATTCTTTCATTAGCTTGATCAGGTAGTTCAAACTAAATTAAATAAAAAAAAAAAAAAAAAAAAAAAAACATAATGATTCAATAATCATAACTATTTCTTCCAATATAATGACAATGACAAATTCTAATGATTATTTACATTAGGGTTCATAATACTTATAAATTAACCTTAATATGACAATATACATTATCAAATATCTGTTACGATTTCATAACATAAAGTTCATTTATGATAACTGACATAAAATCCGTGAAAATTCACACTGTTTCAATAAATCCATATTCAACAGTATTTTAAATCAGTGAAAATCTGACGTCACCAAGGCTAAAACATGCAAAGGCTGATAAAATTATGACAAGGTTTCACACAGGGTTAAGCTACAGGTTTATAAGTGATTTATAGAAATATATCACTCTAATATGTTAAATTTCTACAGTGAAAGATTCAACGTGTTTAAATGTTTAAAAGTGATCATTCATTTAGGACAAAAACAACACACTCTAGTAAGTTGGAAATTTTAAAGTGAAAGTTTTATCATGCTTAAAAGAAATTATTCATCTAGAAATATATCACTCTTATAAGTTTACAATTCTAGAGTGAAAGATTCATTATGTTTAAAGGTGATTATTCATCTAAAAATATATCACTCTAAATGTTGACAATTCTAGAGTGAAAGATTCATTACCGGGTATGTTTAAATTAAGGTGATCATTCATCAAGAAATATATCACTCTAATTAGTTGGAAATTCTAGAGTGAAAGATTTCATCATGTTTAAAGGTGATTATTCTTCTAGAAATATGTCACACTATGAAGGTGGAAATTCAAGAGTGAAAGATTCCACACTCTTAAAAGAAATCATTCATCAAGAAATATATCACTCTAATAAGTTGGAAATTCTAGAGTGAAAGATTTCATCATGTTTAAAAGTGATCATTCTTCTAAAAATATATCACACTATGAAGGTGAAAATTTTAGAGTGAAAGATTCAACACTCTTAAAAGAAATCATTCATCAAGAAATATATCACTCTAATAAGTTGGAAATTCTAGAGTGAAAGATTTCATCATGTTTAAAAGTGATCATTCTTCTAAAAATATATCACACTATGAAGGTGGAAAATTTTAGAGTGAAAGATACAACACTCATTAAAGAAATCACTCATCTAGAAATATATCACTCTAATAAGTTGACAGTTCAAGAGTGAAAGATTCAACACATTTGTAAAGTGATTTGACTAAAATATATCACTTTAAAATAATGAAAGTTCTAGAATGAAATACTTATTCAATACAAGTCAAAGACAAGAGTAATACAGTATAAATCACTGATACAGTGTCAGTGATTATATAAGAATTTCAAACAGTTGTATACATTTTTTTCTAATAAAATAATTGGAGTATATTTGAAAGCGAGAAAACTATGCGGCAATCATATTCCCGCTTTAAAATAAAAGTACCGGTGCATTCTGTTGCTAAAAATAGAACATAGAAACAACAATACTTATTATTACACTTTTTCACTTTGTTTACTCATAGACATTTTGTAAAATGTTTTGTGTGAACACCATTTTGGCAATTAACTAGTTTGTAATTGTTAGAGTATTACCTATCTTAAAGAACAATGTTTTCACAAGACCAAAATGTGTGTTAATGACATCATTAGCACATAAGTTATTCTTTTGCCTCCTAAATGAATTATTGTATAATGTGATGTCACTTTCTTTGCTTGTAGAAAAGTTTTAAAAATGTTAAAACTCTTTGTTCAACAATCTTTTCAATTTGATTATAATGCAACTGATTTGAACCATCTGACAAAAAGTTGGATAAACTATTAAAAATAATAAGTATTATATTGATTGTTGAAATATTTTAAAATCAAGTTTATGATTGGTGTTTGTTGATAAATGATCATTGATAATGCAGTTACTGATATGAACAACATTTTATATAATTAGTAAGTATAAAATGTACATGAATAAGATATTATAATAATGAAAGTTATTTTTAAATTTATTATATTAACTATGTACTAAAATCATTATCATAATGTTAATACCAAGCATAACTTACAATAACTCCTTCCTTCCAGATAGTAAAATTCCATCCACCCACACACAAAACTACGTCCTTGAAAAATGGTGACCTTTGAACTGTTGCCAAAGGCCCATCATGCACTGTATGGTAAAAGTCAGGCTTTGGAGCTGAAAGAACAAGGAAAGCAAAATTCACTAGAATATTAACCTAGGCATAATGGAGAGATTATTTGAGAGTGTTTCAATAAGCTTATAGCTTACAATACAATCAAACTAAAATAAATTCATATAAGGGATATAGGATTGCTTCTGTTCATATAAGAAGTAAATACAAATTGCAAGGTTTTTATGTTATAAGGGCTATTATGTTTTTTGTGATAATGTTGATAAGGTAGACCTCAGCTACCCTTCAATGCATTATTTCAGACTCAAACTGACACCTGTGGAACCACTCAATCTCAGACAAAACCTGCACCTGCGGAACCACTGATCTTAGTTTAAACATGATTTATTTCAAACAAATTCACTATTCAAAGAACTATAAGAATTGAATTACTTTGTATTTTTCCAGTGTCCTGATCTTTTTGAGGCATCCAGTCAACATACACAATTTCACCATCCTAAATTCAGAAACAAAACAAGTTAATTACAACTGTCAACAACTACAAACATCTGTCATATAGGGTAGGAGCATTAAAATAAACAATTGTTTGTAACTCATTTGAATTTAATAAGGCTGACATATATAAATAACAATATCATCATTATAAGTCTTCCATCAATTAGCTTTCTTAAAATGTATACAGCTATACATCTGCTGCAAAAATTTACAAAATTTTAGTTTGAATTTTTGAGAAACAATTCTTCCAAAATACCTGTTTGAAGAAATATGTTTGTATACATGTACTTCCTTCAGAGCAAATGGTGCATGCACAAAGCTATTGCTAAGGAGTTAAAACCCTCCACACCATTTCATTATGTTTAGTACATGTATAATATTTATGTGTGTTAAATAGCAGAGACATTCTATGCTATAAATCTTTCAAGAATCCACCATAATATTTTGTAAACAAAATTATTTCACCATAAACACATGCATTATCTTTTAAAAAAATTCATAATGTACCGGTATAGCATAAAACTTCTAAATGCCTTAAATCATTACAGATCAATCACTGTCAATGCTGCCCTGAATGAGCAACTTAAATTTTCATTTCACTGTGGGTATAATGTTTAAATTCATACAGAGCTGTCATCATTAAATCTTATTATCTCTAAAGATAATTCACATGAATTTACTTACCTCTGTGCCAACATAGAAGTGAGTTTTAACACTCTGTAATGTTCTTTTCTCTTTGCCGGATCCTGGCTTTCCAGATGAGTAATAGCCACCACTAACACTGGCTTCTTTGTCTGATACCCCACCTTCTGTTGCTTTGGATACTTTAAAGAAGAAAGGCAAAATATTGATTTTAAAAGAACACTTTTATGTTTCTTTACAAAGAAGAAAAGTTCTATAAAAGAAAACTTGATATTTCATCCAATCCTTTCCAGTTGCACCAATATTTCTAAGTATAAGTTAAACATTTTACACAAACTTTCATGTTTAATTAAGGTATTTATATATAATACATGAATAAAAACTAAGAAAATCACTACTGTTTGTTGTATAAAATGCCATGTGCAAAATATAAAAAATATTTCCGAATGTAAATACAACTAGCAATTTATCACTACATTTCCCGATAATAAAAAAACACCATGCACTCATTTTTAAAAGTTAGAACTACGATGTACCAGTAGTGCAAAGTTTCACTCAAATTTAAGCCTGCCTCATTCCAGTGTATTACATTGTAATAGAATTAATAATGAATTTTGTACACGCAAGAAAATAGCAGTGCCCTATTTAATAACAAACTTTAAGCAATATTTCTCCATTTATTCTAATTGAATCAAGGTAGGTACAAATTCTAATATGATTACTACTGCCAAACAACTTGCTCAACTATGACATGAACTACTTTTTTTTCTAAAACCTACTTTGCTTAACATCTCTTTTTTTTTTAAAAAGAGACCCGTGCTAATCTAGTGTGACAAATAAGAAATATAAAAGAGATACAAGATTTTCCAATCAAACATTTAATTTGTTTCAAATTTGAGACCTAATACAATTAGGATTAAACACTTAACTACATGTATTTCTCGCTTTGTAAAACATGCCAATATGTTAACTAAAATGTATGCTAGAAACCAGAGATGATTTTCTTTCACTTTAAGGTTTAAAAGCACTCTGACACTGTCAAAGTAATGTAGAGACTTTCAAACTTTTCTGGTGAAGGAAGGCCTAAAATGTCACTGTCAAGCACCTAAGAAGAACCAGCCACTGCCTACAAGATAGCTTCACGTGGCAAAAGGTAACATTACTTTAATATATACCAACAATAAAGGTCTTAAGATAGAGAAATAATGAGGAAAACATTTATACTATGACATTCATTGACAAATATGTTTATCTATGATTTATTTTTAACTATCCATGCAAAGTTTAAAGTTTAATTTCAGTTGAATATTCGATTTCCAACAAAAACCATAACACATATTTGTACAAATCAATCAAAGTTTCATTGTGTGCTAAGTGCATATGAGCCGTGTCACAACAAAACAAACTTAATGGGTTCGCTATCAGTTTCTCTACTTTTTATAGGGTTTGTAAGCGAACAGCATGGATCCTGATCAGACTGCGTGAATGCGCAGGCTGGTCTGGATCCATGCTGGTCGCAAACCCATTATGTTGGTTTTGTCGTGACGCGGCTCATATGTTTTTGAATCTGTGAATAAATTATCTAAACAAGAGAGCCATGATGGCCATAAATTGAATCTATCACTTAAAAGATACCAACTTTCTATCACATTTTTTTCTTCATATTTAGACAACCAAAATAGTATGTTTATATGACTTTTTTTTGAGGAATAGAAAAAGAAATTCAACACTCCATTGACAACCACTCAATACCTGGAGGAGCTCAATTTAATAGATTGATTTTTTCTTTCATCAAAAAATTGTCAAGGTCAGGAGGTGGCAAAAACACTGCTATGTTTCTATGTCATGCTAAATATGACATCCAAATTCTATTTTTTCTTCTGTTTTAAAAGTTAACATGTTATTCTTTATGTTTCACACAAACTATTTCCAACAATATCAATATCACCCTTGTGCAACCCTACCTGGTTCAGACTTATCTATAACACATTGATAAAAATATCATTGTTCTTTTAAATAAAAATTTGATATATAAAATATATTTTCATAGTATTTAATCAAATTTCTAGGAATGATTCCATGATATCTGAAATAAGACACATTGTTAACCAAATGTAAAGTTTTATCGTAATTTGATCAATCATTTACATGTACATGTACAATTTACACTTCAACATAGTAATATGTAGTTACCTAGTAAAAAAAAAACACCTAATATTTTATGCATAGATGTATATATTAAAAACATACATGTACGTGGTTTGAAAATAACAGTGTTTGGTGTGCCCGCAACAAATTATCACTAAACACCATTTAAAATATCAATGAAATGTTTTATTCAAGAACATTTATTTTGATTACCTCATAAAGATATGGGGCATTCAATATAAGATTTAGACAATCTTTATAATATCAACTGTAGGTGTACAAAAATACCAATTTTGAAATTAATGTACATTGTAAATTTTGCTATGTATAACTATACAATCTTTACATTAAAAATTTATGCCTGCAATTAAAATTTTACCAATCTACAAGGTCTAAAAAGGTTTGTTTTTGTACTTACATGCTCCTCGCTCCCCCTGTGTTTCTGCAATGGAGAACTTGGTAGGGGCGTGGTCACCTCCTGGTTCGGACTTGTGTAAATGTACCTTTAATAAATTTTAAAAATTGATTTACTACTCTTGAAAACTCTTGTCATCTTAATTCTATATTTGTACATTCATATTTCCAAATGATCTCTCTTTAAACAGAGCATATTCGTGTCAATTTATCTTTAGTCTTTTCTGTTATTCATTTTACATTATTTACTACAATTTAGCATTAATATAAACTTGTTGTTTTTAATTTTGTGGGGAAGAACATAATCATGCTTTTACTTGTAGAGGAAGGTCCTTTAATCTATTTTAGGCCTTGGTTCACACCTAGGTAGACTCTAAGATAGCTGGATGAGTTCCCATCAATAGTACTTCCATAACTCCTGATCTTTATTTGGTGTAGGGGTTAACAATTTTGATGATTTTTTACCTTCATGATGGTTTCCATAAGTCATGATGCTACATGTTTAAATGTATCAGGAACTTCCCATATTGGATTCTCTAAGCGTCCTTGTGTTTCGTATAAGTTCCTTGTGACTGTGTGCAGAGCTGCTCTCTATGTGTGGTTCTTGTATCCCATTACCAGGTTGCACAACTGTGAATAGTATATAAAGACAAGTTTAAGAATATTAGCTTTGAACACTTATACAAAAAAGGGTGAAAAAACAGCAAGTGAACACAGTGTACTTCTTTCAAAAATATCTCCGGTTAATATATGCTGTCTGAACATGAAAAAATAGAACAGAGCTTGTTGTAGGGCTATTATAGCCGACAAAAATTTATCTATCAAACAACTGAAATATCTGTTACCATATTATATATAACATACTAGTGTGTCTATGGTCTGGTATTTTGTGTGATATCTGTTGACTTGATATAATTAGTATATACCTCTATCTGTATCCTGATGGCGTCGATGATATCTAATCGTGTCATGTGATAGTTTGACCAAACTTGTAGATTTATTAGTATGTGCTGGAGTTGATTACTCAAAAACTGATACTACTCTGAATTCTCATAAGTATAAAAAGATGTCCCTAATATAGACGAAATGTATCATAGACGAAAGAATAGTGAGCCTGCCAAGTTTACAAATACTATACGATATATATGCCGTTTCGACCAGCAATGAGACAAGTCGCAACTAGCTTCGATACGCGGATATCAATGTATCAGAAGATATCCTAGAATGGGCGCTTGTGAACGTCAATTATCGTTCTCTTTTACTATTAATAGGTTCATGTAGCGTAAAGCTATTCGAATCCTGGATCAAGACTCTCATATATGGATTACGCTGCTGTCGGATCTGACCGACATTACTGTGCCTATAACCACCCATCTTATGTATGGATTATGTCATGTGTGTGTGTCTGCGCTATACATGTAATACATACTATCAGTAGCACAGGTGTAAATTATTTGACAAGCAACTGTAAAGGCTACTATGTTCTTACTGAGTGTACCCATTCTGATTAATCTGGAAATATATGTAAGAAGATGATTAGTAGTAGCTGGATGTTAAATTGTATCAATGTTCGGGTTCACCTAAATTTATATAATGTACAAACTCCCAATTGGATAATATATATGTAAAAAACAGAAATGTCCTTGTTTTAATGATTGAGAGAATAATTAAATCTTATTTTTCACGTGTAGTATCTAATAAGTAATATATCTAATAGTATATCCTAAAGCATTATTTTGTTGAAACTATGATAGTGTAATATTCCCATATTTGAATATTCTCTGAAATTGAATAGAAAATGAGTTATGACACACGTTATATTGATTCCCGCTCTTAACATTAGTATTAAATTCTCTAGATATTGTAAGATCATGGCGTACTGTGTGATCAGGTCACAATAATCCAAAGACTTGACTACCTGAACTTCCAAAAAATACAATAATGTTATAATACTATTATATTTCACAAAGATTCTTAACTAGAGACCGCGATCTCCTCTATGATTACAATTAATCATTATATTTAGAAAATATTATAACTATTGTAGTTATTTATATCTAAGTGCACGACACAAACGTATCAATCTGCCATTTATCTGATAATGAGTCTTAACTAAAAACACAACCCTGCTTTATTTCTACTAACAACTATCATTGCACTTCTTTGTAATTTGGTATAACCATAAAATCCATTTCAGGTGTGAGGTGTATTACTCGAGGGTATAAGTAAATAGAGTACTTATAAGTTGGTAAGAAATTCTTTGGTGTAAGTCAACGAAATCATCATTAGACCGAGTCTCATGAATTACACAAATAAGTTAGACCATGTCTAGATTTAAACCTGATATTATTGAATTTAATCTGTCTGTGATACCAAAACAGAGCGTGCATCAGCTAATATATTATAGTCATTATAACATAATTTCAAACAATGATATCTACCTCCATATAGAGTATGGAAGCCATCTGCGAGATCTGTGAATTTCGTGTTTTATGATGGCTTTTCATTATACTGGACACAAGATGTCTTAATAGTTATAACGTACAAGTAGGATGTCTTTCAGATTCATTGGAATCCTCAAAGTGCTTGTCTGATATCCTGATATAAAGTGATAAGATATTAATAGTGATTTACTTTATATTGTAATGCACAGTCATATATGAACCTATAGTCTAAATGCTATTGAAGACAAATCTTTGTTGTATAGTATGCAGTATATATTAAGTGTCTTGAGGTAATTTACAAGTAAGAGGAACTGAAGATGTAAGCATCAAGTATATGAACAAAGAAATGCGGACCAATCATGGCAATAACACATTCTTGTAGTATTATAACTCATATAAAAAAATCTGACATAATACGTAATTTATTGTAAGTGTACACATTTATAAATTGAATTAAAATCCAAACAATAGATATATTGATTCACAAATGACTATAAAATTTTGTATATATTACATTATGTATATATTCTCATATGAATACCGTCAAATATCGTCTGAATGACCGAGCATCAAAATAACTCTCTGATACAATGAATAATATATTTAAGGTATATTTCTTTCTGTAAGCATAGTGAATTCAATGTCATAGAATGAGTTTATTTGTCGTGACTCGAATTAAGATGAGTGGCGTCATTAATGTTCTGTGTATAGAAGATTGTAATATGATATTCTTACCAGCTACTTTTGGCTTTTCGTATTCCTATTAACCTCTTGGCTGTTTTAATCTGTCAGCGGATGAAGCTGAATGTATCCCCACTAATGACGAGAGCGTGGGCACATTCTGACAACTCGCGTGCGGATTTATATTGGATCAGAAGGTGAAGAATCTGGATACCTCTCTGCTACTACGTATATCGATGACTTCTGAATTGTATCAAGTCAATAACTCAGAATATACATCATTCTTATAGAAATATTGATAAGAATAAGAATGATTATATATAAATGAGATATTATACCAAAATGTTTACCAACGAGAGGCTGATGCTTGAATAACAGAATTTAGCTTAACACAGAATAGTGGTTCCAATTTAAAGACAAATTCGCGATAAAGATGTATATTGATTAGATATAATTTCGGCTTGCTCTCTATTGACATAAACACATTATAGTATTCCTATGAACAAATGAAAATATTTAGGTACCGTGTTGTATGATCATTGTATATACACTGAATTTAATATGATAATAATTAAAAATAATTGCTCAGTGTTAATGAAATGCATACATGTGAATAAAGATATGAAAATATATCACTGTATATTAAGGAAGGGTCATTATTTCGTTAGTTCATCCTGAAAATCCAATCCTTTAGAACTAAAATAGTACAATTATACAATGTTATTATCTGTATGGATGTCATAGGATCTAGTGAAGCTCGTCAGTAGTTAATATAATATAAGAAGCATGAGATGGTGTCTGATGATTATATTTGCAGCATAGATCAAATCCTTACTACAATCAACTGTGAATGAAGTTGTCTCATGCTATTCCACGCTACGCAGCGGCGTTATAGTGGGAGTGCACTGTTTATAGACAAGTTACTCTTCTCTTATACTGACACTGATATAAGATTCGTGTGAAAAGGACATGATTATCCATGGGGAGAGAACTGATAAAAGAACAATACATAATTACTCGATCAAATGTATTACTCCATGATATCTGTGATTTGAGTTTAGATGTGTGTATTACGATATATCTCTCGAATATAAAGGACTTTTAAGGTGTTTTTATGTCTTGGATAGCAATACACACATTTAATGTAAAACAGTTTTATACTGTAATGTGTTATAATTTACTATTTCATAGTAATAGATGTTATCTGCATTACTACCAAAGTGTAGTACTTGTCTAATCTCCAGAGTGTGCCATCTTAAAGAACAACATAAATCACATAATTTATTCTAGCTATGCGATTAAGGCGACCACACTGCTGAATCAGAAACACATACGTGAATATAATTGAATATAGTATGATCACACCTGTGTAAAAATATGTGGTAAACTTAAAGTAAGTATTAAGAATTTTTTATGTTACTCTCTGTCACATGTATTGATGAATAAAGTGTGTGTATGATAATACATGTGTGAATATGAGTGAAACAAGTGATTGAAATATATTGTGATAACTAAATATGACGTGCATGGAAATATGTATGAGTTGTAATACATGAATATTATGTGATATATATTCATATAATATATGTGAGCGGAAACTTGTGTTGAAATATGTGTGTGAAACATTTGTGTGTGAATAATAAGTTGGATGAACATGTCAAGAATCATAGGTTCCATAGAAGCATATCCATTTGCTATGGAATACTCAGTGTTCAATTAAACCATATGCCTGTGGAAATATAATAATATTGGTTTTGTTAACAGGTAAAGTGTATTCTAACACAACTGAATCATGTATTACTTATGTACATTTTGGAAAATACGAATGGTTGCATCACAAAATACTTCTTAAAAGCATGAACAAATAAAATTAAGGGATTTTGACATAATATTTTGGAATAAGCCTTGACTTCTCCATAGCTGGTTTAAAAACACAGGTTTGTCGTATAATCACAATGACACATCAAAATTAACAATAATGTCAAAATTATCTTAAATCCTTAAATAATTGATATTTTTAACGAATATATTATATAATATAAATATGGTATGATTACTTATGAGGAGCAACACTCAGTTAATAAATGATTAATATCGTTTCATATGTTATAGTATGTCCTACTTTTTCTTTTGGAAGAACTATAACTACTGATGATGCTGAACTCCTATGTGCTAGAACTGAAAGTGTTGGCTATTGTCTTGGATCAATTCATCAATTCTGATATATTGTGTTCCAATGATATCTATGGAACCGTATGGTAATAAGCCTTAATAAAAGTCAATGCTTAATACTATCAACTTTAATAGTACCAACTTATTTAAAAGCAGCAGAAACAAAATAACGAAGTAATCAAGAAGGTTCAAGGAGCATATCTCCAATCAAAGTGTGACTTTGACTAAATACTTCAAGATATACTGCCCATGGAACATATTGCTCTAGTCTTTGGTGATTATGATCATGTTAGAAGAATGTTGTAAATTCTTAAAATGTGTTGAATGTCCAATCCTCAATTCTGCTCAGTTCTCAAGATGAGTTTGCCAAAGGTGAAGTATACCATACATCCTGTGCTCAAACATATAACTTGATATTCAAAGTTGTGACAGCTCTATACTGACTACTCATATATATATATGTAATAAGCTATCGCCGTAGTTCTTTGTACAGTCAAGCTAATTATAACAGGAATATTGATGCAGACGTTAAAATAAAGTTTTCAGTAAAGGATAATAAATAAGAATAATTATAATCTTTGTTAAACCTGGGCTACATTAAGATATTATATTTGTAATATAAACAATCTCTGTAAATCTACTTACGCCTTTGACTTGTTAAATATACTCAATACAAATGATTAATCTGGCGATTCATTTATGCTTTAATATATATATATTTTAGTAGTCTAATTAATGACCACATCACCTTCCATAGATAACAAATTAGAACTTAGTAGAAATGCATACTCGGAGTTTCCTCTTATTCCGAGTTCCATTTACTTCAGTGTTCATCATGTTTATTTCTTGGTACTCGACTGGTACGATTCTATATAACCATCGCTCAAGCTAATCTATCGTCATGCATTTTCTATCCTAAAACTCGGCATTAAGGATTGCGCGCTCTCAATATTTCAGGACGTTTCGTTCGTCACTTAGACAATTCTGTTCAAACTGTAACACCACAAAGTGATATTGTCATGAGATAATAATTATCTAATCGATTGTGTTGTAATATATTATGAAGTTGTTATGAATGTGAAATAAACTTAGAAATAGTTAATAATTATCTATCATATGTTTTAATGTATTAAATTAATGAGTCTAAACACCTCTAGCTAATACCCTTTCTCAATGATTGATAACTTAAATACTCAGTTTGCTAATAACATACAACATGATTATTCCAGCTAAAATGTCAACAGCTTTTAGAGACTAGTAGTATATCAACAGGATGATAAAATACTCATCCCCGTCATTGAATTATGTGAAATATGACTTGTACCTGCCTGCAGAAATAGGAGTCCTTTTTAGTTGAGGAAGATTTCATGAGTAACTAGAATCTATAGTGATGACTCGAAAATCATAATAGAGATACTGGATCAGATTTTGCATGGAAATGTCACTCTGACTTGTTATTATGTTCTCTTTAATATTACTGATGTGTATATTTGTTATAGATGGTAATGGTAGTTTGTCCCATCAAGTGTCATCTATGTTTAGAAGAACAACAGAGAAACGTATGATTACTCGTGATATTTAGGAATGTACACACTGGTATCTCAAAGGCAATTATTCTCGTAGAACTGTTATTATAAGTTAATCAGTAGATTGCGATAAGTATATGAATCTCAACTAATGAGGGAGAGCATATATATATAGTTAAAAATGCATCTTCTTTTTAACTAATTAATTAATTTGTTATATTGACACTATATCATCATAAGTTATCGTCTCTATATGTATAAGGAGGTGGAAAATAATATATAAACTTAATCAAATAAATATGTACTTCTATAATGATGTAGTATAGTTAAATTATGATCTGCACTGAAGAAGTATCAGTGCCAATATGTCTTATTAGAGTAAATATAGCTTATCATGACTTTGGTATCAAAATCAGCTTTAATTTTGATGATTTTGTTTTATAAAGTATTTTTGAATGCCATAAGAAGATTCACTAAAATCATAATTTTACAAATGAAAATCTGAAATATTCAAATAAAAAGAAGTATGAAAAAATCTTAAGAAATAATACAAGTATAGTTTGTTTCAAATGGCATTCAAAACAATATAAAACTCCTCATTTTTTTAAAATAAGAAAAAGCGACAACATTTACATGCCAGGGATTATTTCATGCATAAAATAATAACACAAATATGGCAAAAACTCATGCTCCACAAAGGAGAAAAAACTTTTTATGGTCAAAAATGTCTACCAACAGAAGACACTAGCCAGTTTATAATAGCACAAAATTTGTGTACTTATCAAGAGACCTATTAACGTCTTCCTTGCAAAATGTCATAAAAGGAGGAAAATAGCAAATATTTTGTGAAGAGGTGCTTTAAAATCTGAAAAGGAAACATGCTAAGAGTTGCTGTGTTGTTTGTTTTGTGTGTGAAAAGATATCTGGTTCTTTTATAAAACTGATTTTGAAGACCAGTACACCATCTTGCAATTTGGTCCATTCATTAAACAGAAATCAGCAAATCACAAGTTTATGTTTGAAACTGGTCTTCCAATTTCAGTTTAATGAGTCCAGTAACTATCTTGTAGAAACAAAATCAATTTTACAACTCATTTGTTGATTGTACATCTGTACATTCACTCACACTTTTACCTTGAAATTCTCCAATGGCCAGCTGAAAATATTGCTCATCAGTTTAAATTTGATTTTTTTCTTCCCTTTCTTCAGTTGAGTTACTCTATTCCACAGTGATAGTTTATAACATTATATACATGCATGTATATTGGAAAAAATGCCTTGGTATACTTAAATACATAAGTACTTTACACTATTCAAAATCATTATTACCAGAAAATAATTCTCTGGCATTTATACACTTCCTTTGCATCATTTGATTTTGATTTGCAAACTTTCTAAGACCTTACCTCTATCCGAATTACAATTTTTTTACAATCAATTTACATTATTCACAACCACATAGCCTTATTATCAGTATGTATTTTACTGATTTTTTTTCTTCAAGTGCTTGGAGTAAAACCAACATTGTACATGTCATTAAGCAACTTTCCAGCATTATGTCTGTTGGAATGGATTATTCAGGCATGGTCTGGCCCTTGAGTAGAACCCCAGACCTTAGCTGGACAGTTTCCACAGCCTTTCTCACATAAAAGAATCTAAAGTCCCTGTTGGAAATGAGACCCACAACAGTGAGTAGCAGTTGATTAACAAGTTATTTTGCTATTGAATAGTCAAGGCAAATGTAATATATCCAGTAAAAATTAGCAATCTGTATGATATTTTAACTTAAATGCTGAGAAGATTGTGATGTACATGATATTATTCATAATAGTATGTCAATAGTACATGTAGTATAATTTGCATTGTAAGAATTGTCTATGAAAAAAAAAACATGAAATAACAGCACTTAAAAGCATACCCGTCTTCTCATTTCTGTCACTGACTCTTCTTTAATCTCCTTCTGACTGCCTAGAGAGACCCATTCCTTAGACTCAGGGGGCACATACTTGTAAACAGTGGTATCTTCTTCCTCACCTTGAGCACCACCCTCACCTTCCTCTCCCTCCTGGCCTGGGGGCTGTATAGTAAATAAAACAACATCTTTATTCATAATTTGTAGTTATCACCTGAACGATTTACATCAAATATAATCCAATTTCATTTGAAAATTTAAACAAGGTTTAATCAGAAAATAATTATAAATGAGAAATTCAAAATTGTATCACTTTACTAATTTAAATTATTATATGCAGTGGAAGAAAAAACAAAAAAAAATTTAAAAAAAATGAGGTTGAGCAAAAATATCTAAATGTATATATTTTGAGACTGAAAATCACTTTTACTGTACACTCACTTTGATAAGATCTAGTTTTGCTAGTACATGTGTATATCCTATAGTTCTAAATTTGGTAATTTTTATTAAAATTACAACAGATATAATTAAAGATATACAAATTTTCCCTTTGGAAACAATGAGCTTTAGACAACATAATAACTCTTGTGAAAATATCTGCCTTATTACAAGTGAACAACAATGACAATATTTAACCATACCATTGCATCCATAAAATCCTATTTAAAACAACATCTTTTTAAAAAAATGTCAAATATTCACATAATAGGTTTTTCTCACAATATGAGAAAATTCATCAAGTCAGTATCAAAACAAAATCTACTGCAGTAACTTAACCCTTACAACCGATGGAACCTAAAATGATTAACCTTTTGCCACCAGTAAAGAGCCAAGACAACCTACATTTCAGTGTAGTTTGACCAGGCTTTATACTTTTGGCTAATTAACTTAAAATCTTCATTGTCATATTCCTAAAATTGAGATGGACAGTTCCGAAAATGAGAGCTGGATAAGTCCATTTAAGAAATTCAGCATATCAAGGCTTGAAATGCCAAGCATGTCTTTCTTTTTCATCCATCACATTTGTGTATTTAAATTTACCATAAATCATAAATTTTCAATCTCTGGCTTTTAGAAATGTATTTTTTAATTTTTTATATACAAATTACAAGCTTCAATAAAACCTTACATAATGCCAAGAATTTCTTGTTAACTTACATTGAGTAGAAGTTCCTTAGCTTCCTCAGTAAGAGCAATGCAGAAATTTTGACCATATTTAAAGTCAAAGTCATATACCAACAGCAACTCTGTACCAGGATAGTTCTGAAAAAGAAAAATAATCAAAATTAAAAATAACTAAAACTAAAAAAGAAAAGCAGAGTTAGTTAACTAAATGCATGCCTATGTACAAAGATTTGAAGAAAAGTTAAAAGATTGATAATAAAAGTAATTATGTCCATGTTACATTTATGTGCAATAAATTACTGATTTTGAAGTATTTTTCACCCTATTTCTACTGTGTTGGCTATTTTTGCATATTTTCACCTTTTTATTTGGTAATTTACATGGGTTGAAAGTGCCAATTGCAATGTGTAAATTATTTTCATTGTTCATTTTACAATATTTTAATACATATTAAAAATTTTTATGAAAATTATCAGAAATCTGAAGGTGTGCTGCTTTAACATTGACTGCAATTCCAAAGTTTTATTTGATCTTGACGTTCTCTGAATGACTTACAATGATTTTATCTTTCATTGGATGGAAGTCACAGATGGCTGCCCTATTGTGTAGATCCTCCAAGATCTCTTCCTTTGTTACAATCTTAAAAGGATTTTCCTTAGTGACATCTTCATCACAAACACAGTGGTATATAGCCTGGGTCTTTGATGCAAGAAATATCGGCACTACATTTTCAGGTGGACCTGTGCAAGAAATTGTAATACAAAGTAAAACAATACAGCAACATCAGAAACTGTCAATGGTTACACACAGGTATCATGTGAATGACAATTAATATACCAATGAAACAACATTAATCCATGTTTAATTTGTTCTTTTGAAATTAGGATTTTCAAATAACTTATATTTTTAGAAACAAACTTAAATCTATATTTAGAGGCTGACAAAAAAGATATATAAGCATTGTACCAAGGGCATAACTTAGGAAATAGTCTATTGTTACTTAAGTAATTGGAAGACCCTTGTACTATGATTGTTGTCCAATCAAAGTTGGTTTTGGCTAATACTCCTTTGTAAATATGTCAGAAGCATGAACCTAGCCTATAAATTTAGCAATACAATTATGCCCTAGTGACTGGTTTAAGAGTGATTGCCTCACTAACCAAGAATGTGGGTTCTGAGTGTCCAGACAACCACTGTTTGCCTCATAATGTGGAACACACTCATTAACAAGATATTCATATATTATGATATACAAGAATGTAGTTTAAGCAACAAGTGATTCAAAAAAAGACTTTAAACTTTTCAACACATTTACTTTAAAAAAAAAAAAATTAAAAAATTAAAAAAAAAATAAAAAAAAAAATAAAAAAAAACACATTTACTTTAAATTAATGTTCCAACTAATGTTTATACATGTTTATACATTGTATGCATCTTTCCATTTGATAAGTTTTATCAGAGACATAGATAACATATGTTATCTATGTCTCTGGTTTTATCATAAATTAGTTTTGATGTTACTATTGCCCGCTACATACATGGCAGAATATCTCTGAAACCTTAGTAATTTATTTCAGGCATACACAAATCTTCTTAATGTTTCCTAACACTTTTAAGAATATTAACCTTACCTGTGTTCTCTTCCTCATCTGGTGGGGCAGGAGTTTCAGCCTTTGAATCTTCTTTCTTTTTACCTGAAATATATTGCAGTATGTTTTATATTTACCTTACTATTATTCAAGAACAGACTATAGCTAGTCTATTATAGATATATGCAACTCGGGAATTATTCATCAGTCACTGACCAGCCGCTGTTTTTGCAGCAAGATTGCTTGATCATGTACCAGTAGTTCTATAAAAGGTCTTGTAAAAAAACCAGTGAATTCTGTTATTGATCATATTGATAATTTAACATAACTTTCAAAGAACTCACTTTCCATAGAGAGAAACGCAAACAAAAAAAATTTATATATACTATCAAAATACCATTGATTTGATCAATACTGCATTGATGCAGAATAAATGAAATTGTCCATATTAAACTTGATATGAAGACAGTTAATCATACATTGTATATATATACATTATCTTATAAGCAGGCCTCGACATTTTGCGGGGGGGTCCGTTTGGTCCAACCAACCCGATTTTTGGGAAGGGCCCACCCATTTTAAAAAACCACTGGCCCCTCGGACCAAATTGCCCTTTTTTGGGTTTTTGCTGGGCTTATTTGGATAACAAATTTTGGGTTTGGGCCCAAAAAAATTTTTATAATACTTTGTTTAAAAAACAACTTTTTCCGATTACATGGTATATGGTTCATTAATTTTGATAGTTAAATAAGTTGAGTCATCAATAACTTTCATTTTAAGTCGCCAAAATTTTGTTTATGCAAGTTAAAAGAGTTAAGAATTTGTGATATTAATTTAGGTACAAATTCATTCAAATGATGCTAGTTATTATGCATCGTCGGGTTCCCACAGTGGAACCATTGCCATTTATGTTATGTTGCATTTTTATCAACCGTGGGTATCTGGCGATGGTAATTACGATATTGTAGATATCGGATAAACTTAAATTTCAGATACTTAAATAATGGCAGCGAATGAAAGAAACTGGAAAAATGCATCAAGTAATTCTTTGCTACTTATGTTTAACAATAAGAGATCCATTTCTTCCAGAGTTAAAATTACTTTAAAATGTTAACAAGAGCTGTCCGTAAGACAGCGCGCTCGACTTTTTTATTGCTTGCCAATAAAAAAAGTTTTTGCAGTAAAAGGCAATACAAGAATCTCTGTATTTTTAAAGTGAACAATGGCCATGAGCATTAAGATATTTAGTGAAGAATTATTTTACTGAATTGTGTGATACCCTTGAACACTGCAGCAAAGTTTGAAATGTTTAAGTCAAAAGAGGGCTGGTAAGAAAGAAAAAAAAACTGAGTTGAGCCTTAAATAAATTTAATAGTATTAAACCCACTTTGAGAGAATAAGGTATTTTTACGTCACTCAGAACTACTGATTTTAATTTCAAGTACAAAAAGAGAAAAATAACTAGTTGTTTGATACCCTTGAATATTACAGCAATGTTTATATGACATAATTTATGGTAAAGTGAACAAGTGGATAGGAATGAATTTTTTTAGATTTTTTAAGTTTTTTAGTGCTTGCCTATAATACAAAACATTGACAGTTAAGGGCCATAATTCAAATAAAATCTTTGACAGAATTACCTTCTCCTGGACATGTTTGGGAATCATGATTGTAAACAAGTATTCCAACTTTCAAATTAATATCTCAAACAGTTCAGTCAAAAAGTGGACTGGTACTAAAAACTTAACCAAGATTCTAAGTCGATAAAAGGCCTTAATTTTTAAAACAAATCCTTTACAGAGTTACCTTCTCTTGCGTACAGATGGGGGTAATGATGTGAAATAGCATTAAAAGTTTCAAAGCAATATCTCAAAGGGTTAAGGCAATAAGTGGATTTTACCCATATTCAATGTATTTTCTAAGTCAAAAAGGGGCATAATTCTGTCAAAAACCTTGACAGAGTTATGTCCTCTTGTCTGTTGATGAAGGTCGTGATGGTAAACAAGTATGGTCAGTTTCAAAGCAATACCTCCAATGGTTTTGAAATAAAATGAGGTGGTACAAAAAACTTAACCAAGCTCAATACACTTTCTAAGTCAAAAAAGGGCCATAATTCTGTCAAAAACCTTGACAGAGTTATGTACTCTTGTCTGTAGATGGAGGTTATGATGGTGAACAAGTATGGTAAGTTTCAAAGCCATACTTGTAATACTTCTGAAATAAAGTGGGGTGGTACGAAAAACTTAACCAAGGTGTGACGCCAACGCCGACGCCAACGCCGACGCCGGGGCGAGTAGGATAGCTCCCCTTTTCATAGAAAAGTCGAGCTAAAAATAGTCAATGTCAAAAATAAATATCAATTGTATCATAGTTTGGGGACCTTTCTGTTGAAAATGTGTCAGAGTTAAATCGTATACATATACATGCACAGTGCGTTAACTGGAGTGTAGGTATTAGTTACCCGCACTGCAGAGCATGCCCATTGATTGGTTCATTTTGTCTGGGGTTTACATATTGTGACGAAGGATAAAGGGAAAGCGATAGAAATATCATATTCAGACGCTCGTTCATTGGTTCCTTTTTTCTGGGGTTTCATATTGTGACATCAGGGAACGTGTTTTTATTTTTGACTATGATACAAAAGAGAAAGAACATCAAAACACTCGGCAATCTGATTTATACTCGGGGGCTATGCCCCCTCGTACAAATCAGATAGCCTTGTGTTTCGATGCTCTTTCTATTACTTAATCAACAAGCAACAGGGAGGTAAACAATTTTTATTTATAATGAATCAGTGAGAAAAATAAGCTTAATTATAGTTATATATAACTTGTTATTATTTTTTTATCCTTTAGATATTTCCTTGTTTTCAAAGACAAGAATAAGATAATGTTTTAGTTTTGTTAAACATATTAATCTATAAAAGATACCTGTAATTATCATGATTATTAGACGTACCACGTATCAGCAATAAATATTTAAATAACAGTAAAAAATAAATAACAGGCACAAATTGTTTAAATATTACCTAACTTGAGTTGAGAGAGAAAATACGGAAGCTTATCAGGGCCTCCACTTATATAAAAGTTTCACGTCATGTCAACTTGTTTCTTCTCCTTTAAATCAAAAACATTCCATGAAGACGTTATAATTAATACGTTATACGTAGAAGTTTTCAATCATTGCAAAAAAAATTTGTTGAATTACGTGAGCTATTTGTCAATGCGAGTAACGTCTTTGCGTCTTACTAAATACTTCAGCAAAGTCGTGAAATCAAGAAGTTTCGACAGGATTTTTGTCGAAGAGACAAAAGCTTCAAGCATAACGAGAAAAATTTAGTTGTAATGCCTAAAAGCTTCTCATCTTTTTCAGTAAATTTTGTTGAGAAATGCAAAAACATCTTATCAATGCGAATAAAAATAAGTCGTCTTAGCGTAAAAACATCTCACCAACTGTAGGCCCTGATACGCTTCCGTAAGAAATCACTTCAATATTAAAGTTAACATAACTTATTTACTAAATAAGTTAAGAGCTATGTTGTGTATTTTTGAATGAGATAAAAAAAACAACAACAAATAACTGAACGATAGAATACCTACTGACTTGCTCTTCTTAAATTCTGATTTAAAAAAGATATATATATCTAGATAATAGACACTAAAATATTATCATTTATATCATTTATATCTGTTTTTTCTTTAAAGGTTAATAATACACCTTGTCATCAATTCTCAGCATTTTTTCTAAATTTGCAGTAAAATGATATAATAATAATAATTGACCACCTGACTTCTGGAAGGACCACTTAAATTTCAAATCTAGTGGTCTGGCTTACCACTTGCTTAAAAAGTTAGTGTCGAGGCCTGATAAGAATATCCAAATGATACATTACTATTATCTATTATCAATTTTTGAATTGCTTTTGGAAAATGTGCTCATTATAGACAAAGCAACTTTTAATGATTGTATTTACATGTGTAACTAGTAAGATGAGTATCACCTTACGTGACCTAACCTTTCTGGGGAGTTCCTCTTCCAAGTTTTGGAGCAGGGCTTTTTGGGGTAATTGTTCCTGATTTTGCACTTGATAATTTTCTTGCACTTCCTTTAGAACTCCCCTTTGCTGATCCAGGTGGAGTCTTCTTTGGAGATTTGGTGCTGTCCTTTCAAAAGTAAACAACACTTATAGCATTATAACTTAAAGCAACTCTTAAAGAAGAATCGTATTGTGTTATGATTACAAAATCAATTACAAAATAAAGTAAAATTTATAACTTAAAAAGAAAACAATGAAACAAAACATACTCTCTCCTTTTCTTCTTTTTGCTCTTTCTCTTTTTCAGAAATTTCTTTTGCCTCTGGCTCAGACATATTTACCCTAAAAGATAAAATATTTTGAAGTGATGTGTAAAAATTGGAGTATGTATCTGTATGTATGCAAGAAAACAGTTCTCATTTTTTAGCCAAGGACAGCGCATATAAAATGTAAGGCTGTGTAACAGCATCATGAACTGAGGAGTGATGATAGACCTGTCTCTACACGTCTACATAATACTGCTTCAAAATCATTTACGATTACACTAAACAGATATACATTGTATACAACATGTACATTGAATTGAGTGACAGCGCTATGAGTTACAAAAGAATCCTTAAATCAGTCCCTAGCTCTTAATAAATAAACTCCTTGGTTCTTTTACATGCCAAGTGTATAGCACTGATACTTTGGAGGATTATCTGCATTTCTTACCAGTACACCACTACATTGTGTAGGTAGGTGGGAACCATTGAAAGTGTCTCTGAAAAATCCCAAGGGTGTTACGAAGGATCGAACAAATTTAGGACCTTAGGTGTGAACAGGATCGAACCCAGGACCTTAGGAGTAACAGTCTGTGGTCTAACCAACTGAGCTATCATGCCACCTGTCAATAAACTAACTAGGGAGGTTGGTGTTGTGGAACACAAAAGTCTCAATGTACAACCAACAAACACTAGAGAAAGGCAGACTTCCCGAGAGTTAAAAAAAAGTGTCAGACATTCGGTCTGACAAACCATGAAAATCTGTCGGACCGAAACAAAATCTGTCAGACCGAATAAATTTAATCAAAATCAAAGGTAAACTTGTGTTTGTATTTCTAAGACACTTTTCAGTTTTTATTTTTTCTCCGTAAAAATCGGCACAGTTCGTACAGCGCATTTTCATCTCCTCCCAGTCATACACCAACAATTCACGGTCCTGCTTCCATTTTTCATTAAATTTTGTCTCAGGTCAATTCTTTACATCCTTTTACTGCTGTTCTGCGCACTCCTCTGAAGTAGATTTTCGTTTTTTCCCAGGATTGGCACCTTTAGCAACGCCATTTTATATGAATGCTACCTGGATAAAAGCCCGACATTCTTACCGATCCTGAATAAAAAATCGTTGGACCTAATCAAAATTTATCGGACATGTCCAGGGCCAAAAAACCCTTCTTTAAAGACGCCGAATATCGGCTACTTCCCCAACCAATCTAGCCTCTTTTTTTCCCCAATTTGGTCCTAAAAATTCCCCAATCGCTTGAAAATTCCCTGCAGAATTAAGAATTGAATTAACAGAAAAAAGGAAAAGATTCATGATTTCTTCCGAACAGCGTTGAAAACATGAAATCCCCGTATGTAAAAATAAACCGTGACCTATTAATATCCGCTTAGAGGGGTGTGCACATTGATCGTATAGAATTTCATTGACTCGCTAGGCATGACGTAATATACTGTATTATACCCTAGAGGGGTATGCATAATAGTTGTTAACATTTCATTGTCTCGCGAAACATGACGCTGTACTTTTTCAAAAGATAAAAATAGATGACCTTAACTCCAGTAAAAAAACGAAAATCTATCTTTAGATGTAAAAAGATATTTACGGTGGAAATTGAAGAGTTATTTTACCGCTACAAAGGTAAGTTATTGTACGAAGTTTAACTAATAATTTCGAGTACTTAACATCGGTTTCATTAGTAGAACTGTAACTAAATTTTTACAACATATATGTTTTTGTTTACCGGCGCTTTACGGCAAAGTTCAAAATGCCGCATAACTGGACGCGTAACTGGACACATTACACAAAAAAAATTAAATTGTCCGACTCCAAAAATACCAAAAATATCACGTTTTTTTTTTCAAAAGAAAAACGTAAGTGAATCAAGTAAAGTATCAGATACACCTTCAGATACCAATAGATCTAAAGTCATGGAGATAGAGAAGTGTACATCTTCAACCACTGTTGATGATGTTGTCATTGTTGATAAAACGGAGTCCAAGAGATCAGAGACTTCTCTGACGATGACTTAAACGCTCTGGTGGATGAGTTAAAATCAAGAAAGAATAGGAAAATGTTATTATAAAGCAAGAATCAATGAATAAAATTTGTTTTTTTTTAGTTATAAGAGAGTCTATGTTGTTTATTTTTCCATATTAATGTTATATATCCCTTTCTTGATGATTATGAAACAGCCCAATTTTTCCCCAAATATGCAAAAATCGCGCTTATTTTCCCCAAGTAAAAGGCTAAGGCCCCTTCCCCAAAAAAGGTGTTTTGGCCCTGCATGTCCGTCGGACCGACGTATTTCAGAAAGTCTGGAGAGGCAGTAAAATGCATCATCAAAGCAGCTACAGATGAATATCGACAATAAGCCATATATCCCAGTCCTAGAGTATATTCTGGTACTGAGTATAACAGGGCTGCCAACAGCAAATTGCAAAATCCGAGGAAAATACGCCGGGGGTCAAGGGGGCTGCGCAAGCCCCCATTGCGGGTCAAGGGCAGAGCCCTGGTGGGGGCCCAGGGGGCGAAGCCCCCTAAAGCTCCTGGATTCTGATGATTTGGTATGCCCTAAAATCAATTTCCTGGACTCTAAATTTGACTTCCTTATCCGACATTTTGACAACAGACAAGAGCGACAATGTAAACTGTAATTTGATTGGTTATTCTAAAATAGAATGCCTGAAAAGACTCGATTTGACCAATGAGAAAAGCGCTTACAGACATACCATAGGCGGCTAGCGTAACGATAAAAGCCGAAGTGTGCCGGTTTTTGGGTACTGTATAAAATATGACGAATGAATTTATTGTCTTTGTCAAATTTACATCGATCTCAAAAATGACCCAGGAGCTCATGAAATCCGCTGATTTCTGCGAATCCGCGGAAAATCGGCAGCCCTGGTGTAAACAACAAAACAAGGAAATCATTAGTAATTTGTATGCTTTCAACACATCTGTTAAAAAAACAAACTGATGATGTGTGTAAATTGGACAAATCTAACATCCTTAAAACAATATTTTGGACTCCAAAAGATATAATCTGTTGTGCAATAATATTGTGGCCAAATGAAAGTTAAACATTCCTTCTAAAGAAGAAAACTTGATTAATTTTTATTTGACAGGTGCCCGTTCCGTAAACATGCAGTTTACATTGGATGGCAAAGCGTTTTATTCACTTTAGCTTCAAATATCTATATTAGAAGGATTTTTAAAACGATGATAACCTTTAAGTTTTTATTTCTTTTTAATTTAACATATTGGTATTTCATCATACCTTTTAAATCAGCTATATAATTCAAAAAGAGTTGATAAACAAACGTTTGCGTCCTTAGTGCGCCGCCATATTGAAATCGACCGGATGTTGTTGAAATTTGTCGCTAGTGGAAACAGAAATTGTTATATAGTTCTAGATTTACATATAGTCACTGTTGCAGCTGTTTTTACTGAATAAAGACGGTTTTGTTCTTAAAGATAAGTTATCTTGGAAAATGTAATTATTCAATTAAACAAAACTTGCCAATAATGTTTGTTTATATATTTATATTTTCCTTAATAACATCAAGGGGATATAGCTCAGTGGTAGAGCATTCGACTGCAGATCGAGAGGTCCCCGGTTCGAACCCGGGTGTCCCCTGTAGTTTTTGCCTTTTTCCGTTATTTTTTTTTAAAATAACAAGTTTGATTTTTCCGTTCTTTTTTTTTAAAATAAACAAGTACATCTTAATTAACCCTTTAGGCACATAAGCCTAATGATAGTTTTTCCTTTCTGTAAAGTTTGTTTTTTTAACATGAAGTACATGTGGTAAATTTTAAGCGCTGACTGAAATAACACATGTCGCAAAGATATCAAAATCACGGATTTATATTACAAATCCGTGTCAAAATGTAAACAAAAAATGATATCTCTATTCCGACGGATGCTAAATTACTGTACTGTAACCTAAAACAAGAAGTAAAAGGTGCCAGTTAGTAACATTTTTGCAAGGCCTTTAGAACTGTCTTTCTATTTGACTACGGCACGTTGATAAAACGCCCCCTGGTACATGTATATAGTTACAATACAATAAATAATGACATCGACAACTTACAGTATTTAGTATCAGATATAACAACAAACCACGAAAAAATTACATCTGGATGATGCTGGAAATATTTTATGAGTACATTTGTATATAAAAAGTATATATTCCTATTGTTTTTATATCAACATTTTGAAATACTAATGGAAATTGTGTCGATTTTAGACCAATCCACTTTAATGAATTAATTTTAAGATAAAGAATGTTTCGAACCCCATGCCTTTCTGTTTGTTATTGCGTATCTAAATTTATTTCCAGGTACACGACATAAGAAGTGTTGTTAATGAATTCCAAGATATTAATAAATATTGGCATTCTTCAAGTAAAAAATCCTTGTAAATAAAATTCAGATAAGTTTATAATATCTATGCAAGTAGATCAGGAAGTCGAACGTATAGAGATTAAAATCATTTGATACTTTTTGAAGCGAGGTGAAAATGGTACGATTCGGAGTAATGGCGGATTTTAGAATGTATTTAAAACGGCCATTTAAAACACACGTCAGAGTGAGTGTATTTTATAAAAATGTTAGAGTCATTGACTAGAGCAATACTCTATTAAAATTGCATTTTTGTGGATCATTTGGGGCTCTGACCTACACATATATTTCCTCGAAATCATACAAGTTTAGGTTCAAGTGAAAAAAAAATATTGAAGGTAACTTGGCAGTAACTGATTTTGTGTCGGTGAAAAAGTCATAAGATCAAAGCCCTTATCGTGAATGTTAGTTGCTATTTCTACTTACAACTTATGTAGACACTCGTTATTGAGTTGCATAGCAAATATTTTTGTGCAAAGATATATATGAAGTCTTGTTGTCCGAATATTTATGTGTACGATGTTTTTTTGGTGCAATAAGATAACTGTACGCTACGAAGGTTAGATAATTTTGACAAAGCAAATAGCTACTTAAATCTTTACACCATAAATAATCTTCTTTTACTAACAGCGTTTTTGCTGTTCTTTTTTTATTGCTGACGGCATTTATTGAACTTTCTTTGTATTGAATAGGTAAAATATTTATCATCCTGAATTTTTAGCCTTCTGAACTAAAACTAAAATGTTTTTACATTTATAAAATATTTCAGAATCGATAACTTGATGACAGAGCACCGCAGCAAAAGGAAAATAAGAAAGGAGTTCTGAGGCAGTCTGGAAAAATAGGAGTGAAATCTGATAGAATGCGTTACAAGGTCGAAGAAAGACAGATGTTTTAGGACAAAGCAAGGGCACGCTACTTACTTTATAAAAAACTCAATAGTTTTAATAATTTGATTTAAACAAACATCTTATACAATAGTAAACTTAAATACAAGGAAACTTTAATGTGTATATCCATTTGGATAGTTTGAAGTACGAATGTTCAATTTCGTGATGCTACAAATCCAATTGTTTTTCGAATACATTGTAATTTTAATATTATGTATGTTTATTACACTAACTTTACAATTATTGAAAGTATGATAAGTGTGATATAATAAATTGTTCATTACATGAAACTGCTTTTCACCGTATCAGTAAGTGCTCCATACTATTGGGGACCGGGTGCACGTGCAGTAAAACTGCTAAAATTTAGAGAAGGGGTTAAGAGAGAAATAGATAATATAAACACGGGACGGGGTGCAATGGTTATTTACACTATGGAATCTTTACAGGCATTACGGGTATTTTGTATAAACCAACCATCCCAATATTGATTACCAAGGATGTTCAAAATAACTTGCTGAGTGATCTTTTTTATGAAATATTCGTAAAATCAAAATAACCTGCTGAGTGATCTTCTTTATGAAATATTCGTAAAATCAAAATAACTTGCTTAGTGATCTTTTTTTATGAAATATTCGTAAAATTGTCAATTACAATCTGGAATTTAAAATTTTAAGCCCAAGTTACAATACACCGTTTTTTTAATGGAGTGATTAAGGTTAGCTTGCATTTTCAAATATTACACATTGAAGCAATTGTAAAAAATAATATATACTATATAAGTTTCACAAACTGCCTAATCCCCTGTCTATCAGAAAAAAAGTTATGAAAAATTGATTAAATTCCTCCCACTGACATTATAAAACAAAACCTAAAAAGTGAAGGATAAAACACTTATTTGCAGATCGTTTCTTCGTAGGACCTAAATAGTAAACAAAAATAAGGCGGAGTTATGCCAACCGGAGCCAGATCCAGAGGAGAACTGGCTTATTAACAACAGTAATATTTTAACACACACTGAACTATTAACAGACCTCTAAATACGACATCTTTGACGAACTCCGCAATATGCGGAAAGAAAACAGAAAAAGACCAATCATAAGTTATTTAAATATAAACACTCGATGAAAATAAATTCTATATCTAGTAAAGAAAACAATTGATGTTTATTTCTTTTTTTTCAGGTCAACATGTTTTTAAGTCAAGTGGGGTACAGATTAACATGTTTGCAATATAAGTAAGGCCTATAATGACACGATCACCGACTTATGTGCTTACAGCAGATTATTATGGATTAACGAATTATTCATTAGTTATATTCATTATTTGTCAATATAGCGTAAACAACACACAAGGTAAAATGTCACTAACACCAATTTACTTAGAATTACGTCGTAAGCTTAATACAATTCACGCACCTACTCGTATATCCCTGGACTGGTAATTTGAATTTCATTCTAAAATTTGATATACTTGCATGCAGTGCATCGAGCTACCCAGACATTAAATTCTATAAGGATATTCAACTTGTTCAACCACAATGGCAAACGAAGTAAGAAAAACTAAAAGTGGCCACACCAACCATTGGCACCAAACAAAAGCGAAGGCTGTGGCTTTGGGTTTTTTTTGTCGGCACGTGTCAGATAAATCGAAGCAACGTGAAGTGCTTACAAGGTAAGTTGCGGTTTACAAACTGTTCTACTTTAAAATGGGTTTTTTTTATTAAAAATATGTCAAAAATTTTATGTCTATAAACATAGACTCTGTAATTTTACGTAAAAAATGTAATCAAATATATATATATTAACCAGCTTGTAACTTCAACTATTTACTGCCTTTTACAAACATTTTTGGCAAGCGTATTTCTGCATCGCTGTAATGTTAAAGTTAATGTTTCAAAAAAGGTCAATTTTTCAATTAATCGGGAATTTGAGGGAAAAATTTAATCGCAATAAAACTAAATTCTGATGCGGATGAATGGCTGACTTTATGTTTTACGGCATATTTTATCGTGTAACTATAAAATTTGTTTAACCATCTTATTTATCCTATTGACAAGTTTGAAATTCAACAATTGGTTTCTTTACCTTTTAAGGTTTGTAGAAAAGTTCGGTATGTTCGTTCTCCGTTTAGAAAGATTTTATTTAGGGTGAAATGGAAACCCGGGGCCACTCAAACCCCCCTTAAAAAAACGAAAATTTACGGAATTTAAAACCCAATTTTACTATTTAATGATGGATGTTATACCTTAATAGTTTTATGGAAAAGATGAAGAATCGGATGAAGAACGACAAAGATGAACTATCCAGAAAGTTGCAGGAGTATACAATCAATGAGTGTCCTAGTCTACACACAATAAGACCGAAATCTCCTCCCCAATCTACCCGTAAAATACCGTACCCGGACGTTCCAACCTACGTGAAGGTAAGGTTCTTTATATAAATATTTCACTTTCATTAGATATTCATGACATCATCAAAACACTATATGAGCCACGTCACGACAAAACCAACATAATGCGCTATAAGTTTCTCTACTTGTTATAGGGTTTGTAAGCGAACAGCATGGATCCTGATCAGACTGCGCGGATCCATGCTGGTCGCAAACGCATTACGTTGGTTTTGTCGTGACGCGGCTCAATTATATTGTTAGGTATATGTATCACCATTCCCTGAAATTAGAGGGCACTTATGGTTTGCACATTGTTCGAGAGAACTTGAAAAAACACTTTTTATTTCATTTAAAGAAATGAAACAAAAACATAGATAAATGGACAATTTTTTTTTGACCCTTAAATGTGTTCAAATTTGGCCAAAAATGATTTTTAAAAAAAAATTAAAAAATGGGTTTTTTGTTGCATCTTTTTTAGGGCGCTGGAAAAAAAAAAGTTGGGTTTAAGATTTTTCCCCCGAAATTGAAAATTTGAATGTAAATGCAAAAATATTTTTCTTTTCTTCCCTTAAAAAAAGTTTAAAAAGTTTTCCCAATTTTTCAAAATCAACAAAAAATTTCCCGACTTTCGTCAATATTATCCGGGTTTCTATTTTTTGGGCTTTTCCCATTTAAGAGATCCCCCCTTTAATTCCAAGTGTGCAAATTTGTCTCAAGTTTTTCCCGGTATTTCACGGGAAGACGTTACCATTTGTGTATGTGGATGTTTTTCACCAAGACTGTCTGTTGAGATGCGGGGATCTGTCCGATGCAGACAAATATAACATGGATAAAGCAAGGTCCAATGTTGGATGGAGCTGTCCTCATTGCGTACGTAAAAGAGTGGTTGAGTTCTGGTCAGCTCTCATATCTCCCGCGTTGCTATGGAAATAAGCGTAGTGTATATAAATAAAGACCCTATATAGAACTAAAGAACTAGAAATTAAACATTATTGAGAAGTATTCGTTTAAATTTTCGTTGCAATCCATACCCATATTTTACAGATTTAAGAAATAGCTGGCTCGTTTAGATGAAATTTATTATGTTTCTTTTCATTTCTCATTTTAGTCAAATATATCCCTGCTATTAACATCCGGGGAAGTGAAGGATGACAATTTATTGTAAAATCGACTTTAAAACGGGGTTTTGTAATAATGATTTTTTTTCTAAAAATTCCTTCTATAAAATTTTTGATTTTGTGTCATTTTTTGGTTTTGGAATGTTTCTGATTTTAATATAAAAAAAAACAGCAAAGTTTTCAGTTCAAAGGGGAAAATTTGTAAACATCGGGCATTTTTAAAAGGTTTAAAGGCTTTCATTTCGGCGTAGCGAAGGGGGGGATAGCGAAGAAAACGAGAGGTTGTACACTCGGCGGGTTCTGCGGATGAAACGAGGGGTCAGTAAAATGAGTGATTACCAGGGGTAAGCCCCCCCGGCGGGGTATGCGGCTGGGGTGGGGAGGAAGTACATAGCGAAAGTATATTTAGCGTGGGGAAACGAGAGGTAAGTACAATAGCACGTGATGTAACGAGAGGTAAGTACACAAGCGTGAGGTATGCTGGCGTGAGGTAACGAGAGGTAAGTGCGCTAGCGAGAGGTATTCTAGCAAGAGATTACGAGAGATAAATACGCAAGCGAGGGGTTAGAATGCTAGTACATGTATAAGGTTTGTTTGCGAGAGAAAACGAAAAGTATTTCTGCTAGCGAGAGGTGAGTTTTCACCTGACTTGCTAGCTTTAAAAAAAAACAAGCAAAAAAGTTTACAAAAGTATTTCTTACATATTTTTTCAGATTTACAAATTTCCCTGCCAGAATATCTTCACCATTACTCCCGCCGGCGTTCATTGACAAATAGACAAGGCAAATTATTAGAAGCTGAAAATGCACGGCTTTCACGTGCGTTTAGTTACATGGACATGAACAATGACAATAAACTGGATTGGTGGGAATTTGTCAACCATGAAAGTAAACATTACCTCGCAGAGAAAAACAAAGTAAATTATAGTTTATACATGAGTGACAATAGTTTGTGGTTGATTTGATAAGCAATTTGTTTAAAAAGTATATGATATATAGATCTATCTTCTGTAATTCGGAAAAACCGACCGTGGTCTTACTGTTATGAAATAGGTCCAGACGAATTCTCTCAATCGAAATTTCTCGGCAATTACATTTTTCTCTCCAAATTATTTTAAAGGGACTCCAGAGATATTTTTCGGAGATTTGTGTACCGTTTGATGTAGGCCCAAACTGCAAATTTTCCGATCATTCCTTCACAATGTTTTCCAAATTATCTTATTGCGCAAAAATTACTAAGAAATAAAAAGCGTTGCAAAGCTTTCTAAAATTGCAATATCGATTTTCAATTTAATTCTAAGTATATTTCTTGATTATCCTTTGCTCCTTTAAAATACGGAATAACATACATGCATTATCATATATGGTGTAAGGGTGTTGATATTGAATGCATGTATATCTTTTCAAGTATTGTAAAAAAGTGTTCATATACCTGCAGTACGATTTGGTGGATCTCTTAACGAAAAAGGAACTATGTGCAGCCAAGGCAACATTTAATATAATGGACATAGACGGTGATGGTAGAGTAAAAGAATACGAGGTGAAAGAAGCTTTCAAAAATTGGTACAGAAATTTCGAAAAGCGTAAACTCAGCCTCACGTAAGTTGCTCATTTCCGTTCGTCATCGATTATATTACTCACATTTTCAATATTATTTTGACTTAGATAGAAATATGGGGACTAAGATAGAAAAACGAGGACCCAGACAAAAATATGAGGACTCGGACACAAATATGAGGACTCGGACACAAATATGAGGACTCAGACAGAAATATGAGGACTCAGACAAAAATATGAGAACTCGGACAGAAATGTGAGGACCCAGAAAGAAATATGAGGACTCAGACACAAATATGAGAACTCGGACACAAATATGAGGACTCAGACATAAATGTGAGAACTCAGACAGTAATATGAGGACTCAGACAAAAATATGAGAACTCGGACAGAAATGTGAGGACTCAGACAGAAATGTGAGGACTCAGACACAAATTTGAGGACTCGGACACAAATATGAGGACTCGGACACAAATATGAGGACTCAGACAGAAATATGAGGACTCAGACAAAAATATGAGAACTCGGACAGAAATGTGAGGACCCAGAAAGAAATATGAGGACTCAGACACAAATATGAGAACTCGGACACAAATATGAGGACTCAGACATAAATGTGAGAACTCAGACAGAAATATGAGGACTCAGACAAAAATATGAGGACTCAGACAGAAATGTGAGGACTCAGACAGAAATGTGAGGACTCAGACAGAGACAGAAATATGAGGACTGCTACACAACAACAGATTATTTACAATCTCGAACACAGTTACATTTTATGCATTTCATTCATTAAATTTGACAATTGAAGACGTCTGGTTCAGGTTTTTGTACTTATTTGAAATATGTTCTCTATGTAACTTTGCACGTGTTTTAAAATGTGTTTCAAAAAAATCTATTTCTACAGATGTACAGTGTATCGTTCGTTATTTCACATGTTTAATAATTTTACATGTTGTGTTTTTTTTTCTTCTTAATTTCTATGATTGTTTTAAGTGTTGCATTATTTTAGATGTGTATTCTTATTTAATTAACATGTTGTGTTGTTTTACTTAGATCTACGTATCTTACATGTTGTTTTATTGTACAGGAATGAAATTGTCAAAGACTCGGACATATTGGACCTACACGCTAGCGTATTTACCGACATTATCATGGAATCTAATAACAAGCAGGGGTATGTGATCGTGCTTGCATATAACATATGATAACCCATTAAGTTTGTCTTCTTCATGCATAGAACCTTAATGGACTCGATAAAGTAACACTATGCTACTGTCATGCTAATGTTTGTGTTAATCAAAAATAAAGTCAATGTTATTCAATGAAAAACTTAGAGCTCAGAGTAGGGGTCTATCAATTTCACGGACAATTCTGTTCCAAAACACCCATCTTGTACATGTTTTGTAAAAAGCGCACACTATTGATTGTCATGATAAAGTATAAACTCAAAGGTCTTTGTTGAATATATAGATTCATCCAGGTCTTTTGTCCAACTTTAAATAAAAACAACATTTTTCTATCTCAATGTTTTTTTATATTTTATGTTTCAGGGATGTAAAATGGGAGGATTTTATACTGGACCAGGCATTGTATATCATCTGTGCACGACCAAACATCAGCATATAGAAGCGAACATAAACTGAAAACATTTGTACCTTTTACCATGTGAATGGGGACTGGGATGGGGTTACAGAACGTCGACATCAGATGGACTGTTGCACTCTTTTTGTGGGAACATATTTAAGTGACTTAATTTTAGAATTCCACATTTGCAATGTGTTACAGGTCATGGGACATTCCAGCTTTATTGAAGGAAGACCTAGCTGTTTTCTTATGTGAATATAGGGCATGTATATATCTTATGTATACACATGTATATGTTTTTATGCTACGTACACCGAGGGTTTAAGTTACGCAGCATTTTATATCTTGTTTTTATGATTAAATATGAAACAAAACACACTGTTTTCTTTTTTTATCATGTATGAGATAATCAACATTGACAATATCTTTATAAATAGATGATGTGTAAGATGGTCACGCAAATGTCCTGTCGAATTGATTACTTCCCCTGAAATGATGTCCGGGAATAACACCTTGAATGAAACTGTTGTAATTTGGCTTGATATCACACGGACACTATTTAGTTCATATTTTGACTTCCAAGCTTTAATGTTTGGGAAGTCTAAGAGGCTTCACACTTTACTATTGGCACGAGAATCCAAGCATCCGAGTAGAACCATCAAATTTCAATAAGCCAGATAGAAAGCTTAATAAACAAAAAGCACCATTTTTACAAGTGTCTAAACGAAAACCATTCGAAGAAAGCAGTATTGACGCTGACAATCAAGTGGAGTTATTCACAAAGCTCCTAGTTATATTTTTGACTGACGTCACCATCAGGAATCTTATATAAAGAAATATATAATCATATAAATAATAGTCAAAATGGAAATCACAGGAAGTAACGTCATACTTAATATACAAACTTTTATATCTGAACAGGAAGCATCTAAAATATATTAAATTAGCATAAAAAGACTTGCATACTGGGAGAAGAAAAAAAATAACCAAGTTTAAACTTTTCAAATTTTATTTTTACAGGAAATGAAATGAGTTTAGACAGAGAGGGAGAATAAAGTTTAAGAATATATATATTGTTCATGTACATAGAAGATTACTTATTTTAGTATCAAATGATATAAAAATTTGATAAATAAATTATGAATATTTCTACACAAATTAAAAACTATACATGATATATAATTACATACTAAGATCAATGTACATTTGTACATTGATACAGCTAATGTGGAATTAATTGTGACAATTACAACCATACACAAAATTTTGTGAAGGTCTACTTGAAAAGTCCAAAAACAAAAACATCTCACAACAAAAAACATCAACATACACAGCAGCTAATTACAAGTTAAACAAAAGTATAAAGTTAAAAAAAAACACTTCAACATCAGCACTAACTACAAATATACCAAGAATCAATATTAAAATCAATATTTGATCTTCTGACAAAGTAGGAAATGTAACTTTAGAAGGCTGTCAGCAACAATGGTTTGTCGTCTTTGGCATCAAGGCACCAATATTCAGTCAGACCAGTCCACACTGCTGAGCATTCAACCAGACTACTATCCCCTGTTCTATTCTAATACTGAAATCCCTTAATGGAAAGTTCTGAATTCAAAGATGGTCAAGTTCATTACCTTATTTATACAAATTCAGTAAGAAAATGGTTAACCTGAATAACCGTTAAACAAAATCAGTTTTATGTTCATTTTATGTTAAAATTTTCAAGTTAAGGGAGATACTAAAATTCACATTCCTACAGCATGAAGAACAAGAGCTGTCAGTAGGACAGCATGCTCGACTATTCTAAGTGCTTGATAGTAAAAGAGCCTTCATAATGTTAAATCTTTTAAGTTCACTAAAGGGCCAATTTTTTTTTATAAATTCATGTTATAGGCCAATTATACAGTATTGGCTTGACTATTCGGAAGGTAATGTCACAAGGGTGTTTTATTGAGTATAATAATACTAATAACCTATGAATACATAAATTTGACAGAAAAGGTACAAAGGCTTGTTATTAAGATGTTTTATCAAGTAAATCACTGCTTTATTATTATGAATGCATAAAATTGTCCCAAAAAGGCACAAAACCCTTCAGTAGTTATTGAGATAACAGCTTACAAGCAAAACTTTACCATGAATTTCTAAGTTGAAAAAGGGGAGAAAAATCAGCCTAAATGCAAGATAGAATTATGGATCTTTGTCAGTGACCTACAATTATGACCCTAAATGCATATGTGAAGTTTTAAATAAATATCTTTAATAGTTATTGAGATATGTAAAACTTGCATGTAAACATTAACCAAGAGACTAAGTAGAAAAGGGAATATGAATCAGCCTTAATGCAAGATAGAGTTATGGAACTTGGTCAGTGACATACAATTATGACCCTCCAATTATGACCCTAAGTGCATGTGTGTAAAGTTTCAAGTAAATATCTTTGAAAGACCTTTAACCTTTAACCAAAATTTCTAACTTTCAAAGGGGCAAATAATTCTGCAAATTTTTGCAGACAGAGTTATGCAATTTTGCAAACTGATGTACATTGTTACTATAAAAAAGTATTTTAAATTTCAATTGAATTTCTCAAGCAATAATTGAGATATTTGACTTTATAAAAAAAACTTTAACCAAAATTTCTAAGTTCCAAAGGGGCATAATTCTGTCAATATTGTAGGCAGAGTTATCCAACTTGTCAATCTGATGTACCTTGTTACTATAAATAAGTATTGTAAGTTTCAATTGAATATCTTCAAGCAATAATTGAGATATTTGACTTTACAAAAAACTTTAACCAAAATTTCTAAGTTAAAAAGGGGCATAATTCTGTCAATATTGTAGGCAGAGTTATCCAACTTGTCAATCTGATGTACCTTGTTACTATAAATAAAGTATTGTAAGTTTCAATTGAATATCTCAAGCAATAATTGAGATATTTGACTTTACAAAAAACTTTAACCAAAATTTCTAAGTTAAAAAGGGGCATAATTCTGTCAATATTGTAGGCAGAGTTATCCAACTTGTCAATCTGATGTACCTTGTTACTATAAATAAGTATTGTAAGTTTCAATTGAATATCTCAAGTAATAATTGAGATATTTGACTTTACAAAAAACTTTAACCAACGCAGACGCCGACGCGGACGCCGACGCCGGGGCGACTACAATAGCTCTCATATTCTTCGAATAGTCGAGCTAAAAACTGTCTTGTTTCATCATTAAAATATAACTTTTATTGACACTGTTCTATATTGCCAGAAAAGAAAGCACAGTAAAATAGAATGAATTATGATATACATGTACACATCTGTTTTACAATACGATTCTAAAGAGAAAAAAAAGCTTTGACTTTAGTAAACATGCACTCACATCCAACTTCTTTTTCTTCTGACCAAATCAAGAACATACACATGTACATGTAAAAACATAGCACACTAAATAAATGAAAACATTATGCACATAGAAAAGTGAAAATTCCTTCAGAATTCTACTGTATACAAAATGACGCTTTGGTTAAAGGTCAATATGACCAAACTCTTAAAATAACAATGCACCCTTTCATATTCAAATACATATTTTGTAGGTTATAGTGGCAACTTATCTCAAAATACTTTGAAAACACTCAGCGAATGACTGTTCACAAGGAAATAAAAACATTGATATTTATTTCAAGTGAAACATTCAATTTTGCACAAAATACAGTCTTCTTAATATCTGCGTATTTCTTCGAGTGAGGCTAATATTAAGCTAAAAAAAGTGTTGGAGCATCACACTAAATACTGAATTCCGGCATATACTGTACAAGGCTCTTAAATGACTAAATACTAAAATCTTGCCTATCCACCGAAAAGCATTATAAAACGTCAAATTTATCTTTACACACTAATTTATATAATAATGAATGAAACATGTAAGAATAGGCAAAAATAAAAAGTCATTTTTTTTCTACTTTGTGATCATGTTTTTTGCATCTAGAGGTACTGCTCCAACACTGTATTGAGTTAAATCCTATTTCTTCAGCCACATCTAAAAACCTTACAGTACCTTACAAGTTGATATTCATTTCACAATATCTATACACGAGGCTTCTGCAAGTTTTACAAGTTTATTTTTATATCATTACAAAAAGCAGCCATACTGTTTTATGAATTTCTTAGTGGCCACATTTTACAGGTTATAGGGCTGTTTATAATAACAAGTTTGTAACGTTGCTTTCCATTAGATTAATATATATTAATTATATAGTTTTATATACACAACTGCTGTCAATTTATGCAGAAATCTTACTTTTTTCTTTAAAAAAGAAAGTTTGCTGTATTATAAATTTGTCATAAATATTCCTGACAGGTTATATGACGGTATATAAATGATTGTTTGCAATATAACTGTCACCTAGTGATTATATTCAATTGCCAACCAATCATTTATATAGGGCCATATAACCTGACAAAAATCTTTATAACTAATGTTGTTTTGTTTGCTGTACATTACCCATTAGCAGCTTGGGTGATATATAGATTATTCAGAGCCATATAACCTGTCAGCAATCAATATAACTAATGATATTTATTGACTGTTAAGAGGTTTTACAATTGTTAACTTCTTCTTTACATTCTTTTATCAAAGTGTCCTCCTTCTTTGTAGGATTCAGATCTGGCACTTTAAACCTTGGTTCCTTCTTTGGGCTTGGTGGTATGGATATGGGTTCTGTCACTGTGGTTGATCCGGTAAGAAACATGTCTGAAATTATTAAAAGGGAGAGTTTTTTTTGGTGTTTTTTCTGTTTCATTTTTAGAAAAATGATAATTTTTTTTTTTTTTTTTTACAAACATAAATTTCTTCAGAAAAAAATCTTGCATACAATTACATGTACATCATAATATCCTTTCAGAATATTAATTTGATATACAGTTAATGATGATACTCTTTTTTCAACATTTATTCTAAAGATATAATTTAAGTTCAACGGTGTTGTTATATATAATTATACCTTTTCAAACAAATACTACCACTTTATACAGATTACTGAGAAGAACAAAAACAAAACATCTGTAAGCTAGGCTGACAATTGGCCAACATGAAAATCAAATTCTCACAAGTCCGAGAGAGAAGTTATTTGAACAGGATTGTCCTTTATCAATAAAGATAAATCAGTGGGTACAAAAACAACAACAACAACACCTAGACCATGGTGAATTGTGAAACATTATCAATTCATGCTGATTACTTGATAAATAAAAAAATTCTCTTATTCAATTAAAACCATGATTAATGCATTTGAAATTTTGTTCTGTTTCATTTATGTAAATGCATCACAAAATAAATTTTACCTTCCAATGGATTTCTGAAACTGGAATTGCCTAGTAATGAAGTGTTCCTACTGCAGTCCTTGCCTTTATCTGTTGCTCTGTAATTTCAATATACAATTGTCTTAATGGGATCCAAATTAACAAGAGCTGTCGGTAGGACAGCAACGCTCGACTATTCTTAGTGCTTGATAGTAAAAAAGCCTTGATAATGTAAAATTTTCTAAGTAAAGAAAAGGGTAAATTTTTTCTTTAAATCCATATTACAGATATAGGCCTTGGAGAGAGTCCTATTATGCTCTCAAAGAAGAGTATAAAATTTCAACTTGTTTCAAAGCCATATGTTAAAGGACTTTGAAAATATTTGAGGTATTACAAAAACTTTAACATAAGTAGTTACGCCGACGCAGACGCCGACGCTCGGGTGACTACAATAGCTCTACTTATTCTTATCGAATAGTTGAGCTAAAAATGAAAAGACAAATTTTCAAATATTTTATTATTTACCCATTATTGTAGTCCAAAATTACCAAAAACACTGCAGGAAACTGCAATGGGGGGGGGGGGGGTTTGCCATTTTTTTATCTGTTTTTTTTTGGGCTTATGATATTCAGTGCTGAACAGTACTATTTCCAGAAATCATATGGTACTAAAATATTACCATTTCCTTGGTCATTTTTGAGTAGTGATATCTTTTGTATTTATAATTATGAAAATGACTTTTATGGTGCAAATTATACTACAAATTATACTATTATACCTATACTGTATTGAATTTCATACAAAAATGGAGATGTATTGTACTATATTGAGCATAGAAGTAATTTTCCTGATGCATTCATTTTTTTATGCTGTGCATATATCGTGAAATGATGCACTTGACTGCCCTATCTGTTTGATATGGAAATAATGTGACAGGTGTTAGAAAATGTAATTTACAATTTACAGACATAACATACTTTTTAAGTTCCTCTTTCAAATACTGATTCTCCTTCTCAATTTCTGCAACCTGATGATATTTCTTCCGGAAACTCTGCAACTCTTCTTTCACCTTTGTATTCTCTTGTTCGAGATTTTCAACGCGGGACAGTTTCTTTTTCTGTTTCTCGATCTCCTGTTGTAATCTCTTATTCTCAGCTGACATCTCACACACCTGCAGTGATCATCAACCCAAGTCATTAGAGCCGCGTCACGACAAAACCAACATAGTGCGTTTGCGACCAGAATGGATCCAGAACAGCCTGCGCATGCAGTCTGATCAGGATCCATGCTGTTCGCTATCAGTTTCTCTACTTGTAATAGAGTTGGTAAGCGAACAGCATGGATCCTGATCAGACTGTGCGGATGCGCAGGCTGGTCTGGATCCATGCTGGTTGCAAACGCTCTATGTTGATTTTGTCGTGACACGGCTCATTTATAATGTAATTCTAATGTAAAACAATCCATCTCTCAAGCCCAGTCTTAATCATCAGAGAGACTGCCAAGTACTAAGAAGTCAGGGACCATAACAAAAAAAGTTTAGTGATAGACAGATATAAAACAATATGCCCTCCTGATTTCTTGATCGATGGCCAACCAATTAGGAAGAACGTGTCAAATTGAGAATTTGTGTTGAGACAATGTTTTCTTAAAGGGTGAGGAATAATTTACGGTGATTAGCTTTATCATAGGCTTTGCTATTTATCAGCTGACAAAATATACCTTTTTCTTATGGTACTACTGAGTTTATTTTTCCTATTCTACATTCATAGAAAAAAAAAACAACACCATTTCAGAATAGTTCTGTACAAAGATTGTTTAACTCATTCAACCCTGTACACTATCTACCACTTAAACCCTACTGATAACTGATAAGCCAACTCCTAGGTACCTATTGATTTTTTAAACTGTCTCCTGAAGGGATATTGCACTGTTTTATGAGAGGTCATAAATAATAGGGGGTCACTAGTAAATTTGCTTGCTGGCAATCTCATTTTTAATCCAAAAACGCTGAAATGACACATAAATGTTTGGCAATAAAATTACCTAATCAGTGGTGTAACTTCCATCTACTGTGGCAACATGTTGGACTGAATTTATTATCAATAAAATAAAGAAGATTTTCACATAAAATCAGTTTATTTGTAAATAAAAGAACTTTATTTACTGTATAAATTTGCTATTAAAACATTCTTCTCCATAATATAATAAGTTAAAAAAAATATATTGAGAAATTTACAAATTAGAAATGAATACTTTGGAAGCATTATGCAAAATAAATAAGTAGTAATGACTAATGAGCAAATATAAGTATTATGTTATGGAGCTCATAAAAACAGACAAGAAATGTAACATTTATGTTGCAGAGGTGTATATACATCAGAAATTCATATTCATTTAAAAAAACTTTTATTTTCCTGTTGATTTTTTTTTTAAAGAAAATTTCAAAGGAAACAATAAATAATTTATCTTTACTACTGAGTCTAAAAGTAAGAAAATATTAGCCGGAAAAAATAATCGATATATGAAATATGAATGAAAATTGTTATATGATAACGAGAGTCGACTGTATTGAAATGTGTTCCTTCTATACACATGTTTTATTCATACTTGTTGTCATACTTACAAAAATTTCTATCTTACCCTAAAATGATCAATAATTTCTATCTTACCCTAAAATGATCAATAATTTCTATCTTACCCTAAAATGATCCATAATTTCTATCTTACCCTAAAATGATCAATAACTCCACTCCTCATGCTGCTACCTAATGACAGGTTTTCTGTGACAGATGGCGCTGGTGAAGGTTGAGCTTTAACTTGTTCTTTCTCAAACTTTGGCTGTGTCATGGACCTTGTTTCAACTACAAACAGATAATGTAGATATCTATAAATAAACCTCACACAATGTCACTATCAATGCTGGTGCAAGATATTATATCTTGACTCTTATGTTAAACCTTCATAATGGGAGTCTCCTAGCTATGACTTTTCAACTGTTCACTGTTACCAGAAGAGGGTTTCTATGCCAAGAAATATGAAGCAACCGAGGGTACATAGTCTGGTCAGACAACATAAAAGCGTAGGCTGATCTGACTTTATAGTTACTGCATATTAATCTCATATAGCATTTATATTTAGAAAATGGCAGACAGCAAGTGTGACAAGCTCATATGGGAAAGTGTTAATTACTCATTCAAATAATTAATCAGGACATAAAAAAATTCTAGTAACTATTTATATATATGATATACAACAGAAATTGTCAATTATAGGTATAAATCATATTCCCTATTTGAAATCAACAAATTTTACAAAGAATCTGATGCATGAATTAATTCGCTTAAGATATTTCCTTTAAAAGAAAATATGTCAAAGGTCCCTGACTACTGGCATCAGTCCTGATACAATCAAATATAAAACACAGACCATATTCCAGGCCCTAATGATTCTAACCCAATTCTATGTTGAGGGATAAAATAATATAAATATTTTTAAATTCTACTAGACTGGTTTCTATTACTCAGCATCATTTGACATAATACAAAATATAGTGAAGACAACAACATTATCCACTCTGCCATGGAGGCCCCTAATATTGTAAACAGTTAAAGTTATTATTTACATGTGTTGTCTAGGTTACTCTGAAGTCTCCTCATTTCATTCTTCATGCGAGCAACTCGTGCTTCATACTGTTTTATCGTCTCCTCATATTGTGATATCCTACAATAACAAATATATAAGTCATAATTTTTTTATTTTTTTTTCAGACTGCTTAAATATTCTTTTATTATTTTTTGGACTGGTTAAATCTTATCTTTTTTGGACTGGTTATATGGTCAATTATAAATGCTTATATAGCAAAACAATCATTTATGTATGACCATATGACCTGTAAAGTGTATAAAAATTCATAATACATTGTACTTCACAATTATTGCTATCTTTGGGTGAAATTTATTTATCATTTATTTATCAATAATTTTTTTCAGAATACATGTGAACAGGTAATAAAAGTGCCACAACTTTCAATAATTAAATAAATCAACTTTATAAGCATTCATAAGTATTAGAATATGTTTATGTGTGGTATAATAGTGGTGGTAGACAATATTAGAAATCTTGCTTATAACAGTGGATTAGTGTCAACATGTTGTTTTGAAACTCCTAGACTCATTTTGTCATATTTGATAAGTGTTGCCTGAAACAGAATAATAATATAAAATGGCCAATTATTAAAAACCACAAGTCTGTACCATCACAATTTTATATCATATGTACATAATTATTAAAAATCATACTTCCATAAAACCATACTTCCATTGTGATTAATTGTCAAATTATTGATCACATAGGCAGGCAATATAAGGTATTACCTTTTATTGTGTTCCTCAACAGCTGTTTGGAGCTTTTGTGTGGCACTGAAACCTTCCAGCTTGTATTTACATGGATGATCTTGAGTCATGAAGTTGATATCTATAAATAGTAACATTAAAAATAATTAATCTTTTACTACTTCTAATCTAATTCAAAATTATCCAAACAAAAATGAAAGTTAATATCATTCATCAGAAACAGTTTCATTTAGAAATGCAATAATTTGTACTAAGTCAGCATTGACAGAGTATAACATTCATTAAGATAATTTACAATTCTTTTATCTATATTTTAATTACTGTGAATTCACTTATATTCGTGGGCATGAAATTTCGTGGTATTATCAAAACGGGCATTTTCGTGGGTTCTTAAATTTGTGGATTTTCAATTTCTTGTAAAACAATAATAACCTAATGCAAAGTAATCTTACACTTAATAGCCGTGCATTTTACTTACCGCATGTACATATCTTTACGTATCATACAGCGCTTGTCAATAAATTTAATCCTTGCCTCTGGGCATTCATTACACAAAAATCTGTGGAAAAGCGCAGATGCATGTTCGTAATATATAGACTAGAGACATGGCAAGAAGTATTTGTTGGGATAAAATTTCGTCAGATCTTAAATTCGTGGATTGAACTACCCATGAAAACCACGAAAATTCGTGCCCCACAAATAATAATGATTTTACAGTATAAATCACACCATTTTTCTCAACACCTCCTTTGCCAAGCTTCTCCATTTTGTCCTTCAATTCTTTAGTTATTTTTCTTTCAGCTTCGAGATCAAAGTATAGTGTGTTAGCTTCATCATTGACCGTTTTCAGATGCTCCTCTAGTTTCTTGTATACATCTGTATTCTTTTCTTTTTCATACACTACCTGTTTATACAATTAAGTTACATAAAGAGTTATATTACTTCACGTTTGTAACATTGCTTTTCATTGGATAATCATGATGTTTATATTATTTTTGTATACAAGGCTGCTGTTAATTTATGAAGAAATCTAATTTTTTCCTCTGAAAAAAGTAAGTTTGCTGTATTATAAATTCATTATAAATATTCCAGACAGGTTATAAACTGTTATTTGCAATACCTCGCCTTGTGGCTTGGGTTACATTTCAAAACAACCAACCATTGATATAGGTGAACTCCCTTATTTGTGTCATGTCATAATCAAATAATATTGGTCTGAGCAGTGTCCATTGGTTATATCATGCCAGTTTTTCGTTTTGATGCGACAAAATTAACCACTCAGGCCTACGACCTTTGTGGTTAATTTGTTTACATCAAAACTCCAAACAGGTGTTAAATAGTCGATAAACACTGCCGAGAACAATATTATTTCTTAATTTAGAAATTTACCTCAAGTGCTTCATCAAAAGCATTCTTTTGTTTTTCTTGTGCTTTCTGTACTTCTTTTCTCAATGATCTAACAGTTGCATACACTGCTACACGCTGAAAAACATAATCTCAGTGTTTTAAATCAGTATTTCTATTCCTGTAATTATCTCCAGACTCACTTTAAAACTTTGCATAAATAACTATTAATGAAGATAAAGGAAAGAAGCATTATAAAAAGAGATATCAATATTTATTCTGCTGTAGCTATGCAATAAATAGACTTACATAACTTTCATTTTCAAAATGTCAATCTTGAACAAATATTTCAAAATCAGTCCTAAAATGTATGCAATAATAAAACTGGATAGATGTTTGGAATGGCTTAATAATGCCAGCATAGTGGTGCCCTATTATTACCCATACAACTGATAGAATATACATGTCAAAACTTTATATTATAAAATTTATTATTCATTTCACCTAAAACATTAAGTAGTAATGCATACCTTCTTCTTTTCTTCTCTGCAATATTCTGTCCATTTGTTTTCCCAGTCCACATTTTCTGGCTAAAAGTATAACATTAATCTTAATATTCAATTGTTACACTAATTGTAATATTACAAGCTTCTCAGAAACAACATCGAAACTTCAACCGGTAAATTTTATGGAATAATTAAAATTTTGCTTAACTGGTAAATTTTGTTGAATTGGTAATTTTTGCTTAACTGGTAACTTTTGCTGAATTGGTTAAATTTTGCTTCACATATATATTCTGGTGAATTGGTTTAATTTTGCACTGATAAAATCAGTAAGTTTAATTGACAAATGTACGCCATTCTCATTAAATTGGACCCCTAATCCTTCAAGATCTAACTGGATAGCTTCCTTAGATAAAACAAGCAATTATCATAGTATTGCAAGCAATCCATAAGTCCCCTACCGGTAAGAGCCCAAGCAACATTCTGAAGGGCCATTGGCCATTCACTTAGGTTCCTATTTTAAGTAAATTTGTTGAAAAAGTTCTTTAAAAGTGATCACAGGAAACAGTTTTTATGTACAGACAGACAGACGGACTGAAGGACACTCTAAAGTTATTTTTTAAACATCCCTGTTATCAAAATATAACATTTTTAAAATCCTATCATGATTGAAGAAGTTGGAGTAAAAATTACCAATTTCTCAAAAAAAGTCTAAGTTCAAAAGGGGCATAATTCTGGAAATTGTCTTGCTAGAGTATTGAACACTCACAATTGTTGAGTGACAATAAGAAACATTTAAATGAAGTTTAAAGTAGATACATTCAGAAAAAGAAGTTATTAAAAAAACAATGTTTTTTTTCATGAAAATTTTAAGTTCAAGGGAGGTAATTCTGATAAATTTTGTGCTAGAGTTGTAAACCTTGTCACATATGATGTGGTTGATGTCAAGCAACTTAAATTTAAAGTTTGAAGGAAATACCTTAAGACTAATAAAGAACTTATAGTGAAAAAACTTAAAAACTAGAATCAGAAATCTTGAAATTCAGTCTATTTGTTGCCATAGCAACCAGAATTTTCAACATAGGAAGGTAAGAAAAGGATGTGCATAATTTCCATACTGCCATCTACCCATATGTCAAGTTTCATAAAAATATTTTCAGTACTTTTTGTGTAATCACTGGATCCAGGTTATGTGTAAAATTTGCCATATTTTCAGTCTATTTGTTGCCATAGCAACCAGAATTTTCAACATAGGAAGAAAAGAAAAAGACGTGCATAACCTCCATACTGCCATCTATCCATATATCAAGTTTCATAAAAATATTTTCAGTACTTTTTGCGTTATCGCGGGATCCATGTTATGTGTAAAATTTGCCATATTTTCAGTCTATTTGTTGCCATAGCAACCAGAATTTTCAACATAGGAAGGAAAGAAAAAGACGTGCATAATCTCCATACTGCCATCTATCCATATATCAAGTTTCATTAAAATATTTTCAGTACTTTTTGCGTTATCGCGGGATCCAGTTTTGTGGACGGACGGACTGACTGACGGACGGACGGACAGACAGACGGACAGAGGGTAAACCTAAAGTCCCCTCCGGTAAACCGGTAGGGGACTAACAAGCAATGTAACTGGCAAGAATGACCAGCATGCAGGGACAAATGAATAAGGTCTGCAGAAACAAGAGGGCCATGATGGCCCTGAGGTCACTCACCTGTATATAGGCCCCCCACCCCGGGCCAATTTTTACCCAAGGGCTTTTATTTGTTTATTTGAACAGACTTGGTAGACACCCATAAGAAGATGTTTCATGCTAAACATCTAAGTTCTAGCTCATTGGCTTTTTAAAAGAAGATTTTTAAAGTTTTTACTATACACATATAGTTAAAAACAATGACACCCCTGGGGCAGGGCAAGTTTTGACCCCCGGGCGTTTATTTTAACAAACTTTGTAGATATTTACTTAAAGATGTTTCATGCTTAATATCTAAACTCTAGCTATTTGGGTTTTTCCAAAGAAGATTTTTAAGTTTTTGCTATACACATATAAGGAAAATCAATGACCGCCCCCCCCTGGGCGGGGCCAGTTTTGACCCCAGGGCTTTTATTTGAACTTACTTGGTAGACACCCATTAGAACATGTTTCATGCAAAATATCTAAGCTCTAGCCCCTATGATTCTTTAAAAGAAGATTTTTTAAGTTTTTACTATACGCATATAGGGAAAATCAATGACCGCCCCCCCCCCCCCCCCCGGGGCCAATTTTGACCCCAGGGCTTTAATTTGAACAAACTTGGTAGACACTCACTAGAAGATGTTTCATGCTTAATATCTTAGCTCTAGCTCTTTGGGTTCTTTAAAAGAAGATTTTTAAGTTTTTACTATATGCATATAGGGAAAATCAATGACCCCCTGGGGCGGGGCCAATTTTGACCCCAGGGCTTTTATTTGAACAAACTTGGTAGACATTCACTAGAAGATGTTTCATGCCAAATATCTAAGCTCTAGCTCTTTGGGTTCTTTAAAAGAAGATTTTTTAAGTTTTTACTATATGCATATAGGGAAAATCAATGACCCCCAGGGGTGGGGGCAATTTTGACCCCAGGGCTTTTATTTGAACAAACTTGGTAGACACCCATTAGAACATGTTTCATGCTAAATATCTTAGCTCTAGCTCTTTGGGTTGTTTAAAAGAAGATTTTTTAAGTTTTTACTATATGCATATAGGGAAAATCAATGACCCCCCGGGGCGGGGCCAATTTTGACCCCAGGGCTTTTATTTGAACAAACTTGGTAGACACTCACTAGAAAATGTTTCATGCCAAATATCTAAGCTCTAGCTCTTATGGTTTTTTAAAAGAAGATATTTAAAGTTTTTTCTTTTGGTTGCCATGGCAACCAGAGTTCTGCATGGAATTAAATTCTTTGAACAATTTTTAAAGGTGACCACCAAAGGAACATTCCTGTGAAGTTTGGATGAAATTGGCTCAGTGGTTTATGAGGAGATGTCATTTAAAGCAAAAGTTTACGGACTGAAGGACGGACGGACGCCGGACGGACGCCGGACGAAAAGCGATCACAAAAGCTCACCCTGTCACTTTGTGACAGGTGAGCTAATAAAAAGTCACCCTAGCTATTTCTTTTCATGACCTGAAATACAGCTATCCTAGATTATAAGAATGTTACACTGGCTGCCGGTACAGACCAGAATATCTATGGGTAGCAGCGAGGCTCTGCCCATAAATTCCGGTCTGTACCAACAGCCAACGTTTGATTCTTTTTCTTGCATATTACATGTCAACTATTTTCGGAACAGAAATTAAGAAAACTGATATTCTCAATACACACTTTTTTCTTATAGAAGGGTATGAACTTATAAACTTCATTCATAATGGTAAAATGATGTCATCTGAAGAACATCATTCATTTACAAAAGGTACGCGGCAATGACGTCATTTAAATCAGGCGACTTGTCTTGTCTTACATGGGGGGTGTAAGACAGGTTTTTTTTAGCACCTGTGTAAACGGTAGATAATCCTGTCTGACATATAAGAAAATCCTGTCTGATATGCAAGAATATAAGATTCTAGCACCATTGACTGTAAATATAAGAATAATCCTGTCTGATATGCAAGAAAGATTTTAAAAAACAAGGAACAAAAGGAAAAAATCAATATATAGATACTTACTTTAGAATGGAACTTGAGAGATGTTGGATGTAATCCTTTCTCTAATTGTAAATTATCTTCCTCCAGTAACAACTTCTCCTCTTCCAATGCTACCAATCTCTGTATAAAGTAAATGACATATAAATGATCTCACAGATTTTACATCTATTGACTATTCTCAATAATGTATGTAAAACTACAAGACTAAATATGAACACTAGACATTTCAAACAGATTAAGGACAAGAAGAAAGTTAGGTGACTTGCAGGTTGTAACTACATACAAACTTAACTAACTTGATATTTAAACTCAAAAATCCCGCACAGATTGTATAAAATCAGAAATAAAACTATGCATTTTTGGTAAATTGTTACTTTTTAACATTGGAATTTGCCTATGCTATAAATTGTGAAATATGTAAAACAGTGACAAGTAACTGTACTTTTTGTACACTGCCTATGCTATAAACTGTAGAGCTGAAACAATGATAATTGAGTATTTATAAAGATTGTGCTTAACATAGCTTAGAGTTTGGTTTACTAGTATTAATAATAAACAGTGAAAAAAATGTTATACTGCCAGAAATCTGGAAAACAATCAAAGTATTGTGTTAAGTTATAAAATCTCCATGTTTTTTGTTAAAGCTTAAAAAGTCCCCATTTTACTAACTACTTAACATCTTTAAAAAAAGATAATCATTACCTAGATTAACAGCCAAACAGATATGTTATTTTCAGCATCTCTGTACATATTGATCGGAAGAAAGGTTTTCAATAGATTAGCTAGTAATAATTTACCTTCTGAATAATTTCTTTTTCAGATTTCAGAGTTTCTGCCCTATTCATGACTTCATCTCGCTCTGCTTCGATGACCTTCACCTTTTCTTGAGCAATCTTGACCTTGCTGTCGAGTTCAGCTTTAACTCTATCCAACTCCTCTCTTTCTTTACTACTGTTATCTGCTTCAGATAACTTATCCTTCAAAGACACAATTTCAATTTCACATGTTTTTATCAAGTCTAGCTTTTCTTTCAGTTCAGATTCCAAATTCTCCAGTTTGACCTTCAGTATGTTGTTCTCTAATGTGAGTGATTCCATGTTAACATTAATGCTTGCTTCAAGTTCAGTAATTCTTGCACACAGTTGTTTATTTTCTTCCTCTTTGAACTTGACATCATCTTCAAGTTCCTTCAAAGTCTCCACATACAAACCTAACTTCTGTAAAATGATAAATGTCAAGTTTACATCATTTCATTCATGACATCTTAACTGAATGGATGTTCTGTTAGCAATTATATCTTATTACATGAGAAATATCTCCATTTAAGTGTCAGAGAGTCCTCTCTTATAAAACTAAAAACATGCAGAGATTTGCTGAGAATTGGAAATTACAGGGCCATGAGTTCACTTGGTCTAAAACTGTCAGATTGGCCATTTTGTAAAAAGTATTGGCCATAGCCAAATTATGTAAACTTTATATTTAACTTTAAAAGATTGTATTCTGGTTATAAAGTATATTTAACTGTGTGGTAAATAGTGTAACCATTATTAGTTATTTGTATTTTAATTATATACTACAAAAATAGAGCAACAACAGTGGCCAGCTTTTGTTTAAATTTTAGGAATACATAATACTCCTGCGCTTCTTTTCATTTTTTTAGCACAATTGGTGCAAAATTGCATCCTCCGCAGATGTCTGAATGTTTATTTGGTTTGACATCCTTCCCTTTCAAACCCTTAACATGTATTTTAACTGATTTTCATTTTCATTTAGGTGGCCTAGTGAAGAAATCTTGATTTTATTCCAAAATAAGTGACATAAGTACTTATGTACTTAAGTACTACATTAAACAACATTAAAAACCATTTAATTTGTGTATAAACTAAGACAGTTTTTATTTTTGATTATCAAAATCATTTATTTTTATTATCAGTTTACAACCTCTCAATACCATAAGTACAGTCGAGACTGTCATATGTGACTTTCCAAGGGATTTTCAGAAAAAGGTCACATGTTTTCCACTCTGAAACTTGGACAGTTCCATAGTTAAAGCAGTACAAGTATATTAAAACTAGAACTCCGCGAGTCGGATGTGTCGCCTTGTGAACAATGTAGTTTAGGGGAAATGGCCAGGACAAAAATGAAATATGAAAAATAACAAAGGGCAATAACTAAAAAAATAATAAGTGCAGAGCAGCAGTTTCTGTACACTGCACTTCTTATCAATAAGATCTATCATTCTATGATGTTTCAAGTCCATAGCTTTCATACTTGAGGAGAAATGACCAGGACAAAAATAAAGTAAGAAAATCAACAAAGGGCAATAACTCAAAAATTAGGAAGTGCAGAGTACTGGTTCTTGTGCACTGCATTTCTTCTTAATGAGATCTATCATCCTATGAAGTTTCAAGTCCATAGCTTTTTTAGTTGAAGAGAAATGGCCCGGACAAAATTAAAGTATGAAAATTAACAAAGGGCAATAACTCAAAAAATAAGAACTGCAGAGTACCGGTCCTTGTGCACTGCACTTCGGGTTATTGAAAGAAGCATGCATACCAAGTTTGAAGTCAATCAGACTTATAGTGACTGAGTTATGCTCCGGACAAGCTTTAGGGGACGCCGACAACGACGCCGACACAGACGCCGCCGCCGCCGACAAAAGTAACCCCTATATGTCACCTTTTCAAGGCGACACAAAAATTAGCAAGTTTAAAAAGATAAGTAAGTAAAGAAAACACAAAATCTCTCAGATAAGTACTTGCCTCTTCTGTTTCTAACAGTTTTTCTTTGGAATCATCCAACTGTTGTTCAAACTTCTTCACTATTTCAGCTCTCTCTTGTTCAAACTTCTCATTTTTCTCAGTTTCTGTTTTTAACTCTTTCTCTAGCTCTTCAACTTTACTTAATATAGTTTCACACTTGTTTCTTTGGTCATTTCGGTCAGAATCAATTTCACTGATATTGTTTTTAAGTTGTATAATTTCAGTGTCAAGTTCTGTGATCTTATCCTGATAACGGCTCTGAACCTCTTTCAACTCCATGTCATTGCTTTGAGCCAACTCTAAATGCTCTAACAACCCTTCTATCTTCTTTTCCAAACCTGTACAACTATTTTCCAGCTCAACATTCTTCACTTTCATAGATTCCAGATCTGTTTCTAGTGTAACAATTTTCTCTTCATATTCCATACATACTTTACTTAAGGTCTCTTCCTTTTCCTTGTACAATTCCACATCAGATTCCAGGTTTAATATCTTGTCAGAGAACTGAGCTTCACTCTGTTCAAATTCCTCAACTTTTTCATTTGCTTGCTTCAAAGCCTCTTCAGTATCTGTTACCTTTGCTTCAAGTTCATTCACATATTCTGTCATCTCCTTTACTTTCTCTTGCACTTCAGTATAAACATTGTCTCTCTGTTCCTCCAAATCATTAGTTAATTTATTAATTACCTCATCCTTGCTAGCCAGCATGCCTTTACCAATACTTATATGCTGTTCAAGCTTCTCTATGGTTGTTTTCAAACCTGCATTTTCATTTTCTGTTTGCTCAATGTTATCTTGTAAATCTTTGATTTTTTCTTGCAGCTCCTGAATAGAACCTTCATGCTCGTCTGATAACTGTAATATGTTATAACTTCATTAAACTTTAGAGAGATAGGTGTTCATTAACATAAACTAAAGAATTTTAGGGTAATATGCTATTAAGAATTTCTTATATTTCTAACATATACCGGTATATGAAATCGCAAGAAAAACAAATTATTATAAACTACATATTTAAACAGTGTTTGAGTAAGGTTTTGTATACTACAATACCTAACACCATAAGGGTTTTCTCAAACAGGCACATAAAAAGTGGGAACATACAGCTATTTCAGTAAAAGGTAGGGTGAAAAAAGAAACCAGCAGAAAACCCTGTCTGTGACAGCTAGCTGTATAAGTCAGGCCAGATTGCAGTTAGCTCCTAAGTGTAAGTATCTTGACATTTAAAAACCTTAAAAATACCAACCAACTTATCAAAATTGGAAGGGTCACTTACCTGACTAAATCTCTCTCTAGCATTGATAAGGTCAAGTTTCTCCTGTTTAAGTCTAGTGTTAGCAGCTTGAAGCACCTCTATATCTCGAGGAAGTTGTTGTAGTTGTGTTGTCATGGTACTCAGGTCTTCTTGCATCTCCTCGATAGTCCTCTCATATACCTCATGCTCCTAAAATATAAAAAAAAAAATATTGCTCATGAACATTTGAGAAAAATTCAAACACAATGGATGTACCAGTCTGGTGAGTAACTTATTTCCATAAGTTTTTGAAGACATCAATACTAGAATTGCATCATTGGTCCTTTTTTTTGTATTTTTGTCAGGCATCAAATCCTACTGACACTGTAAAGATCTTAAATACATGTTCGCTATCAGTTTCTCTACTTGTTATAGGGTTTGTAAGCGAATAGCATGGATCCTGAACAGACTGTGCGGATGCGCAGGCTGGTCTGGATCCTTTCTGGTCGCAAACCCATTATATTGGTTTTGTCGTGACGCGGCTCATATTAATAGCTTTGCCTTTGTAAGTAATGGGGAATACTGGGATACCTTTCTGTGCATTATAGCACAAACAGATGAGCTCCTGAATAAAATCAAGTTCAACTTCCCCTCACAAGCAGACCGCATAGCTTTTCAAATGAAAAAAATAAATAAAAACAATTCTGGCAGATCTGATACATCAGGAAACACCATTGAATGAAATCACAGCTTCTGTAGAACAATACACTTTGGGAGACAAAAAATTTGGTTATTGCTGAGAGGTGTGAGTTTCTAGAGCCTAAAATAAATGTGAAGAATTTTACAATGTTGTAACCAGGGTATTGCTCTACAAAGGAGTGCTCTGCAAAGATTGCTCAGTACAATCTTTGGTATTGCATCAAGATTATATGTGATTACCAGACTGTTATCATATATTAGCCATTAGTTTTACCTTCTTAGAAGTCTGAATTGTCTGTTCTAGATAGGAACACTTCTCTCTCTCTTCCTGCAAGCATGTCTGGCAGTTCTCCAAGTCCAGTCTTAACTGTTTCACTTCATCTGTGTCTGGTACATCATCTTCACCTAGGTGTATACATACATTTTCTTGTAAAAGAATTGACCAAGTTTCTAAAAGCCTCATCATATAATTAACACACTGGTATCTCTTAATAATGTTTAAACTATTTTTAGCACTAATGTTTGAAAACACTACAAGTAACAATATGGTGACACAATGGTACATTGCGATGCAGCTTCCGGCAATACATACTGCTGTACAGAACCCTCATACCATGATATTTCTTTTAATATTTCTCATTGTTGATCAAAATGTTCATTTATGTAATTATTAACATTACTACTTCAATATCTGAATATGTATGTATAAGCTTTCCATAGTTTGAGTTTTTTATTATTTTTAAAATAAAAAGTAGCTTTAGTTTTATATTGTTTATTTTTTTATATTATCAGTGTATTGCAATATGGTATGCCAGAATAGCAATACAGGTTCACCTATACCATTGCACCCCTAACCAGCAACTTATGAATTTTACTTGCTCACTGAAAGATTAAGTTCTAAATCATGAATTGAATACAACATCCAGTGTTGCATCTAGAATTTCAAAATTATGGGGGATTGTCCCCCACTCAATTGAAAAATGTGGGGGATTTGAAAAAAATGTGGGGGACATACATTTACCTTACAATATGACATACCGAAAAGAATTCATTTATTTTACGTTCAGGCATTTTTGACAGTTATTGTCCGCTCAAAAACGGAAGTAGAAAAAATAAAATATTGACGAATACTACAAAACACATGCGAGATGACTCAGTCGGCTGCTACACGCGATTTAGTACGTATTTTAGTCATAACCACGAGTGAAAACAAACATGGCTGAAGCGTTTAAGATACGATGAAGATAAACTGAATTAAGTTGAAGAGATCATCAGATGCGCGACTTGGCGCGCACTGACTTCATTAAAATGCGCGATCTGCATAAAAAGTGCGCAAATCGCGCAATCGCGCGGCCTAGATGCAACACTGAACATCAAATGACATCATGTGTAACATAAGTGTCATCAAGAATAGTTGAATAGTAGTACACCTCTTCACATTTCTTTACTATCTTATTGAATTCTAATTGATTTTTTGCTCTTTGTTACTTAAATTCTAGGATGAAAGTGCTGCTTTTTACACATGGCTAATTTCATGATATCATATGTTGGCATTAATACAAAAACCTGACATACCTGGTATATTGCTTGTGTTCATACTAACATCTATTGTTTTCTTGCATTCCACAGGTTGTAAGTGTTCTTGTAAATCTTTAATTTCTTCAGCATGCTTAGCTTTCAGTGTTTCTATTTCTGCTCTCAGCATTTCACTCTGAAGGTCCATGTCTATATTTACAGACTCTTGGGCACCACTTTGTAAATTTGTTGCGCTCATTTTTTCCAGTTGCTCTTTAAGTTCTGATACTTCTTTTTCATATTTAATCTTAATGTCTTCAGTAAGAGAGAGATTCTCACTACATTCTTGCATTGATTTAATCTTCTCTAGTTCTGTTTGTAAGGAGTCAACTTCAGTCTTGTGTGACTCTTTCAGATCATCCAATTCAGACTGAAGCATTTCTGATTTCAAATCATAACTTTCTGATTCAGGTTTTGTTGATTCAAGTTTCTCATATCTTTGTTTCAAGTCTACTAATTCTTCCTTTAAGCTGTCAATTTCTTTCTCATACAGAGATTTTATTTCTTCAATATCATTATTCCCCTCCAATTTACTGTTTAAATGCTGCTCAGCAAATTTAGCAAACTCTTCTTTCATAAATTCAACTTCTTTTCTGTGTTTCTCTTCTAGTTCTTCAATATTCATTTTTAGTTTTTCATTATCTGTTACAATAGAAAGGTTACTATGCTCTGCTGTGTTTTCTCGGCTGTTTTTTTCTTTCTCCATTTCATACAAATTTGTAAATTTCTCAAGCTCAGTTTTCAACCTTTCAATTTCTTCTGTATACTTTGTCATATCTTTTTCTTCAGTCTCAGACTGTTGGTTTTCAGTATTTTCTTTCCTTCCTTCCTCCAGTAAATCCATGTAAATCTTTATATCCTCATTCAACTCTTTAATCTTTTCCTCATACATACTTTTCATACTTTCATGTTTCTCTAGTTCCGATCTTCTTTCATCAACAGACTCAAGAATTCTTTCCAATTTAGCTTTCTCTTGCTGTAGCATGTCATCATATGAATCAAGTTTCACTTTCAATTCAACAATTTCCAAGTTCTTTGCTTCAATAACTTCGTCTTCACTCTTTTCTCTATGTTGTAGTTGCTCTTCATAAGATGCAAGTTTAGATTCAAGTTCTCTGATTCTCTCAAGGTGTGTTGTCTCAGATTCCTCAAATTCAGCCTTTAACATTTCTGATTTCAAATCCAACACATCATCATCTGCTGCCCTATTGTTCTTTGCTTTCTCAGCATCAAGATCATTAGAAAGCTGCTGTATTTTATTTCTTAGCTCATTAATTTCTTTCCGTGATTGTTCATTAACATCTACATTCATTTCATGAATAACTACATTGTCATGAGATATGTTGTTTGAGCCTTCTTTAGCAATGTCTATGGATTTGTTCTTTACCAACAAGTTCTTATACTTTTCTATCTCATCATTTAATTCGTTGATTTCACATTCATGTGTTTCCTTAAGTTTGTTAATTTCAGCTTGAAGCATTTCTTTCTGTAAATCCATTCCGCAATTTGTATTATGTTCAAAGCCTGATTCACTACTATCTTTACTACAAACACTTTCATCAAAAGTAAAGCTAAATCCTTCACTTTTTCTTGATTTTGCCTTTTCACTTTCAAGTAAATCTTTGTATTTTTCTACCTCAGATTCCAATCCTTGTATTTGTTCTTTAAACTGCTCAACCTGTTCTACCCCTACATCTCTAACTGATGTTTCACTGTCATCTGATTTTGCATTGCATGTTTCATGATATTTATCAAGATTAGATTTCAAAGCCATGATTTGTTCTTCATACTGTGACTTAACTAGTTCTACATTACTTACTTGTGATTCATTAAAACTTCTTTCTTCCAAAACGGCAAGATAAGCGTCTCTTTCTTCTGTCAAGTCTTTAATCATATCTTCATATCTTTCTTTTTGAGTTTCAATTTCAGAATTAATGTCAAAGTTAACATGCCTTTCTACCTTGTCTGTCTGGCATTCTTTAGATTCACTAAGCTTCTCTTTGGTTTGTTCTTTCAACTCTGTTTCCAAATGTTCATGTATTTTATTAAGATCATTAATCTTCTGTTCATATTTGCTTTCTAGCTCTAATTTACCACTACTAGCAAGTTCTAACTGGGCTGACAACTCTTCAATTTTACGTTCATACTCTGCCTTTAATTTCTCAAAGTCCTTTGCAGTTACTGATTTTTCTTCATCTGACTTTTCCTGTTCTATTTGTTGAGCTTCATTTAGCTTTTTAACTTCACTTTGTAACTTTTCAATTTCTGTTTCATATGTTTGTTTTTGTAATTCAAACTGAGATTCTAATTCAGCAAGTTTAACTACATCAGCATTTACTGTTGTTCCTTCATTATCATCTTTTTTATCAGAGGTCTTTTTTAATTTTTCCTCTTCTAACATTTGTTGGTAAATTTCAATCTCTTCCTTAGCCTCCGCAATATCTTTTTGAAATCGAGCTTTCTGATCTTCAAATTCTAATTCAAATTGTTTCTGCAGTTCAGCTGTATCAGCTTTCTCTTTTTCAAGGGAGAGAACTAACATATCGACTTCATTTCTCAAATCAGTTACTTCTTGTTCATGTTTTTCCTTAAGTTCTTCTACTGCATTATTTTTCTGTGTATGAATCTCTTCTAATTCCTCCGACTGACTAGAAAGCCTGGCTTTAATAACATTGTAATCCACACCTTTCTCCTCTAACAATGTCATGTAAACTTCTAACTTATGCTTCATTTGCTGGATGGCAAATTCATACTGAGATTTCTGTATTTCTATATCGTTACTAAGATTAGAAACTTTCGCCTCTGACACAGTCAACTGCTGAGATTTCTCTGTTATTCCAGAACCATCTTGAGCAGCATTCAATTGGGCATTTGTCGATTCCATAGTATGTCGTAAATTTTTTCTTTCATTTTGAGATTTCATTAGTTCTTCCTCTAACCAGATCACACTTTCTTTCATTGCTTTGTTCTCTTCTGTCAATTTTTTCATTTCCTAAAATCAAACATTTACACGCTGCTTTTCAATAAATCATAAACAAAAGATGTAACAATAACTACAGAAAAATGTTTACATTTTTTTCATAGGAATGTAATTAATTCAAAGGTTGCATGAATAAATTAGTTTTTCATTCATAACCTAATGATTATTCAAGAATAGGTAGAAGCAACAGGTTTTTCCTTGTCCTTTATACAAGACTTTTCCCCCTGTATGAGTTATTAATTATTAACAATAAACAAATTTTACATTTCTCTTAACTAGCCCTTAAAATTAATTGCATGAAAAGTAGCAGAATAAATATGGTATTTTCAATACTGATGTTGTGGGGAGGGCTGTTGCTAATGTTGTTATAACTTGTAGCCCGATCAATTTTCACTAGATCTCTTTATGAATATTTGCTTTGTATTATTCATGTAACATGTAAATAATAGTTGCAATAAAATATAATTAAACCAAAAACAAGCAACAGATTGGTGTACAAATAAACCTTTGTGCCATCCTAACAGAACATACAAGAACATATTAGACTGTACCTCTTTTAACTGTTTCATCTCCTCCGCCTCCATTTCTCTTTCTATATTTGTGAATTCTGTTAATTCTTTCAGTTCTGCATCTTTCTTTCTCAACTCCTCAAGCACAGTCTCGTGTTCATCTTGCCTAGTTTCAAACAAATTATCATTTTATTATTTAAATTTGTTATATACATAAAGCTTATTGGTTCAACATAATAATTATCTGTCATATGTTGCGGTTCAGACCGGAATATCTATCCCCAGGGGACCCCCCATGGACGGGGGTTCCCGAGGGACAGATATTCCGATCTGAAAAGTAAACATATTTCAGATATTTTTTCTTGCATATTCTGCCATATTATTTCATATTTAAAATGGTTTACTTCAATATGATGTATGTTCATGGAAATTAAAGTAATTTCATCCATAACTATATTCTTACAATAGTGTATCAACTTACAACTTAAATAACAACGGTGAAATGACGTAATCCTTAGCACACATTTCCCTTCTAAAAGGATGTCATTTAAAACGGTTCATTCATAAAGTGCGCTAAAATGACATTGATGTTTGGCACGCAACTCATCTGGCACCAGCCATGCCAGATGAAAATTCTGGCATGGGTAAAACTCACGGGAACGCCAGTCTGCTATGCAAGAATTTATTTTTCCACTTTCACAAAGCTGTATTAAGAAATGCATTATTGATAGACATTGTTAATTACATGCCATGATCTTTTTCACCTAAAAGTTATCAACATATTAATCTAAATGCAGATCAACAGCTTTAAATGAGTTCTGAAAAAGTATATCTGTTCCTAGACTATTTTGTATTTTATTAATTTTCAAATTTCAAGTAATATGCTTTTTGCTATTGTAATAAAAATGGGAAGCAAAATAGTCAAACAACCACACACAGATGTTTGTTTTGATTTTTTCTTTTTTGACATCTAAGAAAACCGGAATATATTCTAACATTTTTTTTTGTTATTTCACATTTAAACATTACTTACAACTTAAATAGTTCTTTCAGGTGAGAATTTGTCTGTATCGTCTCATTTGGATCAGGGGAGTCTTTCTTAGATGAACTAGAGCCTGGAACCATTATATTCTCTAGCAGTTGGAACGAGTCTTCCTCCTCAAATACCGTATTGTCTTGAACTCTTGTAGTAAATGGAAGAGTTTTATCTTTCAGATCTTGAATCTTTGGTGGTGAAATCTCAGAAATAGCTTTAAAATAAAACAGGAAATAGTCAGGATCTATAACATCAGTTACACTGTTCTTTAAACACCCCTAGGAAGGCTGACCATAGCCAATGGAATGTCTTCCTTACGATGGTGGTTGTCAGCTTTCTGTACCCAGTTTTTCAATTTTACCATACTATGATAAATTAAATACTTCACATAGCCCAGAGACTGAGGGTGTTTTTTTTTAGTTACTCACTGGCTAATTTAATTTTTATGGATGCCATTGCTATCCAAATTTGATAAAAATAATATATCAGGGACCACTTCTAGCTGAAGTAAATGAAAAATTAGACAGTTTTATTATTCCCAAAGTCTGACAAAGACTAAACATGGGTAAGACCGAGAACAACATATCAGCCACGTCACAACAAAACCAACATAAATGTGTTTGCAACCAACATGGATCCAGACCAGCCTGCGGATCCATGCAGTCTGATCAGGATCCATGCTGTTTGCTTATCAACCCTATTACAAGTAGAGAAACTGATAGTGAACAGCATGGATCCATGCTGGTCGCAAACGCACTATGTTGGTTTTGTTGTGACACCGCTCATATCAGTCTTGTTAACATAATGATTTCTAAATCTTTATTTGGATGTAGTGACATAACTGGTTGAACAACAGACTTGATAAAACTTTTAACTGGTATTGCATTTAATGTCTTGGAGATAAAATGTGAAAACTGATTTTTTTTTTACATGAAATGTTATTGCTTGCAGAGCAACAGATAAGGTGCGTCTTTACGCAATTAATTTTATAAAATACGCAATTGATCTAGGAATGCATATCAAAACCCATTAAAAAAAATAAAATACGTAACTGTCTTAAAAACCCGTGCGTATTGTCATTTTCATCACCGCAAAATTAATCTGTTGTACGCTCGTAGTTTTGGACAAATTATATCGATATGCATGCTATCCGAATATTCCCGAATCAATGCTAACTTATCAACGGTCTCCGGTCTTCGACGGTCCCTGGTCTCAAAAGACCGACTTAGGCATATCAATAAAGCATGAGACCGTCGATTTGTCTACTCAGGTCGACGGTCTTTACAGACCGGCAGAGACCGTTCATTTTGCGAAGACTGTCAATGACGCTTTAAAGCAATATGGCGTCGTACAAAAGGGAAAATGATTTGAAACAAAACTGTCGTAATTAATAAAAAATCAGTCAGAAAACAAACTTGTTAAAAATATTATGAAATATAACATGAGCATTTTATATAAACAAGAGGGCCATGATGGCCCTGGATCGCTCACCTGACACAACCACATCCAAGCAATGTCTTGAACAAGCATCATGACCAAGTTTGATGCGACTGAGTCAAACATGTGACCTCTAGTGTGTTATAAAGATTTTTCCATATTTGGGCAATGTGACCTAATTTTTAACCGGACACGACCCATATTCAAACTTGACCTAGAAATCATTAAAACAACCTTCCTGACCATTTTCCAGGAAATTTGGATCAAAACTGCAGCCACTAGAGTGTTAAAAAGATTTTTCTATTTTTAGCTCCTGTGACCTAGTTTATGACCGGACATGACCAATCTTAGCACTTGACCCAGAAAACATCAAAACAACATTCTTGACAAATTTCCAGAATATTTGAATCAAAACTGCAGCCACTAAAGTGTAAACAAGCTTTTTCTATTTTTAGCTCCTGTGACCTAGTTTTTGACCTGAGATGACCCATCTTCGAACTTGACCTAGAAATCATCAAAACAACCTTCCTGACAAATTTCAAGAATATTTGAATCAATACTGCAGCCACTAGAGTGTTAACAAGCTTTTTCTATTCTAAGCTCCTGTGACCTAGTTTTTGACCGGAGATAACCCATCTTCGAACTTGACCTAGAAATCATCAAAACAACCTTCCTGACAAATTTCAAGAATATTTGGATGAAAACTGCAGCCCCTTATGCGTTAACAAGCTTTTCTATTTTTAGCTCCTGTGACCTAGTTTTTGACCAGAGATGACCCATCTTCCAACTTGACTTAGATATCATCAAAACAACCTTCTTGACAAATTTCCAGAATATTTAGATGAAAACTGCAGCCACTAGAGTGTAAACAAGCTTTTTCTATTTTTAGCTCCTGTGACCTAGTTTTTGACCTGAGATGACCCATCTTCGAACTTGACCTAGAAATCATCAAAACAACCTTTCTGACAAATTTCCAGAATGTTTGGATGAAAACTGCAACCATTAGAGTGTTAACAAGCTTTTTCTATTTTTTAGCTCCTGTGACCTCGTTTTTGACCAGACATGACCCATCTTCGAACTTGACCTAGAAATGATTAAAACAACCTTCCTGACAAATTTCCAGAATATTTTAATCAAAACTGCAGCCACTAGAGTGTTAACAAGCTTTTCCTATTTTAGCTCCTGTGACCTAGTTTTTTGACCGGAGATAACCCATCTTCAAACTTGACCTAAAAATCATCAAAACAACCTTCCTGACAAATTTCCAAAATATTTGGATGAAAACTGCAGCCCCTAGAGTGTTAACAAGCTTTTTCTATTTTTAGCACCTGTGACCTTGTTTTTTGACCGGACATGACCCATTTCTTCAAACTTGATTTAGATATCACCAAAACAACATTCTTGACAAATTTCCAGAATATTTAAATGAAAACTGCAGCCACTAGAGTGTTGACAAGCTTTTTTTTTCTATTTTAAGATCCTGTGACCTAGTTTTTGACCGGACATGATCCATCTTCAAACTTGACCTAGATATCATCTAAACAACCTTCCTGACAAATTTCCAGAATATTTGGATGAAAACTGCAGCCTATAGAGTGTTAACAAGCTTTTTCTATTTTTAGCTCCTGTGACCTAGTTTTTGACCGGAGATGACCCATCTTCGAACTTGACCTAGAAATCATCAAAACAACTTTCCTGACAAATTTCCAGAATATTTGGATGAAAACTGCAGCCACTAGAGTGTTAACAAGCTTTTTCTATTTTTAGCTCCTGTGACCTAGTTTTTGACCGGAGATAACCCATCTTCGAACTTGACCTAGAAATCATCAAAACAACCTTCCTGACAAATTTCAAGAATATTTGGATGAAAACTGCAGCCCCTAATGCGTTAACAAGCTTTTCTATTTTTAGCTCTTGTGACCTAGTTTTTGACCAGAGATGACCCATCTTCCAACTTGACTTAGATATCATCAAAACAACCTTCTTGACAAATTTCCAGAATATTTAGATGAAAACTGCAGCCACTAGAGTGTAAACAAGCTTTTTCTATTTTTAGCTCCTGTGACCTAGTTTTTGACCTGAGATGACCCATCTTCGAACTTGACCTAGAAATCATCAAAACAACCTTTCTGACAAATTTCCAGAATGTTTGGATGAAAACTGCAACCATTAGAGTGTTAACAATCTTTTTCTATTTTTAGCTCCTGTGACCTCGTTTTTGACCAGACATGACCCATCTTCGAACTTGACCTAGAAATGATTAAAACAACCTTCCTGACAAATTTCCAGAATATTTTAATCAAAACTGCAGCCACTAGAGTGTTAACAAGCTTTTCCTATTTTTAGCTCCTGTGACCTAGTTTTTGACCGGAGATAACCCATCTTCAAACTTGACCTAAAAATCATCAAAACAACCTTCCTGACAAATTTCCAAAATATTTGGATGAAAACTGCAGCCCCTAGAGTGTTAACAAGCTTTTTCTATTTTTAGCACCTGTGACCTTGTTTTTGACCGGACATGACCCATCTTCAAACTTGATTTAGATATCACCAAAACAACATTCTTGACAAATTTCCAGAATATTTAAATGAAAACTGCAGCCACTAGAGTGTTGACAAGCTTTTTCTATTTTAAGATCCTGTGACCTAGTTTTTGACCGGACATGATCCATCTTCAAACTTGACCTAGATATCATCTAAACAACCTTCCTGACAAATTTCCAGAATATTTGGATGAAAACTGCAGCCTATAGAGTGTTAACAAGCTTTTTCTATTTTTAGCTCCTGTGACCTAGTTTTTGACCGGAGATGACCCATCTTCGAACTTGACCTAGAAATCATCAAAACAACTTTCCTGACAAATTTCCAGAATATTTGGATGAAAACTGCAGCCACTAGAGTGTTAACAAGCTTTTTCTATTTTTAGCTCCTGTGACCTAGTTTTTGACCGGAGATGACCCATCTTCGAACTTGACCTAGATATCATTAAAACAACCTTCCTGACAAATTTCCAGAATATTTGGATGAAAACTGCAGCCTCTAGAGTGTTAACAAGCTTTTTCTATTTTTAGCTCCTGTGACCTAGTTTTTGACCCGAGATAACCCATCTTCAAACTCGATCTGTATTTCATTGAGACAAACATTCGATGATCCAATCAAAACTGTGACTGCTAGACTGTTAACAACCCAATTATTAGAGTGTTAACAAGCTTTTTCTATTTTTAGCTCCTGTGACCTAGTTTTTGACTGGAGATGACCCATCTTCGAACTTGAGCTAGATATCAATAAAACAACCTTCCTGACAAATTTCCAGAATATCTGGATGAAAACTGCAGCCTCTAGAGTGTTAACAAGCTTTTTCTATTTTTAGCTCCTGTGACCTAGTTTTTGACCGGAGATGACCCATCTTCGAACTTGACCTAGAAATCATCAAAACAACCTTCCTGACAAATTTCAAGAATATTTGGATGAAAACTGCAGCCACTAGAGTGTTAACAAGCTTTTTCTATTTTTAGCTCCTGTGACCTAGTTTTTGACCGGAGATGACCCATCTTCAAACTTGACCTAGATATCATTAAAACAACCTTCCTGACAAATTTCCAGAATATTTGGATGAAAACTGCAGCCTCTAGAGTGTTAACAAGCTTTTTCTAGTTTTAGCTCCTGTGACCTAGTTTTTGACCCGATATAACCCATCTTCGAACTCGATCTGTATTTCATTGAGACAAACATTCTGACAAAGTTTGATGATGATCCAATCAAAACTGTGACTGCTAGACTGTTAACAACCCAATTATTAGAGTGTTAACAAGCTTTTTCTATTTTTAGCTCCTGTGACCTAGTTTTTGACCGGAGATGACCCATCTTCGAACTTGACCTAGATATCAATAAAACAACCTTCCTGACAAATTTCCAGAATATTTGGAGGAAAACTGCAGCCTCTAGAGTGTTAACAAGGTTTTTCTATTTTTAGCTCCTGTGACCTAGTTTTTGACCCGAGATAACCCATCTTCGAACTCGATCTGTATTTCATTGAGACAAACATTCTGACAAAGTTTGATGATGATCCAATCAAAATTGTGACTGCTAGACTGTTAACAACCCAATTGTTGACGACGCACGACGACGGACATAGCCCCATCACTAAACCTCACCTTGACAACTTTGTTAAAACAATTGCCAAAAGTTCTGAATTGTTAATCCTATTTTTTTTTTAAAACAGTTTAAATTTTATTGATAGAAACCATAAAATTAATATCTTCATAATTGAATACCCAAATGATTTTGAAATCATAGGGTATCGAGTTTTGGAATACCCAATTAAATGGAGCCAATACCCAATGCCAAAGGAAATGATGGAGTAATACCCAATTCACTTTTAAAGCTTATCTGTTGCTCTGGAAAGCCTTGTTATTACAAGATGTATGAACCTGTAAAAATCTAGATTTATCCTTATCTGCATTTAACATCACAACATATAATATTGCGCAAAATGAAATTAAAGTAATTTTTTTTATCATAATTATACTTACGGCGTAGAACATGAAATTCACTTTTAGCTTTTCCTGGGCACCATGTCTCCCTTCTCTTTTTCTAAAATAAATTTAAAGCAAAATTTTAACATTAATTTAACCCTTCTAAATTTGTATAAAAGACTTTATTTAAAACAATTCAATAAAAAGTAAAGAGGTATTTCATTTTCTATCAATTCTGTTAAAATGGCACAGATGTAGACATCTCAAATGTGTTTTAATAAAGAAACAAATAAGAATGTCTTGAGTAGAATGAAGATAACTGTTTCCTTTACATCATACCTTGGGTGGTTCCTGGGTGATATGACCGGAGCCAGATGTAACTATCATTGCCTGTAGTTTTGCTATCAAGTCTGCTTGTTGTCTTTCTGCCTCCTCCTTGATCTGAAGCTGTTTCTCCAATTCTGCCCTCTCTACATGAATGTCTGAATTGTTCGCCTGAAAATAACAACTTCCACTTTAAAGCTACATGCCTCCAGATGAGTCAAACTATTTCAATAAAATTAAACTTGAGAAAAATGTACTAAGATGTTAGGAAAAGTAAAAAAGTTCCAAGATTCAAATAATACTTTTACATATTATGTGCGATTAATGACTGATTTTTCAGCATTTACAACTATATTTCTACTGCGTTACTAACGCAGTAAAGGCTATTGATGCATATTTTGACCACATTTTGGTTATTTTACATGGTTTGTAAGTGCCATTGATAATGTGTAAATTGATTCCTTTTGGTTACTTCACAATATTACACGTTCAAATACATTTTAAAAATTTTCATGAAAATTAGCATGAATCTGGAGGCGTGCTGCTTTGAAATTAATGTCAATAAATATGCATATGAACTACAATTTTAACATGTTTTACAGGATAAACAAACAAAAAACAAACATACACAAGCAAGTAAGAAAGCTTCCTTACTTAAATGACTCATATTTGTAAAAAGTCACTTTTATAAGGCTAGTGACATTAAATTTAATCCTTATCTACAAATGACAATTAAATAAGACCAAAAACCTAATGCTAATGAAGTTCCAGCAGTCCAACCTAACCCTAAAACATTATTTTGCAGTAAAATAACATCAAATACAATGCACATTCAAGTAAGGCAAGCAGATCAATTTCAGTGACAAAATTCTAAAAAAAATATCCTTTTTTCTATCACTATTTTTGAGTTTATTAATAGAGTATCAATATCATTCAATTGTGACTAAAATAAAAAATAACTGTGAATAAACCCTTTGAATGGACTTTTCCAAATTCAAAGCATGGCAAATCCTCATCATGAACTGGGAAAGTAAAGGAGTTAAAGTAAGTAAATGCTTACCCCTTGTTTAATCTGTCTCTCAAGCTCCTTGATTTTTAACCTGTATTGTTTCAACATAGCAGCTTCACTCATCACCTCATTCTTTACAGCCTTATTCTTGATGTTCTTTGCTCTAGATGCAAACTGAAAACATCAACAATATTTACCTGTCTGACATTGAATAACTTTTTGTATTTTATTAATATTCTCTGCCAGGTATATAAAAAATAAAACCCTACATTTTTGTGCAATTAAAATGGGTTCATACAATACAAATATCCCTATCTTGATATAACAGTGAAATTTCTCTGATCTTGAAATTTTTACATTGAAAGAGACAAGGTCATATTTCAATATGTCTATCAAAAGCATTTAAATATGAAGGTTTTAGTTTAATTTCTATAAAATTTACAGCAAAAAGATCACTTAGATATTATGACTAATGTTTTAAAGATGACATACAAACAAACGGATGGGGCAAAAACAAAATGCTTATAACTGTTCACAAAAGGTCCCCAGTATTCAATTAGTATATCAGAAGGCTTTCACAATATTTACCAAGAGCTAGTCAGCACAACAGAATGCTGGATTATTCTCAGTTAAGAGCCTGGACAATCTAGTATGGATAATGTAGAATTTTTTAAGGTTTAAAAGGGCCATAATTTTATCAAAATCTATGTAAGAGTTATGGACCATGGACAGTGACATCCTATTATGCTCTCTAAAAAGTATGTGAAGTTTCAACCCATTCACTTCAGTACTTTTGAAGATACAAACTTACATACAAAAACTTTGAGTGATGGCAATGTCAACACTTAGTTGGGCAAGAACAATAGCTCTCCCAATTCTTCAAATAGTCAAGCTTAAATAAATGACAATAATAAAGGTGTAAAATAATATGTTAAATACCTTTAGAGTACTGTCCGATTCCTCTATATGTGCCGGGGTGATTGTACAGATAATTGCAGTTTTTGAGTTGCCACCGAGGGCATTCTGTAAAATACGTGTCAATTTCGAGTCTCTAAATGACACATGCTGCTGACTGAAATGAAAGCAATTTTAAACAATTATTTAAACTATCTAAACTAAAATTTTTTTTCACCACTTTGTATTTAGTCTTCTGAACTATGTTAAACTATTTTTGAAACATTCATTATGTAGAACCACAATAAGTACATGTATATCATAACACTCTGACACATATGAAATGTAGGTTAGTAACAAGACAATCTGCTTTTTGACCGCAGAGTTTAGAAATTAATACCAAATCCTTTTTTTCAAAAATGGTGTAGCTCACTGCAAAATGCTTCCAAAACTTTTGTGTAATATATTTAAAGTTAACTAGAAATGTGTCATCATGCCACGGATGCCCCCGCATGCAGCCAAAATTTCAGATGTTATAATATTTAGTTCCAAATTTGTTTGCACAAATTATTGTTTTCATTTTAAGTTAAAGCCCTTAAAACTTTTCAACGTTTACACAAACCATTTTCATACAATGTTCAAGGCACTGAAATTATTCAGTCTTAACCTTTTGAAAATAGCATATTTCATATTTGTAGCCAAAATAATGGCTACATACATTTCCACAAAAGTATGAGTGCTGAAACTGAAAGTTCAAATTTTTTCCAATATTCAAGAAAGATAAGTTTCCTAAGATGTATCTTTTTATTTTCAAAGTGAAAGGGGCATTACTCTGCCAAAAATCATTGAACCATGACCAAATTCCAACTTGACCTGCCCATTCCTTTGACATATCCATATGTCAAATTTAAGTTGAATATGTAACACTGTTGGGTAGATAATGAACAGAAACTGTAAATTTCATATTATTTTCAAAGTAAAAGGGGCATTACTCTGCCAAAAATCATTGAACCATGACCAAATTCGAACTTGGCCTGGGCATTCCAAAAACATATCCATATGTGAAATTTGAGTTGAATGTGTTGTACTGTTGGGGAGATAATAAACAGAAACTGAAAATTTCATATTATTTTCAAAGTAAAAGGAGCATAACTCTGCCAAAAATCATTGAACCATGACCAAATTCAAACTTGACCTGTATTTTCTCATGACATATCCATATGTCAAATTTGAGTTGAATGTGTTGTACCGTTGGGGAGATAATGAACGGAAAACTGAAAATTTCATATTATTTTCAAAGTAAAAGGGGCATAACTCTGCCAAAAATCATCGAACCATGACCAAATTCGAACTTGACCTGTATTTTCTCATGACATATCCATATGTCAAATTTGATTTGAATGTGTTGTACCGTTGGGGAGATAATGAACGGAAACTGAAAATTTCATATTATTTTCAAAGTAAAAGGGGCATAACTCTGCCAAAAATCATCGAACCATGACCAAATTCAAACTTGACCTGTATTTTCTCATGACATATCTATATGTCAAATTTGATTTGAATGTGTTGTACCGTTAGGGAGATAATGAACGGAAACTGAAAATTTCATATTATTTTCAAAGTAAAAGGGGCATAACTCTGCCAAAAATCATCGAACCATGACCAAATTCGAACTTGACCTGTATTTTCTCATGACATATCCATATGCCAAATTTGAGTTGAATATGTGCAACCGTTACTAAGATAATGAACGGAAACTGATGATGACGGAATGACAGAATGACGGAATGACGGAAGGACGGAATGACGGAAGGACGGAAGGACGGAACAGGGTAACACTATATGCCCCGGCCATTACATGGCGGGGGCATAATAATAGAACAAACACGTGCTATTACCCGCCACTTCAAAAATAAACAAAAATTAAAACAAAGATCAAATAATAGAAGGAACCCTTGCAAGTGGATGTATATTGACACAAACGGTTATCAGAGTTTTTACTATAATATACATACACCTAAATTACCATAAAAAATCTAACATTTCAAATATGTATGCATATATGTTATACCTGGCATCTCCACTAAGTTTACGTATAACCATGCCAAGTGTAAACAAACTTTTATTGATAGCACATCCCTCACGAAACCTGTCACCCGAGTTATCATTAGCTTTCTCTGAGCCAGCCAGATCAACAAAATACTAAAATACAATATAAGTGAACAGGTAATGGTATTGCATAATGGTATAGCAACTAACATATACAATAGGCACAAGTTTGCAACAAAGTCTGAAATTACACATATCTTTTCATATGAGAAGAGATGAGATGTTTAATTTCAAACTATTATTTTGCAAATTAGCATAAAACATTTAGATTTCTTTTTACCTGTATGAAATATGATATTAAACAATAAAAACAAAATTCATGCTTGTTTTATAAATTAAAACATACACTCTGTAGAATCATATTGATACTCAGTGTTTAAAATGGTCATAAAGGGTCTTTCCAGTTTTCACGGAAGTAAAAACCTTCATTGCCCAATTATTTTGTGTGATAAGGGCATATGAGAGAGACCTTATACAATTTAGCTTAATAATTTGTGTACATGAAAGAATTCAATGTGCTAGGTGAGATTTCAACTCAATACAGCACGAGGCAAGTGGTTTAAACTGATAGACCACAATGGTCCTATTAGCAATCAAAATAGAGCTTAGTAACTGTTGTCCTATTGGCAAACAAAATAGGTCATGGTGGTCTTATAAGCAATTTAAATAGATCTTGGAAGCACTACTGACAATTAAAGTAGATCATGAGCAGGTGTTAGCGAAAAGAAATTATAGCTGTTATCATAGTAATATCATTATAATTCAAACTGAATAATTTATTTTGAAATAACTTACTAGATTTGATACATTGACAGCATCATCTTCGTGACCAGTCTCTCTACTCTCTATGACCTGAAATACACAGAATACAAATATACAATATAAAGTATTTCACTCTTGATAAAATCATTGGATGCTTGTAACAAAAACACCTTGCCTGTGTCACAAGCATACTGTCATACTAGCTTGTATGTCCAATCTGACAAGACTTTTCCCAAGCAAGCTTGCTGTTCAATTCTTAACTTTTGATACAAAATGCCTCAAACCACCTATAGATTGTTCCAAATGCACTGCTGGAAGAGTGTTATACATAACTTCAACAGGGAATGGGCTTTTAACATGGAAATAAAATGAGGATATTCAGTTCTTTTTCCTATAAATACAGGATTTATTTCCATCGAGTGGTATGAGAATATTTATTTCCATTGAGTGGTATGGAAATAAATATTTCATGAGTGGTGGTAGCCACAAGTGAAATAAGAGTTTTCATACAATATGAAAATACATCCTGTATTTATTGAAAAAACTTGAATTTTTGTGTTTATTATATACTTTTTTTTGACATTACAATTTGAAAGGCTTCCTACTAAATTTTGTGTATTCACAGTATTGGCTGAATTTAGAAGGAATTAGTCTGACAAGACAACAGTGAAAGTACAGTAAATAATGCAGTTAAAAATAAATTTTACAATAATTATGGAAAATGAAAATATGTATTTTATCTCATCATTATTTCATTAATTAGTATATAATATTGTTTATTATGAATACTCACAAATCTGAGAATACTATGAGATCTTGAGCTCCTATCATTTTGTTTTGTCTCAGCCGTGTGACGTTTAGCTGAAATAATGTATAGATTTATCATTAATTCAATTACTGTAAAAACAAAATATCATAAGTACACTATTCAATGTATACATTTCACATCAGCCCAAAAACTTTTTTACAACAAGAGCTGTTGGTAGGACAGTGTGCTCGACTTTTCCCAGTACTTGATAGTAAAACAAAGGCCTGGATAAAACTTTTTTTCAAAGTTCAAAAGGGCAATAATTCTGTCGAAATCCATGTAAGAACTTGTTTCTAAGACAGTAACTTCTTTTTATGCTCTCATAAGTGTGTGAAGTTTTTACTTATTCCCTTCAGTAGTTTTTAAGATAACAATTTGAACGTAGAAATTTAACTAAGTGTGACGCTGACGCCTGGGTTAGAAAAACAGGAATTTTATTGTTACAATAGTCGAACTAAAAATCATACAAACTAATGTTTTTACCTCAATGTGGGAGCATCATAACACAAAATAGTTGTGATACCTGAAGGGCTTCTTAAATCCGTAGAGTTTCCATTAATTATATTAGATTATACATACTAATATAAAAATTTGAACAGCGCCATAACAAAACCAACATAGTGCGTTTGCAAACCAGTTTGGATTCATACCAGCCTGCACATCCGTGCAGTCTGAACAGGATCCATGCTTTTCGTTTACAAACCCTATTACAAGTAGAGAAACTGATAGCGAACAGCATGGATCCTGATCAGACTGCACTATGTTGGTTTTGTCATTGTGCAGCTCAAATTAATTTCAATATAAGCATAGCTTTTATAAATAATAAACCTACCATCTCCTTTCTTAAGAACTTTGGTTACACCTTGAATATCTTGTACCACCTCTTCTGTCAATCCTATTACCTGAATATTATGATCCTGAAATTAACAAATTTGCTGATAACTTATATTGAATGTTTTAATGAAAAGCTTGTACAAAAACAATTTACATAAATATTCATCATCCACCCAAGTAATATAAACCTTAAAAACTATAGTGGTATCCATCTTAATATATACTAGTAGCAAACCATTTAAATAATTTTAGAATTGTATAAGAATGATATATAAATGTACTTGTAATAAATCATTTTAAGCGTTTTTCTTTTCTTTTTCTTTTGAGAACGTTTATGTTTGTTTCATTTTTTTTTTATCTTCCATCAAAACAAATATTGAATGTAAACTTAGGATGGTGTAGTATAGCTGGGCTGAAAACTGCAGTGATTTTTCTCACTTAATTGGGAAGAGGCCTTAGCCTCTTGATTTTGGGAAAAATTATCTCTAAAATTGCTGATTTGGGAAGTAAAAAAGCTGGTGTAAGTTCATATTTTTGGGAAAACTGCATGATTTAAAAGAAAATTTCAATTGGGCCTTTTTTATAAGTAGAAAAATCACTGAACTGGTACTAGAAACCAGCATTTACAGCACTATGTATATTTGGTATTATACGAAGAGAATAATTCAAGTGTGTATTATAGAATGTACATATTACCGAGTCTTCCTGTAATTTAAGGTAACTGTCTTCAGCACTCAGCAGGTCGGAAACTTTTTCATTATATATCTCAAGATAACCAACACGTATCAAAAACTCACGATCAGGTATCTACAATCAAAACATGAAGTTAACCTTTTATACACATAAATGATACAAATAATTTCAATCATAACCATGCTCTAAAATGCTAGATTTTAGGGAAGAATGAAAAAATACGTTATTTTAAAACCAAACAATAGCTATGTTTGAAGAAGATTAACTAAAAAAGTTGTCTCATTAAGATATCTGCATATTTAAACATCAACATTAAACATCTTAAAACACATTTACTACTTATTCAAGAAAGAATCTGCTCAGCCAGTTAAGTGGTTCAATACTTCCTGCAACATGTTATATTTTGTTTTGCTAACTATAAGAACTTCAATAAAATATTTACTCATCATCCTTTTACCATTTTCTGTGATGTGCTAAATTTCTCAATGGAGATACTTTGAAAAGGAAATTTCCTTTGTTATGGTGACTTTTTATATCTATAAAAACAGACTGAACTTAAACAGACTGAGTTCAGCATCCAACACTGTTTCAGTATAGTCTAAACTTGGCAAGGTGTGCAGGATTACGTGTCTCTATCATTGGTGTTACAGCTAAGTCACTTTTACTGCTTGCATTCAAAGGTTAAAAAAAAAAGAAACTACATACATGTACTGAATGCTTTTACTTACATTCTCAATATGGGTAAAAATTTCATCAACTGCCAGTGCAATAATTCCTTGTTGGACACGGCTACCAGACATTGTAAAAGTCTTTCCAGAAGAACTTTGGCCATATGCAAATATGGTGCCTACAACATCAAATATCAGTACTTCACAAAAGTACTATACAAAATTTAAAGATCTACAATTGAACCAATCATAATGTGCGATGTGAAGATATACAGCAAGTATCTTTTTTTAAGTGCATTAATGTTTGAAAGAGAATAAATCAAGAAAACATTTAATTAAACTGTATTGCCATGAAACCCTCAGCCAAGTCAAGTTCTTTCCAATATAATTATATTACAAAATTAATGTCAGTGAATTGTACAATAAACATTTACTCCTAAAAATACTTATCACATGTACTTAAACAATATACTAATTGAGCACTAAATAATATACTAATTTAGTTTATTTGAAACAGCTAAGGATATTGTGTTACTCAGAAAATCCTCTATCTTTACAAACAATATTTATTCATCTGGTTTTATCACTGATTTTAACATTTTTCTCAGCATATCTCAGTGCTCAGTCTACCTAACCGGCTTTGCTGGATATATAACCAGTAATTACCAATTTTTCTCTTTAGAAGTGAATCAACAGTGACAGACAATATGATCATTAGACTCAATACCTGAGATCAGTTGTCATGGAGAAATTTTTGTCTTGCATGACGATCAAACCAGCGACCATTGGACTACAAATGAGTCGCGTCATGACAAAACCAACATAATGGGTTTGCGACCAGCATGGATCCAGACCAGCTTGCGCATCTGTGCAGTCTGATCAGGATCCATGCTGTTCGCTTACAAACCCTATTACAAGAAGAGATACTGATAGCGAACAGCATGGATCCTGATCAGTCTGCGCGGATGCGCAGGCTGGTCTGGATCCATGCTGGTCGCAAACGCATAATGTTGGTTTTGTCATGACGCGGCTCAAATCTGATGCTCTCCCTGAGCTAAACAGACAGGTTTGACTAACTTATAAGATAAGAAAGAATGTAATCCTGGTATTAAACCCTGGAATGTATTTTCAACTTTTTATTTCATATTCAACCATACCATTAAAACCTGCCAAGGCTGAGTCCACAATAGGTTTGCATATTTCCTCGAAAATGTCAACAGTGACTGTAGTATCATCAAATACTCGATCTGCAAATAAAAATAATAAAAAAAGCTTAATAAGCCTCTAAGAGAATAAAAATGTAACTTCAATTTTAATTATTTATGTTAAAAGTATAGCATTTTACAATTTGTTACAGATGTTTCATCAGACACGCCTCTACATAAATTTGAACAATGGAAATGGTCTCAGTGATTTTCCTGCTTATATAACAGACTACGAAAAAGGGCCTCTTCCCAATTGAAATTTTCTTTAAAATCATGCAGTTTTCCCAAAAATCAAAACTTAAACCTGCTTTTTTCTTCCCGAATTAGCAATTTTAGTGATAATTTTTCCCAAAATCAAGAGGCTAAGGCCTCTTCCAAATTAAGTGAGAAAAATCACTGATAGTGTAATCGAAAGAACCATTCTCCAATCACCAAAATGAAAAATTTTGAAAAGAAAAGTAAAACCATTGCAATATCAAAAGCTTATATAGAATTTAAAACTTTGGGCTCTGAAGCACTTATATCTAGAAAACAGACAAACAATAAAAAATTTCATTCCTTCTATTTTTATTTTGCATTTCTAGTGTGTTATGATAAAGGTACTTATAATAGCTAACTTTTTAAAGGACTTCTAGATATTTTACATTTAACCTCGTTGCTTTTCAGATTTTGGTCACAATATTTAGACTTAATTCAACTTAGTATCTAATGACCATCAAGAAGCTTTTGATTTGATCCAATAATCAATGAAGAAATTAATTTGAACAAGCAATTATCATAGTATTGCAAGCAATCCATAAGTCCCCTACCGGTAAGAACCCCATCAACATTCTGAAGGGCCATTGGCCATTCACTTATGTTTCAATTTTTCTCTATTTTAAGTAAACTTGTTGGAAAAGTTCTTTAAAAGTGATCACAGGAAACAGTTTTTATGAACAGACAGACAGACGGACTGAAGGACGCTCTAAAGTTAATATTTGAAACATCCCTGTTACCAAAATATAACATTTTAAAAGCAGGAGGAGATAACTCTTGAATTAAAGATGCAATTTCATAAAAATTTTCAGCTCTTTTTGACTAATCACAAATATTGTTATATTTTGCCATGTTTTAAGCCTATTTGTTGCCAAGGCAACTGATATTTTTTCAAAATAGGAAGAACAGATAAGACATGCATAATCTCAACACTGCTATCTACCCATATGTCAAGTTTCATAAAACTATTTCCAGTACTTTTTGAGATATCACTGGATTCAGTTTATGTGTAAAATTTGCCATATTTTCAGTCTATGTGTTGCCATAGCAACCAGAATTTTCAACATAGGAAGAAAAGAAAAAGACGTGCATAATCTCAACACTGCCATCTACCCATATGTCAAGTTTCATAAAAATATTTCCAGGACTTTTTGCTTTATCACTGGATCCAGTTTATGTGTAAAATTTGCCATATTTTCAGCCTATTTGTTGCCATAGCAACCAGAATTTTCAACATAGGAAGAAAAGAAAAAGACGTGCATAATTCCAAGACTGCCATCTACCCATATGTCAAGTTTCATAAAAAAATTTCCAGTTCTTTTTGCGTTATCACTGGATCCAGTTTATGTGTAAAATTTGCCATTTTTTAGCCTATTTGTTGCCATAGCAACCAGAATTTTCAACATAGGAAGAAAAGAAAAAGACGTGCATAATCTCCATACTGCCATCTATCCATATACCAAGTTTCATAAAAATATTTTCAGTACTTTTCAAGTTATCGCGGGATCAAGTTTTGTGGACGGACGGACTGACGGACTGACAGACAGACAGACGGACGGACGGACGGACAGACGGACGGACAGACGGACGGAGGGTAAACCTAAAGTCCCCTCCGGTAAACCGGTAGGGGACTAATAATGACTAAAAAAAGACATGTCTGTTTACCACAAAAGTATTTATATTTTAATAGAGTTTATAGTGAACAATCATTATTTACCAAATACATAGGGAGATGGTTTTCTGCCATTGACATCAGTTTCATCGCAGCAAATAGTGTTGTTATTTACACTCCAATGTGACTTCAGACCACTTGCAAATTCTCTGAAATAAACAGTTAAAAAATATTTCAAATGTTAAATTTTCCTTTAAATTTCCAGGTAAAAAACTAAAATGTCTTAATATGATCTGAGTCAGGCAATATCAACTATTTTCATTAAGAAACATGTAATATAACCAAACGTATATATATTGCATCTTTAGATTCAGTGATTCTTCTCACTTTAATTGGGAAGAGGCCTTAAGCCTCGCCTTAAGCCTCTTGTTTTTGGGAAAAATTATCGCAAAAATTGCTAATTTGGGAAGTTAAAAAGGTGGTTTAAGTTCAGATTTTTGGACTGCATGATTTTAACCTACAGGTTTGAGTTCAGATTTTTGGTAAAACTGCATGATTTTAAAGAAAATTTCAATTGGGAAGAGGCCTTTTATTGGAGTCTGTTATATAGGCAGGAAAATCACTGAGATTGTAATGACATTCATGTAGGTTAAATAATTACTAAATTAGGCTGAGGAAAGTTCTTCTTTCTCAGAGCTTTAAAAAAATTACTGTATGACAAGTAGAAAAATGTAGCCTGCCTTTCTGATTGGACAAAATGGGAAACTGACTAAGTAGAAGACCAAGACTTTAAGAGTATACTCATAGTCAATGTGTTTACCTTTAGCAATGGAAAACCTGGTGTATTGGGTATTTTCGTTTTTTGAATAAACTGCTTGTCAGTCGGGTAATTTTCACAAAAACTTAGCGGTCACATATGTCTATCAACTAACAGTCTTACACTTGCTGTGACTTACAGATTACAAATCCAGGGTTCTCACTAGGACTTTAAAACATGGAGTCCGTGGACTCCCAACCCTGAAAAAGTTGGAGTCCAAAAGCGCGTCGCAATTAATGTTTACAGATTAGTCATTCAATGTTCACAATAGCATTGCTGATATTTTGAATCTTCATGGGACTCCAAAGTTTATAGTTATTCAAAAGAAACTCTGAAATACATAGTATAATTATTGTTTTGTTGTTAATATTGAATTAAAATATTGTTGAAATATTAATTATGAAATTATTTCATTATAATGCATCAACACAGGGAAATCGTTTTTTTTTTCACTTTTATACAAAATCAAATTTTATTCTGGTTAAATAAGTCCACTCTAAAGACAAAAAGTTTATATTTGTGAAAAAAAAATGTAAATGTATATAGGCAGCGTTTAGCGAAATGAATAGGAAAATCGTGTACAGCTTCACACGGTGTGTAAGAGATTCATCCGATCGACAATTATTTTAGCAAATATCTTCAAAAGGGGGCAAATTGAGGATCGATATTTAAAGATTTAATGTTGATTAAATAATAAAGGAACAATTCATTCGCATGTTTGGCTTGGAAACCGAGTATTTTTGCGAAATTTTAGGGTTTCTGGCGAACGTGAAATCGCCGATGTTCGGGATCAATTTTCGGATAGAATCTAAATATCAAAGAAAAGCGTATGTGTATTTTGGTTTGTTGTCCTGGCATTTCGGCACAATATATTAAATTCTTAATACTCTTATATAAAGTTTTTGCAAGAATGAAACTAAAGCAAAATTGTGCAAATATTCGACAATCATTCAAAAATTACACTCATTTGTAATTTGAGAAAACAATCTTTACAGTAAACTTGCGGCGTAAATAGTCGATAATTTTATCCTTTTGTCGGTAAAATTTGCTGATTTCCAATCAACTGTTGATCAAAGATATAAAATTATCACGCGTGTTATATCTGGTAATTAGCGCGTGTATACATTGGTCTGATCACTATTGCGTGATAATGATCGGAAGCGTTATCGCTGATTGGCTAATCGCTTCACAGGTCGATGTGCATAGGACCGCCTACCTATAGACTGACACGCGCTGACGCATTTTGTGTATTTGTGGTTGTAAACAATCGGTAATGTTTATGCGTCCCAAGGCAAAATTAAGCGTACGTGGAATCCTTGCTCTGAAATATTTGCGTCCATCTGTAATAAACATGCGTACCGGGACGCCGAAATAAGCGTCCCCGAGAACCCTGACATCTTCTTATAGCTTGAAATCATTGTTATGACAGCTTTATTTCCTTTAAGAGTAATCAATTCCCTACCATTTGTTACCCAGATTTTGAAATTTGCTGAAAAATGAGCGACAAGTTGCATACCTTTACAAAAGTATCATTTTTTTTTTTTTTTGGAAAATGAATTAAAAGGATATATCAAAATCATATTTAAAATGAAAAATACTACAGTTAATATTCTTTTGGAGAGGTAGTCAGACTGATAGAGTGAGTAAAGGGGGGGGGGGATAGGGTAGAGTGAGTAAAGGGGGGTAGGATGTTAGTGACCAATTAGCCTAATTAATTCGGCGTGATCGGTTTGACCCATTTTACAGACTTTTTTTTCTTACTGTCAAACCGTTACGCCTAATTTTAACTGTCATTTTTACGCACGGAAAATCTACCGGTAACACTATCGATAGTTTGGACTGATTTTTACTGCTTAAACCTGAAAGTAACGTCAATTACCTCTAAAGATCAATAGAATATAAATTTTAGTACTAACTTCTCCTAGAAAAAATAGTAGATTGTACCTGTCTTAACGCATACATGCGATTTATTTCAAATTTGTACTGTCTACTCTATCTTCGGCGGACATGTTATGACGTCATCGTAAAAAATCGATTCCGTGAAAGCTGGTAGTAGCTACCAGTGTGTCTAGCAGGTAAGTGTGGGTTACGCATGAAGATTAAATTAAACGAAATATCGGGGGAAATAAATCTATTCATTATTTTTTAATAAATGTGTGCATTATTAAATACTATTGAAAAGTATCATTGTATTTAACCTAAAATGCAATGGTCGCAAATAGGCTCTGTACAAGTACTGTTGTTTAATATTTTTTAAATATTTTAATACATATACTCAACATTTATCAATTGGTGGTTTGCCTTCTTGTTTACTGCTAATGACTGCCAAATGTCACTCTCGGATAAAATACTGACTTCATTTATACATGCATATTTATATGACAATTAAGAACGTAAAAGAAATATTGAAGGAAACTATTTGAAATACACTTCAAATTATTCAGTATTTGTACAAATAATATTTCAAGAGCTTTTTTTCACCGATTGCCGATATATAATACCATATTAAACCTATTGATAAAGTTAAATGTCTTCTTGACATACTTTATTAATTTACTAAAAGGAACTTTATTGTGACCCAGCCATATGCTATGTAACTATAAAGGAAGGGTCACATATTTTAATTGAAATAAATTTTAAGTAGAGGATATTAAAAAAAAATTCATTGAGAAGATCAGAATTTTCAAATGAACAGATTAAGAGACTTATAAATGTATAAGGTCAGGGTTGCCAGCACTTTGGTGAAATAAAATTCCCTGACTTTTCCCTGACTTTTCACTGACCAATTCATGTTTTTCACTGACCAAAATCGTCAAACACATAAACAGCCTCTTGACCTCCCCTATAGCCGTCCAATCCTCCCATTATATTTTTGCATGTAAACTTGTATTTATTTTCCAAAATATATAGAGGATTTTTGCTTGTTTTGCATGTAAGATTGAAATATAATTTCACTGATTGAACACCAGATGTAATATTTTAACGAGTGGCGTAGCCACGAGTGAAAATATAATAGCTGGTGTTCATGAACATTTAACACAGTTACTTGTATAAGGCATCATGATAAACTCCACTGGTTGTGAAAACAAGAACATAGGGCTCATTTCGCATATCATGAAATAATCACTATAAAATTAAAGACTTTGAATGAGTGATGTAAGTTAGTGTGAAAAAAGTTAGTGTGAAAAACATAGCATTGCATAATTTAACCAGTTTCCATCATGTTTGCAAGACAAATCCTCTTGTACAATTTCTTAGTGTCTAAATAGTTTACTGTTATTTGAATTTAATGGTTAACTGTGAGAGTGATAAAGTCAAATATTAAATGCCTTAAGACTGCCATAGCCAAGAAAGACCTTCAATGCGTATATTTTTCGACCTTTGAAATAGTTTTTCCCTGACTTTTCACTGACTTTTCAGGATTTTCATTTTTCACTGACCAAATTTCAAAATTCACTGACAATTCCCTGACCTTGAAAAAATACCCAATTTCCCTGACTTTTCAAGTCCGCTGGCAACCCTGAAGGTGTATGTCTTGTTGTTTCATACTGTTTTGGTGACACTTTTGTTTGTGTCCCTTGTTGTTTTCTCGTCTATGGTAAGTTTCTTCTCTTTTCCCCTAGTTTTATTTCTTTATTTCGCCCCCTCCCCCGAATTTCCTATTCCCTTCTCCTGTGTCCGTTAACTTAGTGGTCCTGTTTCATACTGTTTTGGTGACACTTTTGTTTGTGTCCCTTGTTTTTTTTCGTCTTTGGTAAGTGTCTTCCGTTTGCCCCTAGTTTTATTTCTTTATTTTGCCCCTCCCCGAATTTCCTATCCCCTTCCCCTGTGCTCGTTAACTTAGTGGTCCTATTAATCATTCATTTATTTATTTTCTTTGATTTCCTTCTCAGTTACATTTTAGTGATAAGCCTGACCGTGCTCTCCCTTGCGCCCTTTCCCGTTTTAATTTAGGATCCTCCTGGGCTCCTTGCCAATGGTTCATGTTCCTGGGTCGTGTGGGGTTTGCGTTCATTAAACGCCGCCTTTCCTTGTTCATCTTGTTTATCATATTGTATACATGTATACCGAACCGTAACAAACAGATAATGATTATCAATACAAGTTTCGGCAAGCAAGCAAAGAAATGTAAAGAAACAGAAAAAACTTATCCACATTCATGTATCCACCCTCCAAAAAAAAAACACCAAAAACGCCTGAAACTGCAAAATCGAAACATAAATACACAGGAGTGCCAAAGACGGCTCTGGTAGGTTCAAGTGCTCCCTTTCGCCGGTTTAAACAGAATTGATCACTTAAACATAATAATGTTGAAATTTTTAATCAACATCCACAGATGTGTACATAATACGGCGGTAATCATGGAACTTTCAATGTGACACATTCGAGGTGCCGTTCAACGGGAACTAGATAACATGGAATTTTTAATGGGTATCAGAGGTTTTGGTGCCTTTTGCGACAGTCGTTCCAACATTTCTTCCATCTGTCTTACATTTTTATGCTATTCAACATCTAAATAACGGTCACTAAATTTTCGCTTGCTGTGTTTTTATCATAAACCCCGTCAAATCTGTGTGACAATTGTATTTTACTGAGGACTGTCTGAAATTCCATTTTATAGTTTGAAATTTTTAGATTTTTTTTTCAGAGTTTTAAAGTTATTTTTGGTTGTTTTGAACTTCTTCCCATACACAACCGTCCTCAATTTCTTTTAAAGATAATAAACTAGAAATTGATATGGAGTGTAATATAAATTGAAATTCTTTTTTGCTTCATCATGTATAGTATAATTATAATTCATTAAGATGTACCTACAATTACATTGTATTTTCGTATGTGGGAAATCATGGCAGGGTTATAAAATAAAAAGGTAGTACAGAAATTTCACCTAATGATCACAGATGTAAAAAAAAATCCTACTTAATAATATCTAATTTGACAATTTAAACGGACTTAAATGCAGTATGATCTGACATCGGACATCATAAACTATTTAATTTCTAAGTAAGGTTATCATAATTACCTTTACACATTCTCTTTTTAATGCTGAAATATTTGTGTGTGAATAAAAGAGTTATTCCTGCAATAACTCATATAAATAACATAAACAAATTGTATAATAAAGCTTGGCAAATACAATCGATTGCCGCCGATACCTGTGTTACACCATGGATTTTACCAGTGTTTACAATTTTACCATGACACCGCTTTCCAATATGGCCGCTTTCAATAATTTTCAACGATTAAAAAAATTAAAGTGGAATATTTAGACTTCTGTTCGACTTTGAAGTATGATAATTTGGAACCTTGCATAAAAAACGATTCTCTTTCAGGTAATGTAGACCGTTTCTTTGAAACTTTTCTAGTTTTCGCTCCCAACAACTTCTAATTGGGAAGCGTCCGTGCATAAAAATGCAGTTCGTGGTTGGACTTGGAAAAAGACAGCGCCCGTCCAAAATTATCTCGGTGTCTCTTTGACAAGTCTAATTAGTTGGACTAGTGACCAATCAACATGCCCAACACCTGTGGTAAACACGAGGGCAAATTATTACAGAAAGCTGTATTTACCACAAAATAAGTAAACCTTGGGCACTTTTGTCTGTTTAAATGTGATTGTTGCAAGCAGCAATGTAAATAAAATATTTTTTCAAAATGTTGCAGATCGCGAAATGTGGTTACAAATTAGATTCGCACGACATACTTACTTCTGGATAAGCTGTCGGACTCTAATGGCCACCTGAATATTATCTGAGGCGGCCATATTCAGTTTATCATTGATCTATTTTTCATTGAAAGGATAAATTAAATTAATTAACTTTTTCAAAATATTGTCAATTCAAAACATCGCTTAATCTTTTGATTGGCTAACGCGATATGTATAAAATCCACACTCCGTACCAGACTACTCCGTACCAGACCGTGTACTATCAAACTTTCAGAAAAAAAATCACCAAGTATACAATGGAGCGGAATTTTCAACCGACATACATGTTAAATTCACAACATGTTTTTCTCTGGTGAAATAGGATTTCTATTTAACAGACACAATGTAACATAAAAACCGGTAATGAAATTGTACATAGCCAGGTATATATACGTGAATATACGTACCTGATGATTGCATATATTTCTGTTATTGTCATTTTGTCATATTTTTAGAGGTAATTATTTCATAATCTATGAACGATCTCTATAATATGACGTTATTGTATTCATTTGAACACTAAAATCATATGAATATTTGTAATGGTTAGAAACACACTATAAGGTCAATTTAACAAAAATGAGCAGCAAAATTTCACAGACTTGAGATTTATCAAATCAAATCAAAAATTAACTCAGCAATAAGCGTGTACTGAGCACAACTATATACAGAAGTTAAATTGTCATAAAGTCGTTTGTACAAACGAAAAGTGAGCAGAAGATTAAAATAAAACACAAATGCACGCGTGCACGCGCACACACACATACACACACGCGCACGTGCACGCACACTCACAAAATACCAGTGTCTTTCTATTTGAAAGACTCTGAAAATATATTTCTTATTTTAGATTTTCTTAGACCATTAATTGTAGTCTATATCTTTTACTCATAATTATGAAGACTGTACTATGAAATAACAAACATAACGTATTTAGTGCATGTGCGAATGCAGATATACATGTAATGTTTTAAATATCGCCTGCTCATTGTAGATCACTTTTAATATTTATAGATGTAATTTCATAATGATAAAAAGAGTGAATCTCTCCATTCAATTACGAACAAAAAGATTGATGTACAAATATGTTCCATCACGTTATTATCGGGGTGTTGATTTTGGACGATGAATAATTAATAGAACGGAAATGTTAAAATGCCAGATTAAGTGGCGGGTAATTATCGAGACTGGAGAGTACTGTATTATATCGAGACTTATTATTTTTGACATGAGGCACAATGCATTTAAAGTGAGAAATGCACGTCAACGAATCTAACACGATAAAAAAGAGAGTGTCATATGCTTAAACATCTACTTTTTCTTTAACAATCTATTCAAACTTTTATGAAAATAAAATATGGATACTAACCTTAACGTGTCTTCTTCAAATGTGACAACGATAAACGGCATTATGGATATTGTATTGAGCGCGTCTGCTTCATATGAGACAACAGCAAAAGAGTTGTACAAAAGGGAGGAAGACTATAGTGGTGCTATGATTTTCATTGTTGTAACTCTTTGTGTGTATAGTTTAGGAATCACTGCTTTTGTCGCCGGACATATTTACCGTCGTTCAGAGTCCAAAATCGAGGATATGCAAATTTCAGACTATTTATCGTCGGTGTATACACAGAAATTAGACAGAATTGTCAGGCTGGAACGTATCCGCGCGACGTCTGCGGTATGCCGTCAGTTGTTGCAAGACAAAGACGCTGAAAGCGAGAAACTACCTGAAAACGATGCCCAAGTTAAAGCGATTGAATGTGACAGTGTAATAGACATTAGTTTCTGTGAAAATGTTTCATCACAAAGTGGAAGTGTTGATGATAATAATGTTTCTCCTAAAATAGACAAGAATGAATTGACAGTGCGCAACATGGATGTGTAATCAATGACTTAAATTCATGTGTATCAACGGGCGCCACCCATATTGTTCGTGCTATGCCGTTTGTTGTTATAGAATATCATTGAGTAAGCCCGTATGTGTCCATGGAAATTGAGCACTGGTACTAATTAATGAACACATAAGCAATGTGTGATGACGACATGATGTGTCAGTCTGGCATGGAAAATTAACATAGAATTGTTATAGTTTGGATGCATTTCATATCAAACACACATGTAAAAGTTTTAAAGATAATTTTGGTAAATATATACAAAACAAAGATACAATTTGATATGGTTACAGTTAGTTAATTGCTCGGGAAATGATGTACTCTGTTTGTATACTTCTGTTTTTCTTCTCAAACTTCAACATACATGTAAATAAGAACACTAGTTGGGACTCTAAACTCGTGTAAGAAGCCCCGCAAACTTATGAGTTTTATTCTATGCAAATAAATCATTTCTTACTATATTTGTGGTATACAGACTTTAACTTTTTTACATATGGTGTCATTATATGATGAAAAAATGTTTCATTTACAAACACGCCATTGATCATAATCACAGTGAAACGTACATTATTTTGTTTGTTTTGGTTTGTTGTAAACTCTGTAACGCCAAACGTATCATGAACTAACTCCAGTTAGATAGAAGGAAATTTCAGAATAGATTTGCACTTGGACATAAATCCAAGATTTGCATCCCGTCCGACTCAAACCATACCCGTTTTTTAAAATATTTTTTTTATCTATACCAAGTGGAAATCGCGTTGACAACTTAACTTCACCAAACGGGCTCAGCGCTATGACCTTTGACAAAGCATTGACATTCATGACAATGACGCCATCTTGTTTCATTCTGCTGTTGTACATTATACAATTATAGACTTATGTAGATTATAAGCTACTTAAACATGACATTTATCATAGACCTAGCTACTTTATTGTCTGGTGGCTTTTGTCAAGTAACACTCATTACTTAAATACGTTTATGCATGTAGAAGCAATTACAATACTGGACGCCGTCCGTCCTTTGCGGGACAATCCCAAATATATACAGAATATATATCCCGCCTTTTTTCATAACAAGAGGGCCATGATGGCCCTGAGGTCGCTCACCTGTATATAGGCCTCCCCCCTCCCCCTGGCAGGGCCAATTTTAACCCAAGGGCTTTTATTTGAACAAACTTGGTAGACACCCATAAGAAGATGTTTCATGCTAAACATCTAAGCTCTAGCTCATTGGGTTTTTTCAAAGAAGATTTTTTAAGTTTTTACTATACACATATAGTTAAAAAAATGACACCCCTGGGGCGGGGCCAGTTTTGACCCCAGGGCTTTTATTTGAACAAACTTTGTAGACACTTACTAGAAGATGTTTCATGCTTAATATCTAAACTCTAGCTATTCAGGTTTTTTCACAGAAGAGTTTTAAGTTTTTGCAATACACATATAAGGAAAATCAATGACCCCCGGGGCGGGGCCAATTTTGACCCCAGGGCTTTTATTTGAACAAACTTTGTAGACACTCACTAGAAGATGTTTCATGCTTAATATCTAAACTCTAGCTATTTGGGTTTTTTCAAAGAAGATTTTTAAAGTTTTTGCTATACACATATAAGGAAAATCAATGACCCCCGGGGCGGGGCCAATTTTGACCCCAGGGCTTTTATTTGAACAAACTTTGTAGACACCCATTAGAACATGTTTCATGCTAAATATCTTAGCTCTAGCTCTTTGAGTTCTTTAAAAGAAGATTTTTTAAGTTTTTACTATATGCATATAGGGAAAATCAATGACCCCCTGGGGCGGGGCCAATTTTGACCCCAGGGCTTTTATTTGAACAAACTTGGTAGACACTCACTAGAAAATGTTCCATGCCAAATATCTAAGCTCTAGCTCTTAGAATTTTTTAAAAGAAGATATTTAAAGTTTTTTCTTTCGGTTGCCATGGCAACCAGAGTTCTGCATCGAATTAAATTCTTTGAACAATTTTTAAAGGTGACCACCAAAGGAACATTCCTGTGAAGTTTTGATGAAATTGGCTTAGTGGTTTATGAGGAGATGTCATTTAAAGTAAAAGTTTACGGCCGGACGCCGGACGAAAAGCGATCACAAAAGCTCACCCTGTCACTTTGTGACAGGTGAGCTAAAAAAAACTACGAAAATTGTTCCAAACTAGAAATGTGTCCATAGGACACTGATGCCCCCACACGCCACTGTTCTGTCAATCTTATGACTCTAGGTCAAATATTTTTTGGACTACATGTGCCACAAGTTGAAACTAAAAATCAACAAAGAGCCATAATTCTGTTAAAATTGTTCGCAGCAAAAATTCCTTCCTTTACTACCATCTATACATTAAGGTTGTTAATCCCTGGAAGTTTAAGCAAAATCTGCCATCCGGTTTAAGAGGAGTTGCGTTCACAAAATTTCTACATAGTATATAATGAAAAAATCAACAAAGGGCCATAATTCTGTTAAATTTGGTTGCAGCAAAAATTCCTTCCTTTACTGCCATCAACACATTAAGGTTGTTCATCCCTGGAACTTTAAGCAAAATCTGCCATCCGGTTTAAGAGGAGTTGCATTCACAAAATTTCTACATAGTAGCTAGTGAAAAAATCAACAAAGGGCCATAATTCTGTTAAATTTGGTCGCAGCAAAAATTCCTTCCTTTACTACCATCTACACATTAAGGTTGTTCATCCCTGTAAGTTAGAGCAAAATCTGCCATCCAGTTTAAGAGGAGTTGCGTTCACAAAATTTCTACATAGTATATAATGAAAAAATCAACAAAGGGCCATAATTCTGTTAAATTTGGTCGCAGCAAAAATTCCTTCCTTTACTACCATCTACACATTAAGGTTTTTGTTCATCCCTGTAAGTTTAAGCAAAATCTGCCATCCGGTTTAAGAGGAGTTGTGTTCACAAAATTTCTACATAGTAGCTAGTGAAAAAATCAACAAAGGGCCATAATTCTGTTAAATTTGGTCGCAGCAAAAATTCATTCCTTTACTACCATCTACACATTAAGGTTGTTCATCCCTGTAAGTTTAAGCAAAATCTGACATCCGGTTTAAGAGGAGTTGCGTTCACAAGATTTCGGGACGTACGGACGGACGGACTGACGGACGGACAAGTGCAACGCTATATGCTCCCACATTGTGGGGGCATAAAAAGACCAAGACAGTATTCATGTATTTGTATTTATTTTATTCTTACTCAGATGATAGTAGTATAGCTGCATACAACAAATACAAATCCATACAAGTTTATAAAAGTAAGTTTTGCAAAATGAAGTGTTTGTGCATATAAACAATTTACGTTCACAATAAAGAGAATACTTTACAAATAAATCATGTCTGTAAAAGAAAATTTTAAATATTTTTATCTTATACATGTATAGTCAACAAAAATGGATTGCACCATAATCACCGAAGACACGTCGGCTTATCCATTCAACATATTATGATACTATTTTTAACCTACATTATTAACATATACTGTTCCAGTTTAAACATAACACTTATTTTTTTTTACTAAATTTAAGCAGAATTACCTTTTCTTGACAGAAAAAATCCTCATTAAAATCTAAACAGTTTTGTTTTATACTAATAATTAAAAACAGAACAATTTATTTCTCATTGATAACCAGGTTTTCTTTTTAATGTTAAAGAAATAGATAGATTTTTGTTTATGATTTTTTTTTTTGCAATGACATTGAATCTTTGAGAGAAAAAAGAGATTTTTAAAGACTTAAATATTACTTCTAACTACATGTAAACGTTAGCTGAGAATTAAGAAACCCTGATATTCTGTAATTATTAAAATGTGTACAACTTTTACTTTAAATGCACATCATTCCTCAGAAACAAATAAATTTTCATTTCTTTAGAATGGGGAAATAATGTTTTATATTTAATTTTATAATGTTTAAATAATAGTTTTAGAGCATGCAAGATGCTTTTTACCTGAAGAAAGTAGCGCTAAATGTGAAATAATTTAACATTAAAGTACCAAAATGTAAACAAAGTAGTATTTTGACTTCCATAGAAAATAGTAAGACACTATAATGGTATAAATTGCCAGAAAGCAACAAAAGTAGAAGATGGTTCAAGCCACTGGCCAATGAGTAACTTTATTTTGGAAAATATAGCATGATATATAAAAAAAGCTTTTGAGAAATGAAAATAACTGCATTTCTGAGGGATAATGGGCCTTTAAATAAAAAGTACATTTTGACAAGACAATCTTTTATTGAAAAAAGTCATTCACTTCACAAGTATTCTTTCTAAAATAACTTCTTTATTGCATTATGATTATTAATAATCCTTAGTTCTTATATTATTTCTCCAAACAATTAACCGTACAATAAATTGGAGAAAAATACCAGACTGAAATAAAACAAAATGTGAAATTTGATAAATATCATTCTCTGAATTATTTTTTAAGTAAACAGGATTTTAAATGTAGACATCAGTATACTGTTAAATCATATGAAAGTTCACTAAACTGCATGCCAATCTGGCAGTACACTGGTACCAAAAGGCTTACCCTTATTGCAATTATTTGAAAAAAACATTGAAATAACCTTTCACTCAATCTCCCTGTCCACCAATAAATATATCTTCACCTTAGTGCAATAACTGATTAACTCCTATTAAATTAAGAAGGACTTAACCCGTTACTGCACTAAGGTGACAATGTCATTTACCATATCCAAGCAGATATTTAGAGTATGGAAATATAAAATCTTATTTTAACAAGCAAAAAAAGTCAGAAAAAATTCTTGATAAGCCTTTACCAATTTGTATAAAAAGATTTTTTTTTTAAATTTCAATGTATGTACCATGAACATTATACTTATTTAATGTAAATATTTGATAAGCCATGTTTTTTTTTTGTAAAAAAAACAACAAAACAACATTATGTATCAATCATAGAAAATGAAATTTTTAACAGCACAAAGAAAAAAAACACAACTTTAAAGACGTTCTGACTTCAAACACTAGATTCACGAAACTCTCTTGCACAAACAATATATATTACCAACATGAACAATTTTACAAACAAAAAAGCTCTTTACATGTATTTTTTTATACAAAATTATAAAATATATTTAACAAATGTTGCCTACAAACAATTTTGTGCTTTGATGACCAGTTGTTTCCATCACATTGCCAACAACACAAGTTTATAAAGGTATATTCATAAAATTCAGTAATGATACAATGACTTACAAAAAGTCACAACAACAGTTTTCAAAAATTAATTTGAAATATCAAGAAAAAACCCACTACATTTAAGACTTAAGCAAACATCTATTTAAAAAAGAAATGAAAATTGACCGAAATCAATAATTTATTCCAAATGTCCAATTTCATTTTTTTTCTTAATCAACCACTTCTTAAAGTGTAATATATTCAGATATTGCAGCAGAAGATGTAGAAAATAACCTTAAGTATTTGTAAACACCAAAAAGAACATAAAGTGACAGAAAAACAACTGGTCAATAAAGACACAAAATTATTTTTCAGCCAAGTATAAAAATCATCACATATAGATTACAGAATCTGTAATCATAAAAATATCTTTTTATATATATAAATAATTCAGTTTTCTGAGACCAAATTCAGTTTTTTGTTTATCTACGAAAAATTCAAATACAGGAGTAATTTGTTTTAACATGCAATTCCATTTATTTATTTTACCAAGTTGTTATCCATATTTATAGTATATGTTGAAATGATAAAAAGCAATTTAAAAAAGACCATTCATTTATGGAATATTAGGAAAAGAATTGAAGCGTTCATTATAACAATCATAGTAATGCTATGCCATAAAAATAAACACAATATATATTAATTACTTTAGTTCAATGATACATGTACATATTTAGAAATAAAAATACAACATTAGAATGGAATGAAATATGTACGGCAAAATGGTAACATGGCAAATATTTTCCCCATATAATACAATTAATTCTCAAATATATATTATATTGATTGTTTACATTGTACATTGAACAGAAAAGACAAATGCATATTATGAAGTTTCTTTGTTTCTTTTGTTGTTTATCTCTTCAAGTGGGTGGGGTATATTTAGGGGGGATGAGAACAAGAAGGGGGAGGGGGGCAATTGGGTGGGGTAAATGTACCAGCAGCAGAACAGGCATGGGGTGGGGCTCTATGCATAAAATAATATTTGTATAGTAAAAATACTGTATGGAAGAAAATTTTCACAGATTGACAGCAGTCAAATAAAATATTTATGAAAAAAGAAAATTGAACAACAAGGACTTCAGGTATAGACCTTTAATCTTGAACGATACAGAGAATATTTGAAATCACTAGGCAGATTTGTTACAACACTTAAGGGACATAAAGTTTTTTGAACTTGTCTGAACTTACAACATGAAAATCATATCACTGTCATGTATAATGGAATTTTAAAATGTTCTTTTTGAACATAGTGGAAGTTTCCGAGGAGCTGCATAAATAAATTATCAGTACAATACTAAGTTTATGACACTTTCAAATCTGCTAATATCTTACCCGAGGGACTAACTTATAAATGAACAGTAACACGTAAGATAGTTGCATGCTTTAAGATGTATTTTGAACGGTATTTGTAACTATGAAAGGCAGACTGATTCTAATCAAGTATAATTAAATACAGGTACAAAAATATACATCATTTAAAATGCACATATTGTCACCTCAGAGCAGTAACGGGCTAATTCTTTTAAAAAATATAAGGAGTTAACTGGTTACTGCACTAAGGTGAAAATATACAAGACAGAACCTAATATATTTGTTAATCATATATTAAGTTCAGTCAAAGGTACCTGGCAAAAACCAGCATAGCATAAAGCAACTTGGAAAAAGACGAATATAAAAAATATTTGAAAATACATCTCTTTTTATTTTGAAAAACGTGCTTACACAGTATTTGTATGGTTAACTTTCAATGAAAACGTACTTCAGAAAAATTATTCTAGCATCTAAACTTCAAACCGAATCAACAAAGTCAAGATACTGAACTTAAAAGGTAAGTACCAAGTCAAACCATCCATGTCCATAATGTAAAATCTATTTGGGAATTATGTTTAAAGTGCCTTAACAATGGTAATTGAACGTGTGATAATATGTTAATTCATCATATCTTGGTCTGTAAAAGCAGGGAAGTGATTAAAAAAGATATATATTGAATTTTTCCCTTTTTAACATGTTAAAAATTCAGTTTTATGTATCAAGATTATTTAAATAAAGACGGACTGACGTGCCATTCCTAGTTGATTACCATCTCCCCAAGTTTGACATATTATGCATTAAATTCTTCATTATTAAACATGAAATTAAACATATGTATGAATTAGTCAGTGCAAGTGTGTTTGTGCATAGAAACGTTTCAATTCATTGCAAACTTGAAGCTATAGTAAACAGGAACACCAACAATTTTGAACTTAAAATATTTGACTTATAATCAAACAGTACTGTTTCTCAATCATGAATCTTGAGGAAATTTCATTATATAATTATGATAAATATATATACAGCATTCTATATCCATTCAAAGCAATTTTTTTACCAAAAATTTGTAAACTACTTAAGATATCTGATCAAGAATATGCATAGTGTATGACCAAAAAACATCTCTTCCCCAAATATTCAGTATAAACATTATTACTGAGATATGGGAAGTGAGATATGGGTTAAAAGATATGGGTAGTGAGATATGGGTAATGAAATATGGGTAGTGAGATATTGGTAGTGAAATATATGTAGTGAGATATGGGTAAAAGATATGGGTAGTGAGATATGCACAGTCCTAACAATTTTTTTTTGTCTACACTTAAATTTCCAACAATTGAATGACAAGTTTATAAGCTAGTTTTTATAAACATCAAACAAATGTACACCACATAATAGAAAAAGATGAAGAAAAAGTTTATCATATTTATAGGATTTAAGAAAAAATTGTTGCACGACAGCAACATGACAAAATGAATCTCACAATTGCAACAAAAGGGTTCTAAGAATTGAAAACAATTATGTCGTTTTATACCATATTTTGTTTTATTTTGACAGGACTACATTATTTCTCACTTGTGAGTAGTATTTAAAGCATATATTATAACCTCAGTGCAATGACTGGTTAACTCCTATTACATTTAGATGGACGTAACCAGTTACTGCACTAAGGTGTCAAAATTATATCGAACAGAATCTAAAAAAAAAAACCAGCAGAAATATTATCCCCCCCCACTGCCCTGATCAAATTAAGAAGCGATTCAAACTGAGAAAATATGCATAATTTTTAAACATTTTTCTGATATCCTAACATCTACATTTATCAGAAACACTTGGTGAATATTTTACACAATTTTTTTTTCCTATATATACAAAATAAGCTTAAAAGAAAACTGTACACATTATTTGGTCCAGTTAGAATCACTTTACACAAAAAAAAGATAATAAAAAAGAATTGCAAAACATGAAAACAGGAGCACTTGTATATCTGCATTTAACATTAACATTTCCATTCTAGATACATTTCCTAACTACCATTTGCTAAAAATAGAAATAACATCATCATGTGCAGAGATCTATGCTAAAAATAGAAATTACATCATTATGAGCAAATAAAAAAAAAATCACATCCTGACTTTCTTGAATAACAATACCCATTAGTGGGACACATGAAAATTATCAACGAATATGTAACTTAGGCCAGCAACACTGTACATATAAAGTTTATGCAATTTTTCGAAATTATTTTGTTATGTATGCATTTTTTCTTCATAATAAAACCCTTAAATTGAGTGAAAATAATAATGAAAGTATTTCAAATAACATAACGTTGCATTTCATTGATAACTTTCATACATTGTATTATTTCTTCAATTTCAACTTAAATATCCTTTATGGTTTTATAAAAGAGAGAAATCTCAAAAATTTGTTGTGCTTTTTTTGTGTAATAATAACCTATTTAAATTGAATATAATATCAAAAATTTCCAAGTTAAAATCTTTACATGTTTAGGTTCAATTCAAGGCAAGTTTTAGGAATCAAAAGTCTTGTCAGCCAATATTTTTTTGTTTTTGACAAATTCTACTCCCCACCACCCAAACTCCCCCCCCCCCCAAAAAAAACCCGTCAAGAAACATCACCAAAAACTAATACCCAGAAGTGGCCACGCCTGTCATTTGCTAACATGCAATCCGTTTAATTTCACAAAGTGAGAAAACTCGTCATCCGACTTAAAAATAGTAATATAAAAAAAATCGCAGCATCGCACTTTTACACTACAAGCACTGGAATTAAAATTCCCTACAATCAGAATGTAAGCTGTACAAAATTTTTATCTATGAACACACACATTTTATGCTAGAAGATTTTTACATGTATAAATGTATTATACATGAGTTAAATGTAACTTGTTGCAACAATTTGTATACAATGTACATGGATGTGAGTGAAGATGATATAAAAAATATTTCAACTTCATGTTAGTTTAAAACCCCATCGGATACTTATCTGCTCGGGATGGGTTTGTTACAATGTTCCAATAATCTGATGTCATATATATTAATTACAGATATATTATTCAATAATCTACATATTACATTAATATTCCAGGCAATATCTCACCAGGTTAGATATTGTTTTACATCGCATTGTAATAACAGAGCTTTTCATTCAACAAATTTAATGAGAGAAACAGAAATTAATCTTTCCATCCCTAAATTCTAGGCTTTCTCGCCGATTCTATAGTTAATTACAGCTTTTAAAAGTGGCATTTCAATCAATCAGTTAAAAACAAATCGGCCAATTTGTAATCCAAACTGAGGAGAAACGCAAGTTAAATCAATCAACTATCATAAAATTTGAGAAGTTATACATGTACAGTGAAATGCCTGTGTATACAATGAAATGCTGTAGAAGGGTTCACAGAATGCAGCTCCGGTGCCCATTTCTGGTAGTAGTAGATCACAGTCTAGAATATAGAGGCCAGTGACCAGTCCATACTGGCTATATGTAATACATCAGGTACCGAATGCTGGTTCCTAAAATTTTTCAGCATGTCTCGGCAATTTCTTTTTCATCAATGCCAGATAGTAATTTGTATATAAATATGTATATATATATATATTTATAAAAATATATATACAAGTTTTTAAGCCGACTTTATATGAAGTGTCAAATGGAACCGGCTTGCTTTGTTATTAGCACTCTTCCAGAAAATCTAGCATGATGAACTCATGGGCGATGAAATCTGAAATATAAAATAGTACAATTTATTCACTCCCGTATATTTGTCCTTCACTAGAACCAAAAAACCTAAATATGTTTACAAACCACATTTACATGCTACTTTCCGAAAGAAAGTTAAGTGTAAACAATGGAAGCATTATATCAGGTGAAATGCCAAAATAAAACAAGAGCTGTCGGTAGGACAGCATGCTCGACTATTCTTAGTGCTTGATAGTAAAAAAAAAGCCTGATACAGTTACCTCCTCCTGTTTACAGGTTGGGGTCATGATGGTGAAGAAGTGTGCAAAGTTTCAAAGCCATATGTCAATGGACTTTGAAAATATTTGAACTATTACAAAAACTTTAACGTAAATTCTAAGTCGAAAAAGGGGCATATTTCTGTCAAAATGCTTGATAGAGTTACCTCCTCCTGTTTCCAGGTTGGGGTCATGATGGTGAACAAGTGTGCAAAGTTTCAAAGCCATATGTCAATGGACTTTGAAAATATTTGAACTATTACAAAAACTTTAACGTAAATTCTAAGTCGAAAAAGGGGCATAATTCTGTCAAAATGCTTAATAGAGTTACCTCCTGCTGTCTACAGGTTGGGGTCATAATGGTGAACAAGTGTGCAAAGTTTCAAAGCCATATGTCAATGGACTTTGAAAATATTTGAACTATTACAAAAACTTTAACGTAAATTCTAAGTCGAAAAAGGGGCATAATTCTGTCAAAATGCTTGATAGAGTTACCTCCTCCTGTCTACAGGTTGGGGTCATGATGGTGAACAAGTGTGCAAAGTTTCAAAGCCATATATCAATGGACTTTGAAAATATTTGAACTATTACAAAAACTTTAACGTAAATTCTAAGTCGAAAAAGGGGCATAATTCTGTCAAAATACTTGATAGAGTTACCTCCTCCTGTCTACAGGTTGGGGTCATGATGGTGAACAAGTGTGCAAAGTTTCAAAGCCATATGTCAATGGACTTTGAAAATATTTGAACTATTACAAAAACTTTAACGTAAATTCTAAGTCGAAAAAGGGGCATAATTCTGTCAAAATGCTTGATAGAGTTACCTCCTCCTGTCTACAGGTTGGGGTCATGATGGTGAACAAGTGTGCAAAGTTTCAAAGCCATATGTCAATGGACTTTGAAAATATTTGAACTATTACAAAAACTTTAACATAAGTGGTTACGCCGACGCCGACGCTCGGGTGACTGCAATAGCTCTACTTATTCTTATCGAATAGTCGAGCTAAAAATGTCAATGCAAAAACAAACTTCAATTTCAGATAAAGTTATGTGAATTAATCTCTACAAACCATCAATGATTTTTACTTCATTCTTTAAAGATAAGAAAAGGATAAGTAAAAAATTAGTGGTTTTATATAGAAACATCTGAGCCATATAAAAATAAACAGGTGTAAAGAAAATATTTAATAAACTCAAAAAACGTTTTTTCCGCAAAGCTTTATTGATCGTCAAGCAATTTTCTTGATTGTCGTTCCTTATAATATCCCTTATGGTTCCTTAAAATAATTAATTTTGATATAAACTGGAACATGGAACTGAGCTGCTGCAAATCAAGATAGCCGGTGCTAGTTTCCTACTTTGAAATGTCATCTGGATTCCAGCCCACAGAAATACAGGACAAATGATTTTAAGCAAGTTCTTAGTAAATCAGACGGACAAATCAATGTTCTCTGATATCTTTACAATAAAACATGTACATGTAATACAACAAACCTTGTAAGATGTCTACTATCATCATGTACAGCCATTTCCTGAGCCTTGAAATCATTCAGTTCTTTCCTGATGGCAGCCTGAAACAGAACCATATTCTCATTTTATAATTCATTACAATTAACTGTTTACCAATTACATAAACATACTGTAATTGTTACAGATTTTTTGTTGTTGACAGGTTATATGGCCTAATATAAATGGTTATATAGTGAACAATGGTTCATACTGGACAAAACAGCAATTCAAACAATTCTTTCCTCCCTTTCTCTATCTTTCCCTGATAATATGAAAACATGATTTTTTTTCAGTTGCTTTGGAGTAAAATGCTTTGATACAAATGGTTTAAATTGAGTATAAAAGATTTCTTCAGTCAGTAAGTCAGTCAGTTTAAATTTTCATGTTGCAGAGAAGAAATCTATATGTGAAGCCATTAATGTGAAGGTTAGAAGTGTAATATTACCAGGAATATCCTCAATACCAATAAATATCATAAAATGTCACCAGGGCAGTCTTACTATATATTTCCTCATTTAACGAAACATAAAAAACGCAACAACTTCACCGTTTAACATTTACAGGTTATTTTAATGTAAATGAATACGCAATAACATCTCTTTTTCAGATATAATTGATAATGTGAAACATATATATTTTTTTTTTAAGCCTTATCCAGCTGGAATAAAATTTGCCTATGCCACAAGTATAGAGCCAGGCCAACCTGTATTTCCCTGCAGTCTAACCAGGAAATGTACTATTGGTCAACTACATTTACATTTTCATCTTGACTTACTGTTCTTCTTTTTTTCTTGATTTTTCCTTCCCTCCTATTTTTTTCTTTTGATAATCTTAAAAGCATTAATGTGTATATAAAAAAGGTCTCTGGAAATTGTACATACACTACCAAACACCCATTTTAATGTAATTTTAATGTAATATTATATTTCTACTTTGTGAGAGTCATTTTATTCGTGGAGGTTAAATAAGGGGCTAAATGTATTATAAATTCTGACAAAAAAGGAAGTAAAGAAATTTCAGCCATTACTTAAAAAGCATCTCTAACTGGATTTACCTAGTTGCTGTAAAGTTCAGCGATCTCTTATGTCACTTTTTAATGAGAGTTTGTGGGAAATTTAATACAGAAATCTATAGTGTATAGTATAAATGTAAGATAATAAGGTCTACATTAAACCATACAAAATATATTTGATATTTCTGAAAAATCTTATACAATATGTAAAATTTTGCAGATAATTTTCCTCATTTAAACTGTTTACAAACAGCAATTTTTTCTTTCTTTAAAAATCTGGTTTCAAGTTACCAGTACACTAACGCTGTGAAATGTTGGTCAAATGGCCATTTTTTTAGGTATAACCTGATGAGCAGGATCTCTGGTGTCCCGTAGGGCATTATTTTGTCATAACAGGCACACACATAGAACTACCACTATTCAATTGTCATCTTGATTAACTTTTTGTCTTGAGAATTCGATGTCATTGATAATATTCAAACCAATTATAGTAAATGGGGAAGATTTTCCAAAACAGCATCCTAACTACTCAACGCCAGAGCTCCCTTATATAACACAATCTTTTGAATGTGAATTTTCAAGAAAGAATACAAAAAATAACAAAAATTTCTAAAAACTGAATGATTTTAAAAAGACTAATAACATTTTCAACTAAACACACAGATTTACTATAAATTTCATTAATTTTATATACAGGAAGATTGGAGTATACCTTATCTCTAGGTGTAAGTCTGGTCCACGGTTTGTCCGCCCTTCTGTCATACTCATGTGCATCGGTACATTCAATGTACTCATTGAACTTTATAATCTTTTTTTCTCTTAATTCTTCAATGGTTGGTCTGAAACTTAGCTGTAATATAGAGAATTTTAATGTAATATCATTATTTGTACATAAATATTACCCCAATTTTTTATTTAAAAAATATACTAAACTCATGAATGTCAAAGTAACAGATTTGTTTTCAGAGTGATTGGATTACAATCCACTAGCAGATTCATGGCAAGGCACACCTGGCATGCACATCAGTTAATTATTCAAGTATGATGTCATCTTACTTTAATCTTTCCTGTTTATGTAACTTCAATGTTACATGAAAATGTATAATATAAGCATCTATAAATGATGTTTTGCCCCATGCTTCTATGGCTCTGATCTAAGAACACGGCCCCCTTAAATCCCTGCATGATCATGGATACTACCCATTTTGGCCTACCTACATGCCTTCAAATTAGAAATTTGCATTACTTTTACCACTGTTTGCCAATATTTCTAAATAGTTTAGCCTGGAATCTTCAATCTGCCCTTGGTACCAAATCATATCGGTTACGATTTGATAAATGCTTAATTTAACAGATTACTCCATAATTCAGAATATTTTGGGTTTTCCCAGCTAATCCAAGGGTACAAACAAACTTTAACAGTGACAACTTGGAAAATAAGCACAACAGGTTGACTAATTTATTGTAAATGCTAGTGCATCAGGAAGGTTTGTTTTAACTGGGAGATAAGCTAGGAAATACACACATTTGCCGAATTACAGATTTTATTATTTCCCTCTTACCTAATTGATTTTTGTTTTTATTTAAAAATCAGTTTATATAACTGATGATTTGTCACTCCTTTAAAAATAGAAATAAGACCTCATATTAAAGTGACATTATGCTCATATTTTCATAGTCAAGTTAAGCTGAATTGACTTTATATTTCAAAAGATTGACTGTCAAAATGGTATTTGTCCAACAGTTGATATTGGTAAATTTACGAATAGAATTATAAATCTGCCTTAAATTCAAAAAGACTGCCCCACTCTTTTTATAAACTTATCGTTTCAGGTAAATTCTAATGGATCTTTACAGAAATTTCATTTGGATCTGTGTGTTATTCATTGTTTATACCACTTAATCATTAAATTGAAAGGATTTGTGGCAAAATGTAAACTTATTTTAATCTTATCCGTTCACTCACTATATACCCTTGGATGGGCATAATGTCACTTTAATCATTCAGTCTAAATTTGATCTACTAGTAACAGGATCATAATCAAATTTCATTGAATACATTTGAAGTATTCTGTTGTTTCATAAACAGGTTTTATAAAAACCTTTTCCCAACATACTTTTTTTTACAAATATTAGATATGGAAAGTTACAAAGTTTGCTAAATATAAACAAATCATTGGTGAGTGTAACACCTTCAGCTAATCTGTAAAATGTTGAGTATGAGCATTAAAAATCTTACTTTTCTGATCAAAAGTTTCTTTTTCTCTTCTTTTTCCCTTTTAGCTGTTTCTTCATTGCTTACTACAAAAAAGAAGATTTTTTTTTACATTCATGTATTTAGTATCTCAATTCTACCAAATCTTCTACTGGCTAAGAATTTCTTAAAACTAAAAGCTGGGGATCAGTTTTGTAAACATGTAAGGAACCATCTAATGACACATTACCAAAATCAACCAATCAGAAGCTAGAGTGCTTAGACTGTCTCCAAGGATTTGAGTTTGTTATTAAATTTACACTTGTATATTCATAAAACCAGTTTCAGAAAGAATGATTTATGACACAATCATGAAATCTGAACTTTTAATCCCTAAACAACTTGACAACAGATTCATCATATACCAAACATTTGTGAGAATTTCATTCAATAATAGAATTTGAACAAAAAAACAGTTCATTCTCATTCAACAATATTTTAAGCATATGTTAATAAATAAACATTGGTTAGTATTCTGAGTGGGAGTAAATATGTGCATGAATTGATTTATTTTGCTTAGTTCTGAATCATATAAAAACAGTAAAGGTCATATGGCAGATTTTCAGCTTAATGGGTCAAAAGACGTCAGGTGTAGAGCTTTTCATGCATTATTTCAGTCAAATGATGACATTCAGTTCATAAGCTAGATAGAAAGTTCTGTCACATGAAAGACTCCAAAGTCCCTGACAGGATTCAAACCTGCAGTGGTGAAGGTCAGGTGATTTGAAATCAGAGAGAACTTAACCACTCAGCCATGGAGGTCCTCAAGTTTATAATTTATATTTTATTAAATCAAATAGCCCAGTCATTGTTATAATTGATTTTTACTGACTTTATCATTTAGAATATTCAAGCATCCTGCTTAATATCAACTAAATAAAGTAAAGTCTGATAAATATTTGTACCCAGTGACCTTGTTTATCTTCATATTATTTCCTATGGTTTAAAAGCAGATACCAAAGTGTATTTAATTGACATCATGGCTTCACATCTTCCCTCTCAAAATCAAATATCCAACTTGTAAATTGTTTTTCACACATGTAACATGAGCTTATTCTCAGACAACAAGAATATTTCTTGGAAATTGCTGGTACCATGTTTAATAACTTCCTTGTAATAAACAAACAAGCGGACTTACGGTGCAAAATATTCTTCTGCTCTAGTTCTTCCTGGGAAGGTCGTAGACTTAATCTCCTGTAGAAATAAAGTATAAATATGATCACTTTAATATACAATGACAGAAACAAGCAGTTTTAATACAAACAAAACTTTAAGGAACTCTACGTCCAAAAGCAGAAAAACATGAAATTTGAAATCGTACATAGATCATCTAAAATACATAAACAGTAACTTATTGAAAGACTATTTTCAGAATTTCAATGAAAATTTGTTAAAAGCTTTTAACGCTTTTCATCTTTAGGTAATTTTGTTTCATCTTAAGGATGATCTGAAATTTAACAACACCAACCTACATCAAAATGGTTTAAAAATTTCTAAAAAAAAATTCAGTCCAGTATGGTAAAAAAGCTTTCATTGCAGTCCCTTTACATTCACTCATGTAAGTCAGAAAAATAAATGATCAAAGGTGGGGGGGAGTTGGGAGTTTTCAGGTCTCAAAATTAAACAGGGAGGTTTCAAGATTAAATTGGGTGTTTTTATATTAAATTGGGAATTTCAGATTAAATTGGGAGGTTTCAAGATTAAACAGGAAATTTTGGGATTAAATTTGGAGGTTTCAAGATTAAATTGGGTGTTTTATGATTAATTTAGTTTTGTCCATTGAAATAATAACTATAGTCAGCCACTATTCTAAACAAGAGGAAAGCAGTTGCCTATAAGTTAAGGTGTCTGCCTCTTAACCCAGGGATCATCGGTTTGAGCCCCACTAGTGTTACAACCATGTTTCTTCATATGACACCAGAACTTGTTGTTCCAGGAAGCCGACTCGAAAGTGATTAATATAAGTTGTAAGAACTTCACAATTGAACTTAAATAAATATGTTTAAACTGAACAAAATGTAAAATCACTGTAAGCTGTTCAACTCTTGGTCTACTTGTTTATGGATGGAACAAATTTTTTGTTACCGTATCAGTTTTGATCCGATGGCTTGTCTGTCCTGATGTATTTCATCCTCAGATTTATTTGGAATTATGTTTTTAGCTTCTAATTCTTGCCGTGACGGCCGATTACTTAAAAACCTTGCTAAACTATCTTGTCTTGCGACTTTGGCAGCCAAAGAACCTGAAACAGATATCAATCGATTTCTTTCCTATCAACAGTAGCTGGTGATAGTGGTTTTACCTATGTCAACGGTATAGAATTAGACTGACCTACATTACTATGCAATTTGACTAGACTTTATACTGTTGGATTACTAAATTTCAGTACATTGACGCTAAAATTCTTCAAATTAACCATACAGGACAAGCTTTTTTATACAAATTAAACAGGGTAACACAATATCCTAGAAACATTTTAAACTGAATTATTATACGAAAACTCAGATGATGAAAACTTAAGGAAGGAGCTTATTATAAATATTAGCCGACCCTGTTAATAACAAACATTGTTCAAAATGTTTTTTGTTGAACATTCTAAAACAAGCCATTTTACTTCCTTATTATTCAAATGGGAATATAAAATTATCATTCATACAGAAATATTAAGTAAAACTTTCATGAAATGTTTTCTATATGAAGAGAAGCAACCATCAAGTATAATCACCAACTTCTGAAAGCTAGCTGGATAGCTTCCTCAAATGGCAAAATTCAAATTTCAAAACTTTCACTGTTTAAGCAGCTTTCAATATATACTGTTAAATCCATTTTTGAACACTTGTTGAATTGAAATAGTTGCTTAAATGCCGAGCAAAAAAAAATAAATATAGATATATATATACATACTTGGTGGATCATCATCATCCCTATATTGTATTTCTTCATCATCCGATGATGACTCCTCCCCCGGTGATGATACAGGGTATGGTGGCGGGGGATGCTCCGGTACTGCCTGGGAATGATATGCCGGAGGTGCAGGCAAACTATCAGGATCACTGGCTGCCACACCCCTTTAATACCAAACAAACCTATTTTATGTTTCAAATATAACACAATAGCAACAACAATTTCTAAAAAATTTTAAACAATGCAAGCGTGGGTTGAACACTTCAAGGAATATCTATTTTTTCCAGAGAGCTTAACCAATCTTGATTTGAAATATCTGGAAATTTTTCATTCTTGTTCAGGTACATTTCAGATAAGACATGTCCTGTAATAAAATTGAAACAGTCCATTTTCACTGTACTTTCAGGTTTTTAGATATCAATGAATATTGCAAAAGCTTTTCGCCCAACCCTTTTGTATATTCCGTAAAAGAATTGATGTATATCTATATATGCAATGAATTATTATTAAACTAAACTTCAATATCAATTGTTGACCTTTATTAAGCAGCTAACAGTATCAAATTCATGAGCAGAGCTAAACACTGTCAGCAAAGGTACATAAGTAATGGAAAAAGTTTTTGGGATGTTTTTTTCTTATTAGGCCATACCGAGAGCACACTGATTTAACATTTGTATTCAAATTCTATCAAAACTTGTTATGACAAAATTCACAATCATGAAGTTGAGTTTTCTTTGTTTTAATGAATTCCAAACTGCATACCACTTAAAACAAAATTTACATTTCACCAGTCTTGATGAATTAATGTTGTAATGTCTTTAATGTGATATTTATAATGAATGAATGAATAAATAAATAAATAAATACTGCATATCAATGTCAAACCACCCTCCTATAATGTTTATCAAGATAATTTATGAATGTTAATTATAAATTCTAAATAAATACCACCAGCCAGTTTTGTTCTACATAGATGCTGTGATTTTATTTTTTTTATATTACAATGCAAATTTGCAAAGGGCCAAAACTTTCAAGTCAAATAACATTTATTTGAAAAATTGGGAAAAATCAAAATAAAACCTATGAAAGAAACCATTCACTTTTAGTTAGTTTATAGTGACCATTTATGGCTTACAAAGTTGTCAAGTGTAGATATAAAGACTATGATGAGGAGTTTTTAACAGTTTGGTAAAAATTGGAAGAAGATATTTACAGCTACACAATAAAACACCACAAAAATCAACAACAACAACAACAAACATAAAGACATTGACTAGAACATTAAAAGACAATATTTTAAGAGCCAAAGACAACTTATGACACGGTAGAAGAATGAGTTTTTTGTAAATGATATTAACTCTATCAATGACATAATAAATTGATTTTGTCTAGGTGTGGCCATGAATTTTTTTTTTAAATTTATTAGTATTAACGTTGCCATGACAACAGAAAATATACATACCTGAGAAGTGTGATCCTTGGTTTTGGTCTGGGAGGACCTTGATTCACAGGTGTTGCTTTGGGTGAGGGCATAGCATTATTTGCTGACTCTGGGGGTACATTATCCTGTGCCCCAGGGGTACTAAAGTTAGTTTGTACACTAGATTGTACATTATCTCCAGCTACATTACTAGTCTGTAGAGTTCTAGAATTCACACTGACTGGAGTCTTTTTTAAAGCACTTTTTTTTGGCTGTTTATTTAAGTTTGGTTCCGAGATCTCCGCTTCATAAACACGAGGAGTTTTTAAAACCTGGCGGGGCTCGGGTTCGGGCTCCTCCTCGCTACTCTCCTCTTCTGACTCTTCACCTAGTGAGGTAAAAATAGTTTACAGATTCATGTTTATATAGCTGCGTCACAACAAAACCAACATAGTGCGTATGCAACCAGCTAGGATCCAGACCAGCCTGCATGTCGCACAGTCTGATCAGGATCCATGCTGTTCGTTATCAGTTTCTCTACTTGTAATAGAGTTGGTAAGTGAACAGCATGGATCCTGATCTGACTGCGTGGATGCGCAGGCTGATCTGGATCCATGCTGGTCGCAAACGCACTTTGTTGGTTTTGTTGTGACGAGGCTCATAATCATTTTAGCCTATTTCTCCATATTTTATTGACATACAGGCAATAAATATTGTGAAATAATGCTCAATGACCTGTATAGTTAAAAGCAATTTTGTGTTATACAATGTTTACACTGCAAACTTATTTTTTTATTCATATTGATATATATATATATGTTACCAGAGAGAAAATAATAGAAATACTAAAAGTATCATGTGTCAATGTTCTAACTTCATGAATGTAACATCATGAATCCCCTTAATAAAAGATTTTACATTAACCCTTTCAATGCTAAATATCTTAAATTGACTGAACCATCTTTAATTCTGGACAAAACCATTCATTAATTTTAGGGAAAAATTTCAAAATATGTACTGATTGAAAAGCAAACAGTCCCGGCCATGATCACAAATATGGCTGATCTTGGTCTGCACTGGTTGCATGGTTAGTATCAGTTTCCAGATAATTATTTTTCTATAACCCGACATAAAAAGTATTGAAAATTTACGACCATATGATGCCCTTCTCTTCAACATGTGCACCTAATGATAAATACTCAGAGCTTAAAGGAGCTCCACTGAGATCAAAAAGCTTAAAAAGATCTCCAATGAGGTCAAAAAGCTTAAAAAGTACTCCAATGAGGACCAAAAGCTTAAAAAGATCTCCAATGAGGGCAAAAAGCTTAAAAAGATCTCCAATGAGGTCAAAAAGCTTAACAAGAGGGCCATGATGGCCCTGAGGTCGCTCACCTGTATATAGCCCCGCCCCCCCCCCCCCGGCCCAATTTTTACCCAAGGGCTTTTATTTGTTTATTTGAACAGACTTGGTAGACACCCATAAGAAGATGTTTCATGCAAAACGTCTAAGTTCTAGCTCATTGGGTTTTTTAAAAGAAGATTTTTTAAATTTTTACTATACACATATAGTTAAAAACAATGACACCCCTTGGGCAGGGCCAGTTTTGACCCCTGGGCTTTTATTTGAACAAACTTTGTAGATATTTACTTAAAGATGTTTCGTGCTTAATATCTAAACTCTAGTTATTTGGGTTTTTTCAAAGAAGATTTTTAAGTTTTTGCTATGTATATAAGGAAAATCAATGACCCCCGGGGCGGGGCCAGTTTTGACCCCAGGGCATTTATTTGAACATATTTGGTAGACACCCATTAGAACATGTCCCATGCTAAATATCTTAGCTCTAGCTCTTTGGGTTCTTTAAAAGAAGATTTTATAAGTTTTTACTATATGCATATAAGGAAAATCAATGACCCCCGCCCCATACTATATGCATATAAGGAAAATCAATGACCCCCTGGGGCGGGTCCAATTTTGACCCCAGGGATTTTATTTGAACAAACTTGGTAGACATTCACTAGAAGATGTTTCATGCCAAATATCTAAGCTCTAGCTCTTACGATTCTTTAAAAGAAGTTTTTTTAAGTTTTTACTATATGCATATAGGGAAAATCAATGACCCCCGGGGCGGGGCCAATTTTGACCCCAGGACTTTTATTTGAACAAACTTGGTAGACATTCACTAGAAGATGTTTCATGCCAAATATCTTAGCTCTAGCTCTTTGGGTTCTTTAAAAGAAGATTTTTTAAGTTTTTACTTTATGCATATAGGGAAAATCAATGACCCCCTGGGGCGGGGCCAATTTGGACCCCAGGACTTTTATTTGAACAAACTTGGTAGACATTCACTAGAAGATGTTTCATGCCAAATATCTAAGCTCTAGCTCTTACAGTTCTTTAAAAGAAGATTTTTAAGTTTTTACTATATGCATATAGGGAAAATCAATGACCCCCTGGGGCGGGGCCAATTTTGACCCCAGGGCTTTTATTTGAACAAACTTGGTAGACACTCACTAGAAGATGTTCCATGCCAAATATCTTAGCTCTAGCTCTTACAGTTCTTTAAAAGAAGATTTTTTAAGTTTTTACTATATGCATATAGGGAAAATCAATGACCCCCCGGGGCGGGGCCAATTTTGACCCCAGGGCTTTTATTTGAACAAACTTGGTAGACACTCATTAGAAGATGTATCATGCCAAATATCTAAGCTCTAGCTCTTAAGGTTGTTTAAAAGAAGATATCTAAAGATTTTTCTTTCGGTTGCCATGGCAACCAGAGTTCTGCATGGAATTAAATTCTTTGAACAATTTTTAAAGGTGACCACCAAAGGAACATTCCTGTGAAGTTTGGATGAAATTGGCTCAGTGGTTTATGAGGAGATGTCATTTAAAGCAAAAGTTTACGGACGGACGGACGGACGACGGACGGACGGACGGACGCCGGACGAAAAGCGATCACAAAAGCTCACCCTGTCACTTTGTGACAGGTGAGCTAAAAATTACTCCAATGAGGGCAAAAAGCTTAAGAAGATCTCCAATGAGGGCAAAATGCTTAAAAAGATCTCCAATGAGGTCAAAAGGCTTTAAAGGAGCTCTACTGAGGTCAAAAAGCCTAAAAACAACTGAAATTCTTGCATAGATAAAGCAATGTACTTAAATTAAAAAGATAATAAAGAAATTTACTCATAAATTGAATTGATACATCAGTTGTTTTTTTTTGGGGGGGGGGGGGGGGGGGGCACAATTTTTTGCCTGGTTTAAATGACCCTTTTATTTTATTTCTTTGTAATTTTTACAAATTAATTTAATTATTCTCAGAAAATTGAGTGAGGAAATGATCTGAAATTTTGTACACAAGTAATTAGTCCAGACCTACATTAAATGGTACAAGTTTCAATTTTTTTTTTCCAGTCCCTTCATGTCAAGAAACCTCGGTGGTGTCTCCTTTTAACACCTCAATTGAGAAGGTCAAAATTCTACATACTATCATCAAAGTGAGGTCTGTATCTTGGTGTCTCCATAGTTGATACGTTATTGGAAAATGTTGTCATAACAGTCCGTGTACTACTTTCTGATGTCCGCGTCTCTTCAGCGGATGGTTGTGGGGTGGAATCTCCCGCACCGATCCCTACCTGACCCTGTCCCGAGTCCTGACTATCTGGAATGATTCTTGTGGGAAGTGACGATATAATCACAGGACGTGCCTGAGATGCTGAGGCTGAAAATATAAACATGGGACATTTAGATTTACTTTTCATGTATGTTTAAATTTGTACTATACATGAATATCATGCTATAAATAATGTCATAATTTTACCATCACTTAAACGCTTACCTATGATTTGAAGATAATGTCAAATTGATGCAACATACCTGGAACTCGTTTAACTGTGAATAGGCAATTAGTTAAAATTAACTAGCTTCTAAATTGCTTTAAAGTCATTTGAATAATTCATTAGAACGCATTCTTTATTAAGAGAAAAAAATCTTCTTGGAAGGGACTTTATTTTGAAAACAGTATCAATTCTGATTACAGATCTCATCTGTTCTGTTTTTTTCTTTAAATAAAAAAAGAAGAACAACAAATTTTGCCATGGCAACCAGAACTTCACTGGGATTTTCAAGCTAATAAAGATAATTTAAACCGAACAACAAATAAATATGATATGTTTAAACATGTTTAGACAGAAAACATTTGAAAACTGGCCAACCAAATTTAGAAACAACATTATTAATGTCCTGATAAAATTCTCCAATAGATATGTTGGAAAATATCTTGAATATCCTTGTTTTAATATTGATATTTGCTTAACAATATTGAATATTCTTTACAAACATGTCTACATCACAGGTGGCAGTATCAGTGTTTGGACACCCCACCCCTATCTGCCCCTGGACCCCTACTACAACCCTGAAAAAAAATAATTCAACACTCTAAGGCTTACTAAAAGGTACCAAATACAAAACCACCGATGAAATTATATAAAAAAAAAAATTTTTCCACTATCAAAATTATAGTTATAGAAAGGTGAAAAGCCTACTATAAGTTCATTTGCCAAACAATGTGGAACACGGGAAATCGTCGTTTCGGCGACTGAGGCGCATTCCGAAGACATTTTGCTGCATCATTCATTTACATCAATAAAAAGAACTTGAATTCCACAGCTTACTTAATTCAAGTCTAACGAATATCAATATTACATCGATTTTTTCTATTTCACGGTAATTTTTTACTTGTCGTTGCCATTTTGGATTCTGATACCTACATGTGTTATACGCAATATGATTGGACGTCCAATTTGGCTCGTCCAATCAGATCGCGTATTTCAACCCAGGTATCAGACTGCAAAATGGCTACGACAATTCAAACAAGAAACATGGCAATGCCATGAAACCAGGTTTTCAATTATCACCATTGTAGATAAATATGTTGTATTTGAAATACAAATACAAGCAACAAACAATGTAACTATGTGCAATGTAAAACATGAATAATGTAGGAGGAATTGCCACTGAAGAAGTGTTCACTATAATATTATGTATAAGGAAAAAAACAAAGGGCCATAATTAGGTCAAAAACTATCCAATCACAAAACCCCGACAATATGTGCCAGGGTGCTTGATGACAAAGCTTCTGTGAAAGTTTGAACAAAATCCGTTGAGAAATGTAGGACGAGTTCAGCACAGAAGAATTTGTTCACTATAATTATATTGATAATTCTGTATAATGAAAAACAAGTTACAAAGTAGACATGAAATAATATATCATATCTTTTTTAAATTACCTCCAAAGATGATATGACCTTTGACTGCCAAATCAAGTTAAAATCATGTAAACAGGATTTTCAATGTTAATGTCACTGTGACCTTGACCTTGGAGCCAGCCATGCGGAACATGCGTTCTGCACGTCATCTTGATGTGGTAAACATTTGTCTGAAGTTTCATCAAAATTCTTCAAAGGGTTGAAGAGTTACAGAGCGGACAGGATTTTCAATGTTAATGTCACTGTGACCTTGACCTTGGAGCCAGCCATGCGGAACATGCGTTTTGCACGTCATCTTGATGTGGTAAACATTTGTCTGAAGTTTCATCAAAATTCTTCAAATGGTTGAAGAGTTACAGAGCGGACAGGATTTTCAATGTTAATGTCACTGTGACCTTGACCTTGGAGCCAGCCATGCGGAACATGCGTTCTGCACGTCATCTTGATGTGGTAAACATTTGTCTGAAGTTTCATCAAAATTCTTCAAAGGGTTGAAGAGTTACAGAGCGGACAGGATTTTCAATGTTAATGTCACTGTGACCTTGACCTTGGAGCCAGCCATGCGGAACATGCGTTCTGCACGTCATCTTGATGTGGTAAACATTTGTCTGAAGTTTCATCAAAATTCTTCAAAGGGTTGAAGAGTTACAGAGCGGACAGGATTTTTCAATGTTAATGTCACTGTGACCTTGACCTTGGAGCCAGCCATGCGGAACATGCGTTCTGCACGTCATCTTGATGTGGTAAACATTTGTCTGAAGTTTCATCAAAATTCTTCAAAGGGTTGAAGAGTTACAGAGCGGACACAATTTCGTTTGACGCCCGCCCGCCCATCCGCCCAATGTCACTGTGACCTTGACCTTGGAGCCAGCCATGCGGAACATGCGTTCTGCACGTCATCTTGATGTGGTAAACATTTGTCTGAAGTTTCATCAAAATTCTTCAAAGGGTTGAAGAGTTACAGAGCGGACAGGATTTTCAATGTTAATGTCACTGTGACCTTGACCTTGGAGCCAGCCATGCGGAACATGCGTTCTGCACGTCATCTTGATGTGGTAAACATTTGTCTGAAGTTTCATCAAAATTCTTCAAAGGGTTGAAGAGTTACAGAGCGGACACAATTTCGTTTGACGCCCGCCCGCCCATCCGCCCATCCGCCCGCCATACCCCAATCTAATAACCAGGATTTTCAAAATTGAAAACCTGGTTAAAAATACCGTGAAACAGAAAAAATCGGAATGATAGTGATATTCGTTGGACTTGAATTAGATAAGCTGTGGAATTCTAGTTCTTTTTATTGATGTTAATGAATGATGCAGCGAAATCCCGCCGGAATGCGCCTCAGTCGCCGAAACGACGATTTCCCGTGTTCCACATTGTTTGGCAAATAAACATATAGTAGGCTTTTCACCTTTCTATATAACTATAATTTTGATAGTGGAAAAATTTTTTTTTTTATATAATTTCATCGGTGGTTTTGTATTTGGTACCTTTTAGTAAGCCTTAGAGTGTTGAATTATTTTTTTTCAGGGTTGTAGTAGGGGTCCAGGGGCAGATAGGGGTGGGGTGTCCAAACACTGATACTGCCACCTGTGGTCTACATTGCCTGTTTGAAATATTTTTATGTACAAAAATGACTTATTATCCTAAAGAATTTACCTATCTTGTAAGAATAAGATACATTGCAATGTTGATTTGTTACTTTGAAGAAGATAATCTTAAATAATTATTTAAATTTCCCCTATACTTTTAATTACACCAGATAACATAATGTTAACACAATGCTTACATATAAAACTAAATAACTATGTCCCTCGTACATGTAATGATGTATGTTTATGATACATCAAATATAAAAGTCGACACATCTACATATATATGGTTATAAAGTCATGTATGTTATTTGTTTATATTTCTTTTGTTATTCAGTATCTTGTCAGTGTTGGACAGTTTCCCAAACAATACACAGCTGAATGAAACAGTACCAGTATTTGGATATCAAAATAAATTCGGATAACAATTGGAATCTTACATAAAAGTCGAATATTCGAATATATTGGAATGATGGCAAACTGACTATGGGAATATTCATAAATACTTTAAAGGAACTCCACTGAGGCCCATAAGCCAAAAAACCATTAAATTTGTTTTTACAAAGATCAACGGGGACACTTCAAACAGAAAGATATGCAAAAGATCATAAACAAATATACTCAGAAATAAATTGAAAATCATATTCTTGTGTTACACATAGCCAGATTTGAGTGAACGCTTTTCAATCTTGGGTCATTTTTCACAATAAGAATAATTCTTCTGGAAAATCAAAGTGGGCGAAAGATCTGAAATTTTGCACATAAGTTATTGGTCTAGACCTACATCAAATTAAACATTAATCTCAAACAAATTATTTTCAGTCCTAGTCAGGTCAAAATAACCCAGTGGAATCCCTTTAGAGACAGTTAAAAATGATGAAAACTAACCAGTTGGTGCAGTAGAAACTGTGTTTTGGTCTTGTTGTGAAGTTACTGATGTCCCATTATCTGGAAACACAGAAGCAAAAGCGGTCTTTTAATAAAAACATCACAATCACAAGTCGGATCTTTTAACTTCAGTATTATTTGGCACAAGATTACCCCATCGTGATGTACAAGTTTGAATACAATAAAAATTCCCTTTGTTATTAACTAGAAATCATTATTTTGTCTGAACACCTTTAGATGTTGAATTTGTATAATGAATTTGCCAAGCTTTGAACTGTTCTGTCAATGTCATGCCCATTATGCCCCAGAAATGCTTTTGTTTTTATTTCTCAAAAGCTTTTTTTAATTTTGGTGTATTTTTACAGTTTCCAAAATGTCACAAATGGCCAATTAACTGAACCGTTTTTCTCCTGTTTTTCTTTTTAGGAATAAGTAAAGTTATAATTATTTAGTATTTTGAATGGAAGACAAAATACTACTTTGTTTACATTTGAGTACTTTTATGACAAATAATTTCACATTTAGCTTTAATTTCTTCAGGTAACAAGCACCTAACATTCTCTAAAGCCATTTTTTAACCAATATAAAATTCATGTTTTCCCTTTCTAAAGAAGTAATTTTTTTAGTCATTTCTGAGGCAAAATGTGCCTTTAATGTTAAAAGCTTACATACTAATATGACATAGATTTGGGTCCGATTTCAACTTTCTGCATGCTACTATACTCATCATCAGTGGTATAGGCATTCCATTATAGCTGCTAGACTTGTATATGGTAGTATAGGTCATATGGCAACTTTCCAGCTTCACTGGCAGAGAAGAGCTCATATGCTCTTCCGTGCATTATTGTGCACTATTTCTGGCAAAAACGGCCACTGAGTAGAACCAGGTAGCTGGATAGCTTTCTCACATGACAGAATTCAAAGTCCCTGTCAGGATTCGAAGCCACAGCAGTGAGGTGCAAGTGGTTTGAAGTCAACGGCCATGGATGCCCCATTAATACTGCTTATCACAAGTTGAACTTTGTAATCTATGCTTCAAAATGCTTCAAAACTTCTAAATTTTATATATTTGTTTTGTGATTGATGCATGACCAAATCTTTTTGATCACCCAAAATTGTGAAGTATTTTGTTTGTAAGAATACAACTATGACAAAAGGATAGAAGATATTTGGGGCATATGAAAAAAAAATCTGTAATGAGGAGCACTTGAAATATTGTCCTTTTATTATCATCACAAGTTTAATGACACTAATAAAAGCAAAGTTTTTGTTGTCATGACAACAATTTATCATACTTTTAACAACTTGACAGGTTCAAAGGAGTGTATATTTCATAAACACTACAATCAATAATAAAATAAATAATACACATGTATGACCTGTCTCAGTTTTTGGACAACCTAAATGTCCACTTGGTAAAACTGCACTTTTAGCTATATGACCACCAGTTAAAGATACAATTCTAAAGTTTAGGCTAAATTTCAACAGTTGCCATACAATCTCATCAAATGGAATTATAATTATGCACTCATATAAAAGTCATCATGACAATCAAGTTTCAGGAGTAGGACTTACATTTATTTGAAGCAGTGTATGTTTGCCATCATAATCTAGCAAGTACGTAAAGATACCTTAAATAGTAGAGTTTCAAGCAGGTTAATGGTAAATTTCTATATAAGTAACAACCTGATTTTTCAACATGTAACAACTACCTGTAATTCCTCAGTAAAGAGGAAGCTTCAGATATTGTCAATATACAATCAAATAAAAAAATGACCTGTTAATGAGATATCCGACAAGAAAACTGACAATGTAGTGTCACTCTGTAAATGAAATATCTGACAAGAAATCTGACCTGTAGTGTTACTCTGTAAATGTAATATCTGACAAGAAAACTGACCAGTATTGTTACTCTGTAAATGAAATATCTGACAAGAAAACTGACCTGTAGTGTTACTCTGGTAATGAGATATCTGACAAGAAAACTGACCTGTAGTGTTACTCTGGTAATGAGATATCTGACAAGAAAACTGACCTGTAATGTTACTCTGTAAATGAAATATCTGACAAGAAAATTAACCTGTAATGTTACTCTGTAAATGAAATATCTGACAAGAAAACTGACCTGTATTGTTACTCTGGTAATGAGATATCTGACAAGAAAACTGACCTGTAGTGTTACTCTGTAAAAAATGAAATATCTGACAAGAAAACTGACCTGTAGTGTTACTCTGTAAATGAAATATCTGACAAGGAAAGTGACCTGTAATGTTACTCTGTAAATGATATATATGACAAGAAAACTGACACTGTATTATACTCTGGTAATGAGATATCTGACTAGAAAACTGATCAGTATTGTTACTCTGTAAATGAAATATCTGACAAGAAAACTGACCAGTATTGTTACTCTGTAAATGATATATCTGACATGAAAACTGACCTGTAGTGTTACTCTGGTAATGAGATATCTGACAAGAAAACTGACCTGTAGTGTTACTCTGTAAATGATATATATGACAAGAAAACTGACCTGTATTATACTCTGGTAATGAGATATCTGACAAGAAAACTGACCTGTAGGGTTACTCTGTAAATGAAAAATCTGACAAGAAAACTGACCTGTAGTGTTACTCTGTAAATGAGATATCTGACAAGAAAAATGACTTGTATTGTTACTTTGGTAATGAGATATCTGACACGAAAACTGACCTGTATTATACTCTGGTAATGAGATATCTGACAAGAAAACTGACCTATAGTGACACTCTGGTAATGAAATTCTGACAAGAATACTGACCTATAGTTTGACTCTGGTAATGAGATATCTGACAAGAAAACTGACCTGTAGTGTTACTCTGTAAATGAGAAATCTGACAAGAAAACTGACCTGTATTGTTACTCTGTAAATGAGATATCTGACAAGAAAACTTACCTGTAGTGATACTCTGTAAATGAAATATCTGACAAGAAAACTGACCTGTAGTGTTACTCTGTAAATGAGATATCTGACAAGAAAACTGACCTGTAATGTTACTCTGGTAATGAAATATCCGACAAGAAAATGACTTGTATTGTCACTCTGGTAATATCTGACAAGAAAACCGACCTATAGTGTCACTCTGGTAGTGAAATATCTGACAAGAAAACCGACCTGTAGTGTTACTCTGGTAATGAAATATCTGACAAGAAAACTGACCTGTATTGTTACTCTGTAAATGAAATATCTGACAAGAAAAATGACCTGTATTATACTCTGGTAATGAGATATCTGACAAGAAAACTGACCTATAGTGTTACTCTGTAAATGAAATATCTGACAAGAAAACTGACCTGTAGTGTTACTCTGAAAATGAGATATCTGACAAGGAAAGTGACCTGTAATGTTACTCTGTAAAAGAGATATCTGACAACAAATCTGACCTGTACTGTTACTCTGTAAATAAGATATCTGACAAGAAAACTGACCAGTAATGTTACTCTGGTAATGAGATATTTGACAAGAAAACTTACCTATAGTGTCACTCTGGTAGTGAGATATCTGACAATAAAAGGGGATCTGAGTGTAACTGTATAAAGAGGTGTAAATGAGATATCTAATGAAACTAACCTGTGGTACTACTCTGTAACAGAGATATCTCGGCAGTTGTTGTTATGATATTGGAAGCATCATTCTGGTCTACAGTTTTCACAGTTCCATTCTCTGTCACATTTTTACCACTATCACTGGAATCATCTGCTTTTTTGGACACAGTTTCTGCAAGAAAATTGCCAGTCATATTAATATAGAATGTTTTAACAAAGCCAATATATGTAAAGTTATTACAGTATATTTTATAATATCAATGCAATAACTAGATGTTATAAGAAGTTTATCACACATGATTAATTAACAACTCTTGATAAAACAAGCAACAACTGATTCATTGATATCCAAACACCACATACAATACAAGGCACAGAGCCGCACTGTCCCTGAATATAATTTCATATAATACACCACACATATTTTACTTAAATCCAAAACTTGTTTCTCAGCAATATCTGAAGATAGATATTCTGTCTGTAATTTCTTTACATGAAGGGGGGCTAACTCCTGAATTACTGTTTTTTTTGTTTTTGTTTTTTTTGTTTTTGTTTTTATAAACAACTAGCAATTCCCTTTGGCCATTTCTCTGTTTGCAAACAAAAGCAGATATATTCAATAACAAAATTTTCCACTTGTATAAGCAGTTGAAACTTAAAATTGTAATTATTAATCAGTCCAGGGGCGATAACTCCTGAAATATTCAAGAGATCCAAAGAAAAAACTAACACAATCAGTTTTTACCTATAATTGTAAATGAAATAAACAAATTTTGTTAAAATAATTTCAAAAACCGTTTTCACAATGCAACTCCAGACAGATAAATGGAAAATGACAAAGCTATATCCTTCTGCACTCTGAATGATATACATTGTATCCCTAATATTGATGCATGTAGAAATATTTTTAAGGGTAATAGCATCTATTCAACACGTTAATTACAGGGACAGAAAACTAACATTAACAAATGTACGTAATAGTAGTATAAAATATACAAGCTCAATGGCATAATATATCTGTTACTAGGAAACCCGTATAAAGACGGTCTTAGACAATTTTAACAACTTTAAGACGATAAATTCTAACAGAAAACAAATAATAGGAGTAGAACAAGACATTAATGAGCACTAAAGTCTTCATGCAGCATATGTAACCTTAACAGACAACAGATTTTTTTTTCACAATAGTTTTTTTACCCACTGTTTCCAGCTACTAACAGCTTCTGTGGGCAGAAAATCCATTAATATGTGTGGGCGAGCTGAGTGCTGAGTTTTAAATCGCAATATCTGCTGGTATCAGGAGAAAATGTTGACACCTCAAAATAGTGGAAAACAATTGCAGTGGTGTATTGTTCTAATATCATACTGGTAAATTATGATCCAGGAAACTTAATGCATTAATTACTTGAGATTTAGTTTCAATTCAGAAAAACCCTGCAGGATATAATTGTATCTAAAAGCACAACTAATGAGCATATTGCAATGTCATTTAATGTAAGAACTTATACTATTTACAACAAAAGCTTGTTATGAACAGGATAAAAATATACAACACTCTTGTCATGTGGGTTTTTTGTTTTGTTGAATCCTTTAATTTAGTACATCCTTTTGTAAGAATATCATTCAGCAAAAATATAGAACACAGAAAATAACATGTGTTCATTTTAAATGAATTTCGAATAGCAGAAAGCAAATACAAACAGAAATTCACCAAATGAAATTGTCACAATATTTTTTTTTTTACAAAAGAAAAATTGCAAAGTAGACATTAACAATGAATTTTTTTTCAAAGGAAATTGCACATAGAAAATGCCATCATCATTCAACATACTAGAAGAAGCAAGTCAAGAAAACCACACTGTAGAAATAGGCATTGATTGTTTGTTTGTTTCATTTTATGCCTTTTCCCAACAGTATTACAGTCATATAGGCGGGTAGTTTCCTAACCATCGTTCCTGGAGAGTTACACCAGTACTAGACTACCTTCCTCCGCACTAAACTACCAAAGCATCTCCCGGGAATCAAACCCACGCCAGAGAGGTAACTGGATTAGAAGTCATCGACTCTAACCCCTCGATTAAAGAAATAGGCATAAGAATTGTATAGTATATATATATATATATTATATATATATATATAATATATATATATATATATATATATATATATATATATGAATAGGAAAGCCTCAAAGTAGAAATACCATTCAATACTCAATTGAAATTGTGAAAAGGACATGCACTGTATAAATAGGCAACAATCACTGGCGCCTCATCTCCACCAGAACCATTACATTTTTTCTGTCTTTAAACTTGTTTGAGAAAAGGTATACACAATAATAGAAGAGGATGAGAGTGTGTATGATTCTCAAGAGCTTTACTGGATTAACTTCATCTTTAGCTATCAAAAGTAGAAACTTATCGGAGATAATCTGAAAATATGCAGATGTTAAAATCTAGGGCAATGAATGACATAACAGTACTCAAAATATTTCTAAAAATAATCTAAAAAATTCTAACAGGCGCATGACATTGTTAATCAAGTTTCATTATTGTATCATCATAAACAGCTCTCATCCTGATATGTTAAGCTTGTTTTATTACACCAAGACAAGAACCAGAGATTTCTCGCCTATCAAACAGTATTTACTTTGGAAACCTCATTCCTATGGTAACTAACCTGATAATAGAGTCATTAATTGTACGTCCAGTACAAAAAAATAGTTCAGTATAAACAATGTTTCTATGTAATCTTTCTGTAAATTACTCTTGCACATTTCCTGGAAATTTTCTGCAGGTGTCCTCGCAGATACCTTGTATCTTCGTTTTTTTTTTTTTTAACAAACTAGGTCAAATTCTAGAATTTACACTATTTTACAAACTACAAAGTCATAATATGATAACAAAATATAAGTAAATGAATAGAAATATAATGCAAAAGCAATATCTTGGAAGCTAGTTTTTTTTGTAGTTTTTTTTATTATTAAAATATCAAAAGTTATATAAAATATTTGAAATCATAGTCCTTTACCCTTTAAAATTTAATGCTATACATAATCATATCACAAGCACATCTGTGCAATCAGGCCACATTATACAAATGTACTTATAAAAATGTATGCTTGGTATTTAAAAGAGATTTCAACATCAAATTACAACAAGAGTTGTGTGCTCCACTTTTCTCAGTGCCGGATATAGTACTGCACTTTGATTAAATGACCAATTTTATGTTTTCCTATTACACATACCAGTGACCTTGATCATTGACCTTTTGGCCTAAAATTGGGTGTGGCAGTTAGAACTGACCACATAATTATCTAGATTCAATATAACAGCATTGACAACAGAATACTTCACCAAAAACCTAAAAATTATAGGAACAAATGATGACAGTAACCAAAACTGCCGATGCCCAGTTATCCATTACAATAGCTCCATTTTATTTCTCAATAACATTAGCTAAAACTATAACTGCCAAATTTGTAATTCCTGGTCTGGTAAGCTGGACAAGGAGCAAATTATTCCCTCTACCTGAGAGCAGGCAGCATCCTAGGCAAAAATATTGCTCCTGCTATTCCTTGACTTAATATAAGACAACAATATTACAAATGTGCCGCGTCATGACAAAACCAACATAATGGGTTGGCGACCAGCATGGATCCAGACCAGCCTGCGCATCCGCGCAGTCTGATCAGGATCCATGCTGTTCGCTATCAGTTTCTTTACTTGTTATAGGGTCTGTAAGCGAACAGCATGGATCCTGATCAGACTGCGCGGATGCGCAGGCTGGTCTGGACACATGCTGGTCGCAAACACATTATGCTGGTTTTGTCGTGAGGCGGCTCATATCATTATGTAACCCAAGTGTCGTGATTTAATTTCCTATTTCACTAAATCAATACAAACAGGTAAAACTACCAGGGAAATATTAGTAATCTGATCTTTACATGATTAAATAAATTTTAATAACAAATATCAAGATTTCACGTTTATAAAGATGTTTAGTTTGGTAAGAAATATACAGTCAAATAAGAGCGTTAGATCATCTAAGAGACAGACCAAATACAGAAAAACTTGTCAATAAGTGCCACTGCATATAAATTCACATTTTAACAATTTTCTTTTTCAAGTAGACCACCTGTCAACAAAAACCACTGTTTTTTATAAACAGACTTAACCATGCATTTAAAACATAAATGATGCCATAGTTGAAACAAAATTCAAAGAGTATCAATTAAGACTGAAAAATACAGGTATCATCAAAAAAAAAAATTATTATGAAAATTGTAGCAAAACTCCATATAATTCTAGTATTAATTACGAAAAAGAAACCTTCACCTGCAAAAAAAGATATAAAAATTATAATCAATTTCACTGCTAATAAATCAGAAAACGTTTATTGCAAGGATTTTCTTATAGAATATCATCTTACCTCAAGTCTTATCACACACCTGTACATTATGAAACTGTCATAAAGCTCACAACTTTGCAAACCAGCTGAAGCCAACTTTTCCCTTCTTTTTTTTTAAAGTTGTGATATACACTGTACAGTGGCGAGGAACTTTATATGAACAAATTATGATTACATCCAGGAAATACTAGATACTATCGATTGTCAGAGAACCAATGACAATAATGCTGGAAGCAAAATAGAAAATTCTAGGTAACAGAAATAGAGAGGAGGGTACAATTAGCAGTTCCCTGTCAAACATCTACTCCATAATCAACTTTGTCCATTTCCACTAGCTCAATACTCAATGCTCTTAATAGAAAACCAAGTCTGCATAACTAATTTCTCCACTAAAACGTGGAATTCAACAAAAACAGAAGTCACTTGAGTCAGTTATAGCCAAAAACATATTTTTTGCACACAAAAATTTTGATATGAAATCTAGCTGCGTAAAAAACTCACAAAAGACTTCCCCCTAAAAAACTGTGGCATAACTCAAGCTGTAAAACACAACAAAGTTAGGGCCTTTTCCAGCTATTTTAGGAAAAAGGCCCTTGGCTTAAATTGGGGAAATAAACAAGCAGCCTTTTTGGGAAATTTAAAGAATATTAAAAAGTCTCTTCTTAAGGGAAACAAGTCAAATCTGTTAAAATTTTCTCAGAAGTTGAAACAGTTTAATTTTTTTTGTTTGCATTTGAATTTTTTTTACTGAACCCATCACCA